GGCTTCGTTCTCCCCACCACACCTCCCAGCACCTGGACGCGCAACTCCACAGGCACAGCCCCGCAGGCGCGGCGGTTATGTTGTTGAGTCGCATGGCTAGGCTGCAAGTATTCGTTGGTGTGCACCACATGCGACGTCGATGATGTCGCCTGCGGGTGCTGGGTCGGGGTTGGGCGTCCACGACATTGTTGCTGCATCTCTTCGGGGTTTGCAAATACCTTGTCGTAGCCATTGCGCCGGCGCTTGGTTTTGTCCACGATGTGGATGTCTCTGAGTCGCTTGTGCTTTGGTATCAGGGGTGCTGACTTGGAAGGAGAGCTGAGCGCGTTAGCCTATCGGCGTCGTTGCTCCGTCCTTCGCCCCTCGACGTCGGTCCGCCGGCGTTGATTGCCTGCAGGTGATTAGCGCAGTCGAGGGGTTCAGTGGTTGGTGTGGGGGCGAGGAGCTGTGGTGCAGTTTTAGCAGGTCCTTCTCCTGTTTCGGATTTCTCTGCTGCTCCACGAGCCAGAGTCGTTCGATTCATCCAGCGTACCTGGGGACGCTTGATTTGCCTTTTTACATTTGGAGCGCCAATCCTGGCGTCTCAGACAGGTCGCAGCGCGATGTGCTGCGTCCGCTAGATCACATACCCGCGGGAACTTCCCGGAACTTAGTCACGATTGGGAGCAAGACCCCGCTGCGTCGCCCGGGTTCCGGGCTCCACGGTGGTGCCCTACCCCGGCGCGTTTCCCACGTGCTCGCTACCTAGCTACAACACAGCCCCGCGCGCCTGGATCTCTGCACCGACAGAGCCAGGCCGCCCCGTTGAGTCACATTTGGGGAAGATGTTCGGTGGGCCATGTCGTGTTCCACGGCTTGGCCCACCTTCACGTCCGGGGCGTGGCTCTGTGGGGTTTGAGAGCTTGGCTCGCGCGGCTTGCTACTTGTAGCTCGCTGTGCCGGCCGGGTTCTCTTCTTGCTCGCCAGTGTGACCGTCGCAGGGCGTCCCGCGACGAGGACTGCAGCGCGCGTCAGCACTGCCTTCGATTATCATCGTTTCCGCGCGCTTTCGCTCGTTGGGTGAATTGCGCCAGGAATGTGAATTTATATAAAAATCTAGCGACAAGATCCCATGCGTGTTCTGCCTCCTCTTTCAGATGAGAATACGCCATCATACTATGGTCGACGACGAGGGCCGTGCTGCGGAGCGGCGGAGCAGTATCGTGGTGGCAGTCGCCGCACCAGAGGAGAGGACGTGCGTTCAGCCAGGGAGGACGCCCACTCAGTCCTCAGATCCTCCCCCAGCCTCCCCGCCTGGCCCGAAGTCCAGACCGCCAGCCCCCCCCGAATCAGTCTGAGTAGTCGCTCAGTAAAAGGCCTCTCAAACATGTCCATGTAAGTTTCCGTGAGCTGATAAGTTTTGGTATTCCACAACGCGCAACACGAACCAAAAGCGGCGTTATTATTGGATCCATCCGTCTCGCCTTGTTCCCGTGCTAGGCTGGTGCGTTGCTCATTTCTCCTAAGGTTTTTGAACAGAAGCAGTTCATAAAATGACAGCGAGCAACAGGCTTTACTGCATCCGTCTCGCCTGGTCCCCCTGCTAAGCTAGTGAGCTATGTAGTTTTTCTCTAAGATTATCTTCCTCCAATCTAGGCGCGCGGACAAGAGCTCACGATAACAGAACTTTGAGGCAAGGTGTAATGCAGCTCCGTAGGAGAGGCGCTACTGCGATGCAGTAGGCTGGCGACTACGTGCATATGTGTTGAAGGGCAAGGCTCGGGTCGCACCGGATCGCCTCCACCTTAGAACGGGCCGGTGGAAGTCGCATGTTTCACCTTCGGATGGCACTCGCCTAGAGTATACGGAATACGAGGACTCAGGCGGTATTCGCGCGAGGGTGTCGAAGCCGGGGTAGCGAGAAGCCGCCGAGGGGCGGCGCGCGGGCAAAACCACTTCCCCCGATCTCCGGCTGTCGCGGGTTCCCGAGCTGCACGAGTTTCAGTACTTGTCGGCGGAGACGCAAGTACCCGGGACGGGTAGCTAGTCGGGCGCCGCTGAGGCTGTGAACGACGCCTGACTGGATCGCCTTCGAGTTAGCAGCCCCTGACAACGATCCAAGTGGGTGCCCACGAAGCAGGAAACCGATAATAGACCCGGTGGTTCCGTGAGCCCAGCGGTTCGGGTGCAGAGTCATTTTCTTCTTGTGCTGCCTGCGGATCGGGTGCAGAGTCGTGTTCTACTTGTGCTGCCTTGCCAATTGTATTTCTGTGCCTCGAGCTTCCGGTCATGTGGAAAGCATGCTTCTTGAACGCTAAGTCTAGCGATCAGGAAGATCAGTATTCAATCTCGCATCTTTTACCTTTAACTTGGTTGTTAAACGTCACTTCAGGCTGGCGCTTGTCGCTTAGTGTCTCCAGTGAATGCATTCATCCAGACAGGAATTACGGGTTTTGCCGCAGGCTGCAGCTTTTTCTTGTTGTTGTGAGCCTGGCTGTATACTCCCGTTATAGTGGTAGCGAGTTGGAAGTTTGCGAGAATCAGTGGTAGGAATTGTTGGCATAAAAGTGAGGTGTTGTTCTGTTGGCAAGTTGGCACAAGTTGGCACAGTATGGTTGTTGGCGCAGTATGGTTGGTTGGCGAAAACAGAGTTGGGATATAGTGGCCGGGAGATGATGGTGATGGCACTTCGGTGTCCGCCTGACCCACCCGTCCTGCGTGCCAAGCCATCTGCGGCCATGGTACAATGGGGGGGCAAAGTGTGTCGCATTTTGTTTAGCATGACAACTCTGGGGTGGGGATGTTTTTACATAGGATACGTGCGGGGCGCTGTCGACCTTTTTCTTCATCGCTCTATACCCCGTCGTGATTGGAGTTTCCTTGAAATCCGCTGCGGCAGAAACGGAGGCTGCCTGTACTACAGGGGGCGGTTCTACAGAGGCGACGATGATAGCGCCCAGCCAAACTGACGCACGTGGTCTCTCTACTACTTCCTCGGGAACCTCAGCAGGCAATCACGTAGAGCTGTCCTTGGTGAAGAAGATCAAGATGGTCCTCCTTTTCACCGGCGGAACACTCAGTGCCATTTTTGGTCTCTGCATGTCTTCGGACAACGGTGCCGAGGAGCTCGTGAAGGATTGCGCGGTCAAACTGTTTTCGAATTCGCCTTCCAGCACACCCAAAGAACCGCAGCAGGGGTCAACGCAAATCCGAGCCGGCGCACGAATAATTGTATCTCCTCCAGAGCCGCGTCCCGGTTCTTCGGCTTCGGCTTCGGCAGCAGCTGCGGCTTCGCCCCCACCACTTTCCTTTCTTGACGTATCTCAATGAAAAATCGTAGGCAAAGACTCGAGTCGATGCAGCTCGGCCGTCTTGACGACACACAATCACGAAACGAACCACTGCAACGGCAAGACACAAAAAAATATTAGAGCAATAGACGCTGGTGCTGATATACGGTAGTAGTACCTGCAGTCTTGCCACGAACATTTTGCAAATATCTCGAGAATACCTCAAACTGACAGTAACCTAACGCCGCCATTTTGCGAAAAACCAAAAATCGAGGAGTAGGATCACTGCGGCGCTCAGCAATTGCTCTGCAAAGTTGCCTTTCTTGCCGACTTCATATTCTTTGGCATGATGTACCAAAACAAAGAAAGAGCTTCAGCACTTCATTTGTCGCTCATCGGTCTCGTTTCGCTTTTTCCGTTTGACTCCAACTCAAAGAGAGATCGCATTGTCGGTTTTTTTTTTCGTGCAATCGAAGAAACGCAAATCGGACACTTGAGGAAGATTTTTCTTTACGCCACCGCTATCCCTCGTACATCGTACATCGTACACCGCCGCCACAGTCGGCCTCGGCTGCTATCGATATCGCGAGCGCAAGTCCCCCTCGTTGTAAAAAAACGTGCTACAGACGCGACTTCTCGTAAGACAGATGAAGAACATGAACCTCATTTTGGTTTTCGTATTGTTCAATGCTTTCCATCGAAAAACAACTTTCCATGACCCCTCCCTGTTGTCAAATAAATTCGTCCCCGCGTCCTGATTGATTCATCTGCTTTTTTTCTTAATTAAAGGCCTCGCTACTTTCATGGGGGAAAGTCGAGGGACGGGAAGAAGCAGAAGGCTGAAGAAGTAAGTACAGGCGGTGCACTCGATAACTAGAGCTCAGCCTAGAGGACTAGTTTCAGTAGCAGAATTATAGTTTAACTGTGTAACAAAAGTAAAATCAGATTTATTATATAGGGAAAATCTTATACCGGAACCGGTTGCATCCTCTTGCGGCATTTTCATTTTCGAAAGACAAAAACAAAAACGAGCCCGTTTTGTGAGTAAGTTGTGGTATTTGTGATACAAAAGTATCCTGGTACTTCATCTCTACTCCGCTCCCTTGTCTTGACATTCCTCGGCACTGTCCGTTGCAAGTTGTATATCAAACACGTATAACACGACCATACAAGAAATTTTGCTTCGCACTTGAAGTTGAACTACCTTTGTACAACTTGACGTTTGAGTTTTGACGTTTGGTTTCTTTTGTTTCCATTGCGCACGCACTCGTCCTGAAAAAAAGTAAGTAGGAAACCGACGTGGGACCACACGGATAACCATCGGCCAACATGATGGAGTTGCACTTCGCGAATGCGCCCATCAGCTGGGGCATAAATGAGTTTGGCATCGAGAGCGGCATGAAGCCCGAACAAATGCTGGATGAGCTGAAGTTGGCAGGCTACACCGGCACCGAGCTCGGCGACTACGGTTTCTTTCCAACGCAGCCGGGGCAGCTCGACGAGATGCTAAGGTATGAATTTGATGTACGCGGCATGAATTTAGAAATTTGAAATATTCTTGCATCCATACTTGAAAATGCGCATAAGAATGCAGAAGATCTTCCACTTCACCATTTACTTCGAGTTCAATCGTTTTGTTTTCGCATTCGAAAAAATGCAGGGTACGTGGGTTGGACATGATCGGGGCGTTTTGCACGTATGCGTTGTGGGACACCTCCAAGCACGAGGAAGGTCGCGCCTACGCTCGCAAGATCGCGGCACAGCTGCAGCCGTTCGCCAAGCAAAAGTACCCGCCGCACATTGTGCTCGCGGACAACGTTAGTGACCCGACCAGAATAAGGCACACAAGCCGGATCACGAAGAAGATGTCGCTCTCCAAGCCGTACTGGGAAACGCTCGTGCAGGAGGTCGCCTACCTGAAAAACATGATTGAGTCCGAATACGGCATCAAGGTGCACTTTCACCCCCACTGTGGCAGTTTCATCGAGACGCCGTGGGAAATCGAGGCGCTGGTGCGAGACGTGCCGGGGCTGAAGCTCATCTACGACACGGCACACGTAACCATGGGGGCTGGAAACCCGCTGGCCTGTGTGGAGTTTCTCAAAAGACATCCAGACAAGGTATATTTTTGATGGATTTCAGGTCCTTTGAGTTTGAAAAGTCTACGTGCATGATGCACATTTTTTTTCTTCTAGACGACTAGCTTGCGCGCCAGTCGTATGGATTTTAAGATCTGCAGCGAAGTATTACTTCGCTCACAAAATAAACACAACAGATCCACAGCTTCCACTTCAAGGATTACGACGGGAATGCAACCGGCAAAGACTACTTTGAGCTTGTGAACAACGGCTGCTTCCCGGAACTCGGTCGAGGCATGGTCGATTTCGAAGGTGTCAAGAAGTGGCAACGCGACAACGACTTCAAGGGCTGGATCGTTGTGGAACAGGATCTTCTCGGCGACGCGAAATCGAACCCACTGCAGTCCGCAGCGAACAACATGTCTATCAAATGCAAAAATGTCTGGGTCTGGAAGATTGCCAGGTTTGTCATGCACATTTTGCATGACTCCTGATGTCTGTGATGCATGCCCTAGCATCACAGATTTTGTGAGGGATTCCTGATGCCTCTACCGCATGACAAATGCTCTGTCCGTGTAGCAAAACTTGGATTCTTTTTGCTGCTCATGCAATACAGATTTTTTTAGAATCCAAAATCAGCATGACAAGTTGGATTTTTCCAGACCCAGACATTTTTACTGTTGGTAATGTCGTTCATGAAACGACTCTACAAGGACGAGGTTCCGCCCACGCAATTTGTTTCGAGGCTGTGAAAAAGCCAGTTATGCATTGCAAAAATGTCTGGGTCTGGAAACTTGTGATGCTGAGTGGCGTAGCACGAGGAGGCCACGACTGCTGGCTCAGCATGACAAATTTCTGAGCTTGTAGGAGTAGGTGTTGCCTATTCTGCATGACAAACTGCGTCTCCGCATGACAGAAACCTGCGGCTCGGGCTCTTGGGCAACGTGCATGACAGATTTAAGAGTCATGCCAGACAAGCATGACAAACGTGCATTCTTCCAGACCCAGACATTTTTACATTTGATAGCAGTCCGCAGCAAACAACATGTCGTTCATGAAGCGACTCTACAAGGACGAGGTTTCGCCCGCGCAATTTGTTTCGAGGCTGTGACAACGACTATCAAATGTAAAAGTGTCTGGGTCTGGAAACTTGTGATGCAAGTCAGGGAAAAATGCGCATACTGTAATGCACTGCCAAGCATGACAAGGTTTTCCGTGGTTCAGTGTTGCGAACTCCGCATGAGAAACTGCGTTTTTGCATGACAGGCAAGAGAAGCCCTTTGCGGCCACGCAATACAGAGCTCAGAGTCATGCTGGACTAGCATGACAAATCCCGGAATCTTCCAGACCCAGACACTTTTGCATTTGATAACGACTTCAAGGGCTGGATCGTTGTGGTATCGCAAGGAAAAATCCCCCCTCCCCATATTGAAGAGGTAGGTTTTCGAAAATTTGCGTTGCTGATTTGAGGTCACAAATCACGTTTGTGCTGCAAGAAGACAAGGGCAGCAGCTTCCGTCCCATTATGGAGCCGGTTTGTCATGCTGTTGAGCCAACATCGCGGACGCTTTTCATGCTAAGCGCCTAAGTCAAAGCCTCTCTAGTACTCAGGCTTGATATGGGTCTGCAGTCCTCTCCAGCAAGACAAATGCGATCTGTGTACTCAAATACTGCATCTGTTCGGGCTGCTGACTGTTCCACTTCCTCTTAGCGGTACCAGTTTCGCCTCACGCCTCAAATACTGCATCACAAATTTCGTTTTCGATATGGGGAGGGGGGATTTTTCTTTTTGATATGTGGAGCAGGATCTTCTCGGCGAGGCAAAAACTAATCCACTGCAGTCCGCAGCAAACAACATGTCGTTCATGAAGCGACTCTATCAAATGTAAAAATGTCTGGGTCTGGAAGATTCATGCTGTTTTTGCATGACACAGAAGGTCTGGCATGGAAGCTCTAGCATCACAGGTTTCGAGAAGCCTCCGCAATGCCGAACCCGCATGAGAAATCCCCCATTTTGGTGACAGAATTGAGCAGCTTTTGCTACCTATGCATGAGAGATTTTTCTGTGTTCGAAAATGCGCATCACAAGTTCGGATCCTTCCAGACCCAGACATTTTTACATTTGATAGACTCTACAAGGACGAGGTTTCGCCCACGCAATTTGTTTCGAGGCTGTGAAAAAGCCAGTTATGCATTGCAAAAATGTCTGGGTCTGGAAACTTGTGATGCTGAGTGGCGTAGCACGAGGAGGCCACGACTGCTGGCTCAGCATGACAAATTTCTGAGCTTGTAGGTGTTGCCTATTCTGCATGACAAACTGCGTCTCCGCATGACAGAAGCCTGGGGCTCTTGGGCAACGTGCATGACAGATTTAAGAGTCATGCCAGACAAGCATGACAAACGTGCATTCTTCCAGACCCAGACATTTTTGCATTTGATAGCAGTCCGCAGCAAACAACATGTCGTTCATGAAGCGACTCTACAAGGACGAGGTTTCGCCCGCGCAATTTGTTTCGAGGCTGTGACAACGACTATCAAATGTAAAAGTGTCTGGGTCTGGAAACTTGTGATGCAAGTCAGGGAAAAATGCGCATACTGTAATGCACTGCCAAGCATGACAAGGTTTTCCGTGGTTCAGTGTTGCGAACTCCGCATGAGAAACTGCGTTTTTGCATGACAGGCAAGAGAAGCCCTTTGCGGCCACGCAATACAGAGCTCAGAGTCATGCTGGACTAGCATGACAAATCCCGGAATCTTCCAGACCCAGACACTTTTGCATTTGATAACGACTTCAAGGGCTGGATCGTTGTGGTATCGCAAGGAAAAATCCCCCCTCCCCATATTGAAGAGGTAGGTTTTCGAAAATTTGCGTTGCTGATTTGAGGTCACAAATCACGTTTGTGCTGCAAGAAGACAAGGGCAGCAGCTTCCGTCCCATTATGGAGCCGGTTTGTCATGCTGTTGAGCCAACATCGCGGACGCTTTTCATGCTAAGCGCCTAAGTCAAAGCCTCTCTAGTACTCAGGCTTGATATGGGTCTGCAGTCCTCTCCAGCAAGACAAATGCGATCTGTGTACTCAAATACTGCATCTGTTCGGGCTGCTGATTGTTCCACTTCCTCTTAGCGGTACCAGTTTCGCCTCACGCCTCAAATACTGCATCACAAATTTCGTTTTCGATATGGGGAGGGGGGATTTTTCTTTTTGATATGTGGAGCAGGATCTTCTCGGCGAGGCAAAAACTAATCCACTGCAGTCCGCAGCAAACAACATGTCGTTCATGAATCGACTCTATCAAATGTAAAAATGTCTGGGTCTGGAAGATTCATGCTGTTTTTGCATGACACAGAAGGTCTGGCATGGAAGCTCTAGCATCACAGGTTTCGAGAAGCCTCCGCAATGCCGAACCCGCATGAGAAATCCCCCATTTTGGTGACAGAATTGAGCAGCTTTTGCTACCTATGCATGAGAGATTTTTCTGTGTTCGAAAATGCGCATCACAAGTTCGGATCCTTCCAGACCCAGACATTTTTACATTTGATAGACTCTACAAGGACGAGGTTTCGCCCACGCAATTTGTTTCGAGGCTGTGAAAAAGCCAGTTATGCATTGCAAAAATGTCTGGGTCTGGAAACTTGTGATGCTGAGTGGCGTAGCACGAGGAGGCCACGACTGCTGGCTCAGCATGACAAATTTCTGAGCTTGTAGGAGTAGGTGTTGCCTATTCTGCATGACAAACTGCGTCTCCGCATGACAGAAACCTGCGGCTCGGGCTCTTGGGCAACGTGCATGACAGATTTAAGAGTCATGCCAGACAAGCATGACAAACGTGCATTCTTCCAGACCCAGACATTTTTACATTTGATAGCAGTCCGCAGCAAACAACATGTCGTTCATGAAACGACTCTACAAGGACGAGGTTATCAAATGTAAAAATGTCTGGGTCTGGAAGGATGTAACTTGTGATGCGCATTTCAGAACACACAAAAATCTCTGATGCATAGGCAGCAAAGGCTGCTCACTTTCTGTCACCAAAATGGGGGACTTGTCATGCGGATTCGGCATTGCGGAAGCTTCTCGAAACCTGTGATGCTAGAGCTTCCATGCCAGACCTTCTGTGTCATGCAGAAACAGCATGACTCTTCCAGACCCAGACATTTTTACATTTGATAGAGGTTCCGCCCACGCAATTTGTTTCGAGGCTGTGAAAAAGCAGTTGTTACCATGCACTTGCATCAGTCATATCCTGGTGATGTCTACGAGTTGTGTAAGTGTGTAAGACAAATTCCCGGCGCATACGTACTAGCACTTCTTGCTCTTTTGGAACTCAAATTAACTGTGGTGTCGTCAACCCGCAACCGCTCAAAAATCTTTCGAAGCCGTTTGCAATACGTGAACAACACAACAACCCCACTTGGACAAGCACGCTACATAGGATGTTGAGATTACCTCAGTATTAACGTGCAGCAGCGCGCGGTCTTAGCGCCGTGCAGTTGCGCAAGTCACGGTAGACAATACCACCGTCCGTAGCAAAACGTGCGAGAAAATTTTGACCCGTGTAATATCAGACTTCACAGTAGCGATTATTTTCTCTCATGGTGATCGAAAATGAAAATGCTAATAGTAGATACATACAAAAGTTTCATATGATAGATTTTCCACTTTTGTTTTTGTCGTTTGCGTTTGATATTTTCTTTTTCATGATCAAGATCATGACGAAATTATAATGCGAGTAGTACACTGCTAGAGGGACATGTTTTGATCGGTTCAATAGTTTTGTCGATGCACATAACCGCGTGCTTCCCGAGAGCTGCTATTTCATTTACAATATAAACGCATCCGAGAATCCTCTCTCACATCACCAATAGTGCCAATTGACAATACGTTTTCAACGTGTATTAATCCTCGCTAGATATATTTCCTTCTGTGAGTTTTCTGCATGTATCTAGATGATTTTTTTCGCGTTTCGCAGCGTCTCCGGGGTTTCTCTAGGATGACCGCTGAAGGAAGGAATGCTGAAATATCAACATCATCATGGTCGTGCACCGGAAGAATCTATTTCCAGGCGTAGTTATGCACATCACTTTGGTCGTGCTCAAGCCCTGATTGGTACAAAAATGTGACACGTTTCTAGCTAGAGCTTCATGTCCGCACTAAAAATGGGTAAAACGGAATAGATTCTTGTTTGTTGTTTCCGTATTAGGGGAGCCAAGTGGCGGCTGGATTTGTTGAGTGTTGCGGAAAATTCCGCTCATTCAAAAGGCACAGCCAGGGCAAAAATCATCAACATGGGCAAGAAAGAAGCGCAGCATTGTTGCGCAGTTTCTAGCTTGACATCACATTATTGAGTTCTTGTTCACCATGATGTTGAGATCGCCCTGTTGCCTTTGAGGTACTTCTTCAATTCTTGGCTGTTTTGGTGTGCGTGATAAATTGGCAATTGAGAGAGAGCGACCAAGGTTCGAAGTGCAAATGAAAACTCAAATGTCAGCGTGGTTTCGGAGTTCTGCGCTGAGCCCGCCAAGTGTGGGGAAGATTGCTATTCTATCCCAACAAAAAACCTCCTTCTGAGTTTGCGTGCTCTTCCTCCCTCCTTTTGCAACTAGCCTTCAAGTCAAGCAACTCTGCGTCCGTGGGATCATCAAATTCGCTCAACAAATCTTCTCCTATGCGTACCTAAGCAATATATGAAGATCCTCTTGTGTTTCATCCTCCATATTGGACACATTCACAAATCGTAAATGAATTCTTTTAGGCACCGTGAGTTCGTTGTGGTGATTGATAGAAGGTGGGAATCAGAGTAGCGATTCCCATTTTTCCCTTCACCAGAGTCCCTTTCGTCGTCACCGTGGCGCAACAGGCAGGAAGATCCACTTTGTTTCAACATTCTTGTTGCAAAAACAAACGACCCGACACAAGAAACGTTCCTACCAGCATCAGCGTGTCAAAGCGGACTTGCTATTGCTCTTCATCAAGACGCAGGACAACGCTCGTCCAGGGCGGGAAATCAAAGACGATTGCGGACTTACCGTCGGCTCCGCCGTGAAAGCCTCTACAGTCGATATGTGTGTCCGCTCTGGTGGAGTTGCGTGCTGCTGAGCCCGCGGCACTAGGCGGAAAACTACAAGCTACTAAACATACAAAAATCGCGCTGGCAAAAACCTGACCCTGTTGGAGTCGTCTGCATCGACAAGAACCTGCTTCCGGCCTGCTCCGGCGGAATCAAAAATAACGAGAAGTATACTTCTGCAACGCGCAGGCTTAAGTAGTCGAAAGAGTAGAACGAACTACCAGAACAGGCAGTCTGGAAAATGGAGGTGCAGTTTGCGAACGCGCCCATTAGCTGGGGCATCAACGAATTCGGAATCGAAAGTAGCATGAAGCCGGAGCAGATGCTCGACGAACTGAAGCTCGCAGGCTACACCGGCACGGAGCTCGGCGACTACGGGTTTTTCCCGACTTGTGAGAAACAGCTGAAGGACCTGATGCGGTATAGACGAGATCTCAAAATGCATATGCAAAGAATCTTCCACAAATAGTTTTTAGAAACGCGCCACAGAAATTGATGTTCGGTGCATGTTTAAAAAGTCTCACCACGCTACCAATTTGATGTAGGACATGATTGCAAGAACCCGTGTGGCATGGTAGAGCTAGCGGGGAAACTTCTACATACACTTTCGCCTTATACTAGGTCGAAGGACCTGCAAATGATAGGAGCTTTCTGCACCTATGCTCTGTGGGATAAAACCAAGCACGAGGAGGGTCGCGCGTATGCTCGCAAGATTGCTGCGCAACTGCAGCCGTTCGCGAACCAGAAGTTTCCGCCGCACATCGTACTTCTACTTGTGTGTTAAAACAACTAACACTTGCTTATGCTATTCTTTTTCGTTTTTTCCAAAACGCATCGGGTGAAGAAAACGTAAACGACAAGTGATACAAAGTGATACAAAAAATTATACGTTTGATCGAATGCCTATGCCAATTAATACCGAAAATCAAAAAAGGTATTGGCCGACAACGTATCAGACCCCGACCGGATAAAGAATACCAGCCGCATTACGAAGAAAATGTCTCTGAGCGCAAAGTATTGGTCGGTCCTGACGGAAGAGGTGCAGATCCTGAAGAACATGATTGAGTCCGAATACGGCATCAAAGTGCACTTTCACCCGCACTGTGGTAGCTTCATCGAGACGCCGTGGGAAATCGAGGCCCTCGTGCGAGACGTGCCGGGGCTGAAACTCATTTACGACACGGCGCACGTAACCATGGGGGCTGGGAACCCGCTGGCCTGCGTGGAGTTTCTCAAAAGACACCCAGACAAGGTAATATCTTCATGCATTTGAGGTAGGTTCTTTGTTGAATTTGAAAAGTCTAAACGCATGATATTACTACACATTTTTTTTTCTAGACGACTAGCTTGCGCGGTCGTATACATAGACTCGAAGATCTGCAGCGACGTACCAGTAGAAGTAGAAGTCGCACACAAAAACTAAAACACACCAGATCCACAGCTTTCACTTCAAGGATTACGACGGTAATGCCAAAGGAAAAGACTACTTCGAGCTCGTGAACAACGGTTGCTTCCCGGAACTCGGTCGAGGCATGGTCGATTTCGAAGGCGTCAAGAAATGGCAGGTGGATAACGCTTTCAAGGGCTGGATCGTTGTGGAACAAGATCTCCTCGGCGAGGCAAAATCTAATCCACTGCAGTCCGCAGCGAATAACATGGCTTTTTTGCGTCAACTGTACGCGGAGCCAACGGTGTCTAGACTCTAATCGCTCAACATGTTTTCATCTCGTATCACAGTTGCGATTTGGCACACCCCTATGCATGCTCTCGATCGTTGAAAGAAACTACCGAAATAAACTCTCTCACACACCTCTTGATAAAAATTAAACTCGCTGAAAGGAAAGGCAGGATCTAGATCTTCGCTGGTACTCCGAAGGAGCGGAGGTCTTGGACTCACTGCTTATTCACACTCTCTGATTTCTAGTATTTATTCTCACATCAAGGCTCGATATGGCAGTTTGGCACGTCACCAGCTGAAATAGGGATACCACGTACTCGGCGGCTCAAAGACGGCTCGAAAGCCGTAATATTAAGTCATTTAGATTTTTTAATGTTTCGATGTAACAAGTAGTTCAAGAAAGCATGGTTTCTGATTCAACAAGACTATGGGACTAACAGACATCCTGGCAAGAAAAGGCGCAATTCTTCGCCTGCAACACCTTCTTATCACATCAAATCAGCTACGTTTCTTACCACGACTACCCTCAGACACAAAAAGGATTGTCTCTCCATAGATACACAAAAAAATACAAGAAGAGGGTACGTTTTCGTGCCTGGCAAGTGTCGCAAATCAGAAAAAAAATCAGAGATATAGATGTACCTATGGTTTATTTTCGTTTCGAGTGTATTATCCTATCAACTTGACTTAAGTGTATTGCAATGTATGCACTTGTATGTAGAACCGTTGAGGCAGAAAATCTACTTGCGTTGCTGTGTAGTTGTAAAACGTATGAATGTCGATAATGGCGCGACTAGAAAGGCAATCCCATACCGGATATCGAATGCGATAGCTCGCGGCTCGTACTAGCTATGGAACGAAAACATGAGCATGTTGATATCTTATGTTTGTGCCCTTACAGTACAGTTGACAGTCTTGGAGAATTCCACGACGCTATCCTGGATTGGCACTACTTGTTAAAACTATCGAAGACCGCCCGCTGTCAATCGTGGTTGCTCGATAATTTGCAATCTCAGAAAAAAAAAAACGATTTTTCATCTTCAGCTTTGTACTTTTTTGTTTAGTACACTACTACTAGACGAGGCTGGAACTACTCACAATCAAACTATGCAACTTCGAACTTAATTTGAATTTGATATTTTTAGACAACAAAAGCAATATTGACTCAGCCCAGCGACCACGTTTTCGCCGTTTCGCCCCTACTTCTGAGTAGAACCGATGAGCTGTTCCCGGAAAAGGAGAGCGAAACACTTTTCTCTCGGATAACTCGCCTACCGAGTAAAGCTTAGATTCCCGGAAACACGAACGAGGAAAGGGACTTGAATGTCCGGAGTAGAGGCGCCTTTGCAGTGCAGCCACAAGGCTTGTCCACGCACGGCTGCTTTATTCTGTCTGCACTCCTTGTCCTTTCCTCTCTCTGCCCCCACCTTCTTTTTGACAAAGGCATGAACCGCCTGCTCACTCATTCGTGTCTGTGTTTTCCTATCACATCTGTACAGATGTCCGACCTCTTTTTTAGGTATCTTATTCACCACAATAAATTCTTTCTAAGTGTCACCAAAAACTTTTAGTTGACGTGCTACACAACGAAGCCGGAATAGTGGCGCAATCCATGCAGCAGATTCTGCGGCGCATGCGAAGATTTTGACTTTCACGTTTTCGCAGCGCACGCTAACGCTGTAGTGCTTCATCTGCTTTGCGCGAGACTACTAAGTAATATTCTACTGCAGATTGCTACCCCGTTGTACCAATTATCTCAGTGATTTATCAACATTGATATGGGACAATATATTTATGCAATAGGGAACCGCATGTGAAAATGAATAATTTCGATTCTTTTGGCTGCTGTATCTACAGGACAGAAATATATCTGAAGCCGCACGACTATAGTGTCGTCTGAATCTCCTGGGCGAAATCAATCCAGACGCAGAACTACACGTGGTGGCTTACACTAATTTTCCATTTCGAGGACCAGTTTATTGTTGCCTTTGATTGCCAGCCACCAGTGCGCTTTAGATATCGACGCTCAATCAGGATGCCGATGGCAACAGTGTGCGAGTAGGACGCAACGATATGATGCTGTCCGTCCACACCAGATAGTTCCAAATTTGATTCAGATTCCATGTATTTCGTCGATATTCTCGCAAATGTTGTACAGATTTTGGGTGTGTGGAGAATGTAGAAAAAGAGTGGAAGAGGTCGATTCAGTGTTAGTCTCATGAGAGAATTAATCTCGAGTTTCGTGAGAGTCAGTATTTTTGTAGGTCCAAAAAGTGCCGTGGATCCATCATCTCTTCGAATCAGTCGCTCGTCCGTGTGTGTTTTCCTATTCGCAAAAACCAAACGCTCCTGTGGTCAGTAAGCAGGTCCTGCAACTCATATATTGTAGTTCTCCGTGTTCGTTTGGTAGTTCGAGTTTTCCCATTTATTCGCCCGGAAAAATCGTTTTGCTTTTCATTCAGTAACACCCCTAGTTCAATGAAAGAGTTTAGTGTCTAGTTCCTTCCTGTTTTTGAGTGACGATTTTCGTGAGCTTTAATCAACTGCAAAATCAAAAATAGAAAGCGCCTTTATGATAGTTTTTCATCCCTCGCCAGTGTGTGTCGATCATGAAATGAAGTAGGTGCACCTTTTGCGAGCACATCATCTCGTAATGGGCTGTCTGTGTTGTTGCTGCAAGGGTAAGATTCCCAACAGCTGGGAGGAGCAAATCGAGGTCAAGCGCCCCCTGGTACCTCTTCCGGACGACGCAAAGAAGGCCATTTTGCGCGTACGTTTTCCAGATGCCGTCGAAATCTTCCGGATCGTGGACGCAGGAACCAGTGCCCCTCCAGGAGATGGTGGAACAACGTCAGTGGACATGGATTTGACGCCTGCCACCGATGCGGACAAGCAGGCCGCGGCCGGAGGCGGTGCGAAAGGAGAACAGTATCAGCTGCAAAAGACCAGCATGTTGCAGTCGAAACTGATCACTATGGGGATCTCCGGTTCTTCGGAGAATTCACCTAATAGTTCTTCTCATCTCGAGGGGCAAACCTTCGTACCCGGCATCGGCGACGTTGCCGGCAGCGAGCTACCAGCAGCGCTGATTGCCAGCCTCGGGCTGATGCCGAAGCCACCGCAGCTTCGGGACCACCAGCACGTCGTTGCGAACTCGTCGCTTTCCCTATTCCTGACTACCGCCGACAAGCAGCACGGCTGGACGGTGGCCTCGATGAGCAGTGCAAGCAGCACGGCTGTGGTGCTCGACGACGCAAATCTCGCCACCGACCTGCGCCGCAAAAAAGTGTTGGACCCGAAAGGAGAAAAATTCAAAATTCGCCGAATACTCTACCGCGAAGAAACGTACGTTCTCAACAACCAATTCGCAGGTGAAACGTACGCAATATAATTAATGACGCGCGTATCAATTCTCAAAGAACTGCTGATAAAGCTAGACTGAATGAACAAAAGAGCCCTCTGAAGCGCCTTGCTGCTGCCAAGGGCGACTGCTCAGGGTTGTTATTGATGGATTGCGAACGAACAATTTCAATTCGATTCCCACCGCCACCCTCAAGGTTGAGGTTCTCGCTCCGGGTGAGAACGCCGTAGCTTTCCACCACTCACTCAGGGACGGACGAAGGTGTTCTAGTATTTCTATGTGTCCTTATACACCAAGGCTGAAAAGTTTGCACGCAATTTTTATGAAGCGGTGGTACAGTTAGGGTATGAGATACACTATTGCTTAATTCGTGCGATTTTCATTTTCTTCTGTTTGTTTTTCTTTCCCCCCCGGGCGAATCTTATATCTTATTCGTAAACCGCAGAGTTCGAGTTGTCTTGTGCAACCAGACTGTGTTGATAGAGGCGGTCCCAGCCTTTAAATTGGAAAAAGAAGCACGAAAAACGTGTACTTATACTTAACACTTGGAGCGACCAGACTTCAAAGCGCGAAAAATGAAGCCAACAATCGATTTCGTTGTATTTGATAACATGCGGGCACCACAGCGTAGTTGCGGCAAGATAATTTTGATACATAGCAAAATTCATGCTTCCCTAGAAGTGGAAGTGCTATAGGCAAACTGATCGATTATGATTCCCAGTCCAACGCAGCATCCCGGACCGGCTGCGTATGGAACCCGCCGGGGGGCGTTCATGTTTACCCAGGGGCACCAGCTTGGGAAGCCGCACTTGTCGCCCGGCGTCGATGAGGAAGATTTGGCTGCCGCTGTTCCCGATCGCACAACGGGTACTTCGAGCACCCGGGAAGATCTGGGACGTGGCCTAGCTGGAGGAGAGATCGAAGACGATAAAATCTTGAAGATTTACCGACCTCGACCTGGCGCCACCGACACGCAAGGTGGAGAACAACATGCAGAGTCGGTGCTGATGACGCCGAAGAAGAGTTATTCACCTTCGGACGCAAACTGCACCATAGCTGCAGTGGAAAAAGACGACTCGAGAGACTTCGCCCCCATACCAGCTAGTGCCACGACTGCGTCGGTACTGTTGCAAAGCAAGTTGAAGAGCTCAGAAGAATTGTGCGAGCGCGCCCGGGCAGCGATTCAAGCATCCCGACAGCACCTGCAGCGCCTCAGCACCCAACAGTACCCCGGTACGCCCACCGGACGGAAGCCGCACAGTTACACGACCCCCAGCAGCCGCAGCGCGTCTCCGAAAAAGCAGAAGTCCGCGGTCGGCGGAGAATTGGATAAAAAGGAACAACCCATTGAAACCGAAGCGGGAGAAGTTGAAGTTCTAGACGGAGATGGTGGGAGCTCGAAACGTGAGGTCGTGTACGGTGGAAACACAGAGGGAGATGAAAACGCAGGCAGACCGATACCGATGGAGCGGGGACAAGTCCTATCTTCAGAAACCGAAAATGCAAGCGCAGCAGCTCGCGGCCCTGAACCTGATACGGTCGTTGACCAGGCTGCGTTTTGTTCGCAAGTGAGCCGGTCTGTCAGTTCCACAAGTATAGGCTATCGGAAGAAGCGAGACCAAGCACCAGGAGGCGCAGTGGCAGCAACCTCGTCACGAGCCCAGAGGACGACCAGCAAGGGATTCACTCTTTTCTACCCCCCGTCACGAACGCTTTCTCGTCAGGCTCACGGCTCAACCAGCAGGCCGATTTCTTCCGCACGCATTGCAGGTCCGCGGCCATCGAGTGGTGCACTAGCAATTAACAGACCAAGGACCGCAATCACTACCAATGTGTCGCACCAGGTCGTGGACTTCCGATCTCCGCTACTGAAAAAGATCGACAAGCCGGTGCGTATTCCCGTCGACGCGGCTGGTTTTGGGGACACGAGCATAAAAGTGCCGCCCTTCGTTCCGAGTCGAGCGGCTTCCGCACAGGTGCGCCCGCCATCGCAAAACGGATGGGTCGTGCCACAGATCGCCGCCTCACCAGCCGTGCACATTCCGCCGCAGTTCGCATGGCCACAAACAGAAGCAGCCGCAGCGCAGAGGACGATTAACACGACGAACGCGTGGTCTAATGCTTACTCACGTGACGCGACTGGTCAAAGTAGTACGTCTTTGCTGCGCCAACAAGATGAACATGTTGAACTTGTTCCGGCGTCCAGTGGAAAAACTTCCGAAATTGGTGATGCTGAAGCTGCAGACTCGTCCTGTCGACAAAGTAAGAATGCAAACGGCCCGCTTGATGGTGCTGGACGCGATCGAAAGCAAGAATCGCAACACTACCGCAGGCCACAGAGCCCAACGACCTGCAGTCATGGCGGCAGCAAGAGCAGCCTCGCACGAAAAAGTGAGTTTCCGCTCCTGCGGTTTGCCTCTCCTCCTCTGAAGCGTTCTTTCGATCGCACGGTAGCAACCCTGCAAAGACGAGCGAGCTTAAAGGACCTGCAAGATGCCATCCGTACAAACAGCACGAGAGGCACGTCAGTGCTTTCCAAGGCAGCTTTGCACGGTGCGGGTAGTAGTACTGCGCGCGCTTGCACAAAGGAGGTTTCTACTTCCAGTAGTGGCTCCTCGCGTCTCTTCCAGCACACCAGTAAAAATGCCAGTTCCAACCATCCTTGGACAACGTTATCGCCGCGACCCCTGCGTGCTCCGTTTTCAACGCTGAAAATCCAGGCTCCGATGAGTGCCTCGGCTGTCTTTTCCGCTGCTGCCAGTGGGGCATCTTCAAAGGGTTCGTCGGGAGACACCGGTGCCGGCGCTCCTGCCGCTTCGGGTACTATCCTTCTCACCACCACCTCGACCACGGCGTCCAGTGCCAGTGCTGGTACAACGACTCGTCCCAAGGGCCGGCCCGCCGACAAGATGAAACCTGTAGACAAAAACCACGGTGAGTCACCGTCCGCTACATCGAACCCGCATGATCCTTTCGTAGCACACCGCACTGGAAAACCGCAACCGCAAACCAAAGTGGTCGTGGCTGAGATGAAACCTGCAAGTGTTAAACAAGTTGCGCACCAGCAACCCGCAGCCTCCTCTTCGTCGCGTTTCAATACGAAGAACCACGTCTCGCCCATCTCGACCAATCAAGCACCCTCGCGCGGGTCTGTTGTGACGACGATGCTGTATCCAGAGCACACGAATTCTACTTCTAGCGGCGCACAGGAGGAGACAGGAGCATTGCGCGCGAAGCCAGTACAGGCTCCGCAGGTCGCCGCGGGTCTCGGTGTAGTTCTTGCCGTCGACCACGCAGATCCAAATGGCGTGAGTGGGAAGGATGGGACACAGACGGTTGGAGACGATCCGCGTGTAGAGCAGTTCCTCGACAGCCTTCAACTAGACTCCCTGGACCTTCCGCCGGAGAAAATCGCGGCCCTGACAGCGCGCTCACGAAAAGCGTTTCAGAATGACGTCGCCGCACAGCGGGTGAGTAATCAAGGCGTCTTGATGAAGCGATCCAAAAGCGAAGTCACTAAGCAAGTCGGTAGTACTTCTAACCGTGCGTCCGCTACGGGCGAGACTACTTGCAATCGCAACAGAGGAGCAAAGACTAAACCGAAAGCGAGAGTGCGAGTGCCAATCTCGGCGGGCACCGTACCGGCTCAGCCCCAGCCGCCGAAGCAGATCGCACAGAAAAATAGAGCTGCCACCACCACACAGACTAGTCCCCGTGGACCCGCTGTGCGCGCCGCCGACGCGGCCCTGCCGCATCGAAAACCGCGAGTCCCGACGACTCGCACGGTGTATGGATTGCAAAAGTGTCTGGGTCTGGAAGAATGCATGTTTGTCATGCTTGTCTGGCATGACTCTTGAATCTGTCACGCACGTTGCCCAAGCGCTCCACTTTTCTGTCATGCAGAAACGCAGTTTGTCATGCAGAATAGGCAACACCTAGAAGCTCGGAAACTTGTCATGATGGGCCAGCACTTGTGGCCTCATCATGATACGCCACCCAGCATCACAAGTTTCCAGACCCAGACACTTTTACATTTGATACGGTGTCTCTCGGGACAACTGCGAACCCCGAGCTCGGGCAGGAACCGCGCATACCCCGCAAAGGGAACAGCAGAAGCAAGACAGAAGAAAAATCTGATGATCGCGCCGTCGTTGTGACTTCGCAATCGCATCAAGACTCAGTGTCGAAGAGATCTGTTGTAGCAGCGACGACTGGAGGTTCCAAGACAGCGAGAGAAGATGGCAGCTCCGGTACGAACAAAGTGGAAGTTTCACGCAACGCGGATTCAGCAGATCTGATGCTCCAGGAGCGCGAGGCTGTCATGATCGAACAGCAACAGCCGTGGCAGTCCTCTGGTACTGGTGCAGGAGGTGCGCGGAGTCCTGCTCACACCCGTCTTAACAAGCAAGCCGCGAGTACCATACAGGACTTGAAGCAAAGTGTTCTGGCAACGCTCCGCCATACGACCAATCCGCAGGGAGAAGACTTAAACTTCCTCTCCGAAACGCTAGAAAAAGCAATTGCTGTTGTCGAAGCGCAGAAGCCCAAGGGAAGTAATTGCAGCGACCTCGTGGAACTGCTTGCAAAGCGTGCCTGCAACTTCACCCACAAGGAGAACTGGAGCGACAACGCCGCTTCGCCATCTTCATCGTCCGCGGCAACATGTCCAGAGGGAGGGTTGACATCGGCACAACTGCAACCCGTAACGTTGTGCCGGAAAACCATGCGCATATTTGTGCACTGCATTTACCACATTTCCTCGGAGGTACTTGTTGGCTTGTACGGCTTGACTACGCGGTTTGTTTGTCCACGTTACGTCTGTCTGCTATGCTGTAGGTTTTTTGGTTGCTTATGTTTTGACTCTCCTATCCGTCTTTTCGCAGGTGCTCCGCTCGAGTATATTCGAGGCAGTCATATCCATGGTGGAGAATTGCAGCGTGCGCGGGGACCCACTTGTTGATCAGCAAGCCATGCTGGTTTTTGCAAATGGCCTCAAGGCCGGGAGAATAAGGATCGGCTTGTTTTCTCGTGCGGTATAATTGGGATTTAGCATTTTTCTTTTCTCATTTTTACTTTTTACCATCATTGACGGAAAATTCTATGGACAGCTGCAGACGCAATGAATTTTTTCAATTTTCCATTTATTAGGGTCATCGTCATACTCGTAACTTCGTATCACTTGCAACAGAAAATCAACTCCTGCACGACCAGGTGCGCTTGGCAGTGCAACGAGTTGGCCCCTGTAGAGAAGTGTGCTTTTTCCTCACTGAAGCGGCAACGAGGTATGGAAAAGAGTATGGGCAGATCTGTTTACGGTTGGGGTGCTTCCGACTATTGCAGCAAGTCCCCGAAGAATACCACGCTGAGCGGGACGTCGCAAGGGATGCAATTACAGTCGCAGTGCAGGACAGTGTGAATGTCAATGCCGTCCTCTTTCCAAATGCTGATCAATGATTCATGTTGCTCCCAACCCCATGATTTCATTTTCATTGCGCGCACCACAGTGCTTGCAAGAGCACGAAAAGTTTAAACTCGCTTTGACGTGCTGTTTTGTCTTCGTCTCAGCTACACGATATCGATAATCGGATTTGTGTGCCTGTCTGACCCGTAGTTTCGCACTAGCTCCTCCTGTCGACGTCGCGTCTGCTCATCGTACGACGGATAGTACTCGACTGCAACATGAGAGAGAGAGAGAGAGAGAGTGACAGAATTAAGACTCGTGTCGAGCTTCAGGTTCTCGAACTCTGGGTGGTGCGCCCTCGAGAAAAATACTGTACAGCATCACACCGTACACTGCTAGTTGTAGTTCTCTTGCACGTTGTAAAGGCAGTTGGTATTTAAGTCCGTGTGTCCAAACTACAACCCGCAGCCGCATCTATACGTTTTATCCACTGATGGAGTTGTCAGAAGCAGAAAAGATGGTTGCTCAACTCCGATCGGCGCACGATAGCAGTACGAAGCCGAAAAATATGTTCCTGCATGGCGCGACGGGGAGTGATAGTAGACGTGGATGCTCCACATGCGCGAAGTGGCGCTCGAAGTCCTCAAGCAACTCGTCCGGTCTGGGTCTGGCAGCGCCCTCCACAAGATCTGCAGCGCCGATCTTTAACACGCAGAGCTCGAGACTGCGGCAAAATTCTTCGCCGCGTTTTCGCTCTGCGACCACCAGCCGCGCCAGCTTCTACACGTCTGATACCCGTGCAACGAGTGGGCCTCGGTACCGGCTGTCTACTTCTACTGGCAGTGCCAGTGCTTCAACCGCAGCTGCCAGGAGCAGACCAAGGGAGCCCTGGAGTGCCACTTCCAGAGGGCGAAGCAGCTCTCGCGTCAACATCGGGCCGTTGCTGGACGCGGCTCCGCAACAGGTGGTCCCAAGAACACTCCACCAGCGTCCTTCGCAACGAAACAATCTGGCCCGACCTAGCTTTCTCGACGATGACTCCCTCGAAATACGCGGCCTCGTCGACCTTTCCGGTGCGGAAACTACGCCAACTACACTGCATTCTTCAAGTGCTGTGGAAATCAAGCACGAACAGCACACAAGTTTGCCGAGTTTTTCTTGGATTTTGGACGACGCCGCAGCGAAATTTCCACGAGGAAGCGGCGGGATACAGTTTGTACGTGGTAGCAGCGCTGTTAGCACAACGTCGCGTTTCCTGCGTTTTGTCATTCTCCTCGGAGTCACGCTCCTCATACTGCTTGGCGCTCACGGCTACTTTGAAGTGTGGACGCAGCAACTCTCCGATGCGTGCAGTGATGCCTACCTGCGCCTGTACCTCAATCGGAATACCAGTAGTGCACCTCCATCGCAAGGCGGTCAAGTGAGCGAGAAATTCGTTCGATTTCCTCCTCTTCAAGACCCACTTGAGGCCACCACGGCTCAGCGGGATCTAGGCAGCGCGACTGGGACTACAAGTGTAGCCGACGAGCCCACGACGAGTTGGAGTTCGAGCGCTGCGCTCCTGCTGACGGTGCCAACCTATGGCGCTTCGGAAAAGTATCTGAGCGACGTCTTGTCCCAGCTGGCTGCACGATCAGAGCAATTCGTAGCGGCGGTCTGGTGGCTTGGGAGTAGTAGCCTTTCAGCTACCCAGGCCGCTGTCAGGGCTAGCCTGGCGTGCAGTATCTTCTTCCTCGAGAAATCGCTGCAGCTTTTGCGGTGGGCGCATGACTCACTGTAGCTGGAGAAGATCTCCGACTAGGAAACGTCACCCTGGCACGTATGGGTTCGAGTCACCGAAACCAACGACCTTTATTTTACTTTTTGCAACTATCTCTTTTTACTCTGCGGATGGGATCTTGTAGTCTAGTTAACGTTTCATCATCTTGGTTTCAATGTACTAAAAAATGAGCTCCCCAGCTTTCCATTTTCTGATTCCTTATTTGTACATGTCCATCCGTCATCAAGAATGTCAAAAGCAAAAATAACTTACAAGAGAAAAAACTGAAGTATGACTCTTGTTTCGCTCTAAATGACATCGGACCTCCGAAAAGATATGTCCGGACCGAAACAGGCGGCCGCTCTCTTCGATTTTCACCCAAACGTAAGTTTGTAGCCCGTACACGCACTCTACAAAAGATACCAGAAGCCGAAAACGTCTGCTGACAAGCTCACGCATCGCAAGAAGCATCACTCAAAATTGCGTGTTCTCGTTCTCAACAACATGGAGATGGAGGTCCGATTACGCACGACAAAAGATGAGGACATGTTGAGGCGCTCCGCACGTGTTTACCTCTGCACTTTCTCCTTCTATCTAGATGTTTGATCAGTTTTTTGACTGCCGCCACAAAACGAAAAGTTGAGTCATGAAAACCGATTATGTCGATATGCATTGGCCGTGGTCTCCGATTTCTACGCTCGTCCTCTCTTAATAGAGGGTACAACGGCGGCCTGTGCGCGACTTGGTCACTACCGCTCAGTCGCCCCGCATGGTGGACATCAGCCGGCCACGACCGTCCGGCCAAAAGCGTCATCGCTGCGCCGACTCTGGATTCTCTGGAGATGACGACGACGCCGAGGCTTCGCGGTTACAATGCAACCTTTTTCTCCACAAGTTCAGCATCTCCAGTCCCAGATTCCGAGCCACCGCAGAGCATATCAAACCAGTCCCCTTCAAAAACATCGTCGACCTCCTCGCGGAACAATGGGCGCATCTTTCTCCTGAGCGGTTCGGCGCTCGCGCTGGTGGTGGCGCTCGTTCTAGCGGACAAGGGACGCCGGCGCAGTGCGTTGTTTTGGGCCAATGCGTTCCCCATTTATCTGCACTACCGCAGCTTGGACCTCGCTTATCGGCAAAACGCCGACTACGCCGCCTGGCTGTTCGGCGGGGATCGCGACGATGTGTTCCAGAGCTTGCACTACCGCTACTCCCCGCGAGTGAAGCGTCTCTGCCTCTCGCTCCGCGGCCTGTACTTGAAAAACGCCCAGTTTATGTCCCTCCGGGAAGACGTCGTGCCCGAGCCGTACCTCACCTGGTGTCGACAGCTGCAGCACGAGGCGCCGGTGTGTCTCACGGCAGAGGAGGCACGCAAAATCCTTTGCGAGGATCTGGAGAAAGTAAAAAAGCAAACGGACGAGAACGTCGGAAACCAAAGTAGTACAGGAAAGAGTGCAGGTGCACGCAATGTTGATCCAAAGGTATCCAAGGACGGTACTTTGGACATTGAAAAACAGTTCTTCGAACGATTGAATCTCGAAAAACCGATCGGCAGTGCGGCAATCGGCATGGTATACCGTGGAAAATTTTATACCGACGAAACAAGAAAAGGCACGGTCGATGTGGCAGTGAAGATCCAGGTCCCGGGGACCGAAAAGCTTTTTCGCTCCGACATGGCGACAATGCGGGCGTTTTGCCACTTGGCGTACCCCAGTTTCGTACCGCAGCTTTCCGAACTGGAGCAAATGTTTCTTACCGAGTTTGATTACGAACGCGAGGCGAACAACCTAAACAAGGTCCGCGCCCACTGGCTCGCCAGCTGCGCCCGTGATAATTCTAATTCATCCGCTGCAGCAGTGGCCTGGCAGGAAGCAGGAAGAGGCCTTTACCAGTTTCTCAACAGAATCCTCATTCAACCCCTCGCATTTCTTTGGCGAAAGCGTACAGTCCCAGCGATCTCGACGTCTGCACAAGAACAGCAGCATAGCCCAGCTCCGCGTCAGCAGGAGGTGAACGAGCGCCGTCAAAAAATAGTGGCGTTGGGAAGCGCTGACTGGAAACGAATCTACGTGCCTGAGGCGCTTCTGGCATCGAAAAACATTCTGGTGATGGAGTACGTGGAAGGGAACACACTGATCCAGGGACTGGAATTGCTGGTGCAAAAACTCGCAGACAAAAAGAACGTTTCCAAAGAACAACTGGAAGCGGAGTTGCGCGAGCGCATCCGCGTGGAGGGCTACGAGTCCTTGGCCGACGCGAAGGCGCGGTTCCAGCTCGCGAGACTGCGATACGGCGGTGACGTCGTGGCGATTAATCCGGCGGAGGTATTGGAGCGGCTCCTGCACTTTTTCTGCCGGCAGGTGCTGGTGGACGGCTGTCACCAGGCTGATCCGCACCCGGGGAACTACCTGCTGCTCCCGGACGGGCGCCTGGGTTGCATCGATTTTGGCCAGATGAAGGAGGTCCCGATCCGGAAACGCTTGGCCCTGGCGCGGCTGATCGTGGCGCTCGACGAAGGAGAGCGGGCGGTGGATGCTGAAGTTCGCGAAAAACACGACGCGGAGGCGAATCGCATTGCCGTAGAGGAATTGGGGGCCCGGTCGGACAAGATGAGCGACAAGCTGCGGCTTCAGGTGTTGCGCTTCTGGATGAGTGAGGACCATCCGGATCTGTACACACGCGGCGGAAAGGAAAATCTGGACTCCCTAGTGCGGCGCTGGCACCAGGAAGATCCACGCGGAACCATCGATGAGGACATCATCACTGTTAATCGCGCCGCTTTTATGATTCGCTCGCTCTGCATGCATCTAGGCATCTATGTGCGCCTCCTAGACTTCTGGCGGCCCTACGCTGATCAAATCTTGATGACACAAAAAGAAAAATAAACACCCAAAAACATATATACCAACAAATTAATAAGAATCATCATAACTTACTAAGACGAGCACTGACGACGATGAGCTACAACTACTAGTAGTACGCAGGAATTCCTGTTGAACAGTCTTGTATCTTCATGGAACGCAACGCATTGCGATCTTTCAAGTGCATCGCGGTTGCCAGTGTCGGTAAAAAATGAGAAACTTGCTCTTGTGACGCCGATGAAATGAAACAGAACAAGGATCACCCAAAATCAAAAAATCTCAGCCGAAGGCAAATAATCTTCATCTAGCCATGATCCTCAAATGTAAGTAGTCTCTTCGAGGCTCGCTTTATGTACTATTCGGATTCATGTATATAAAAATGAATTTGTATTGCTGCAGCTCGGTCCGTCTTGATGGCGATGGTGGCGCTTGCACGCAAAATGTCGGTGATGAATCGTCCTACTTATTAGAATCCACGAACAAAATGTCTATACAGTTTGAACAGTGCAGAAGCTTCTATCATACCTACTGCTACTGTACTTTATTATTTTGTGCAACAAGTAAACTCGAACTCTCAACAAAACCTGACAACTTTCCCAAAAATTAATCGTGACGGCGCGGCCAAGGAGCAACGTTCTAATATTTGTCATTCTTAACCTTAGCGCGCATCTTTATTTTCTGACGCTTAGAGGTAGTACAACTACAAAGATGAAGATCCTCATCCTTCTTATTTCGTCCTCCGTAGCCAGCATTATTTTTATCCAAGGAGGTCCTGCTGGGTTTTTACCCGTAGAAACTGCAGCAAGTAGAGGAACTTACCACCACTACAGCCAGCTACGGCAGCAAGAGCGACAAACCGCACACGACTACAACTAGACTTCACGAAACCAGATTTGTTATTTCCAACCTGACAGGCTAAGGCTATCAGTTTATTTATTGCTGCAGAGATCGCATATATCATTCTGTTTACAAAGATGATTATAAAGAACTACACTCCAAGCCGCTGGTCTCCAGGGCTGGTTGCCCGCACTATGTTCGTCGTCGCGTTCGAAGTTCCGATTGTCTTAGGCGTTCTTTTTTCGCGTGTGGCGGCCCTCTCGGTCTCGAGTGCCGGAGCGGCGTCGAAGTCGAACCATGTTGAGGTGCCGCAGATAAAGAACGTGTACTTCTACAAAACGAAGCTGACAGAGTACGAGGAGAGCGCGCAGCTGATCGAAAAACTCACGGCCCGCGACATGTATCCACAGTAAATTTTCCGTACACGTACAACTAAAAATGCACTTTCTACATGACAAAAAGCGTCACAAGCGGCATGCTCTAAGGTGGCGAGAAGTGTGATGAATTTTTTACATGTGCGGGATTAAATTGCATGTGGATAACATGGCGCTCCATCTTTCGCCGCTCCGATACCGCACCGGCATTCAGCAGAAAAAAGACGGTCTCGGAAAGTCGCAAAGCGAAAAGTGGTATGCTTCTCGCGCAAATGGTTGCTATCGTTACACTATGCATTGCAAAACAAAGTATCGCACTAGTATCCATTGCATCGCGAGTTTTCATTTTCTCGAGAACAAAGAAAAGCAAGGGCAACTTGTCATGTTAGTTCAGGTAGACAGTCGGGCTTGTCGTGCATGATTGCAATTACTACGAGTAGTGCGATCCTTTTGGAGTGCATATACATCTGGAAAGCGCAAACCGTTACAGTGCTGCCCGCTGTCGAGGCGCGAGGTTCTACGCTACCCAGTGTGGTCACGCTGTGGTTTCTCGTGGAGCTCTTGCTGGATGGGCACCACTACGACCACATCACCGGCAGTGCGGAAAGACGCTGGAAACTGGCACTACCCCAGGCACTCACAAAAGTCCTTGAAGCGCACCAGCACCAGCAGCCCCAGCCGCTGGAGACTCTTGCGGCTGCAATTCACGAAGGCAGTGCTGGGTTTACTCTGTTTGACGGGCAGCAGCTGCGCCAGCTAAGAAAGCAACCGATGAGAAGTGGTGGCAGGCGTCGAGGAAACGAACAACCTGTAGCGAGATGGCAACGCCAGGAGCCGGTAATCCAGAAAGAGGAGGTGCAGATTTTGAGCCGGCACTTGGCCATTGAGGCGGACCGCGCGTTTCAAGAAGCTGTGTTGGGACCAGAAGGAACAAGTGTCGGCCGCTCGGGCAAAATACCCCTTCGCAAGCGAATCACTTTCATCAGTGGCCCTCCTGGAAGCGGCAAAAGTGTACAGCTGCTTGCGCTTCTGACCAAGATCGAGGCAGAAGTACCGGAGGCCGTGGGCAAGGGCGAGATAGTCCTGCAGTACCACACCCAAAGCGAGCGGCTACGGCAGGACATTGAGACTCGGCTGCAGAAGCAGTGCGCTGTAGTGCCCGAATCTTTCTCGGGCTCGGACAACTCGTCTGACGGCGAGCAGAAAGCAGATGGAACAACTTCAAAAGAGGCTATGCTAGTAAAACCGGCCCAGAGACACGGAATCTCTGTACAACCCGGGCCACTTAAATTGTCGGCACTGTCACCGTATGCGCTGCAAATATGTCTGGGGCTGGAAGGATGCGAACTTGTGACGCGCGCTTCACAGCACACACAATTCTCCCATGCATTGGCAGCAAAAGATGTCCGCTGCCACTTCCTGTCGCTGTCACCAAAATGTGGGTGATTTGTCATGTCGATTAGGCGTTGCGGCAGCTTCTCGAAATGTGTGACGGTACTGCTTCCATGACGGGCCCTCTATGTCATGTAAAAACAGGAACAGCATGACACTCTTCCAGACCCAGACATATACTTATTTGCAATGCATAAAACGAAGCAGGAGGAGAAACTACTTGCCGCGGTGGAGAAACAGCCTCTCCACGATTACCAGGGCGCGTCGGAGTACAGAAGTAGTTGGGGCAGCCGCGGCCTTATGCATTGCAAATGTGTCTCGGTGGAGCTGGAGGGTTGCAACTTGTCATGCGAGATCTCGATCACAAAAATAAGAAAATCTGTGTTGCATGAACGCCACGAGGTACCCACTTCTTGTTAGGCAAAAGTCGGTTTTTTTATGCGGCAACATAGGCATGGATGACGAAGGTCTCGCAAAGTCTGTGATGCTTTTGTGTGCATTCCAAATCATCATCGTGGACGTGGTCCGCCTCCTCAAGATGCATGACAAGTCTTGCATTCTTGGAGACCCGCCAGACGCATTTGCACTTGATAGGCCTTCTAGATTTGTATCAGATGACTGCCGCCATCTGTTTTGACCTAGACCTGTTCGCACAAGAGCAAGACGGACGCCTGCGCGGTCCTCGGAAAAAGTGCAAGGAACGCATCGAGAGTAGCTTCTCTCGGAAGGTCAACAACATGGCTGCGCATCTCGGTGACAACTTCGCTTTGCATCTGGCAGGCGCGTTTCTGGCCTTTTCCTTTTGGCGCGACTCCGCCCAGAAAACTGCGCCGGGCCCGTTGACACGGTGGTCGAAAGCCTACGAAGGAGACAGCTCCTTTGTGACGAACCTCAGAAGGATCTTGAAGAGTGCGCAAATAGCTTACATCGCGATCGACGAAGCCCAGAATCTCTCGCCAATGGCCTTGGCGCGCTACCTCGACTTTGCCCGGCGAAGCCCTACACTCCGCCTAGTTTTCGCGTTTGACCAGAATCAGCAGCTTTTGGGCGGTTTGAACGACAAGCGCCTGTTCGTGCGCGAAATGGTGAAGAGCGACTTTTATTCAAAAAATAAAGAAAAAGAAAGCGATTCTGGTGTAATCTGGGAGGCCCAGCTTCCGGGGGTCTGGCGCTCTCCGTCACGCCTCGTGCCGGTTCTCCAGGTAATTGCCACCATGCGCCAATGCTTAACGAGCCCGCGTACTGGTGGCGCGGGTCCAGACCAGAAGTTTCATAGCGCCTACGAAGAGCGCGAGGACGTAGAGGGTAGTGCGAACAGCGACGGCCCCGTGATCGTGGCGCTTCATTTGAACAAGGACCAGGTTAGTTTTGCCGATATCAAGGAGCACTTTGAAGATGGCCTGCAGGTATCGGAAGGTGAAAGCGGTGCCCGGCGTCGTGCAGGGGGTACAGGAGTGGCGCGAAATGCGCAACGCACGAAGAGGATGACTGTGCGCAAGGGAAGTCGGATTTTGAAACACAAAAAGAAGGCAGGTGGCGCCCGCGTGCATCAGCGGCGTAGGGTAGCAGTGAAGAGTGAACGGAAGCGGACCGTTTTCGGGCGCGCGGCATCTTCAGAGGGAGAGCCTGCGTCTGCGAACACCAGCAGCACTAACGCTAAGGTCGACACCCTCGACAGCATGCCCTGGATCTACCTCGATGAAGACGGGGCGAAAAAGTGGGACAGCGATGCGACCAGCCTTTCGGCCCTGCAGGCACAAGGCCAAGAGTGGCCCATCGTTGTTGTCGCGGACCCACATGAAATCCTGAGTAGTCGCAATGACGGCCCGGTCGCGGTGCGCGAGCGTGCAGACGGGCTCGCCAAGCTGTTTGTCGCACTTTCACGGGCGACAGAGCGCGTTCTCATATTGACGAAAAATCCGGTCCGCCTGCAGGAGGCTCTGGGTCTCTCCGTAGGGACGCAAGACTTCGCGGTAGCGAAAAACGCTGCGCAGCTCAGAGAGATTCTGAAGACAACGCGGCGCAGCGCCCGCACGTGGGTAAGCTCCTTCGCCGAGTATTTGGCTAACGAGCAAACACAGGAACAAGCAAAAGCCAGCTTTGCAAAGCACCTGTTCGACGGCGAAGGCGGCGCGGCAGGGGAGCGCCCCGCGCACTGGCGCAAGAAGTTCCGCGCGTTTGGCGACAGGTCTCTTGACTGCATTGTCGCGAGGATGCTGCGGGGCAAAGCCTCCTGGCATTTCGCGGAACGCCCGCTGGATGCCGCGTGGAAGGTGTTTCGCGATTTAGTAGCCGAGCAGGACGAAGCAAAGCGCATGGCAGACGAATCCTGGTCCTGGGTTGTGGAAGCCGGGGAGGCGGCAAGCTTTCTCGGGTTGCAGCGTGATGAGACTTTCAAGCAGAGGAACCTGGCGAGTGAGGAGCTTGCTGGCGAAGGTGATGGTGGCCGACCTGGCCCTGCATCCGGGCCACCCGGCGGGCAAGGTCCTGGCGGCGGAAACGCGGGCGACGAGGCGGGTGCGGCTCGTGAAACGGCGCCTGTGAATTTGCTGCAGCCAGGGAAAATAGTCACTATTCATGGGCTCGTATCGAAACCGGAGCTCAATGGCAGATTAGGGCAATTGGGCCCCTTCTTCCGCGACAAAGGGCGTTGGCAGGTACGCCTCACCTCTGCTGCTGGAAGGCAGGAGCTGAGCATACTATTAAAGCCCGATAACATAAGCGCGGTGTCTGTTTTTATCGAGCCCGCAATTCCAGCGGCGCGCACGCACTGTGAGTGGGTGCGTGGGTTCTTCGCTCAGACGCTTTGGCTTCAGAGCATTTGGAGTGGGCATACGGAACATCTAAAGGCGGAAAACGCCACGTCCATCCTCACAGCCCTCACAAGTGTTTTCCATTCTCGCCTAATGGCGTACAAGGCCGATGTGGTTGTGGATGTCTATACTTCGCAGATCTATTCAGCGAGAAGATGCTTTCCCCGGCTAGCAGTGGCACCCGAATCAAACGAAATTAAGGAGGCGCGGCTGCTGTTGAGCAAGCAAGCGAGGACAAAAGCAGAGCAGCCGGCGACCGGAGCGCTCGGAGTTCAGTATCGGCCGCATCACTGTGGTTTTAGCGTCGACGTTGACATGGTGGGACGGGTACAAGATCTAAAAGCAGCGGTGGAAACAGAGCTCCCGAAATGGACGAAAGAGCTAAAGGGCAGCTACGGCGAGGACTACGCAGATGAGTTAGACGGCAAGCTACGGGGTTTCTTCCATGAAGAATTTCAGCAGCTCCGCGAGATCGCGATTTTGGAAATGGCGCACCTGAACGACCCTCTTCAGTCCGAAGCCTACCCGCCGGAGGCCGCGAAGCCACTACAAGCTGTCCGCCTCTCCGGCCTTCTAGGTTCTCCGGAGCTGAATCGCAAGACAGGGCTCTTGGGGAGCTTCAATGCACAAAGCGGGCAGTGGGCGGTGGAAATGATTTCCGAAGGCGGTCAAAAAGTCGAAGCATTGTTCAGGCCCGAGAATATTGAAATCACCGACAGCACAAATTTCCGAGAGGTCGAACAGCCAGCACAAAAGGCCAAACAGGCAGGGCGAGGGGCAGCACAACAGGAAAGGCCGGCGGTGGCCGATCGTCCGGTACCGAAAAAAGGTAAAAGCAAGAGGAGGCCGCGCTCCCGCAACGGAGAGCGACCCCCCCCCTCCCGCAACGGAGAGCTCCCGCAACCGGGAGTTTGCAAGGGCGGGCCGACGTTAGCGGGATGGGAATCCTTGCGTACGTTACAGAATCGCGGATGTGCAGTAACGATAAATGGGGTACCGGCACCGGTACCTTAAGCCCGGTGCGGACTTGGCGTTTATGTTTGTGACCCCACTGCTCAAATAATTGCTTATTCTTATATTCTACTCACTTTAACAAAACTAACACCCATGGAGTCATGACTTTTCCTTTTCCCATTCTTTCAAACCCAGATTCGATATTGGAGGACATTCAGAATGATTCGAATTTCTTCGGTCTCTCGGTCAGTCGGGTTTCTTCAATCTTTGTGTTCAATCCAATGTTTGTTTATTGTTTGTTGAGGATGGTCATATGGTACCGGTTGAAAATTGATCTTTCTTTCATTCTTGTCATATGTCTAATGTTATTTCAAAAAAAATGATGATTGTTATAAAAGAATAGAACAGAATTTGAAAGAATAACATTTTAAAAGAATAGAATATCATCATCTCCTCATCATATCTATTTATATTATCTCTGGAGGAGGATGGGAATTCCCAAAAAAAATAAAAATTTTCCAAATGATTTATTTATCTCGAATTATATAATCTAGATTATTTTTAATATGAAGATATGATGGAAAAATAATATATTTAAGATGTCAAATATCCAAAATCCAAATTCTTTCATAAATATCCCAAATATATTTTTCGAAATTTCCGATAAATTTCTTTCTTCGCAATTCTTCTCTCAATCTCATCAATTTTAGGGTATTCTCTACCAGATTATTCCTATCCTCCCCAACCATAGATACATATCATATCAGATTCCATAAATCGAAGATGATAATAATCTCATCTATTGTTCTCATAATATTCTTGATCTGAAAAGAAATTTAAAAAATATATCATTCTATCTCATTCTCTCCGGATTTTTTGAAAATTTTTTTTTTTTTTTTAAAAAAAATACAAACCACAAAAATAACGCAGCGAAATATCACATAGACAACTTCAGATCGGAAAAAGAGGTGATCCAGGCTCGTCGTCCTTGTTCTATCGCGGCATCGTATTCGTGGTTCGTAAGTGCCATCTTACCCCTTCGTCTTTCGGCTCCAGATTGCTTGTCCCTTCTCGTCGCGACATGCTGCAGTTGTTCACATGGTCAGCAGGCGGTGAGTCACACCACCGAGTTGCCTTCAATCTCGTTGTGCAATCAGTTGGAGGGCAACGGGGCCAGTTCCTTGGCTATAAAGTGGCTAAATTTTTCGGGATTTTTTCAAGACCCCAGGGCGCAGGTGGCGCCGGGTCTGGTCTGGTGGGCCCTCCGCCTTTGGCAATGCTTTTCCGCTTCCCCCGCTTGGGCCGCTTCTTCCGGCCCAATTTGCTCCGGGGGGCCTTTGGGGCAGTGGGCCCGTGGCTTCTGCCGCCGCCGGGTTTTTTGCGTTTGGCCCCGGGCCGGGTTTTAAAATTTAAAAATTTGCCCGGTTTTCTGTTGAAATGCGCCGCCTTGGTATTTTGCTCAAGTTCCCGGTGGTGGTATGCCGGACATTTTGCGTCCCGCAAAATATCTGGCCGCTTCGTCATGTGTGTGGTGGGTTGGGGTATTATCTCGGGAAGAGCATGCTCGAGATGGCGCGCGTCGCTATCTCGACCATGCCATCTGGTCTGGTTCTGTGAGCGGTGTTCTGCATTGCGCCCTGCGGGGCAAGATATTTGTAGTTCTGACAACGTCGGCCTTCGTCATGGGATTCTTGTTCTAACTCCGGCTTTGGAAGTTTAGAAGTCGAGATGACTTCTGTTCTTCCAAAGTCGCGGGATTCACACTTTTTCATCTGCGAAATCCGTGGCTAAATCGGCAAAGTGGGAACTTCCTTAGGGAAATCCCTGTGCTGCCGAGTTTTGCCGTTCGGAGAGCAGATGAAAGAGGTGTGGATCCCGAAAAAGTTAGAACAAGAATTAGAGGGTCGATTTAGAACGTGATTTAGCCGGGCGATTTAGAACAAAAAATAGAAGCCGATTTAGAATAGGATTTAGCGGGCTGATTTAGAACAATATTTAGCCGCCCGATTTAGAACAAAACTTTGCCGCCCTCGGCTAAGTCATTGATTTAGCCGCGGGCGGCAAAGCTCCTTGAAGCTTAGTGTTGGGTCGATGATGGGGTGGGCGCAAAGTTTGAAGCCCACAAACGGGGTAGGCTCTCACCCATATCCGGGCTCCGCCCGGAGTTTCATCGGGATCGGCTTCTGTTTGGGTCTGTCTTTCCGGGGGTAAGGGTTTTCCGTCTTCGTGGGTTTTCGTGTTCTGTTGGCAATTGGGCTTCGTATGTTCCCGCGCGCGCCTTGTCCGGGTTGTTATGCGCAAGCCGCTTGCACCTCCTTGGGGCTTTTGTTTTCTCCCACCCGCTCCGATCGGGTGTTTCCTTTTCGTGCGATAGCAACTCCACCGGGCCCATTTTTCGCTTCGTGGATTTTTCAAAAATCCCGAAGAAATTAGCCACAATTTAGCGGGCGAAATCGCCCCGCGTCCTCCAACTGAGTGCAAGAGAGTCGACAACTGTAGTGATGCAACAGCACAGACGCTGTGTTGCTCTTCCTTTTTTCGGTGGTGATTCTGTACCTGATCCGAGTGGCCCATTGCCCCGCCCCTCACGCCTAAAAAATTAAGCCTAAAGGCCGGGAAATCTCGAATCACAATTGCGTGAGTTTTGAAGAAGCAACTTTTGGGATCCTGTTTTGCCATGACATGCATGGCTGGGCGCAGCGCGATGTTGATGGTCCTACTGGGGCTTGACAGTGTGGCAGCGTGACTCCTGAGACCTTAGAGGGGTGAGGCAACATCAACCCTCCTACACAGTCGATCATGAGTGAGAACTTCAACACCGCAGCAACTCAAGGAAGGGAGCAGAAGCCGGGCGAAGAAATTCACACCCGAACTTTAGGTCTCCTGTTTTGGGTCCATTTGTAAAGAAATAAAAAGCAACACGTTGGGGCCTTTTTTAACGTTAGGAGTCACGCACTAGCGACATCTTTATCTTTGCCCTTCCTTTGTGTCCCCGCCCGAAAAAAAAAATGCGAGCTAGTAACAGATAGAGAATGTCGTTGAGTCTGTTGGGGCATCAGGCGTAGTGGACATCTAAGCTACCTACTCCATTACCCCATCCTTTGCCCCAACTGTGGAATCCGTTTGGTTTTGTGTGTTGCTTTAGCCAATCGAACAACGAGCGCTAACGCTGTAAAACCGCGATACACAAACAGATATCGAAATCGAGACTCTCTATCCTGCTCAGTTAGCCCTCCCCATACGAACCTCTAGGCGATGTAGCTGATTTCGCTCGACAGACTGCAGGAAACACTGTTCCTCTTATCTTATTGAAAATTATTATTACAGACCTGAAAGGAAACGCCTTTCTTGAAAATTATTATCTCAAAGAAATGGAGAAAAATGAAGGAAGTGATATGATATATCCAAATTATGATATATACAAATATTTTTTTTTTTTTTTAAACATACAAGTCACAAACTATCTAAAAACAGCGAGTTAGCACATAGACAACTTCAGATCGGAAAGTGGAATGATCTTGGCTCGTCGTCGGTCCTTGTTCCTTCGCGGTTCTCTATTCGTGGTTCGTAAATGCCATCTGACCCCTTCGCCTTGCGGCTCCAGACTGCTCGTCCCTTCTCCTCGCGACAATGCTACAGTTATTCACATCGGTCAGTAGGCAATGAGTCACGCCACCAGGTTGCCTGCGTGCTCGTATGCTGCGCAAAAGAGGCGACAACCATAGTAGTGCAACATCGCTCGCGCTACGCTGCTCTTCCATCTTTGGTGGTGTTTCTGTACCTGTCCCTAATGCCCACAAAACCGCCCCGCACGCCTCTAGTAATTCCTAACGAGCGGGAAACAACACTCATACTATGATATATACAAATATTATCTCATAATATGATAATTTTCTTCCGAGATTCAGAAATAATATCAGATTGAGATGAAATCAATTGGTTATCATTAATATGGAAAATGAAATTTGATTGATATATCCTCAATTAAAGATTCTCTCACATTTCTCTTTTTTCTCTTCATGTCGAGAGAGAATTATACATTCTCACAGACTTTCTAAATCACAAACTCAACCAGACATACATTCCTGGAAAATATTAACCTTCAATCTCTCCTGGGACCTTCAATTTTTAATTTTGTCCATATCAAATCTATGACAACGACACTATGAATCATTATTAATAAAAATCTGTCACTCGAAATAAAACGTTTTCCCATGAGCAAAACGTTTTCCCATGAGCACTTCGCTTTTTCGATTTTTTCCACACGAGATGATGAGGAAAAAGAAACGGATCATGATGGAAAAAGAAAATGAAACAATATCAATCTTCTGAGCCCAAATCTCCTCAATCCTTTGTGGGTATCTCAACGACTACTCGAACTGAAATAGCGCATTACTTTGTTGTGTCAATGAGGTCCAAAATCTTCTTCCCAATTCCGGTCGATATATTCGAAATATGAGCAATGTATCGAGTATTTCAGAAATTGAATTTGAAAGTTGTGAGAGAAGCTCCGTCACATTATTGTTCGATTCGGAGACCCACCGGACCGCGGGCGACCTTGTTCGTACCAGAAATCTTTTTTATTCTACTATTATCCAAACATCACTCTCATCTCCATCATCACTACCATCTTGCAGGCAACGTGTTGTTCGTACCTTTGATCTTGTCGTGCAAACTCCGTGATCTTTTGGCCGTTCTGTGTACCCCTCCGTGCGAATCGTTTTATCAACGTCGGTCATCGTTTTTCCTAGTTCGCATCGTTTCCGCATGAGCATGTTGGATCTGCGCTTTTCTTTTCATTGATATTGCATTGCCACTGCTTGTCGTCGCCACCTTCGATTTCATACACGCAGCACTGGTTCCTGTCAACGGACCAGTTCGAAGCTGGTCGTCGTCCTTTTTTGGGCGCGCAAGTATGCAAGCACGGAAATGTTTCTCGCTCGGTGTTTAAAGCGCACCGCGGTTCCAGCTCGCCTTCCACTGCACGGGTATCGCCTGACCCTCCTCCATATCCGCCTGACCCTCCACTGATCAACCTGATACAGATACAGAAAATTCTTTCGCTTTCGCTGCTTGGTGGGCAGCTGTGGCCTCGATCGACAGGGGCAGAGAATACCAAATGGCAGTGTAGACGCTAACCTGGGCAGGAGGACATGCCCACTAAGCTACCTATTTGTATTAGTCTCTTACGATTTGTGGCCAAACTCTGCCTGAACCTAACCAAAGGAGAAAGGGAAATGAGAAAAACTGACTTCGGGATATCTGCCAAGGAGGGGAAAGACGACGAACCATCCTCCGCTGTCGTATCCTGCGTGGAGTGGTCCGTATGCTCCGTTTCGCCGTCCGGCGCCAGAACGAGGTTTTCACCCCCCCCCCGCTTTCTTCAGCGGGTGCTCGTTCGCGGAGGCAATGTCAAGCTTCATCGCTCCCGCCACCAGCAGCATCGCCTTGGACTTACGGTGGCAGCAGGACCGCCCCGCTCCGCCTGTCAGCGGCTTTCCGCACTTCTTCTTCTCAAACAAGGCAGCAACGGACATCATCTTTGCGATTTTTGTGAGAAGAACCGACTGCAAAGCAAAGAAAAGAATTACGAGAAACGCAGTCACATGTGTGAAGAGTTTCTTAATTGAGCACATGACTTTGCTCCTAAAAGTACGCGAAGCGCATGGTGCTTGCATGTATTCATCAAAGCCAGGCTCGGAAACTAGACCAGACGCATTCCTGGAAGGTAAGCTTCAGTGTCTCGTCTCTCCAAACTCTCAGGTTGTCCATGCTCTGAAGGTAAATAGCAACTCCTGCACTTTTGCACGCGACTACACGTTGGTTCAACACTAGACGAAAGCTTATCAAGAAAGGTGAAACCAGTGGTGACTTCAATTGCGTAACAACTGGCGAGGGCGACGCAGACTGTCCCGTCTTGAAAATAAATTTGTCACCATTCCTCGTCGAAGGAAATTTTGTACAATGAGAATCTGGAAACGTGTCGTGACCAAATACCACTTCCTGTCGCTGAAGATTGTTTACGATCCTGTTGCTGATATTTCCATACACGCTGTTTACAAGTTATCTACCTGAAGCTGAAAATAAATATGAACAAAGTTTGCTGAAAAATTCTAAATACGAGCTGTGCTGATAGTGAAAAGCTGAATTGTATACCATAAAAAAGTGTTGAAGGATAAATAACAAAGTTTGGGTTCTCCAGAAAGCGGGTCACATTTGGTTGTCCGGGTGAAACAAAGCAAAATTAATCGTACAAACCGCTCTCCCTCGACAAAGACACGATCCATAGTGGTAATCAAAACCTACGAAAAGTTTGTGAATTGTATACGAAAAATGGCGCTGTGCGGACAAGAGAAGGACCACTAGGTGCAGACGGCGCACTTCTAGGTACTTAGTTTAGTCCAGCTTCATCCCCTTTAAGAAAGCCTTTGCCTCGCCCAGAGCCTCAATCTCGCCGGACATGTGCTCTTGGCGGATTTCGAAGTTGTCGAACAAGAACTTGTATCAAGTGCAAATATGTCTGGGTCTGGAAGATTGTCACGCCAGTCTGGCATGACTCTGCACTCTGTATTGCGTGGCCGCCAAGAGGTCCTCCTGCCTGCCGTGCAAAAGCGCAGCTTCGCATGCGAAATACGCATCACACAAGCACGAAAAAAGTTGTCATGCGAGGCGGCCAATTGCAGAGCACTCCACTTACTTTTCACGGAGTTGCATCAAAAGTTTCCAGACCCAGGCATTTTTGCATTTGATAACTTGCAGTCGGACTTCCACTGGTCCAGCGCCGCGGTCTCGGCCGTGTGGCTGTCGGTCGTGAATTTCTTCTTGTCCGTCGTCTCTTGCAGCTTCTCCTCACTGCTGGCCTTCTCTTCCGTGAGCTGGGCCTTCAGCGCCTTCTTGTCCTTGATACTGTCGTTGGAGTTCTTCACGAACTTTTCGTACCTGAGAGAAATTCGAATTTCAGCATTTTTTGACTCGTTGCATTGAATTCACCCAAAACATGTCATGGTTAACATGTCGTTCCCCATCAAGAGGAAAATCGCGAAAAGTAAAACGGGGCGTAGTTTTTGTAAAATACTCTTTCTGCGACGCCTTTTCCTCGGCGATGCGGAGTTCCGCGGACTTTTATCAAATGCAAAAATGTCTGGGTCTGGAAGATTGCAACTTGTGATGCTGCGTTTGGATTCCAAAAAAATCTGTATTGCATGAGCGGCAAAGGAAATGTGATTTTTGATACGGGAAGAGGGCACTTGTCATGCGGAATAGGCATCAAGAAGCCCTCAAAAAATCTCTGATCCTAGGGCATGCATCACAGACATCATGGCTCATGCAAAACTTGCATGACAGGTCTCAGATCTTCCAGACCCAGACATTTTTGCAGTTGATAACTTTTCAGTATCTGCGATGATAGTGGCGATCATGGACAAGACCTTGTTGCCGCCGGAGGACTTCTCGTAGGTCTTGAAGGTCGGGCTCTGCTGCAGCAGCTTCGGGGCGTACACCTTGGCCAGCACCTGTTCGGCCTTCTTCAGCACGGCAATGCTGTCCTTTTCATCCTTCAGCGCGACCTGGAAGTCCACGTTGGCCTGCTGGCGCAGCGCGGAGGCCTTGGACAGCTGCTCCTCGGCCTCCTTGATCTCCGCCGCGGTCTGCTCGATGTTCTCCTTCAGCGTGGCAATGGCGGCCTCCAGACGCTCCATCTCCGCGCTGAGGTTGGTGATTTCGTTGTCGAGCTTGGTAACGACCTTGGTGCGCTCGTTGATCTCCTTGGTGCAGGTGTCCCGCTGCTTGACGTCATCGGCCATCTGTGCCTTAATGTCCTTCACCAGGTCGTCAATGGCGTGGATGACCGGCGCGAAAGCATCGGACTTCACCTGAGGTAAAGACAAACATTGATGTAGTCACCCGGTGGGGCAGGAGAGATAAAAAAATTTTGCAAGTGCAGCTTCATGATGTAAGAGTGCATGTGCACATAAGTAGAGGTGCTGATGTCAGGTGGATTTAATTTTAAAAAACATCCTTATTTATTACCTTCTGTGCCAAGCTGAGGATCTCCGGGTTTCCGTACTGCTGGCCAGCCCTGCGCAGCACATCGCGCGCCTTGTCGGCAGAGTCCGAGGCAACCTGCAAAAAGCCGAGGGCCTTGCCAAAGAGCTCATGGGCTTCGTCGCTGTTCAAGAATTCCAGGGCCTTACCGACAGCGGCAAGCTCCTCAGCGCGGGACTTCGAGCGCTCCGAGTACTCCTGCTCATTCTGCGTGCAGGTCTCAGTGGCTTCGGCGAAAGTATGGAAGGAGAGAAGCGCGACAGGAAATCCACGTCATCATTATTAATGCAAAACTGAACTAAACGATGGCGCTGTCGTCTAGCGCTGTGCCTGCGAAGCAACGCTGAACGCAACAGTATTTCGATAGCTAAGTACTACATCGCCTCCAGCCGACCCACGTTCAATCTTAACTCTACTAACGAACTTTCCTCCGCCGCTTCTCATTCCGTAAAGGAGCTGCGTGTCCTTTTCCAAAGAGTCCTCGCAGTCCGCTTTAGTGGCCTCCGAGTCCGCCAGCTTGGTGGTGGCAGCCGCGAACTTTTCGTTTTCCTTGCCCAGCTGCTCGGTGTCGCGGGCAATCTGCTCTTCCTTCAGTTTCTTCAGTTCGGTGAACTGCTGCACCGCCGCGGCCTCCTCTTCCTCGGCGGTCTTGAGATCAGCATTGAAGGTGTCCAGCATGTTCTCGAGAATTCCAAAGATCTCGCCCGACTGCGAGCTGTTTTTCGATGTTTCGGTATTTTCGACAAACGCGAGATTGCAATTTAGCTTCACTAAGATACACGAATTGAAAATCATACCTTCAAAAATCACAGCGGCAATATCAACTTTCTTCGGTAGAAGATATACCTGTAAGCGGAGAAGCTGGGTTGCTGGAGAAATTTAGACAGAGCGCGCTTCTGCTGCCCGGAGATCTCGCCGAGATGTCGGCGGTCGAACAGCTCCATGTTGCTCATCAGGGTGTCCCGCACGGACTTGAATTTCGAGTCGGTCTGCAGAAAGCTCTGGTGCTTCTTCAGCACCGTGATAGCGCTCTTCAGAGCCCCGATAGCCTGGACCATCTCCTTGGTCTCTTCCGTGAAGGCCGCGAGCTCTTTTGCTCGCATCTCTGTTGCTGTTTCCAAATCCTGTGTGTCCTTGGCGATGCGCTCCTCGAGCTCAGCTTTTGCCGTCTTTGCCGCGGCTTTGGCCCCGGTGGCCTGCTCAATGTCGGCCGTGGCTTTTGCAATGCACTTCTTGTTATCAAATGTAAAAATGTCTGGGTCTGGAAAGTTGGAACTTGTGATGCTGAATTTGGATTCCAGAAAAATCTGTATTGCATGAGCAGCAAAGGGAATGCAATTTTTGCTACGCGGAGAGGGCATTTGTCATGCGGAATAGGCATCGCGAAGCCCTCAAAAAATCTGTGATGCTAGGGCATGCATCACAGACATCATGGCCAAGGCAAAACATGCATGACAGGTCTCAGAATCTTCCAGACCCAGACATTTTTACAGTTGATACTTGTCGGTTTCGATTGCCTCGGCAGTCTCTGCTTTTGTTGTGTCGCACCAGCAACCCATCTTCTTAAAGGTGCTCTCATCCTGAAAAGGGAATTTTGGGAGCGGTGCTTCAAGCTCAAGCTATGCCTACCCATATGAGTAGTCGCAAATTCAACATCAACAGAAATTTCGCGTATTTAGAAAAGGCTGACGTGTCAAACTAAATGGCGCGGAGATCTTCGTGTAGCCTAAATTTAGAAGACAAGGTACCTCCTCGCCTTCTGCCTCCAGTTGCGCCTGCATGTCCTTCAGAAGCTTGATCACCTTGGACACTGGTCTGCTCTTCTCGGACGCGGCGGCCAGGCCAGCCATGGCCACGGCAGACGAAAGGACAACCCGCATGACCACTGACTCAGTCCTAGCACCGGTAAAGCAGCACACACAACTTCCCTATCACTGTCTACTGGCCGCCTACCTCCATATAAAATCAAGTTCTGGTGTGAAAGATCTACTGATCAGATATCCACGATGGATGGGATCGGATCGAACAAAAGTAACGGTGAAAGGAGGTCCACAAGGTACGAAGTGGCTGAAAAAGTGAACGCGGCCAGTAAAACAGGCGAAGTAAGAACGGAGATCAAGCAAAAATGAACATGCGATTACAAAGGGCAAAAGAGAAACTGCATCATGACTGTGTCGCAGTATCGAGTCTTTGTTCGATTGCGGCTGCATTTTCGGTGTATGGCACGTCCTTCACGTTTGCCTTTTGGGTTTCGAGCAAGAACGATGCGACAGTTTTGTATCTGCGTCTTCAGTGGTCGATCACGACATGTCGCGACGAATATTGCTATTGGACAGATCCTTGTTATTCTTTGTGTGCTTACGACCTGTTTAGGACGTTTGAATGTGGTGCTGTTGCCAGCATAGTTCCTGCTATTCCTATTCATACTAATACCTGTCGTGCTACGCTCTCTCCTTCTCCAACGAAGACGTTTTAGCGTCTGGTCCGCCCGTACCGAAGATACATTCGATGCCGTGCCCGGGGTCAGGCGAGAACGATCTTTATGAAGCCCAAAAACGAAAATCAAGCCCGGATTTTGAACTCCGTGGCCCCCTTTGTTTGCGCGGCAAAAATATCAAAACAAATGCTCTCTTTTTACCAGCCACGCCGACGCGTTACTTCGTAAGTGGAAGCAAGTTTCTCAAATCATGCAAGAATTTCAATTTGGAATCGGCCCCGCTTGATTTGCGACCGCCGATCGTTGCGACTGCATACTTTCACCACACGCTATGCGCGCCCCCGCATTTCCGGTTGTTTTCGACGTCTTGCCGATTATCCAAAAGAAAACTTCCTTCATCAGGAAATCCCGGCCGTGCCAGTCTGATTTATGTTTCTGTTGCTTACTTCTGCCAAGCAATCACAATTTGCCTATGCGCTTCAAAAAAGATGTTCCGAATCCGAAGACCGACTTTGAACACTGCAGGATATTTCTTCATGCAGCAGTGTCTCCTGTCTGTCTGGTGATCAAAAAGCTCTTCGACGGAAGCAGCTACAGCGAGCTGCGTCCTATTTGCACCCGTCAAACATCAAACCCAACTGCATGTCTCTTCAACTACAAGTACACCCTCGCGCATGCATTAGTTCTGCGCAGTATTTCTGACGAAAGAAACTCCATTGGATATCGTTGACGCCTGTTTCGCTATTGTCGCCACGACCGAGATCGTCCGGATCCGCGTGCACCATAACGAGTATGCAAACGAAGAACGCAGCTGCACGCTCCAGGTTCATGGACTGTGAATGCCGCAATGAGTGAATGCCGCAAGGCTGAACTCCTCTTCGGTGAGCCGCACGCGCAGAATGGTATATTGGATCATGATCGCACTTATGTTCCGCTTTTAACTGAGGAGCAGAACATCACAGAACAATGAAGCAGACCACGAGGAGGCTCGCAAGGTGTGGTTATATTTATATATGTAATAAGAAAGTAGCATGCCAACCTGTTAACGAGCGGCTGTTTTCCCTTCAATATCGGACCGGCCGATGACGCTGCGGTTAAGGTTATGAAGCAGAGGTTTGAAATGACGCACCGCGTTCCTATTGCTCCATGTAATCCGAGTGTCATTTTGCAGCGAAAAAAAGTTCAGGGCCGCTTAGCGACGCAGCAATTCATACCTGTATTCCCCCGTTAGCTTGATTAAATGGTCCGAGAGAGTCCCCGTCGAACTGCCACTTTTGTCGACGATGATGTTCCCCATGTCCCCAACGTGTCGCTCTTCGTCCTGCGGACCGCCATGCGTTTTGCCTGGTACAGAAAATTCAACACTTTGCAAAGCTAACAAATTGCCAAAATGGTCAACAGTTTTATAGCTCTAGCAGGGGCGGATCATGTGGCCAGTCACATCTGTGCACCTACAGGGAGCAACGCGCAACATCAGCACCTGCTACATGACTATTTCTATGACCGTACACCAGTCCAATAGAGTGCTGTTACAACTTGTTGCTACTCCAACTCTGTATATTTCTTCGTGTATTACCGAAGGGATTGTAATGCGGCCCGGCCGAGTCGCAGCCGTTGGAAAAGTCGGCCTTTTCGTGAATGTGGAAGCCGTGCTCTCCCTCCTTCCCGCATCCCGTCAGGTCCCATGCTATGTTGCAGATGTCTTCGCTCGGTTGTACGAAGGTCACCTTGCCCACGCAGGTATCTGCCTGCTCTTCCCCGCCACCGCACACCTTGCCGCGTGGTCCGACGAAGCACTCCGCTGTGATTGGGTACGACGGCGCTGCGGTGGTGAAATTACGGCTGTTGCTGTTTTTGTTTCCCCAAAGCGAGTTCTCCGTGAAGCTCTTCTGCAACACCTCCTTCTGCGATCTAAACTTGCCCCGCACCGCGTCCGCGTAACCCTGGAGTGAGGCAAGCATTTTCAGTTTGCGCCGATTGCGATGCTCTTGTTATTCTGGCTGCGAATTTCAGTCCGAATCTAACTTTATGGCGTAAAGAACTCTCGTGCCGGCGACCTGGGACGCACTAAATGAGCACAGCTCATCCTTGACGAGCTACTCTAGCTTATGTCCCTCTCGAGATTGACAGACTCGCCGTGTGTACAATTAGTTCTTTAAGGTCCGGGCTTTTACCGGCACAACTCAGATACTGAGAGACGCTATGCGCAGCGAAATGCCAGGCAGGCGCAAAAAAAGAAAAAAACCACAGCGGTAGGAATAAGGCATGTACCGCGCACGACGACAGTAGAGCAGGTCGATGCTGTCTTTTTTTCTGCTCTTTTGCTGTTTCTTTTACCTTTTCTGAAAATCTCAAGCTTTCATACAGCTGTCGTTCCTTATCCTGATACGAGCGACGCAACTTGAATGACTTCTTCTCTTCATCAATGCACTTGCACCGGCGAGTCTTGTACAATTATGAACATAATGGGAAGATTCAGTAGCTATCATTCTAATTTTCGTATAAATTCTGTACATTCCAAATTGATACATTGAGGCTATGAAAATTGGAAATTACTTGTACGGCAGAAGTAAAGAGAAGCGCGAGCTTCAGTGTAATGGGCAACAGCTCCAACTCATCTCGTATTTTTACAAAGTCCATGAGAACGCCGTATTCATGGACCAAATGGCGATGCTTCCATGTACGACCGCAGCTTGAACGGCTTGTATTTGCTCGAGGCACCCGTGTTCTTCGAGCCCTTCCTGGCCGTGCTAGGGTCGTGTAGTTCGTGGTCCCCATCGGCACGGCCACTGCCATCTTGTTCCACACCGCCAGTCGCTTGCTTCGAACTCCGTTTTGGCTTCCGCACCGCGACCCCCACGCTCTCCTCGGCGGCGAAATTCTTTTCCCTTGCTTGATGAAGTTCGGTTACGCGCGTCCATCTGCTGGTCTTCTTCTTGTTTTTTGAGGAAGTTTTACTCGATATCATTGGAAGTTGTAGTGGCTTCCCCGACGACTCCTGTGCCATCGATGTTGTACCATCTGCTACGAGGGTTGTCACTGTACTGCTCAGCGCGCCGCCTGACTTGTCTAGCCGCGAGTTTGCGCCGTTCATCGCACGGGATTCTTCTTCGTTAGCGGACTCGGGACACGACTCGTCGCTGTCGTCTGGATCAGAAGAAGACTGACCTTCCTCTTCTTCGCCCAAGACCCGGCTGAAAAGGCTCCTGCACTATGAAAGTGCACAACTCCCGCTCCCCCTAAAAATTCGTCATGCAAAATACCCAATCCACCCTTTGCCTCTTGGCACTATTTGCGTGACAAGTTCTCGTAGCCCAAATAGCATTACACTCCAGTGCAAATTCGTCATGCAAAACCAGCACTCTTGCTGATGCTTGTATTGCCGTTCGTGCTATACAAATGAGGGGGAGGGGGAGTTCTTGTCGTGCACTGTCATATGCACCGACAGCAAGCCACAATGTTCTGCAGCAGCGGGATGGAAAACAGTGTTGTTTTCGTCGCCGACTTGTTGCCCCAGGAGATCCAAACCAGCACCAGCCACAAGATCAGCCCGAGCTGTTTGTTCGGTTTTTTATCAGGGAAAAAATAATTGATGAGAGGGAGAGAAAAGTCTCTCTCAGAAGTTGCAACACATCGAAAAGCGGACAAGTTCGCTCACACGTTTTGCGAAGGCAAAAATCACCAACTCAAGAGTAGACAAACCAAACGTATAGATACACATTCACTTGCATGTACAGTTCTAGCACAAATAGATCAATTGATACGAAGCTGAGCAGCGCAAAGACGTATCCAACAATGGCAGCGTATCCAGTCACATTCGCACTGGGCTCCCGAAAACCACCGGGATTTCCTCGCAGGGCCGAACCTCGCAACGGGTCCACAGGCAGCATGGCTGGCAAGTATGAGTTTCAACAACACTCGTCGATCTACAACTTCAAGTTCCAAAATACTATGGTGTTCTTCGTCTTCCATACCTGCTTACTACTTATCTCCATTGATACCCGACTGCCATGATATTGATGACGAGGACCCACGAAACCTCTCCTACGCGTTGTTGCGATAACACCTTACTTGCGATTTCGTTTCCGATTGGCTATGGCTTTGGCGGTTAAATTAGTCTATAGTCATAATGCATCAATGTCGCGATACATCCTCTGTTCAAGTTTTTACCGACACGCGGGTCTTCGACAATCAACCGGCCAAAAAAGACGAACAAGCGAGAGCAAGACAAACCCAAATCTAGGAGCATATAAAACGATTCGATGACGAGAAAGACGACGACGACATTATCGAGAACGAAAATGAATAGAAGCGACGATAACGATTTCGATTGCGAAGATTTGCAGCCGCGACGACTCTGTCTCCATAAAGACGGCGTGACATCATTAAATTTCTATATGTTATTGAAACGAACTAGTAGACAAGGAGCTCTGGCAAATTCACAAGTTGCTGCCCAGGCGAGCACGTATCATGCAGAACAAGAAGCAACTCGCATTTATTCCTCCTGCCCAATTTATTATGATTGCGGCCGATGGGGGATTCATGGATGTAATACGCTTCAGTTTTATTTTGGTTCTTTGTAGTTTCGGTCGCTAAAAGTATGAAATTCTTGAAGGGAGTGTCGTCGTACTCGTTCGGGGTTAACTTGATGAAGGAAAAAAAGGATCTTGCGTTCTCAGAGTGTCCTCTACCTAGGGCACCAAATGTGAACGTCGGTATTGTAGTCCTAGTTTTTCCGTAATTTCATTCGAAAAATACCCATGTTGCAAATCGGTCGTCTTTAGTTTTGCTTGCCATCTGGAAATACAGTCCGTCTGGCAGTGCTTTTTTATTCTTTTGTAGTAAGTTGATAGTTTTAGATTTTCGTTTTCTTTTTTGGTTTCATGCGTGTTTCAAAAAGTCGTGTATCTGCTAGTAGACTTGCACTGAAGCTGAACAGCAACAATTAAGGTATATTCTTTTCAATAAAAGCCGACAGGGATGAGAAAAGGTCGCGCAGAAAAGCTCGCTTGCATCGTACTTACCAGGAAGGCACGTGGTCGTGCTCGCTTGAGCAATGGAACGCTGTCAGTCTCATTGCTGACTGCTGAGAGATCACACTTTATCAACGGTAAGTAGGGCGGGTCAAAAAATTCTCCGCCCGCTGTCTCGTCCCCGTGCTCAGCCCAAACGCTCTTTCAAGCGGTCGAGGTAGCTGCTGGTCCGGGTGCTGGCGTCCGACTTCTTAGGCTGAGGAGCTTTGAAGGACGCCTTGGGCACTCGCGTAGCCCCTCCTACCAGTGGCCGCACGGTCCCTCCCGGGGTCCGGGCCGTTTGGAGCGCACTGGGGGTCGTTTCGGCAGGCTCTCCGCCGGGGACCGAGGAAGATGAGGATCTACCGCCCCCCAACAACATGTGAGGAAGGGGATGCGAGCCATTGCTCTGCTGGTGCTGCGTAGTTGTACTACGGGCCGCACCTCTTAGCTCTGCTTCCTTGTTGCTCAACAGCAGAAGTCCCACGCCTTTGTTGGTGACGGCGCGCTTGTCTCGGTTGCGAGACACTAAATCCAAATGCCCCGGCAAGAGAGTATCGTATTTCTTTGTCCCGGTGGTCGTCCCAGTTGAGGCTGTGCTGGCAGGGGGATTACTTGCAGCTGCGCCCTTTTGCTGCTGCTCGACCGTTGGCGGTTGTGGCGGTTCCTTCGCCCGCGGTGGGGGAGGTGGAGGCGCATTCCTGTTTTTTTTTCAAGGCTCAATGGAAAATTTTCACGCTCTCGCCTCGCCGGCATACCATACCAAACAGATATATACGAAAAAAAAAAAAACGAAAGCGAAAAAATGATCCAAGTACCTCGCTGCCGCAGAAGTGGAAGATGGGCCGCTGGGAGGTGGTGGCGGGTGTCTCGAGGTCGCTATCACTTGGCTTGTTGGCGCCGGGGCGGTGCGCCCGCTAGTCGCTGCTGCTCGGGGCCCTCTAGAACTTGCAATCAGCTCGATCTGTGGGGCTGCCTGCTTAGGCGCATTTCTTGCAGCCTGTGCCTTCTCTTTCTCAAGAATTTTAGAAGACCCTCGAAGCGCCGGCTCTTTGCCATCTTCATCCTCCAATACTATCACACCCGAGTGGTCCTGTATTCCGGCAGTAGCTGCAGCTCCAGTGCGACCCGTTGTGCCGGCGGGCCTGCTTTCTCTGCTCCTGGCGTTTGTGCGGGGATTCTGTAGCTTGGAGGACGATGACACGGAACGATCTATGCTGACTTTCAGGTCTTCATTCCCGCTCGATCCAGGAATTCTTTCTGCGACGTTTTCTTGTTCTATGTAGTTCGCGGAGACTAGAAGCTCCGGCGCATAATGCGGCGGCGGAACTAACACCAAGTCTTCTTCCTCCGTCTGTGGCCGATGTTCTACTTCCTCTTCAGGCCCCACCATATCGAAAGGATCGTCTGAGAGTTGCAGAAGGGCGTGCCGAGCAAAGGCTTCGTGCTGCTCGTCCTCTGCGATAGCGCCACCGCTCGTGCGCCTGTTGGGCTGCACGTCGCTGAGTCGAAACTGCTTTTTGGGCTGCTGTTGCCTGGTTTGATTTCGATGAACCGCAGTTGAAGAGCTTGCGGCGTGCGGCGCACTGTTCTTGCCTTTACTTTCTACTTCCGAAGCTGGACTAGCTTTTTTCTCGCGCCCGCTCTTGTCTCCCGCCTTTTCTTCTTGAACGGGCACAACTTCCTCTTCGTTGACTTTGTGCTGCATTTGGTCTGACCTCAACTTGAGCAGATTGGCCCGGATTTCCTCCTTCGTTTTCTTCCCTCCACGCGCCATCTTGACGGCTGCGGGAATTGCGGCTTCCTGAAAAAAAGCATCTTTCTGCTGCTTGGCGTGCTTATCGCGAATCCGTATTTTTCCGCTCGCCGTATTTCGTTCCGCATCCGACTCACTGCTCCAATCCATGGGCAGCTGCCCGGGGCTTTGCGCCTGCTGCTTCTTTGAGGCACGACTTTTGCTGGAGACGGCAGCGCCGCCGGCTTTGGGAATAATGAAGGGTTGTGATCGCGCCATCAATTCTTGAGCCCGTGTCAGCTTCGTTTCGGGTTGCGCAGGTGCTGTGCCTTTTCCGGCGGCTTGCTCGACCAGACGTGCCCAAAAGGTTTTCTTTTTCTCCACTGGCTGCTCCTGCTCCCCGATTGGACGCACCGTCGACTTCAGACGCACGGGCCCGATTTCCGGTGCTGCTTTCACGGTCGCAGACGCAGCTTTCGGCGCAGCTCCCGGTAGTTGTGGCTGCTGCTCAGCACTACTTTTAGTACCTGGCTGAATGCCCGCTCTCAGGACCGACGCAGCAGCTCCGGGAGGAGCAAGACCCTGCTCTATCCGGGCCGAAATGGTAACGGACGCTTTCGAAAAAGCCGCGGTGGGATCCCGACTGGCAAGGGTTTTCAGGTCTGGCACCGCGGCGGCCGGCTCGATGGGATGCCTGTTTGGCGCAGACGAAAGCAACGCGGATGTAACGCTCGTCTCAAAGCCGGTTCTGGGCTGTGCCGAGCTTCCGATCAGCACGGTCTTCCGCTTCAGTTCTTGTTCGTCGGCAGTCCGCTTCGGGGCTACTTGTTGCGGCGCAATTTCCACTATTGTCTTTGGTCCGCTGGCTGTGAGCCTCCTGTGTTGGCCTGCACTGCTGGATTCAGCTTTTCTCGCGCCGGCAGCAGGTTCGTACACCTTCTCCTTGGAAACAAAAACCGCAGTCCTCGGAGTCCGCTGCGCAGACGGTCCTCGTCGCTCATTTCCATCGGAAGGGTGGCGTCTTCCCTGCTCTTCATGCGCGGAAGACGCACCTGCTTCGCCTTCGTCCGGCGCTTCGATTCCTAGTACTGCATTTCTGTTCAGCAAAACCGTCGCCATTTTCTCTGACGGCTGGAGCTCCTCCGAGGCTGCCACCGGTGCCCCCGCTGCCGGCTGTTCACTCTGCATGATCTCCTCCAGACTCATCTGCGCAGGAGTTTTCTTCTGCGCGCCCCCCACCGTAGCAAACGGTTGCGGAATCCTAGTGCGCACCGAAACATCCTCCTTGGTGAGAAATTTGAAAGAAATCTTGCTCGTGTCAAAATTGTTCGAGGGCTGCTCATCCGGGCTACGTGATCTGTGCTGATCACCTGTCGAACCACTGGAAATGTTCTTCTGCCTGTGCGGGTCGATGATGGCTGCAGCTCTCTTCAACAACAGCTGTTGGTTGGTCAGCTTTGCCGCTTTATTCACTTCGGCCGTAGTTTTCTTCCGCGAAGCCCCTGCGGCTCCAGGTGCAAGAGCTTCTCCTGACGCGCCTCTCGTCGCGTGCTGGCGGTCGTCCCTTGTTGTTACCGTTGTATCATCCGGAGCATGGTGATCGTTTTTCCGATCAAGCTCCGCATGTTGTTGTATGCGAAGCGCTGCCTCTCGATTCACTTCATCGAAACTCTTGCTGGTGTGGCTGGGCTGCTGTGTTCCGTTTTGCGCGGACTTCGCCGCTCGGTCCTCTGCCTCCTGCTGAACTCGGAGCGCAGCCTTTTGCACCTCGTCTAGAGTTTTTACCGTTCGTCCTTTTAGCTTAAACCCTTTTACGTCCAGCGCACCGGCGGCCGAGGCCGGCGTGCGTGCATCGGAGGACGGCGCGCGGTTTTTGTCCTGCGACGGATCGTGGTTTTGAAGCTCCGCAACATCGTTGTTTGTTGAGGTTTGCGTCAACTTCACTTGGTCCTGCTGATCAAGTCCCGCTTTTGCCGTTTCAAAAGCCGACGAACTAGCAGCTGGTCGTGCTTTCGTCTCTTTATTTTCACTTGTCCGCTCAGGGCCTTCGTCATTTTTGCTGTTCTTCTTGTCTTTGGCTTTACTTGAACCGGCGCGAGAAGCGGCATTCTTTTTCTTTTTGCCTTCACTATCCTCATGATCTCGGTTTCGTTTCGATGATTTTTTGTCGTCCGGGTCTTTGAGCTCAAGTGGTATCAAGGGGGGCGGGCGATTCTCACCGTCTTCTGTCTGGATTACTTTCCCATATCCACGAGGCCCAAGATCAGGCTTCTTCTTGTCTGCTTCCCGGCCGTCGTCGCGCCGGCGCGTGGTCCTTCCACCTCGCTCCTTGGAGCTGCGGTCTCCTGCTGACTGTGACTTGCTCGCTACACCGGCATCGCGGAGCCTCCCCCTCCCACGCCGACGAGACTGGGAGTGAGGTCGCCGGTAGCTGCGCTTTTTACCATGATAATTCGGATCTTTGCTGCCGTCCTCTGCTCCTGCGCTTGCATGACCACTTCCCTCGTCATCTTGATAGTGGTCCTCCCTCTTCTTGCGTCGGTGAGAACGCGCGGCACCATCTTTGTACAACTGTTCGCCTCCATCGCGCCGCACCGCGGCATGTCTCCGAGAATCATCGATCTCGTTCCGGCGTCGTGCTCTAGAGCGCGATCGCGAACCGTGGCGCCCCGGCTCCTCGACGCGATTTTTGGTTTTTTTCTGCACCATATCATTATAGTCGCGGCCATCCTTGGGACCACGCCGTCCGGGCGAGCGCTTGATCCTCTTTTGCACGGGGGCTGCGCTGCTCCTGCTCGCACTAGACGAAGACCTGGCCGTTGCAGCGGCTTCGCGGTGTGACGATCTAGACGACGGAAGTACGTAATTCTTGTCCATTCTACGCCGACCTCGCAAGCCCGCGGAAACCGCTACCGCTGCCGTGTCCTTACTTTTTCCCGTTGGTTCTTTATTACGAGAAGGCCTTATCGCGTTTTGTCTCTCTTTTCTTAGGCGACGCTCCTTATCCTTTGGCGGCTCGGAAAAAGATAGCCGTTGACTCGATCTTGATACCGTGTCGGGTTCCTCCACCGGAGAAGATTCCTTGCGTTTTCTCTTCTTGAGCACCGCGACGCCGTCTTTGCGACCATCCTTGGTCTTCTCTTCCCGGGGCCGGACAAGACGCGTCGGGCCGCGCTTGGCAGTCGCAGCAGCTTCCTTTGCGGAAGCAGGAACGCGCTTGTCCTTATCCCTGATTTTTTTTTGTGCGATTTTGATTTAGTTTTTCAAAGTTATCTAAGTACAGTCGCTGCTCACGAAGGTAACTACTTACACTTAACCTTAAGTGAAAACAATCTCAATGCGTTACATCGCGGTCCACGATCGATGGAGAGAAGAACGCTGCACTCTGCTATCGCGGCCCCGTAGCAAAAGTAGTGAGTAAACATGTTCATTTACATTTCCACACGACGCAATTGAATGGATGAAACACAAAGAAGACCCCCGTGTTTCTGTTCAATCGTGATCGTAGAAAAGCATTTGCATTGAGATTGACATCCTACAAAAATAAAAAACGCAAGTACTTGGCGGTCGCACGCAGGTCCTTGTCCTCAACTTTCTTTCCTTTTCGCTTCTGGGCGAGCAGTAGGGCTTTCTTGAGCTCGTCTTTCTGCTTTTGGACCGCGCGCTTTTCTTTTTCTCTCTCCGATTGTCTTTCCAGACGCCGCAGAGCCTTCGCGGACAACTTCGGTTGCTTGTTGCTGGGCTCTCTCGGTTTCTTGCGGCGGGTACTGTCGTCGTTTTCCTGGCTGGAACTGGTGGTCCATCCTGAGCGCGAGGAGGAAGACGAGTTGTGCGAGTGCTCTTTTATAACCTCCGGTCGCGCTTGAAGGCCCGCAGCGGGCTTCAGTTTGTCCAGCGTTTCTTTGATCTTTTGCTGCGTCCGAGAAGACGAGGGCAGAAGAACCTCCTCCGCTGCCTCCTGCAGGTTGTCGTCTTCGGCCTCGTCGTGGTCACCATCTGAAGCAGCTGACAGCTTCGGCCGGATCTGCTCGAGGATCTCTTGTACCGGCGGATCCTTGGGGGCACCAGTGTTTTTGTCCGATTTCCTCTTCTTCTTTTTTTTCCCCGCGGCTTGATGTAATTCTCCCGCCGTGCTGGTGTCGCCCAGTGCCGCCGGATCTTCTCGGTGTCTACCACTGGCTTCCGTGTCGTAGTCTTTACTGTGCTTTATTTTCGCAGGCAGGAAGCCCTGACTTCTCGTACCCCCAACATGATGTTCGTCGTTGGCCTGACTCGCCATCGAGTCTGCGTGTGGTGCGTCTTTTGGGACTTTCTCCCGCCTTTCCGCGGAACGATCCTCCCTCTTCCGCTTGTTTTTCTTTTTCTTTGCTGGGAGCATTTCCAGCTCAACGTCGTCGTCCTCTATTTCTTTCTTCCGCTTCTTCTTCGCCTTCGAGCCTTGTTGCAGATGATCTACTTCCTTGTCCACACCATTTTGCAGTTGACCTTTCCCGGCGCCGGTGCCTTTTTGAGTTTCCCCAGTCTCCACGATTTCATCCGGAAGACCCGAAGCTAGTGACACACTTGTCGCCTCTCTCTTGTCTTTCTTCTTTTTTTTCTTCTGGTTGTCGCTCGCAGCAGCTGCTGCTTCCTCAGCAGTCGAAGTCCTCCCGGCCCTGTCGTAGTTTCTACTTTCTTTAGTCGCTCTATCGTGGCTACGTTCATCTCGCCGCGTTTCGTTCTCGGCAAGAACAGTTCTTTTGGAGGATCGCTTCTTCAGGGGAGAGGAAAGCTGCTCTTGGTTCTTTTGCGCCGCAACGACGGGGTTTTCATTTGGTTCTTCCCTCTCCTCGTTTTGTTCATCTTGCTCAGACGGTGCGGAAGACGATAGAATGTCGTCGTCGTCAGCCTCTATTTCTACGACTGCAGTCGTCTCCTGCACCGGAGCCGTCACGACCGATCCTGCGCCGGCTGCCCCGAAATCAACAAGTGCTGGAGAAAGGGCGGGCACGATTGTCCCGCCCTCGGTTAGGTGATCCGAAGACGAGGGCGCTGCAGCCACCACGGTCGCGAGTCCTGGGGCCGCATCCGCCAAGGGTTTGGCTGCAGCTGCTACTTTTGGCACGACGTTAGTATTTTGTGGAACCAGCAGGGTCGACCTTGGGTGCGGCTGCATGTTTTGTTTCGGCGTCCTCGTCTTCGCCGTGCCGCCCTCAGGTGTATTCAACATTTTTACCGCCCCGGAGACCTCCGAAGCACCGGGGTGCTCCCGCTTCGTTGGTAGAACGGGCACCGACGCTGTCGAATTTGCGATGAAGAACGCGGGAGTCGTGGCGCGCGACGACGCACCCGAGGGGGTTCGGGTTGTCGAGGCGATTTCGAAATTAGGTTTATTTGGCAATGAGTTCTTGTTCACGGCGCTTCCGCCGACACTGGCAGCTTCCACTTGTTCCAGCAGACTGGACGTGGCGGTAGCAGTAGATGCGGCGACCGGAGCGACAGATGGAAGTAGTGTAAACCCGACAGCACCTGCTGCACTTCTAGCAGCGGCTGGAGTAGAAGACCCGGCACTCGCGATTTCCACTTGATGAAGTAGCTGCTGCTGCTGCTGGTCGGCCGTGGTTAAAACAGCGATCGTTGTATCTTGCCGTCGTTGCTCCTTGTGCCGGAGCAGCTTCTGTTTCAGTTCGGCGATTCTGGGGCGCCGCATAGAAGTGGTAGCAGGGGCGGATGCCTGGGAAGTCGTGGTCATTTGCTGGGCCGCGCCCTCCTGTTTTACAACTTGATCTGAAGGTCGTGCCGACGACGAAGCTGCTGCTGCAGCGACAACTTCTTGCGCTGGACGACCACCGGCACCATTAAAACTCTGCAGCTGCTGGGACGAACTACTATCAGGACTCGACTGCTGTGCCTGCTTTTGCTGGCCGGTCGTAGTCTTGTTCGTTTTCAGGAGTTGAGAATCAGCTTCCAACTTCGACATTTTCACTGCTAGGGGAACGGGTACCGACACCGTACTACCTAGTGTGCTGGCAGCAGCACCGACAACACTTGTACTAGCCGTGGCGCTCGTTGGTAGTACTCCGCTTGTTCGTCCGGAGGGGACGAACAATGGAGGAGGAGGGGCTCCTGCTCCTGCTTCACCTTGTTTAATATTATTCCCTGTGGTGGTCACTGGAGCAGAGGTCATCTGCGCAGATCTTTTGCTGGAGGACGGCCGAGGTGAAGTAGAAGCCAGCTTTTTCTTTTTGGTTTTTTCTGCGCCAGCATTACGAACGTCAGCATCGCGTTCCACCTCGTCCGAGGAACAATGTTCGCTAGCGGAAGACGGAGCTTGGTCTTGATCCGCTCGTACCGGTAGATCTTCACGCTTGGACACAGAGCGAGACGAGGAGGAGGAGGAGGAGGAACTGGCGTTTGAATTCATCTCTTGCACGAGGGCACCGTCGCGTGACGAAAACACATCTTTGGGAGGAATGGTCGGGGGCAGGTCAAAGGGAAACCCTGTCCGGTGAAGTCGCTGCAGGGCGTCCTCGACGCCATTACACTTCGCTGCGTACTTGAGTACCAAGCGGCCCGGGTCTGTGGATCTGTAGGTATGTGAGTGTCTACCCACCATGCTGTTCTCGCCGGGTTCTTCCGACAGGTCAAGTACAAAGTCACGCTCGGGAAAGCGAACGCCCCGAAAATGCGGCCGCATTTCCCATACGACGTCCCCCGTTGAGATGCCACCTGCTTCAGATCTGGAACGCGGTGATGGAGCAGAGTCAACGCGCACCTCAATCTGGTTGTCAATGCTCTTCGGCGAAACTTCGTTCCCTCCTCGTATAATATTTTTATCTCCGGACGCGACTCCAGGACTTCCTGCGATCTTCGGGTCTGCGATGGAGGAATTGTTGGCGTTTTTTTCCACTGCCCTTGTTGCTGGCGTTCCGTCGGCTGCTGGTCCAATGCTAGTATCCACATCCATCTTGTGTGCTCTGTCGTTCTCGTTGGAAGTCAACTTTACTTGGCCGGGAGAACGCGGAGCGTCGTCGGGGCCACGACCATCATTTTGCGCCCTGTCGTCTCCTGAAGGTGCTGCTCCATGATCCAGCTCCTTTTCGTGATCGTCGCCCGGATCGCGCCCCGTGTTCTTCCCCGAGTTTGACGTCGCCCGTTCGCGCTTTGGCTGTAGCTGGAACAGCAAATCGCAGGGGTTCCATCGCACCCCGGGATGGCTCTTCAGCAGGTGCTCGGGTTTTACCCACTGGCTCGTCGGAACGGGGCTGCTATCCTGCTCGTGTTCTACCGCGGCGGAGGTCGTGCTGCTATAATGACCCGTCGTGAGACAGGATTGCTCCTCAGCTGGTGACCCTGGCGTCCACGAGGAGTGCTGGTGCAACTGCACTCGGTGAGACGAGTTAGAGGACGCTGAAGCGGTAGCAACAGCCTGGGACGCGGCAACCCATGTAACTGTAAAATAGAATAAAATAATGACTTCGACGTGTACTGATTTCAATTGACTTCTGCATCCATGCAGACAATGTCACATATCAAATCCCTCGCAGCCCTAGCTCTCGTCCTTGGCATGAGGACAAACAGGTGCTACAAATCATCCAGAGCCGAGCAGCGCCGCATTCCACTCGGGCAGTGAAACAAAAACAAGTAAAGAAAAAGCGTAGAAAAGAAGTAAAAAAATCTAGGTAGGTACCATTTCTTGTGTGCACCGCGGCCGCGCTTTGCGATGCGGTTGATCCGTTGGCGCCCCAGGCGTTACTGTCGTACGTGGCGCAATGTGCCTCGTAGGTGCCAGACCAGTAGGTCTGCTGCTGTTGCGGTTGTTGCTGTTGGTTTCGCCGGTGTTGCCCAGCATTCTTCCCTCCGGTTGCAGCATGTGGCTGTGCAGTCGCTCGCGCGTTGGCGTTGCGCCCCCTAATGTAGCTACTGCTCCGCTGCCTCCCCGCTGCCGAACTGGAGGAATTGCTGCTCATGACACTGCAACTCTAGGACGTCGCAGCACATGTGTTTTATCCAACATACACGATACTTCAACGTTTTCTTGCTTGTTATACTCATTTCGTTCCGAGTCGAAGGCAAATTTACTATAATTTCGGAAACGATGCTACATGAGGATGAGGTGAGGGAAAAAGGCGGTCTAGAAGAGGAAAGTCAGTCGTAATCTGAATAGACGCTAGTACGGCTACGTGAATGTGACAAAGACAAGTGGCGTCGCTGTAGAAAAAAATAAGCAAAAAGAACAATCGAAAAGAAGATCTCAGATAGCGATCGAAGTTTATTGGCGAAGCGAAAAACACAGAAGAGAACGCCTGAGCCGTAATTTGGAAAGGTTGCGATCGAGATCCATCTATCAGAAAGGTTGTGCAACTGTGCGTGCGTCCTTTTCTACTGCCTTCTGCAGCGAAAGTGGAGACGGTGGCAAAGAAACCACGACACTCGAAAAGCAAAAGGTGCGCAACTGTAGGAATATACTCGAGCGAACAGGTGTGTGCATCCATCTTCTGTCTTCCTAACGACCTTGTGTGTTGCGTACTACTATGTCAATTTGCATGCGTTTACGTAGAAGAAACATGAGCGCAGCGAAGCCTTTTAGCAATTCTATGTGTGATTGCTCGAGGCTGAAATATATATCGCTTCGATGTTACCAGGCTGGGGCCGCGTCGTGTGGATGCATTTGTCAGCGTAGCATGACTTCCTTGACCAAGTGCTTGTCAGCTAACGGAAAATAGAATTCTACTAACTATCGCACCAAATAACAGGGAGCAGGAGCTCGTGCTCCACAATTATAGCGAGACGTAGAATTCTGATCTGCAAGAACGACGTGGCCCCGACTAGAAGTCAACGACGTAGACGTTTCAGACGGCATTGCCCGTATTCTCTCCGGCCACCACCTCGTCTGGATTTACTGATCCAGCGGAGACGAATCGATCGCCGTCTTTTTGTTCATCTGCTTCGTCTTCCGGTTTATTGTCGTCGCTTACGGGGGACGTTGCCGAGGCTTGTCCAGCACCTCCTCCGACGGTACTAGTTCCTTCCGGCGTTGTGGCTGTCGCGTTGCTGCCTGCAGATACAACCACCTCCCTCAGCTCCCTCGTTATCAGGCGGGGTTTCTTGCTTTCCCGCGCCCCACCACCCGGGGACGAAGATCCGTCCTTGCTGCCCTCGTCCTGGACCACCTCCCCACTTGTTCCCTCTCCACCTTGCCCTTCCTCGACTCGTTCTTGATGCACCAGCCGCAAGTCGTGGTCTTTGGTGCTCACGGTTTTTTGCTCGTTGATCGGAATCCAGAGCGCTTTTTCGTATGCCAGCTTGAATGCGTCTTCGTCGTACGCGAACTCAAACACCGGGGAATGCTCCACCTGCGCACTCGGATTCAAGTAGAGCCCCTCCATCAGGGCACGCGCAATGTCGTTTTTGTCCACGTCCGGGTGCTTGTAGATACCGCCGCTCACCAGACACACCCGCACCCGGTCGATGCGCGGAAGCTCTTCCGTGTACTTCTTGGCATGCTTCAGGTTGTACTGGTTCACGGACACGACTACATTCTTGCCGCAGTTGCGCAGCTTCTCCAGAAAATCTTCGCCCGATCCACACTCCGAACCTGGATACAGGTCGTTCTTGGTGGAATGAGTTCTGTACTTGTTCTCTACATCATCTTGCAACGTACAGTCAGTGTTTTCACCACGACACCAGGGGAGGTGAAACAGCATTGACATACGAAAGACGGTACATGTAGCAGCTCCCGCTTGTGAAGACAAATGGAAATGCACAGAAGCAGGGCCAGAAGTACAACTTACTTATACTTACCTCGCGGTCCTACGACATAGACCATGGCAGCATTCTTCGCGTTTCCCATGGGTCGCGCTGCCGGCTCGAAGACGTGCAAGAAGCAGGAGCATGTGGTGGAGTCCGCGTAGCTTGCCCTGCAAGAGAGATAGTTTACTTTGAGTTCCTTGCAGGTCTCGGCGTCGGCTAGGACGACCCGGTCCAGTATCCTGAGAAAAAAGTGTTACAGTTACACACTTTGATGCAAGACAAGCAAGACAGACGACCTCTGTATTGCAGGAAATGCTTGCCAGCCTCATTTCATTCGTGTTTTCCCTTATAGTCTGCGCATCACAGGTTTTCTTTGCCATGTCGAGCGGCTTTGTAATGCAGAAACTCCAACAAATGTGTAACTGCAACACTTTTTTCCTGTGATATCCAGCTGCTCTGAAGCGGACTTCCACAGCTTTCGCGTCGAATGCAAAAATGTCTGGGTCTGGAAGGATCCGAACTTGTGATGCGAATTCCACAACACGCGCAAATCTCTGATGCATAGGCAGCAAAAGGTTTCCATTTTCTGTTACCAAACAGAGGGATTTGTCATGCGGATTAAGCATTGCGGAACGTTCTCGAAATCTGTGATGCTAGGGCTTCCATGACAGACCTTCTGTGTCATGCAAAAACAGCATGGCAAAAATCTGCATTCTTCCAGACCCAGACATATTTGCATTTGATATTTCGCTGTAGGTCCTGATACTTGCCAGTCTCGATGCCGGCCTCATCCAAGGCTCTCTTAAACGCTGCGTTGATTGCGGATCCGCCTACCTGTGGCAATGGTAAAATATTGTGCATCAGACATCTTCACGACGTCGTGTACAGCTCGGTGACGGTGAACACGTGAAGAACCATAAAAAAACATCACAGATGAACAAAGACAAAAAGAAAAACACTCCCAGGTCTATAATACGAAGAGCTGGTCACTCCCTGCATTGACGGACCCCACGTGCACTTCGTCAGGTATCTCTTTTTCGTAGATCGGCGTGAAGCTGGTCGGCTTCGCCAGAAACGCGACCTTCTCCGGTTTCAGCGCCATTGGAATCCGCATGCGAAATCCGGCAGCACGACCTGAAGTCGTACAGCAAACAGGATAGGTTGAACAGCAAGATGAGCCCATTTTCTGTCGGGAAACTGGTGCCTACTCAAGACAAGTCGAAGGCGCTACGAATCGGTACGATGAAAGCGGAACCGAATGAAAATGGTTATGATTTAAGGAAGTACAATCAAGACGTCGAGGTCGACGTGAATGAAAATGCTACAATAGCGTCGCGCCAGTCAGAGCCATGCCCATTGGCTTACAATCCATTATATATTAAAGGAACACGCATAATTTCATTTCTTCTTGGAACAATGGGAACGAGCTTGGAAAAGTACAGGCATGGATCCACCGAACTGTGAGTATAGCTATAGACCAAGAAGAAAAAAGTGAGAAAAATAAAAAATACTGAAGTGGATCCTGAGCTGGGGAAAAAACTCTGCCTTGGCACGGTAAGTGGTCCCGAGGCTCTTGATCCAGCGGGTTTCGTATTTGTGCACTTTGACGTAGTCGTATCCCACGAAAAAACTGTTTCACTGTGATGCTCTTGCAAGAATCGCATCACAAGTTTGTTACACATGACACAGAAAATTTGCCATGCGCGTTTCCCAAGGGAAAACACGCTTAGAAATCCATTGTGTTGCAGGTGTAGCAAGACAAACACTTTGGTGTGTCGTTCTTTGCATCACAAGTTCACAATGAAACAGTTTTTTCTTGCGATAAGTCGAACAGGAGGTTGAAAATGACGGCGGCTTCCTGGATTGCGTGCCCGAGTCCGGATATCCGCACAACGGTCCCCTCCGGATTTTCGATTAGTTGCCGCGTGATCAGGCGCAAGCTCACGGGCCGGAGCTTCTCGCCCTTCGAGATTTTGATTTCCTGGTCGTGCTCACCTGCCTTGCTTGACGACTGCGTATCCTTGCTTCCTGCAAGAACAGTCGGTGGTGGTGTCGTGCTTGGGATTGTTCCAGTTCCCGGTGTTCCGTTGTAATTTGGCGTATTTTGACTCTGTGGCGTGGACGTGCCCCCGTTTCTGCTCGTAGTACCAGTCGATGCTGCGGCATTGGGGGACGGAATCATGTCCTACCTAACGCTTACTGCAAGTAGTGGTAGGCGCAGTTGGCTGAAGGTAATACAACAAGGCCAGCGATGCTGTTTTCTGGTCATGCGCTCTGGTCGATGCTCGGTACCATTTTGACACAACGACAAATGGGAAATGAAAGATGAAGTAGGCACAAAATAACAGACGTAGCGAGTGAAATGTGTATCCGACTTGTTTTTATCTTCAATCATGCGCAAGCAAGATAGCAAAATTCGTAAATGAGAAATTGCTCGTCGGGACTGCGTAAAATCAGAAACACATTCATTTCTAACGGAGCTTTTGCCGCAGCCGTGCGCGCCGTCAAAGACCCAAAAAAAAGGATATGAAACCCCCGAAAACGAAAGAGAAGCGACCTCATAAAACGCCCTTTCACGGCGGGGATAAACAAAATAAGAGTCTGCAGATCGGTCTGCGATTGAAGGAACTACTAGGTTCAAGATCCTAGTCCTACCACCATTGACTACAAGCACTCACACGACGAAACCTCTCCCAGCGATGCGTCACAACTTGAGATCTCTTTTGTGGCGTCCAAGTTGACAATGTCGAGGATCCCTAGCAGGAATGAGATCAAATCCTAGATACTTGTCATCGCGCGGACCTTCGATTGAAGCTCTTATGCTGCACTTATGATTTTTCCGACCACGCACGGAGCACGGAATGTGGGATGATCGCTTCTTATTCTTTCAATTCGTAGCATAGTGAATCAACTGAGGCACATAAAACAGATCTTCGGCGAGAGGTTGACTACACAAAAAAGAATGCATGTTAACAAGGCTCGGGTAGAAGAGTCAGTCTCTGCCACAGCGAGGCGGCACGACGGCACGGTCGTTTTTCTGTTTTTGATGTCGCTTTTGTTTTCTCACAGTTTTGCTACATTACACAAACCCTATGAAGAGGGGAATGTTCATGCTTCTTCTAGTTCTCACTTTTCCGGGTGGGTCGTAAGGAATACGTTTTTTTCCAAGAACCCATGTTCATGTATAGTGTTTTTTTTGACACGAGGGTTTCTCGCTTCGGAAAAATGACACTCGTCACACGTCATTAGCCCACGAGCCAATTTTCTTTCTAGGAAATCGCAGAAATAAAATTCGCGAGCGACAAAAATAACTACTTTCCAATCTTTCTTCATCAGCGTGGTGAGCTGCTAGTACTCGATCTCGAGAAAAATCAAGTGCGCTTCGAACCGGACAACTGACGAGAAGGATTGTCGAAGCGCTAGGGCTCGTTTGGCATGTCACCGCTGTCTTGTATGATCTCGTAGCTCCCCTCCTTTGAGTCGGTACTCGGGGATTCCGACTTCTTATCCCCGGATGCCCGCGTAGGCGGTTTGAAATCTTGTTTCGTCGTGTCTGCTAGAACTACTGGTGCCGGTGTAGTACTGACGGTAGCGCTTGCGGTTCCACCTCCTGCGCTTGTCGGCGTCGCGGTTGTTGGCGGTAGTACGCCGGTTGTTCCACCAGATGTGCTGTTTTTGGACGAGGAGGTTGCCGCGCCGGCCGTAGGTGTCGTGCTTGAGGAGGATACTCGCGCCGCCGCTGCCGTGGGCGTCGCTGCAGTTGTACCGGAAGGTGCGGGTGCTCCTGTAGTAGGTGCAGCTCCATCTTTTGAGGCCTTGGGTGTGGGAGCTGCCTTTGTCGCTGTGGATGAAGAGGAGGACGTTCCGTTCGTCGTTATCGGAGCCGGTTTCGCTGCTGCTGCTGAGGGCGTTGTGGGTTTTAACCCGAGTATGTCTTCAGACCAGGCTTTGGCGAAGGTGGCACCGCCCTGCTTGGCAATCTGGTCCAGGACGTTTATGTCTTTCGTTTTCTCCTTTACGCTCGTGTATTGGCTGGCTGGCAGCGTGGAAAACGGGACTTTCCGCAATATTTGCTCCGCCGTTTTCTGGTGCGCATACTCTGGAAACAGATCGGGAAACTCCTCCGGGTGCGCAATGGAGGCGGAAAGCTTCTCGTTTACCGTGCGCAGGTCTGTTGTTTCAAATCAAGAATCAATCTATCATGTTGCGATCCCTGAATTTTTTACTCAGCTTCACCTGCATCCATTTGATTCTTGCATGCAGCTATGATATATTTTGATTTTGGCATGTACTAAACTAAATTCAAAAGAAGAGCATCACAAAGACGGGTATTAACCAATGCTGTGCGAGGAGTATCAATGGCTCAACGTCAACACCTCCAGGAACCACTAGATTTTACCTTCTTTCCAGAGTGACACGACTTCGGGTATTTTCGAGGGGCAGTACGTGCGCGCGAAGAAGGCTGCGTCAGGCAGGCGGTTGGTCTCCAGGAAAATCTCGAGGCAGGCGTCGATATCCTGCAAGAGCATGTTGGCAAGAAAGGCAATGTTTGCCTTTCCTGTTGCCCGAGCCTCCGCTGCAGTTGCTCTCAACCCAGCCGCGTCGCCTAGGGTAGTATCAAGAAAAACATTACAGAAAAAAGTAGAACAGAAAACGGAGCGCGTACTTTCCGACTTTTGCGAAAAGAGTCGCAAATCGCTTCGGCAACTACAACATGAACATATTGTACAGACAGTTGAAAATTTCTAGCTACAATGGACACAGTGACAGTGATCTTTCTATCAATCAAGTTGAAACGCTAAAAAAAGCGTCGAAAGTTGATGAAAAAAATTAAGTAAAAGTATAGCAAAAGCATGTCTTACCACTGGAACTCTGGATGAGGAGCAACGCAGAGAGGTCTTTGCTCTTCTGGAAGCATTCGGTCGCCAGTTCGAAGTCGCCGTTTTCTAGAGCGGTGTCCCCGAGTGACTTCCACTTACCCTTAATGGCGGTCTCCGTACTGGTGGATTCCAACTGGGACGCTGCAATCACGTCGCGGGCGAAGTGCAATTTGCCAAGTTCCAGGGCCAAATCCAACTGGTGGTCTCGGTCTTTGGAAACCTGAAGAAGATCCAGCGGCCGGGGTCGTCTTGTTTTAAGGTATGCCTATCGTCCGTCTCTCTTTGCAACGAATCATTCAGATGAACCAGGAAAAAAATAACGAAGTGGCGAGTAGCAATAGCTCCTTCCCATGTGGTGCAGCAACTAGTTCGGCGTCGCGAATTAGCTTACTTAATTATCATCGAAAAACATGGCCGCAAAGAGATATTACCTTCAGTGCCTCCTCAGGATAACCCTGGTGCTGCAGAAACCTTGCGACCTTGGTGTGGTAGCTTTCGGGAAGCTGCAGGAAGTATTTCTGGCTGCCGTCGAAGTCCTTATTGATGATGCAACTCTGGTACGCGATGAGAGCGGCCGGGATGCTGTAGGAGATCACGTTTCTGTCTCGGTCCAGCAAATACACCCGACTGTTTTCGGCTAGGTAGCCAAGCATGAAGTAGGACTTATCCAAATGCGCGATGTTTTCCTGCCTTCCACTGACCACCATCTGCAGCCGCTGCCCCGCGTTTACGTAGACAAACGTCTCTCCTATCCAGAGGCCGCTCGTGATCTTGTCACCGATCTCGCTGTGAAAGTCAAAGGCGGCCTCGATACCTGTGCAACATTTCAATTTCGATCACTCCTGCGGCCGGAACTCAAAGAAAACAAAAGGCTCTCCGCAACAACCGCGTGAAGCAAAACTGAAGATCTGAACTTGTTTTTTTAATTATAGACGAAGACTGTATGTTTCTGTACCATCCTCGTCCGCGGTGCCCGTCGCTATGGCTTCGTTGCTGTGGGATAGGACGAAAGAGGAATCGTTGCAGACCAGGGCGACGTACGTGCCGGCTTCGTTCCAGTACACGAACTTAGGTCCTATGTCGATTCGGCGAATCAACTTGAATTGCTGCCAGTCGTAGAAACAGATGTACTCCGACGACTTGATACCTAGAGCGGTTTGTAGTTTTACACATTTATTTCACTTGTCCTCAAATCCCTGCCCCCGGTGAGGAGGAGCCAGCATCAATGTCTGTGTGAACAACCCACGCTACGCAAGGCCGACAGACGCGCAACATTTGAACTTGTTTCCAGTGAAAAAGAAAATCAGTGAGGAGCTCCTGCATAGATACCGAGTAGCCTGCCGCCGAATATTTCCTCCACTTGGAAAGGAGGCTTGAAGGAAAACTTCTCCACGAAGTCGTGGAAGACGGTGATTTTGCCAATCGCGTCGTTGGTCGCGTACGCGTTGCCGTCCCAACTCCAGACGAACTCCGTGCAGGCCCCGAAAGCCTTGTTTCGCAGGGCCTGGGCCGTGTAGACGACGTACTCTCCGTCACCGACGATGACAAGCAGCCGGCTGTTCGGGTTATGCACCAGGGATTGCGGGAAGATCTCCGCCGCACCCATGTCTTTCACGGCGAGATTCAGCCGCTCCCCGTCGCTGGTATCCTCCTGCTGAGCGAGCTTCACGTTCGCGGTCTGGATCTCGTGCCCCTTGGCCCAGACAATCTTCCCGTTGCTGGTCATGGACACGACGGGCTGGTCGCTGCCGAGCTTGATCACGATGGTGCCCAAGTCGTACCCAATGGCGACGTTGTTACTGCCCTTCAGCGAGTTCAGCGACCAGGCCCGCTCCAAAAGGTAATTTAACGTCGCCTCGAGGCGGTAGGTGCTGCTGTGCCAGAGCCGGACCGTGCCGTCCTCGGAGCCACTAAAGATGATAGGAAAAGTAGGGTGGAACATCACTGTGCCCACGTTGTGCTGGTGACCGCTCAAAACCTGCACACACTGCTTCGTCTGGTAGTCCCACACCCTGTTTTTTTGGGTTGCGAGAAAGCATCAATTGCAGATAGACCATTGACGGGTTTGTTTGTTTCCGGGACAAGTTTGAACTGTTCTGCTTCTGGACGTGGGTTCCTTCGCAGATAAACATAAAAATAACAAATGTATAGTAGTAATCAGAGAAGCATACGCCGCTGCGCTACATCAAGTACCTGACAGTTTTGTCGTCAGCCCCAGAGACGAGGTATGGCTTATCTCCCGTTGGACTGTAATCCAGGCAATTGATGCCTTTTGTGTGCCCACTGAGGGTAAAGTGTGGCGCCGTGCCCCCTGTGGTCCCCCAAACTTTGATGGTGCGATCCAACGATGCGCTTGCGAAAATGTGCCCATCCTTTGGATTCCACTGGACCTGAAAATTAGCACAATTTTACAACCTTACTTTGTGTCTGCATCGTTGAAAGTAGCGAAAGCTCTGTGAACGAAAACGAATGAAGGACACTAAGATGAATCCTATTTTCATCATCAAAAAGTGCATATTATTATCATCAATGTCGAAAAGTTTGCTACTGCAACACATGACATTTTTGGATTCCAAAGCTGTTTCAAGGCCCAAGTACATTTTCTTTAGGTACTACTTACCATCATGACGTAGTGTGCGTGGCCCTCGAAAATAGAGACACAGTCCCACTTCCTGTCCCAGTCCCAGAGCTTGATCGTCATGTCATCACTGCACGACAGAACGTACGGCGACGTCGGGTGCACCGCAATGTACCGGATATAATCGGAGTGGGCCTCGACGTTCTTGAGCCGTTCCAACGAGTTGTAATTATACACTCCGATCATCATTTCGTCGGAAGCCGTTATCTGGTGAAAAGTTGTTTGATCACATCAAGAAACGCACGACGATCACTTCTATATCTATTACAGCCTGGAAGAGGCCACAAATTGCATGAATTCGGTCTAGCGCCGCTGCTTTTAGTGAAAATGAAAACTATCATGCAACTGAAGCTCCTCATGCTTCTGCCATGATTCATCGAGGACCGTTTCGCTGCATAAACATAGAGAGGACCACGTGAAGAATGAAAACAAAAGCAATCTTAGATACAATCCATTGCTTCCTGGCGACGAAACGAGCACAGCGCACGGGAAGGTTGTTGCACACCTCGAATTGTTTTATCAAAGTCTGCGTGGAATAGTCCCAGATGTAGACGTTTCCGCTGTACAGAGCGCCGAGCACCCACGGCTCGGTCGGGTGAAAGTCCACGCATTTCACCCGGTCGCTGTGGGCAGAGAGTCGCTTCTTGATGTCCAACCGCAACGGCATTTTGGCGAATTACTTTGACGAGTCACCTCCCCGAATAACTTGTTAAAAAGGTTGCCGTATTGTTGATATTCCAATTGTTCGGCTCAAAAGAAATAAGTACTTACGTAAGGGCACTTGATATGTTCTGGGAGTGTAAAAATGAGGAAAGAGATCGTCGCCACTAAAAAAGACTTCCAATCCGTCTAGTACTAACCGATTACGCTTGCAGCCGCGTGTGCGCGATGCACACCGCTGCAAGGACCACAATGTGACCTATGACATGAGACACGGACATCAAAATCATGACATTATCGGTATGGTATTTCTCAAGGACACAAAGTTCCTCATAGAAGTACTTAAAAAAGAATACCAGCTACAGAAAATGATGCTGTAGGCCTGCAAAGTTTTGTTTTACAAGGCAACGTTTCGGAGGCCCATGATGACTCCGTCTTCGTTCCATCACTGTACTTGCAGATCGATACATTTTCCATAATCTAGTGATGTAGTCGATGATCGGTGGAAGTCATAATCAAATGATCCTCTTACAGAAATCAATGCAAATGTCATCGAACGAACAGCGCATGTAAAAAATGCTGACTATAAGTGGCGGAAGCCGGTAGCAGGCTATCCCTTCGGTGCAGCGCAACACGCTGGCCTTTCTGCATTTTGTCTACCTCGTGTGAATACGTTATCCACTCGAATCGGAAGCACTTTATTCCATTGACAGATGTACTAGTACGAAGTGGGAATTCGTACCCTGGCTGGCTCTTTTTCGAGGAGAGTGAAATATAACTCTCATTTCAATAATTGCGATCAACATTATGTTTAGACATGGTTTATGAGGATGCAATCGATCCATGCGGTCACAGACGTAAACTGCATCTTCATGTCCTCAGACGTGCGATCTTGTAGTTCTACTGTAAGGATGGAGTGGACCATGAATCATTGTGGTAAAAACAAACTGTAGTGTTGGATGGTTGTATGCAAAAATTAACAAGAAAATGCAATGTGTAAACTTGAAGCTTAAAAAATCAGAAGCTGACATCATGTATCTGAATGTTGAACTGAGTACTTAGATGTGTAAAAATAAAAAACCGAAACAGAAAGAGAATCAATTCAGACATAATAACACCACGACGTGAAGATGAAAATCCACTAGGGGCCGCAACCAAGCGACTTGGTGTACCCGACGTTCGCGAACGGCAGCACGTACTGTTCGTCTTGCGGGGCGAGGCAGGGATACCCCTTGCGCTCGCGTCCGAGGGTGATGAACCCCTTTTTGGGGTCGGGCAGAATCCGGAGCCGCTTCTTGAGGTCGGAAAGCACCACGCCACCCATGGCGTCCCCCTCCCACGCCGCATTTCCCGCCTCGTGGGACAGCATCCCCTTGGTGCAAACGCCGAGCTCGTGGTTCAGCGGCTTGATCGCCCGCTCGGAGTGCACCACCAAGTCCGTCCCCGGCCCAACCGCACGCACTTCGAACGCAGTGACGCCGCCTGTGGGGAATTGTTGAAGTATGAACATCACATCGACATCAAGATCAATGTCTTTTCATATGATTCTGATTGAAGAATTGTGCAACTCCTCCACCATCTTAGCAGTGCGCCCTCCTGCTTCATCCACTGACTTTTGTTTCACACTTATCGATATGTATCCACACTGATACAATACTTAATTTGCACACTACATCAACTTCTTACCTCCGCGAACAATTAGGGTGTTGGCACGGGCAAAGACGGGGGCGATGACGTCGGCGCCCTGGCGACCCAGCGCGAAAATGCGCAGGCTCTGGCGAAACTCCGCGGGTCCCGGTCCGGCACGGTTCTTCAGTTCCTCCTCCTTCTTCATCACCGCCTTCACGAGGTCCGGGTCCCCTCCGCAAAAGACGAAGATCGTCTTCGTTTCACACATGTCCGCCAGCTGGTACTGGCCGTCCGGCGTTTTTCGCACGGTGCGGGTGGCCGACTGCTCCACGTACTCCAACGTGGGGGCGATCGCGGCCACGCCCCCGAGCATGATGGCCACCACGTGCTGGTCTTTCGGCACGACGAGATCTTCCTGCATGCATCCTGAGTAAAAACGTTCCGACCCGATTAGTTGTAATGCAAATCTGCATGCCCAGAAAATCTGTCATGCGGCTCCGCAACATGACGGGCATTTTTTGATCGTGTTTTCGGTAACTTGTCATGCGCAAATCAGGATAAGGGAAAAATGGATCTGTGATGCGTCTGGGCTACCTAGGCAGAACTACTTATGCTGCGTCCCCAAACTTGTCATGGGCCAGTCTCACAGCGTGCTGATTTGTCTAGCAGAGTTCCGATCTTAACAAACTATGGGGAGGTCGTGGGGACGTTTTTAAACAGGATAACATGTTCTTCCCATTCACGTTTTTCAGCTTTTTCAACCGGATATCAAATGCAAATATGTCTGGGTCTGGAAGAATTCATGTTTGTCATGCTTGTCTGGCATGATTCTTAAATCTGTCATGCACGTTACCCAAGCGCTCCGCTTTTCTGTGATGCAGAAGCGCAGTTTGTCATGCAGAATAGGCAACACCTAGGAGCTCAGAAACTTGTCATGCTGAGCCAGCATTTGTAGCCTCATCATGAGACGCCACCCAGCATCACAAGTTTCCAGACCCAGACATTTTTACATTTGATACCGGAGCTCCTTCGTCCGCTCGACCGCCGGGTCCACCTGCCCCAGGTAGATCTTGTTGGCCATCTGCTGGAACTCCGGGCGGATCACGCCGTCGGTGAGCTATGAACTGCAAATATGTCGGGGTCTGGGAGATTGCGAGATTTGTGATGCTAGGCTGGCATGACTCTGAACTATTGCGCGCCAGCGAGGAGGTCCTCTTGTCTGTCATGAAAAAACGCAGCTTTTCATGCGGAGTAAGTACGCAACTCTGAACCACGGAAAAACTTGTCATACTGTGAAGCGCACCATTACGGTGTGCTCACTTCACTATTCATCCCTTCCTTGCATCACAAGTTTCCTTTCCCAGACCCAGACATCAAAATCTGCAATTGATATGAACCGCATCATGTCGATGATGGCGTCCGTGAAGCCCAGCTCCTCATGGTAGTAGCGGCGCGTTCCGTCCGCGAACTGCTGCACCTCGGCCGCGGAGTTAGCGATCCCCAAAAAGGGCACGCCCGCGTAACTCATGTCCATGTGGTAGAAGCTGCGCTCCGACGGGGGCGAGTAGTCCTGGAACCGCTTGATGGCCGGGAGGAAGAAGTTGTCGGGGTTGGCCGGGTCGCAGATCTGGATCACGAAGTGCACGTCGCGGTCGTACGGCCGCCGCACGTCCGCCTCCTCCGCGGCGCGCCGGTCCTGGTTGAAGTCGCGCACGGCCTCCCACATCTGGTAGGTGCCCTGGTACTGCACGGTGACCATCACCTCCAGGTTCGGGTGCTTGTCCAGGTAGGCCCGCGCGTTGGACCGGAAGGCCCAGCCGAACATGAAGTCCGCCTTCGGCTTGTCGTTGTACAACGCCCACAGCTATCAAATGCAAAAATGTCTGGGTCTGGAAACTTGTGATGCTGCGTTGGGAATAGGGAATGCTCTGTAATGCACAGCCAAGCATGAGAAATATCTGCGCTTCTTAGTGTTGCGTTTTTCGCATGACAGGCAAAAGGGTCTCTTCTTGGACACGCATCACAAACTTTTTGGTCATCCCAGACAAGCATGACAAATCTCGCAGTCTTCCAGACCCAGACATTTTTGCATTTGATAACAGCGTCTCCATGTCGCCCTCCTTCTGCGCCCGGTCCCACTCGTCGCGGCCAAACAGCTATCAAAAGTAAAAATCCCCCCTCCCCATATCGAAAAGGAAATTTGTATTTGTGATGCTGTATGTGAGTACACAGAGCGACTTGTATTGCTAGAAGGCCAAGAGACGCAGTTGCGGCCTTAATTGGAGCCGATTTGTCATGCCGTTTCCCATTTCCAGCTGCCTCCTCTCATGCTGAAGATGCAAGGCTTTTTTGCGCCGCCCAGCACTACGGTCCGCTTCTTTTGCCTTCTAGCATGGCAAAATGATTTGTGTACACAAATCCAGCAACAGAAATCTTCGTTTCGATATGGGAGGGGGGATTTTTCATTTTGATAACAGCACCCCGAAGTCGCTGATCAGGTGGTTGGCCATCAGTTCGTACATGTTCCCGAACACGCTGTTCATCTGCAGCCAGGACCGCTTCGCGCACTCCGGGGTGACAATGTCCTCGCCCGTGGTCTCGTTCTTCTTGCACTCGGGCGGCATCACGTAGATCACCTCCACCTCCTCCTTCTTCAGGTTCTTGTAGCGCTTGCCACCGTTGTACGGGGTCCACCCGCCCTCCTCCGCGCCGGGCGCGAGGTGCGGCAGCACGCGGGCCGCCTCCGGACCCACGTGCGTCGCGTTGGCGGCCTTCGGCGGCTCGGTCAGCAGCTGCACCAGGCGGTTTGCGGCGACCACGTGGCCCGACCCGCCGCTGGAAGACAGGATCACGATTTTCGTGTCCTCGCTGTACTCAAAATGGGGGTCGTACACGTACCACTTCCAGAACATGAACTCGCCGAACAACACCAAAAAGCCGCCCAGCATCCACACGGCGAGGTTGAGCAGGCAACACGCCGGACAGGCCCGCTTCGGGACCCGGCAGCACTGGTTCTCCGCCGGGGTGTGTTGGAACAGCGAATAGTTCATGGTTTTCGTCTCCAGCGTTTCGCCCTCCGGTTTCCGCCGCGAGAGGACCCGGATGGGGCCACCCTCCTCCACGAAGGCCGACTCGCTGCGGGCCTCGCCCTCGAACCGCACCCCGGTCTTCATCGTCGGGGCCAGGCTGAAGGGCGCGACGGGCACGTCGGCTTCGTCCTCCACGTCCTCCTCGTCCTCGAAGCCGGCCGTTTGCTGCAGCAACCGTGCGGTCGCTTGCGCGGCCGCCGCTTCCGTCGCCGTCACAGAGGTTGGGTGCCCGCTTTGGGGGCCCGCCACGATGCGGTTACTTGTAGTACTGGACGCGGTGCTGCCGAGGCTTGAGCCCCGGGTCGTGGACGAGGCCGCGGGCTTGGACAACAGCGCCTGGGATTCGGGGGGTGTCGCCATCGTGCCCACCGGAATCCGCGTTGCATTCGGGTTGTTTTCGAACCGATAGTAGGCCGACGGCGTCAGCGTATCGCCCGTCTTTGCGACGTCGCCCCGCCGGTTGCTGGCGGCCAAACTTCCGTTCCCGTCCTCGTCTGAGTCCTCGTCTTCTTCCAACACGTACTCCTTGAAGCAGCAACACGAACAGCACGCCGGACATCCGATCGCGAAAATGGAAACGAAGCAGGTGAACAGGAGTGGCGTCAAGATGATCAGAAACCAAAGTACGCGCAGGCAGATCGCCTCCGGCGTCGTGTCGGAGGGGTCGCGAAGCGGGTACTCCAGCTGCATTGTCGACGCTGAAGAAAATTCTTCTGCGAGCAGATGAGGTTCCACCATACGATTCGGGGTGAGGGCTGCTGCATCACCAGAAAAGAAAACAGGATTTTGGGCAGGGGTGTCCAGGTGCGCATGTTGCTGTTGCAGAAACGACTGCGACGCATTCACAACCTGGTCTACCACGCCTTCTGCAGCTTCCTCCGGGGAAATCACGAACATCTTGCCGTGGTTTTGTGCCTCAGGTGCAACGGCAAGCGGAGCGGTATCTGGGGTTGATTATAAAAGGGCAAGTGCTAGTGTGAACTAAAAGTATGCTGTGCTTATCATTTCTTCTCGGTGTGCTCAGTTGATATTGTTTTCACAGGTGGGGATTCAAGAACGATTCAGGTCTGATACAAACCAAAACCTGTGTTTCGCATTTGAAATTAATATTCCAGAGAAAGTGTTTCGATTTCAAACGCGGAATCGCTTTGCACGAATCCGTGCGAGGGACCTACTTCGGGTACTTATGATTATTTCAGTTTCATTCATGTACTTATAAATAGTCCTAACATGATGTAAGATGACAACCAAGCAAAACGAAAACCGAGCATGGGCGACGAGCACACCGAAAAATCAGTTTCGGGAGGAAAGGGAAAAACCGACTTTCATTTTCTCAATCTGCTGGAAATGCAGCACAGCAGTGGACCGACTATATCTACAGAATGAAGATCGATAGTGTGACCGAAACGAATGGATGCTTCAGTTATTAACCAGTGCGACGACCGATGGATACTTTAACTTTATTGACGACGAATACTGTGTTCCAAATCAAGAATCACCACGTTGAGGTTTCGATGTGGTGTCGATGATGGCAAGATGTTCATGTCGTAGTGCTATGCTCTACAGTAAGCCTTCGAGCAGGTGGATTTTCATGTCGTAGTGCTATGCGCTACAGTAAGCCTTCAAGCAACGCGCCTTTAGCAGGTCGCGACGTTGGGAAAGTTTGTCGATCCCCTGGAACGAAGATGCGGTCGCGCTCCTTGCCCGAACGGGGCAAGGGGAAAATTTAATTTGTTACTCCCTGAAAAAGACACAGATGAGTACGTAGTGGTCTGCTTCTGTTTCCGTGGGCGCAGCCAGTGACGATGTGTTTGCGGTTGTCCAGAACTTTACCGTTCCTTGGTGATTGTTCCGATCATCGCAGTCTCGATCAGTTCCCGGGCGGAGGTTTTGTTATCCCGGCCCCCGGGCGACCTGCTCCCCGCTTTTTTGCCTTTCTTACTGGATGCACCGCCGGGCGGAGAGCCCGGGGCAGGAGCATGATTGCCACTTGATGTTCCAGCGGTCGCGGTGGACTCTTGCTGCTCTCCCGCACCAGCACCAAAGCTCATACCACTGGTGGCGCTCGCGTAGTACTGACTCTGTTGCGCACCATCGGTAGTATTGGCGTAAAAGTCGGGGCCAACATACTGCTCTCCTTCCGGCACAGGATACTTGTGATGGTCCACTTCGGGCTGGTCCTCTTCGTTGGCGACCTGCAGAAAGATGTCTCCGAGAATCAGGAGCGCCTGCGCGCGGCGGATGCGCAGGACCCAGGGGACGCTGACGTCCTTCAGCAAAAATTTCACCACGTTTTTCACCGTTTCCTCCAAGTCACGCACACAGATCGCCCACGCCAACTGCAGAAAGGCCGGCAGCGTCTCGTCCTCAATCTTCGTGTGCGCCATGGCCTTCATCTCGTGTTTCTCCTGGTCCGTCTTGGTTTCATCCTTCTCCGCCTTCTCCACCTTCTTCATGGTCTTCTCCACCTTGCGTGCCTGAAAAAACCATTTATGCTTCATCACTCAAAGTGACGAGAATTATAAATTAATTATCGTATGTGTGGAGCAGGTACAACTAGACGTTGTAAATTGAACAAACAAACCGACAGGTGGAGTTCTGTATCGGCGAGCAAAGGCTGTGATCTTCTATCAAGAGCAAATTCCGCTCGACTTATGGTAGTACAAGTCACTGGTGGAAATAAATTGTATGTGTAGTATAGTACCTGTTTAAGCGCGGTGTATCCCGAGCCAATGAGGGTCGCGCGGTTCGACCACTTTTTCTGCCAGGACCTGTGGCTGGCGGACAGGGCGTCGAGCGTGAACCGGCCTTTGACCTCGTCCGCGAGGAAAACGGTGGCGCGGAGCACGTAGAGGTCCCCGAGTACGCCAAGCAGCTCCCGGCCGAAGGACGCCTTGCTCAGCTCATTTCTCGCCTCTTGCTCCACCGAGGCGCGGAACCCCGGCTCGTCCCTCTGTTCGACGTATTTCGCCACTCGCTCCCGCAAAAACACGGCGCACTGCACCTGGCGCCGCCACTGCTGCCGCTTGAACTTCACATCGCCCATGCTGCTGAAGGGGTCCTCCAGTTTCTCACCATCTTCGTCCAAGTCCTCGTCCATTTTTTCCGCGGAAGCGGAGGAACCGGTCGCAGAAGTACCAGCGTAGGTCGAAGATGTCGTCGCGCTGCTCGTAGCGGACGCCGAGCTTGTAGCTCCGCCATTACTAGTGGAAGCAGTTGTTGTGTTTCCACCAAAACCGGAAAACATCCCGGATCTACTCTTTCTCGGATTGGGAGTCTGCTCCCGCGTTTTGCAGCTCTTCAGTCCACCATTTATTTCCTCTTGCGACGCCGAGGTCGTTGTTCCGGTGGGGGCAGGAGGCTGTTGCTCACCACCAGTCGTGGGAAGATCCTCTGAAAATTCCACACGTTGCCCAGCGGTTGTTTTACTACCAGTTGTCGGTGGCACGTGCACGGTGTCCACCAGCATTTTCAGGTTTTTCTTTCTCTGCTGCGTTCTCTTCGAGTCTTTTCCCTCCTTCTGCTCGAACCCTTTTAACATGGAGTCTGCCAGGGTCGCGATGCTCATGTCGCCCACGTAGCCGTCAAACTTCTCGGAGCCAAACAAGAGCGCGAAAAACACAGTGGGCTCGATTTTCGGGATGTTTTCTGACTCCAGCACCGCGTCTTTTCCCTGCTTGTTGTACTTCTCGCGGAGGTGGTCGTCCGACAACACCGAGTAGGCGTCGCTCAACTGCTGGAACTTCGCTTTTGCGTTCTCGTCGTCGGGGTTCTTGTCCGGGTGGCAGGTTCGGGCCATCTTGTAGTAGGCTTTCTTGATTTCCGCGGAGTCCACCTTTTTATACGGATCGATGCCGAGCAAGTCGTAATATTCCGTGTCCACTACCTCAACCGGTGCATTTCCACTGCCGCCGCTGCCCGCAGTCCCGCTCTTCCGGTTATTTGATTTGTTCCCTGGACTCGTTCCGTCTTTCTGGTCCTTCAAGAGGCGGTTTTCGGTCTGCACGTTTTGGTCCATCAGCTGGAGATTCACGTTGACCCACGTCCCGGTTTCCGGGTCCCAGATCTTGTTCTGTCGCTTCGCCGTGAACCCGGTAGCCTCCGCCTTAACGCCGCGCACGATCTGCGTGGCGCCACCAACAACGCCCGCCACGGGCATCGCTGTTTTATATACGAAGTGCATAGAGCTAGAGGTTGACGAATCTGGTAAACAATGTTCGACCCTTATCAAAACTTAACATGTACGGAAATGAAAGTTGCATTGAGCAATCAGCAAAACAAAGTACCAACTCCGGCGACGAGGCCGACACCGAGTCCTTTCACTAGGCCCAGCGCTTTGTTTCCGAGGCCGGGTTTGGCGCCACGCACGCCCCCGACCGTTGCCGCTCCGAGCGCTACCACGCCGGTGGCTGCACCACCGACAATGCTTCCCACGCCCTGCTTTAGTCCGGTCCAGGCGTCTTTTGGCCGGGTCTTGGCCCAGATCTCTTTCGCGGTCTCTTCCGCTTCCTGGTCTACTTCGGTGATGTCTACCATCAACACGACGATTAGCTCCTGCCCGGGCGCTGCCGCTAGTGCGTGCAAGGGGACAAGATCTCCCTGTTCGGAGCAGAGTGGTTTCTGGCTGTCGCTTTTTTCGGCAAAGTACAGCACTCCGTCCATCTCGAGCAGTGCCAGCTCCGTCGGAGCCCCTTGCGCATAATGACTAACGTCGTCGAGTTGTTGTCTCCAGTACGAAAATTGTTGTTCGTCCCCAGTAGAGGGGTCGGCACTACCCATGGGTTTGCGTGATATTTTCGCCGTTTGCGTCTTTTGCTTCGGTTTCACGGGTGGCTTTGGTATTGCGCTGCTCAGCGCGCTGTCCGCAAACCCCGGGCCAAAGTTGAGCCCGTCGCGCGCATTGGATTGCCCGTGCGGTATCAGGGCCAGCGATGAAGCACTTCTACCAGCATGATCCGGCGCAGGAACTTTATTTGAAGTAGATGCACCTGCTCCGTTTTCCTCCTGCAAATCGTAGTCTATTTGCTGGGCAATCTTGTAGGGTCGCAGTGACGGCAAAATCGTGATGTACAGGGTGCGACCGTCCTCGCTCAGCGCGTACCACGCTTGGCGATTCACGGTCCACAACTTGACGGCGCCACTGGCGACGTCCGCCGGCCCGCCCGCCTCGAGCACTGGGACCGATTTCGCCCCGGTGCCAAGTTCGTCCTTGAGTTCCCAGGGAAGCTGCTCCTGGTCGGATCGCGGGGCCGCCCCCGGATTGGTTGATGCGCTGCTGTCCGGCGGAACAGAGGCACCACCATCGGCAGTAGATGAAGTGTTGATCAAAGTCCCATCACTGTTTTTCGCGTACTCTCCGAGCCAAACGCGCACTTTCTTGCTGCCATAGAAGGTGACGACGCAGTAGGTTTCAAAAGCTTCCTGATCGACCAACCAAACCACCCCGGATCTCGGGCAGTAGTTCGAGCTGAGGATTACCTGGGTCTTTTCGACGTTCTTTTGTCCGATATTCCTCCCCACATCTGCGACGGTGGCCCCGCTCGGGAAATAATCGCCGTCATGCATGAACGGGATGCCGCTGTGATTCTCCAAGAGAATGCGAAACTTGTTGCGCAGCCTGCTCGCGCCATCCGTGCCGAACTGGTCCCGTTCGGCGCCGTGCTCGGACTCGGGCGATCCCATGACAATCAATGGCCAACAGGAACTCCGATAGCACTTTTTGCTTTTTTTATCCTTGTTCCCCCGTGTTGTGCTGTCTTCGACTTCGTGACAGCAGAAGAGGCGCAAGAGGAAACGCTTCAAAGAATCGATGCAAGGTCTCACCGGTGCGGGAAGAGACGTGGAGCGCCGCCTCACCACCTGCTCCAAGTGGCTAACTCTGGAAGACGGTTCTCGTTTGGGACCGGTTGTACAGCATTTGGATGTGGGAGGTTCATCGATGCTGGGATGCGTTGAGGAATTCGCTGGAGCTGCTGGACACTCGACCATTTTGCGTCTCGCGTGTGTGGTAGTACACACACTGACGAAAAAAGACTCGTGAATTCAAAAGTTTTTGCCCACATTTCAACAAGTTTTTACGAAGATCAAATATGTTACTTTGCTGTGGATACTTCTGCATACGTAATTTTGCAATCTATGTTGCTAAAAATGCTAGGGAGGTGATCGTCCGGGGAAAACAAGTATCTTTACTTTTGGGAGGTAGGCAGTGGCAAGGACAGAGGAGGACTGTCGCAAACAAAAAAAAAGAGATCATCGCACAAAGCAAGCGCCTTTCATGTTTTTGTTGTGCAACTTTGATCATACCTGTAAAAGAAGTGCAAACGCTTTACTGCGTCAAGTAGGATCAATCTATCAGAGCGTACTTGATGAGAAAAAAGGAGAACCACTTGCGGTGCAGTTCATTCGCCGGAGCACAGATTTTTTCAGTTTTTTTCTTGCAACAGACTTTTGTTTTTTTTCTCAACTTGTTTCCAGGCCGACCAACTTGCAGAGAGCTCAGGGCAACGAGCTCGCGCCCAAATTTGCAACAGAGTAGGAGTAGTGAGAAACAGCTACTTGCAGCTGATCAAAAATCAAGCTTACTTCACGAACACGACCCACGCAAAGAAGTGTCTTCAACTGACACTGCTCTTCTCGACCCAGCTACAGCAAGCAGAAACGATTTTTTTTCCTCACCTGAAAGTCGACATATTAGAGTTCTTTTTCCCGGAGAGAGTTCTGGTAGAGTCTTTGAAGGCTTGTCACAAGAACGTAATTGTTTTGATTACATTTCATACATAGCCCTAGCTACATAGAACGCCCCTGCCCGAGTGACAGCCTCCGAAGTTGAAAAATTTGATCGAATGAGTTCTCAATCAGACACGCAACTATTATTTCTGCAGAAGCGATGGCACCGCTTCTCCTAAAAAGTCCTCTGCTGTGCAGCGGCAACTGGCTTGGTAAAGAGGTCTACTAATATCCTGGATGCATCTATCTCTACCTCTGGTCTTACTTCATACTTGATAGTACGCTACCTTCGTATTATCTTACATTCATTCGGAAAATCGTACAAAAACGGCTTCGCTTCGTTTATTTTCCAGGGTGGTCGTGTAGCAGAAAAGAGCATAGGTTTACTTTGTCGCACTTAGGTGTTGTCAAAAGACCTCAACATAGCTGCGTTTTTGGTCTGAATCTAGGTAGAGGAATTTCATACTTACTAATGAGGCAAGAAACAAAGGTCTAAAAATGAGGTGTGTGGTCACTTGCGTGCTTCCTTCCCATACAATAGTTAGGTGACGCAGAATGCCACGGATAGTGACTGTAGTGACTGTAATCGGCAGAGATTTTACATGAAGGAAAAACTCGAATTACGATTAATTCCCTGACGTCTAGGTAGAAACTATAGGTAGAAAGAATATTTCCGACAAAATTATAGGGATACGTTGGGGACGAGAAATGTTGTTCTCATATTCCTTTCGGTGCCGAGACAATACTTCCCGCCGGGGTCTTGTGGCGATCTCGCGAAGGGCCGCCCGCATGAGACCCGAAGAACTTTTGACACATAAAATTTCGCACATGAATGATTTCTAAATTTTTTGCAAAATCTAAAACTCGAATCAAGTGCTGCACACAGTCGTCTTGCGATATGGCGAAAAACGTGATTAAGTTCGGTCCCATTATTTAGTGTTTTTGGTTTTTTGTGTTTTTTATCATAGTCGTTGACAAAGTTCTCTATAAGATCGTTGCATCTTCGATACCATGCAATATCCGGTCCAAAACTAGTGCTCTTTTTCATCCAAAGATCCGCAAAATAAGGGCGACATCGGACCCTAGTCAGTGCAATTTTCAGTACCCGAAAAACTTTTTCCTAAGGGAGCGAGTCCATAGGGTGGAGCTGAAGCGGAGACGAGAAGATCCCGAGTCTGCCCCTTTTCTGCGATATCTCTTCGTGTTTGTATTCATGACCATAATCTTCCTAGTTCAATACGAAACTATTGTCTAACGATGTTCTTCAATACTCGTTCTTCCACGAGATTTGTTTTTAGTCGAGATTATATTCCGCTCCTTAATAGCGCTATTCCTATTCGTATTCCTGCTGAGCTAGAGTAATGATAAAAAGTCGTATTTCTGATAGCATAGTAAACCTAAAATATTATGAAACCACTGTTGATAAAAGGTAAAAAGTAAAATGGTTGTAACTGCATAAACAGATCAATACTGATATTTTTTTTTGGATTTTTTTTTGTTTGTGTTCTGAAAGTTGTTACCATTTTCCGTCGAGTTCCCCCTGACGCTTGAAGGTTTCCCCGAGCATGACGCCGAGCTCCCGCTTCTCGCCCTTGGACAAGGCGTACTGGGGGCGGCCGTGCGCCGTGCGGTAGTTGCAGATGATGCCAATGTCGCCCTTTTCCCACAGGAGCGGGATCCCATTCTGGTCGTAGCAGTCCACCCACAGCTGCTTCTCGTCGCGGGTCATCACCTCGCCGTCCCCGAAGGTCAACTTCAGCGGCCGTTCCCAGTGGGGCAACTCCTTCACCCCGGGCCAGGAATCGAACCACGCGTAGTCGTCGGCAACCGACGCATACAGCGTGTTCTTGTCGTTGAACGGATCGTACTCAAACGTGTCCACGTAGTACTTGGTCACCTGGACGCGGACAAAAATGAAAATCGGATTCTAGTAAATGATTTATTTCTAGTACCTCATCTTAACAAGATGTTAAGTCCCAGCACATAATTAGAAGCTGGTACTAGACCTAGTACACTCTTTTTCTGGACGAAAGACAATCAAAACTCGATGAAACATGTTGCGAAATTGTTTCTAAGTACCATGTAGCGGCCGAAGAGCGGGGAATTTTCCCACTCGACCTCCAGGCCCTTGCCGCGCATGATTTCCGCCGCCTGGTCCATGTCCTCCACACCTGTGGAGGTCTGCCAGAAGTTGTACACGATCGAGCTGTCCAGGTTGTTGTCCGTGAAGAACTTCTGGTCCGGCAGCTTGCGAACGTAGCAGCAGCCCTTGTCCTTCAGCTTCTGCCCGAACGAGGTCTCCAAAATGCGCTCCGTCGCGCCGATGTTCTCGGAAATGTAGGTGGCACCCTGTGTGATCATCGTATCAACATGCCTATTGATTGTCGTTGCAGACAAAAACATTTCTACACCTTCCATGATCCATTTCATGCTCATGCAGCAGTTGATAAAAACTGAGACCTCCTCGTTTTTCAACAAAACACGATCCAATTGATGATTTGATGAACAGCTGCTATGTGTAGTATAATCAAGTACCTTCAGAGGGTTGTTGGTGGCGTGCAGCGCACCGAAAGCGAGCCACTTGACGGATGCGTCGATGTAGGCCATCTCGTGGTGGTACTGCAAGTCGGCCTCCTTCGGCGCCCCGGTGTCGTAGACATTCGGCTCGATCTCGACGCGCAGGTTCGCGCCGCCTTCGTAGTCGGTCTTTTCCGGGAACAACAGGCTCACAATGGCCTGCATCTTCTCGAACTCGTGCAGTCCCGTCTTCACCAGCTGCACCGCGCCGACGTTTTGGAAAATCTCAGCCATGTGCTGCTGCAGGAGCTGCAGTTTTATTTTGTGGTGTGCAATAGAGATATGATCGTGGGCCTTGTTGTAGAAACCGTATAGTGACGAAAGCACTTTGATTCTTGATTTTATTTCTAGCTAAGAAGTACTTATTTCTTTCATCTCGTGCCCCACCTTGGAACGATTTTGTGACGCGCAAGCACAAGAACAACCCTCGTGCTCGTTGTGCATTGCTGTATTCAGAAAAAGTGTACCTTATCAAACAAAAAAGTGAAAATGTTTCATCGTAAGTGTAGCATAGTTGTACCTGCGTGTCCCGCAGGGCCTGATCCGCGATAACTTTTCCCTCGGCATCCCGCGCGGAGAGAATCTTCTGCAAGTCGTACTTGCTGGCGTCGATTTTGAACTTGTCGAGCGGCACTGCGGACTTGCCCGTCCAATACTTAACATCCAGGGGGGTTGGGTCCTCCTCCTTGGGGTGACTCGTGTAGAACCGTTTTGCTCCACCGCTCAACGGAGCTGCGCCAGCGGCAGGGAAGCTGCGCCCCCCAAAAAATTTGGTGGACGAGCAAGTCGTCCTGCCTGCTGCCAATCCCCTTCTCGCTGCGTGAAGCATTTCGATTTCCGCTGGGGTCGATTTCTTCTAAACTAGGTAGAAGTTCTTGTGCGGGTTATTCTGAAAGTAGAAGTAATCGTTAGAGTATGGTACACACCGTCGAATTCGCCCGATCACGACAGGTGGTAAATTTTTCCGTCGGCGAAGCAGGAGTTTTGAATCGATTTTCCACCGAAAATATCAAAGGCTCCACTTCCAACAGTTGTTTTTGGATGAGGTTGGTTGGGTAAAGATTGGTAATCTTACTGTTATATTGTGTTCTCCCGGCAAAAAACAAGTAAGAATTAGGTATGGGTTGTAATGAGGTTTAATATATTGTGAAGCAAATTAAAACTTAGTGAGAGAAAATAAGCGTTTGCAATTTTTTTATGTAGAATTGTAGACTATGCGGTCGTCTAGTAGTAAGCTGTACACTAGTACAGCTGCCCGAACCGGAGTCTATTAATCCCCAAAAAAAACGCTTGACTAAAGTTTTTTTGATTCAAATTGCATTGGTGGAGTGGCAAGGGAGGGGCACCAGGGGTCATGCGAAAATGTGAGGGAATGCAACAATGGAGACGAAAACTATTTCGACTTCACTTCTTGTACGAGGAGGGAATTCGAATTGCACGATCGCACGAAATCAAAAAAATCTCTCTTGCACGATATTACCGTTGCACGTAGTTTCACGACTCAATTTTCCGGCGTCAGAAAAAATGTACGTACCGACATTTCCTGGCAAGGTAGAGGCACAATGCTCGTGTAGGTGTACTCGACATACGCTACGTTTGACATTGCTTTCACCGAGAAACTTTACATACATGTAGGTACCGACTCCCATTTTCTCACACTCTCTTATTGATTCTCAACTCTCGCGGGACTTATACATGTCCAAGACGCGGCTTCACTTCTGCGCTGTAAGTATACACGTGTCAGACTCTAGATTCGTTTTAGAAGTCTCGTTCGTCCATCTAATCAAAACCTCCTTTTCTCTCGGTCTTCTGACATCTGTCTCCCTCTCCGGCTAAAAAGAGTGAAAGAATACTGCTTCGTGAGCACACAGAGCGCGAAAAATTTACTTATTCAGATACCTGCGAAATTTGAGTCCTCTCGTAGGGTGATGCTTTGTCTTCGTTCATGGGGGACGAAAAAGTACAGGGGACAAAATGCCGTGTTGGGGGGGTTAGTGCCCTTCCCACCTCGGGGGAAAAGGACGAGGCTGCACGCATACGACAGTGCGCGGCGGCCTTGTCGCGACAACAGGGTAGAACGAGAACTGACAATCTGTTTGAACCTTGTTTTTCTAGCGTAGCAACAGCGATAGTAATGCGCGATTACCTCTGTTCTTGCTGTTGATATATCTGTGACAATAAATCTGCTGGTGCAAAAATGCAACACTCATCTGGAACCATTAAGCATCAAAGCGACGATGAATAGATACTAGCGCGGTAGAAGATAGCTCAGAGTTATTTTAACAGTCTGAAGGAGCGCGAAGCAAGTACGATGAAAATTCGAATTGCGACCACCTTCTTGTGCGCAATTAAGCATCGGACTGCTCGAATTCCTCCTCGTATTCCTTCTCGAACTCCTCATTTTCGTACTCCTCCTTGACTTCCTCGTCCGTAGCCACCACCTCGTCGTCTCCTCCGGTAGCGACGCGCCGCGCAGCCACAGGCGCTGCTGGTGCGACTTCAGCTGGTGGGTCTGGCACGACATTCGGCGGAAGCTCCGTCGCATGCGTCTGATTCTCGATAGCGGGCAACGTCGGAGCGGCTGGTGGTAATATAATTTTTTGTGTTTCTAGTAAAATTCAACATGATCTCAGGAGGACCTACTAGCATTTTTGAAGGTAGATGGTGACTCAGCTAGAGATCGACGAAAGCTAGCATCTCTAACTTCTTAGCGTATTTATTTTTCAAATTCCAATTCATTCGAGTCAACGGCGGCCTGCAAAGTATCAAATGTGGCAAAAATACATTCTGCTCCGGTCTTGGACAACTTCAGTTTGTGTGTACGTTTCCCCAATAGGTCGTCGTACAGCCCGTTTCGCCGCGCACTGTAACTACAGTTTATCATGTGTAGTCTTCGCGCAACCGCTTCCTCTTCCAGCTTCTGGTTGTTCATCATCTGTTTTGGATTTTTGTTTTTCACGGTCGATGTCATTCAAGCGCTAGCCTTATGTGGTGCACACTCTCATAAAATAGAAATACAGCCACGGAAGCATTAAAAAAATGCGTGCTACAAGCAGATGCACATGATTCACTTTCATCATCATCATCATCATGTTGATCGATCCTTACTACTCGCGCGAAAACAATCAAATAAACGTAAGTAAGTACCGGCTGCGTCTTCTCCAGTCGCTCTAGGAGAAGATGATTCTCCATGGTGATACGAAACAGCTCCTTCTTTCGGTGAGAGTGATTCAAGCTCTTGATGGGCCCGGACGCTGTATTTGTTATCGTGCGACGTTTACTAGATCAAATCTCGCACAAACAGAACTTGAACTTCATCAATCATAAGTAACTTGTCCATGACAGCACGTTGGTCAGTCTTTCGCATCCGACCGGGAAAACAAGCAAAAAAACAGTTTATAAACATATAGAATTACGGAGTCCCCTTGGTGCTTCTACTGGCCGGGTCATGGTTCTTGCTATTGACTGGATCATTTTCAAATCCTGAAACGCTGCTTCTGTGGTCGCGCGCTTCTTTGCGAAGTAATCCCGTCCGAAAAGTTGAAGATGTGGTTGTGGTGCTGGTGGATTATTGTCGATGCTGCACTGCATCTTCTTCAGCTGCTCGCGGTGCCTGTCGTGCGTCGTTTTCACTCCATAAAAAATCTTAGTTCATCTCGGAGGTTCTACACTACATATAGACACAACCTGAATCATCCTCATCATTCACCTTGGTCATCAAAGGCCGCGGAGTCATCTCTTAGCATGCAGCACAGAAAGAAATCTTCAAAAAACGGTGGATAGTACCTCAGCATCATTTTCTGATGCTCGATGTCCGCTATTATTGGGTTCCCGTAGGAAACATTTGTTCTCTTGTTCGTCCCTTTCCTCATCTTGAACTACTTGTTGTGGTTCGCTTGCGCTCCTTGTATTGTCGTCCCGCAAGGCGAACAGCCTGTTCGAGCGAGTCGGGTCTTCTACTTTCTTACCGCGGCCGCGTCGAGAGAGAACGATGAAGGCGTCTTCCAATTGACCGCCTGATCGGCGCTTTCACTTTCTGTGCACTGCTACTGGAGCTGTCGCAGTTTGATTGTGCTCCTGCTCCTCGTGAGAAGCTTCCCTCGACGGTGGCTTCTTAGTTGCGTACCGCAATAGAGTCAGGCAGCCTGCAGTGGCACACACTCACTTCTTAATGTGCCGATTATTTTCGTTGTCGCAGATGAAAGCTACAGGCGGCGAAATTGCCGCTGTCGCTGTCTCCCTCTGTTGGCTGTTGGTGGCCTTTAGTTGTTGGACGTCGTTGCCCTCCTTTTTATCGATTTGAGCGTTCGTCGAGAAAAGTCCCTTCCTTCTTGTTGTTCGTGAGGAGTTGCTACGCGCAGAGATCAAACCACGATTCGCAACTGAAGGCCGTCAGGCTGCTGCAGTTCGGTACTAAAGTTCCGCAACAAAAAGTGGAATGAAAGACTGTTTGGGAGAATTTTTACCGCGTTTGTGACTTGATGCCACTGGAGAATATCCTGGAAAAAGAGGAAAGCTGTTCTGGGCGAGCGGGTGACGTTGAAATGTCGAACTGGCGCTGCGTGCTGCTTCGGTACGGGTACTGGTACTGGAACTGTTCTTACATCAAAGGCATACTTTTCACACAAAACGAACCAATTAGATCGAATGGAGATCCTCGGTATGCGTTGTATCAACTGCAGTACTAGTACACGAAACGACAACTACTTCACTGTGGCTCGTCTGGCTAAACTTGTTCGCCAAAAATCTTGGTGCCCTTGTTTTCTACGCTGGTACAGTTATGGGACGAAATCCTCTTTGTTCCTGTGATTCAGAATTCAGCCAGAGAAGCTTGCATAATTGAAAAATCGACACTACAAATCGAATTGTGGATTCCCCTGCTCTCAACACCGACCTCGATGTGCAAACGCTCATTCGAGAGTCCCTCGCAGGTCTGTACCACCCAAGAACGAAACAACCTCGGCTACCGTGGACGTTTCTTGCCATGAGAGACTTGTTTCGCGGATCCTGTACGAGTACGAACGCCCACGTCCTCTACGAAAAAGTGCTGAACGTTTGTGTGCCTTGGACGATTTTGGCCCTTGCTTGGTGAATCAAACATAAAGATAAACCCAAGTCATACGACAGAGAAAAACAAATTTTACCACGACACTTTCTTCACGAACGTACGTCCCAAACAGCAGTGGGTGACGATGAATGATCACGAGTTCTCTTCACGTATAATATTGCACGACTAATTTATTTTCGCGAACAGGTTCCTCCACGCAAATTCTGCAGTTGAAGTTTCTTTCCTTCCAGGAGGGCTGGCGCCAGATCGAACTTAAGAAGAAGCCTCGTGAGACTGCGCAGTTCTACTGTACTTCGAGATCATATTGCCGCATCTTTTTGTTTTCCAGATCAACTGGAATATTTTTTTGAACGTGTCAAGAAACAACGACAAACCCAAACGATAGAGAGAACGACAAACAGCTTGAAACAAACGTAAGGTAAGTATCAATCTATCATAAGACCAAATAAAAGAATTAATAAGCGCTAGTAAACAAACTCTCGAGGTAGAATTTACCCACTTGCTCACTTCACTCGCTTTTCCAGAAAGGAGTACGCCTTCTGCACGCGCTGAAAGTTGTGCTCCGAGGCGGTTTCTTTGACCGAGGACTTGTCTGGGTGGCACTCGCGCGCCTTGCGGCGCCAGGCAGTGGTGAGTGCACTTTTTTCGCGGGGCATGTTCGGGAGGCCAAGAATGGACAATGCCTCGTCGACGCTGGCTATTCGCACGGCTCCTATGCGGTTCGCAAGTGCTGCGCGCGAGGACGGGGAATTACTTCTACCCGACGTCTTCTGCCTTTTCGTGGGTGGCCCGGTGGTCATCCCGTTCGCCTTTAGTGCATTATCGTCCTCACTCGCCTGCTCGCTTCCCGTACCCACATTGGAGGACGATGTTGGCGCTGGCGGGGTTTTTACATCAACACTCGAAGTTGATACGTTTCTCGCTGGACTCAATTTCGTCGTGCGTTGCGGGATTACATCTGGCACACTGTTCATCTTCAAAGATGTTCCACCAGGAGAACCTGGAACAACGCCGACCGGACTTAGCCGGGGTGACCGGTTTACGGGCTCGTGATGAGATCCTGCGTTTGTAAAAGGAACGAAGGTACTTCGACTAGCGGAAGCCCCGGCAGCGTATGGCTTCCCACCTTTACCACCACCGGGTAGAAGTGTTTGTCCAGAAGTTGATCCCAGGAAAATGTTCCCGCCGGCGAGTGATGCACTACTACTACTGCTACTGGAGGCACCGCACGGCGCCGCGCCGAAAAATACCGAGTTGTGCTGTATTGGCTGCGGAATTGTATTTTTTGGGAAGATACCACTTGAAGTAGTAGTAGATCCGCCTGCGGTTGTACTAGTAGTACTACCTCCAAAAACTGTTGCTCCGCGGCCGGACGAGACCCCGGGAGCTCCGAACACAGAGGAGCCAAAGCTCCCGGCGCTGGATGCTGCGCTAGTCCCAAACGAAAGTGAACTCTTGAAGAGGAACGAATCTTCCCTCTGGTCGTGCGGTGTCAGGTCTGAAGATCTCTGCGAAGTAGAAAACACGCGAGTCGGCGAGGGCTTTGGCAATGTGTTCCGTATTTCGTTTTGCTCCCCTTCTTTCGTACCCACGTAGCCGGTTGCGCTTTCAGCAAAGGCGTAATTATTCGCAGGTGCCAGCGACGGCGACGGCTTGCTGCTGGTCGTTGTTCCACCACCGGCCGGCACAGGCACATCTGAACTGCGCCATATTCCGAGCTCATTCAGATAGTCGTCGAGACTGCCGGGCGGTTGTCCGAGCCGCTTCTCGACCTGGCGCTTGAGTTCTTTCTCCTCTTTTGCATGGATCACGTCAGCTTTGTTGGGGGTCGCCTTCGCTGCTGCGGCACGCTTGTTAATACCGGTACTTTTGCTGGCTCCAGTTGTACCTTTTTCCGTCACGTGCGCGCATACCGTCGTATTGACGCTCGCTCGTGGACCTCCTTTGCTGTAGACGAAAAACTCAATCCGGTGACTGCGCCAATGAAAGCTGCGAAAAGCCGGACCTTGCTCCCCTGCGACGGGAACCGCAACTGCCTTCCCGCCTTGCTTTTTGGAGTTGGTGGTTGTGCTTACCTTGTTCTTCGGTGGCATTTTGCATCAAACGGTGTAGAAATAGGATGGGTTCGTTTGCAGGGACCGATTCGGTTGAAAAGTTCGTCTTTCTTCTTAAGGTGTAGAGTCACCGACACGGTCACGAAAGTGTGTAGCGATAATGTACAAGTGGGTAGGCGTGTAATTGGGTGTGGGTTGGGATTTTGTAACTGCGTACTTTGTTGGAAATGACGTTATTCGAGGCTTTGCATCAGAATCATTAAAAAACAAGATGGCGAAAATACTCATCGCCTTTTTTTCGCCTCCTTTTACAGACCGTGACAGCACGCGAACGACCAGAAAAAAAAATACTTCTGAGCCTTTTTTGGCCATCTGGCACGACAACGATGATCGCCGGAGACAAAGACGATTATGACGAGCACGATAGGATTATATGCGCACGAAGAAAAAACGAACAACGCATACGCAATCATGTACAAAAAGAAACAAAACGAAGGTGCCAGGGGGTATTTTCATGTCGAACAAACATTTATCTCGCTACTGAGCACAACGGCCGTGCTTGTTGCACAAACAGGAAACTATGCGCCATGTCATTATTAAACTGTGTGGACAATCGCCGAGCAGATGAGCACTTCTTCGCACTTTCTGTAAAAAATGTTCAACTTTGTGTTGCGCTTCCAAGACTCGATGAATGCCATGAAAAGCGCGACTCCCCGAAAGTGTGGCAGTCATCGTAATCTTGAAGTTGAACCATAAAGGCTAGAAAGGGGATGAAACATTCAAAGCCAGGGTATGCACATGCAGAAATCAAAGAATGCAGACGATAATATTTATATGCAGACGATAACATAAGTCGCAGCAAATGTAATCCATAAAGACGCAGAGTCTTTTCTTGTAAAAATACTTTTCCACCCAAAAGTAGAAATTATGTGGCGTTTTGGAGGTTGATCTACTGCGCAGAACGATGTAGCACTATTTTTCATCTTCGTGGTAAATTTTAGTTCTGTTCTTTAGATACCGTACACATCGAAAGAATTTTTCCGGAGTATTTTCGCGACCTCACCTTCTGGGCGCTCTTTCAGCCGCGCAACCGTCTGTATTACGCGCGGAAGAAGTGCGGGGTAACTGAAATTTGTCGTCCAGTCCTCTCCGGGGCAGAGGTATGGGCCATCTGTCTCCACCAGTAACCGGCTTAGCGGAATGATGGTCCGCACCTGTCGCATCAGCGGAGTTTCGAATACATGCACATTCTTTTTTATTTTCTCCGGCGTGGGGGGTTCTGCTCTTGCTTGGGATAACTGTTGGGTACTATTAGAAGTGCCGGTAACAGCACTCTTGTCTTCGTGTTCCCCCCGCAGCAAGCGTTTGTTTCCAGAGACTTCCTCTTGTTCGATACTTATTCCACCACTTCCGGTTCCGCCGCGAGAAAAAATGCCTTTTTTCGCAAAAGGACTGGGAAGTACCATCACTGGCTCACAACAAAAATCATCGCTAGTATTCTCCGCCGATTCGGTCACGTCGTCGTCGACGTATTTCAACTTCGGGTCATTCGTGTAGTAGAGCATCGCGTTCGGGTTCTCCAGCGCACAGGTGACGCCAATGTAGCATCGCGAGAAGGTGCGGAGAAGCTTCTTCAGAAAGTCGTCGTTGTTGTATGAAAGCGCACAACTCCCCCTCCCCCTCATTTGTATAGCATACACGGCAATACAAGCGTCAGAAAGAATGCAAGTTTTACATGACAAATTTGCACTGGAGTGTAGTGCTATTCGGGCTACCAGAACCTGTCATGCAAACAGTGCCAAGAGGCAAAGGGTGGACGCGACGTGGACTGGGTATTTTGCATGACAAATGAGGGGGAGGGGGAGTTGTGCACTGTCATATGTTGAAACACCCATGGATGTGCACCGGCCAGTCGCGGGGCACGTACCGCAACATTATATGGAGTTCTCAAACGTTACACTCTCAACTGTTACGTGATTTGTCATGCAAAATTGCCATCAGCCACACCACAACCAAGCTACTCCGCACGACAAATTCTCGAAGGGCTAAACAGCATTGAAATCTGTGCCGAATTTGTAATGCGAAAGGTGCAAGCTTGCCCCTTTCAGTGTTGCTGTTCTTGCATCACAAATTCATGTAACAGTTGAGAATGTAACGTTTGAAGCGCCATACATTATCTCAACCGTATCGGGTTCCGCCGACCGGCTGTGAATCTGCAGGGGAAGCCGGTACTTGTGCACACCTGGGAGAAAATGTCGAAGTGGAGGAAGGCAAATCTAAACAACTGAGCGACGATTTCCGACTTCTCGCTGCCGGCCTTTATTTAACGACGAAGGAAAGGACGTCGCAAAACATTTATCTGGTGACACTGGAGCTAAAAAACCGACCGGGTATAAAAGGAAAATTTTCTATTGTGTCGATACATACCGAGCAAAATCTGTTCCGTGAAGGCAGCCTTTTGTGCGACACGAATGTTCGGCCCGACCTTGGTCTGCATAACACGATGGGAGAAATCAAGCCCAATCTCCCCCCAAGCCACCAGCTTCAGCCGTTTTCTTTCAGTACCAGCACCTGTGTTTTGTTTATTTGAGGAAGCATGATCATCTTCCGGTGACAGTATCATAAAGTATCTCAAACCGAAACAAAATCGTTTTAACATGTCGTTTACCTTACTTCTAGATCAGAAACGTGCAGGGTTCCGATCCACCTCAATTTCGGCCACGGCCGGAAAAAACAAATCTTAGCACAGTATCCAAGCCCACCTTTCATCGGCGCACAGCTGGCGGTGGCGGCTGGACCTGAAAAGGAAGGAGCATCGTAACAAGGTTCTTGAAGCCTCAAATGTTTATTTTCTTGCAACGTAACACCGTCCAACCGGGGAACGCTGCACTTAAGCGTTCTCATGCAGTGCTCAGACACGTCGCAGAGCGGTAAAACTTTGGTTTCCAGGGTGCGCATGTAGTCTTTGTAATCCGGGTGCTGCCGGTAGTTTCCCTCCGAACCCCAGAACCCGATGCTTTTCGGATGAATCCCGCAGGAGAGGCAGACGCGCTCGGCGTAGGTACCGGTTGCGAGGATATCCAGAACGGGCTCTACGGCGTGCTCGTCACAAATGGACGTCACGAGGTAGTCGCAGTAATAGGTCGGGGCAGTGAATGTTGAGCGCAGGGGTAAAACTGGAGGCGTGTCGACGTCGGAGCTGGACTTCGGTTTCTTCCCGATCCCGCCCTGACCCAATACACCTATCATGTAAAATCAAAAGAAAAAGTCCTGAACTACCTGTATTCTTTTTGGATGGGGACAGAAACTGTGAAAGAAACAAACGGTCCGTTTTATTCTTTCTGTTATTGAACGGTACAAAAAGATTTTCCACTACAAGAAGGGTACCTGCTTCACCCCCCGACAATCCAAGAAGGTCTATCTCGTGCCGAAGCTTGTACAGGTCTTGCAAACTCTTGACTGCTGCTGCTGCACTCGGAGTAGACGTATTATCCTTATTCGCACTCTCCGTTATAGTTTTCCGATTTGCGCGTCGCTTGCAGCCCAAAATTTTTTCGCTGAGATAGCGCCACATCCAGGACCTCACATCGTCGGTGGAGATCCAAAATTCCAGATTGGAGAAGCAGCTCGCTGTCGCCAAGCGATGCCCCTCCTGCTCCTGCTGCCGCTCCCTTGTTGGAGATAGAGCGAGCGCGTTAGCTTGTTGTTTCTCGGTTGTCTCAATTATATCTTGGTCGAGGGATCCTCGCATAGTTTTCTTGCTCGAGGGACCTCTTTTTCCGCGAGCCTGCCTCGCAATGTCCTCCGTGCGATCGTCGTAGTGCTTCTTTTGGGGAATAAAGTGCGCATACACGTTGCCAGTGTTCTTATCCCGCGTTAACGCGTAGTGTCCCTTGGGAAACTCCGCTCGGGCCTCGTCCTGTTCCTCGTCCGCCCGCTCGCGCGCCCGCTCGTGCCGCACCGCGAGCTCGGTCCGGTCGAGGCCATCCTACAGAAAAAACCTAGCATATCACCTATCAAGCTGTGTAAACGCAAAAACATCACAATAATTTTTAGTATAAACTGTCAACGGCGAGCGAGCTGCCCATAGCATCATGGAGTTCAGACACAGACAGATTTATCTAGTACTTCTTTTTCGTTATTGTTGCGTGCTAGCTTTTTTCCGGTTGATAGATACCCCCGTCGACGTAAAGGGGAAAAAACTCGTCCAGGTCTCGGGTGTAGTTAAAGTTGTCGTAGAAAAACCGCAAGATGGTTTCAACCCTCTCCGAAGGCCTCGGGGGCGTCGGGAGCAGCAGTCGAATCAACAGTTCGTTCAGTTGAATCATGCGCATCCGTATGCATCGCAAATACGTCTGGGTCTGGAAGAACGTTGCAACTTGATGTCAACATGCCAGCCATTCTGGATCGTGCAAACATCTGAATTGCATGAAAGCCACAAGCCGGCCATTTCTTGCTACGCAAAGCAAGGAGAAGGACGAACTTTTTCTTTACGTGGAATAGGCATTCTTAAGACGCTCTTGCACAATCTGTTGATATGGTTCTTTGCTCATTCTGTGTGAGTGTGAGCCAAGAGATGCATGGCAAATGCGCGAGTCGATCTTCCAGGTCCAGACATGTTGGAGTTTGCAATGCATAATCATCAGCAAGTCTTCCACGGTGAAAATACGTTCCTCCGGGGAGTTGTACTGCTCGATAGCGACCGGAGATGCTCTTCGGTGTCGGTCGTTCGATGGCCGCTGCAGTCCGGGCGTAGTAGTACCGTCGGCTACTTCCCGTGGCGGAGGTGGCCTCTCGTTCGGAGGTTCCCTGACACGTGGCCGTCGTGGTACTTCATCGACGTCGCCACGCGGCCGTTGTTCACCTTCTGCCGCCACTACCGGTAGTTCTTCGCTAGTACTTCCGCTTCTTCTCGTCGCGAAGTCGAAGTTTGGCGGGTGGTAATCGGCCCGGCGGGGGTGTATGGAACTGTCAGGATCGAAATCGACAAAATCGAAAAGTTTGTGATGCATAAAATGTAGAGCACTGAAGGCCTGTATTGGGGAGCAGGCATATGAGACCGATTGCAAGCCTGTTTAGGCCTATGCAATGTGCTGTCAGAGTAGCATGACAGGAGCAGCCTTCTTTGCCCAAACAGCATGACAGATTGGATTTGGGTGCTCCCGCAATTTGTCATGCGCCATTTGGAAACTGAGACCCCAACTGGCATCGATTTTGTGCATCACAAGTTTTTCGATATTGCGAATTTCGATTCTGACGCTTCCATAGGATGGAAGGTGTCCGTATGGGTGACGTCCACGAACTGCTGCCAGTAGTCGTACTCAGGTTCGGTTTTGAGGCCCAACTCGAAAAAAATCTCTCGTTCCCACGGTGCCAAGGACCACCACGGGCGGTTGCGGTAGGCGGGCGGTACGTGCCAGAACTGCGTGATGCAGTTGTACACGATTCCGAGCCGGGAGACCAGCTCCATCTCGTGTCCCGAGACGTTGCACTGCCCCCGCTCGACATACCAGTCCAGCCACGGCAACTCGTTCTTGCCCGGGTCGTAGAAGTTTTTCCGCACCGAATAGTCGTGCACCGAGCTCTTCGCCTCGTGCCGAAGCGTCTCGTAGCGGCCAATCCGGTCGTAGTACTGTTTTAACTTGGGAGACCGCAACAGCGCAGGGCAGTTCTGGATAACTTCGTAGCCGTTGTAAAAGTCATTCCAAGCGTGGCACTTTACTTTATCCGTCGTGCCAGTAGACCTTTTAGTTCTACTCTGCCAAGAAGTAGATTTTTGTTCGCTTTGGTCACTGGAAGTGCCCCCGGGATGAAGGGGCTTGTCGCGCTTTTCCCTCGTCTGGTCCGTGTCGCGAAACGATTGTATGTGGTTCGGAAATGGTCCATACCGGTCATCGACGACCTCGCAGAACACCCACAGACGGAGCGCCTTTACTTCGAACCATTGGTAGGACCTCGTTGGGTCGCGGCTGCCGTTCTGCATGTCTTCTCGCCGGACGATGACCGTCTGTCCACCAGCGGTAACTCCGCTGCACTGCCAGTTAATTTCATCGTCTATCGCCACTTTCTCAACATCTTCAGGCGCAGCTGCTGCACTCGCATTCTCAGTGTCGTTATTTTCAGGACTCTTCTCCGGGATGCGTTCCCTCAGAAAAGACATCAGGTCGCATGCTGCTTCTTGCCGCGGCAGGTTTGCTTCGTCACTGGTAGGCCCCAGAAATAAACTGTCGTCGTCCGTCGTTACGGAAGAAGTTGTGGCAACGCACGACGATTGCGGGGATTCGGTACTGCAGGTCGACGGGCTTGTCGTGGTTGGCGAAGACGAAAACTCACGTCGAGCCGAGGTACTAGGTACTGTGCCTGTGGCTGTTTGGGATGATGATGATTGTGACAAACTGGTCGTCATAGAAGAACTCGACGAACCGGTGTCCCTCGGAAGATGGCCACGACCACCTGTACCGGAAGATGAAGCCGCAGCTGTAGAACGACCACCACCACCTTCTGGCAACTCGTTGAAGAACTTATCCCACTCGTTTTCCGAGTACATGGTGGTCTCCCCGCGTTTCTCCTGCTCTTGTTTCCACTTCCGCCACTCGTTTTTACTCCACGGCGAGCCTCGCGAACAACAACCGTAGGGAATCCGCAGTGCCCGGACCAACACACTGGTTTCCTCTGGGTGGCTCTCCCGCTTGAAAAACCGCTTGCAGGACTCTCTCTTCGGCGAGCGCAACATCAATTGGTCCACCTCGCTGTCAACGTCCGACTCAACATTTCCATTGTGGTCCCCTACTTGTTCGGTGTTGAGACGAGCTTCTCCTGCAACATCTTCCACTGATGTCTGGCCTAGCTGCCCACGACTCCCGGGCTGGGAAGTAATTCTTGTGGGAGGTACAATTTCTTTTTTTGCCTCAATTTCCTTCTTCTGATGCCACTCGTGACCGTCGGGGTAGTAGTACGCGACGTCGTGCAAGACCGCCTGGCGCCGCATCCAGAGGTTGCGGCTCACCTCCCACGGCTCGCAGACGAAGTTGCAGAAGGTCCAGGCGTCTTTTATGCCCAGCATCGCGAAGGCAACGCGCTCTTTCCCGGAGAGCTTGGAATACCACCCGTCGTGGTACTTATTGAAGTCCGCCCACTTCACAGTGACTTGGTGGGGGTGGCCCTGGCCGCCCTTTGAGGTGGAATACATCTCGTCGTACTCATCCTTGAACGTCCAGTTGTCGGGGGAACCTTTGTAGTGCGCGCCGTCCCATCCCAGAAACCGCGCGGCCAGCTGCTGGTCTTTCGTCAAGGCACGCCAGGGCTTGTAAAACGCGGGAAAATGCGGGTTCCTGTAGGGGCCGTAGATTTTTTTTCCCTCGATCGTGCGCTGAAACTTCTCCCGGGTCCACCCGTGACTGCGCCACATCCCCATCCGCTCGATCGGTAGCTCGTCCCAGGGCAGGAGCCCGTCCAGCCGCTTCTCGCGCTCCGCGCACGCGGCAATCAGCTCGACGTGGCAGTGCGTGTCGACAAACGGAGTGGGGCTCTGATGTAGTTCACTCGAGGAAGCTGCCGGCATAGCCGCGGCGACAGACTTGGGCACCACCACTGGATTGGTGCTGTTGGTATCCAAAAGTCGCTCGCTTGTTCCGTCGTGCGTCAACGAGTGTCGCCGGGGACGCGACGGCCTATCGCCATCCCTATCCTGCCCGATGTCCCTCTCCATGGCCGGTTGCTCCTAGTGCTAGTGCGCAAAATTCATTCAGTTTCTCAATTGTCGCGACTTCTGCTTCGCCTGGAGTTTCTTTTTGGTGTTTCTTGGGCCGGCGGCGGCTGCCCTGGCCGACGACCAGAAACCCCAAACCCTAGACCCTAACACTGCTGACCCTAGACCCTAAGCCCCAAGCCCAAACACTGCTGACCTGATTCCATCAACTTGATTCAGCTCTAAACGTGACTCCACAAACGTGATTCCAACTTGAAAACGTGACTCCGCTTCCAACCATAATTAACGCTTCACTTAAAGTAGATGATGGCCTCACGTTTTGTATCTCCATGCGGCGACCGTTGCGGGGCGCTTCTCGCGCCAGCAACGGCGCTATTCCTATGTTATCGAAAAATTATCTCCCATAAACCAACTAATTATTTCTCAACACTACTATCACATTGGGACTGTTGGTGTTCGGTTGGAATTTGCATTATTGGCTACTTCGTAGAACTTTTCCTGTACGACGACACGAGCGAGTCACATCCCTATCGCGGACCACAGATCCAGATCCTCATCATCATCTGCAGAACTACTTAGTCTCAGCAGATCTAACAGTTGAAGACTCGGCGACAGCGACACGCGTGACCACAATCATGAGGACCTGGCAGAATCAGAGGATCTTTTTTGTCGCCTGCTAGATCTTGAGTTGCACTTGTTGATGACGCCCACCAGCAACATCTTCGTGATCGTGTGTTCGGAAGAAAGAAGATATGAATACACCCGCTGCGGCGCGCTCACGCACGCGTAAATTACAGAAAAATTTCTTTTAGAAAACGCTCTGATCTTCATCAAAATCGCACAACAGTTGAACAATTAATACGTGACGTGGAATGCATGGTATTTCCATTGCTCCCCACGCTTTGCGTGCTTCGATCGAAACTGCGTCGTGGTACCTCCCAGACTCAACATTTATTTCAACATCGTACATATCGACATTCACCATTCCGCGTTGGGGCAGCTTTGTTCACGTTGAAAGGTAGGAATAAAGAGCTCCACTCGAGAGAGAAAGTGGAAACTTGAAAATTACAGCAGGTCGCTCTACTGCTACTCGCTGAGAGTGGGGCAAGAATATGAATGGCGTTGTAACATTGACAGTGGCTGAGAAAAGGTTCTCCTGATCAACAGAAAAGCGCGACGATGCCTGAATAATGTCTCTGTGCAGTTGTGCCTGTGGCTGTGGGTATGATGTCTGTATAGTATGCGTATGTATGACAACGATCTTCATCTGTTTCTGTGGTATGCGTTTGAATAAAAAACCAACGGCGAGAACGAGAACCACGTAGCTGCTACAGATACTTCGTGCGTTATTCAGCGCGAATACGTTTTTGCACCTTCGACGGATGTACAGGAAAGTAGGTTCCTGCAGAGGGCGCAATGTCCCCGTTATAGGGTTCCACAGGCAGCAACCACGCCCAGTAGCTTGGGCCAAAAAGTAGCTTTAGGTTGTGAAAAGCACTGAAGCCTCCGTAGGGGGTATCCTGAGTAAAAACGTACCCACACCATAGTCAAGATGGGGAATCGGCTAGACAAATCCACAAGTTTTGGCTGTTTTGCATGACAAATTTGGATTCGTAGTGTAGTGCTGTTTGAGCTAGCTCAGCAGCATCACAGATCTAGCACACCATGCTGATTGGAGCATGACAAATTGCAAAACACGACTAGAAAACGCTTCTCATGGGGCTCCGCATGAGAAACATTTTCAGCATGCAGATTTGCATTACAACTCTGGTGTGGCTGTGGGTACGTTTTTACACAGGATAGGGGGCATCGCAGAGAAACGTGGCCTGACGTCCAGGTGCGGCGCGACGTGGGTGCACAGCGTAAGGTATCAAATGTAAAAATGTCTGGGTCTGGAAAAGTGCATGTTTGTCATGCAGGTTTCCCATGACCCATGAGGTCTGGAATGCGGGACCTAGCATCACAGATTTTTAGAAGGCCTCCTGATGCCTATTCCGCATGACAAATGCCCTCCCGACGTAGCAAAAACTGGACTCCTCTTGCTGGTCATGCAATACAAATCTTTTTAGAGTCGAAACATAGCATCACAAGGTGCAACCTTCCAGACCCAGACATTTTTACAATCCATATAAGGAGCGGGCGCGGTCGGCTCGGTTAACACGACCACGTCCTGGGTAGAAGGCATGCTACTCTTGGCCAACATGTTGGAAGCTGCAGCTTGCTTCTCTACTCCGCTAGCGCCCGGCGAACCGCCCCACGGCTGCTGGGAAATTGACGTAATATCTGCCAGCAGAGGTGCCGTAGTGTTGTCTAAGTCTAACAGCGACTGGCTAGTAACTGCTGGGGTGCTGTCTTCAAAGACGGTGCGGCTTGTGTTCATCAAACTGTCCTCTTCTTCGACCTCCACGCGGCTGTTACTGCAATTGTCTGGTCGTAGTTCCGACGCAGCAGAAGTTCCGTTGATTTTCTGCTTCGGCGTGAGAAAGTCGCTGAACTGGGCCGCTTCGTCGCCCTTGTTCACCAGCATCGGCGGGACCAATACCGCCGACGCAGGCGTCGCAGCCAGTGCCAGCGCGCTCGAGGCGGGTGTATTCAACTGCACTTGCTGGGTCCGCAGAAACTCTTTCTGGACGATACTACCCGCACCAAATGGACTTTTGCTACTTTGCGCGATAACCTCGAGCGGGGCCTCCCACACCGCGAGGCGACGAGTGAGGACGCGACTGCCTTCCACGAACTCGATGGTGGTCTGATTTCGGACCGCCAGACACATCGTGAACACGCAGAAGGGTAGCGCTCCAAACGACACCATGGTCGCGATACCTGTGGTCCCGACGTGGAATAGGAGTCCCCCCGGCGAAATTACAACGGCGCTCGTTGTTGCTCCAGCAGCGCCAGTCGTGGCGAGGGCCAGCAACCCCGGGCCCCGGGTGAGCAGTTGATAGGCCGTCCACGCGGACAGGGAGCTGGCATAGGTCAGGAACAGCATGAACAGCTTGTGGTTGCGGATACCGATGGTGTTGTTCAGGAAACCACAGTAGTGGTCCATGCGCAACACGTTGCGCTGCTGCGTCCGACAGTAGTGCGCTCGGTCCGGCTTGTAAACGCGCTCCATCGTGCAGTAGCGGTAGTCCCCATTCTTCCGCTTGCGCTCAAACGTCACCCCGGGACCCACGATCCACCAACTCTCCGGAATGAAACCAGGCGGCGTTACGACGGCTGTGGTTGAGTTTTTGATGTTTATATCTATCACTGCGCTTTTCCTTTTGACATTACAGAGCTGGGAGTTCTTGAAAGGCAGGAATCTATCTAAGGACTCACGACACATCGCCAAGGTAGTTGTACTTGACATCAGACGACAAACATCAAAAAAAGAAGAAATCGAGCAAGAAATTCAGTTTGATGAAAGTGGTATAATCTGTTTATGTATCACTGTACCTTGGTAGTAGCTGATGCAGGTCAGCGTGTAGACAGTCTGGAAGGGTAATCCGATGGGACCCAGAAGTCCGATCTGGGCTGCAGTCTGGATGATTCCCAACAAGCTGCTGCACACGAATATCGGCGCTCGGTCCCGCAGGGGGCGGTGCCGCAACGGCAGAAAGAAGTCACAGACGCCGCCGAGCACGGCTCCTCGCATCGCAGCGACCCGGTTACCGATGCCCGCCGCCACCGAGTCACACACTCTCGAAATCACGGACGGACAGCAGCAGCACAGGAGATAAGGGCACCACGACTTCTTCGCGTGCGGCTTCTTGGTTCGGAGCGGAGAAGTAGACGAGGATTTTTGTCCTACGGCCGGACTATTTCGGTTCTCCCGTACTAAGACCGGTGGCTGTTGAGGCGAACTCCGGTTGCTCTTCTCAGTTTTGGACAGCTGGTGGTTGCTCGTCGTTTTGCTGCCAGCATGATTATCTGCAATCATACTCGAGCGTGCCGCTCCCTTATTCCCTCTCCTGCAGGTTACCTTCGTTCTCGACGAGGGCCCCGCCGCATTATACAAATCGAGCGACAAGCTTCTGCCTTTTGTTCGGAGTACCTGTGAGTTCGAATCTGCACGCGACCGGTGGCTTCTCCCACCAGCTTGGTGTGTTATAATCGCAGACGGTGCAGTGTCGTTCAGAGTGAAGTTGTATTCACGCAATTGATGATGCTCATCCGTCCCATGGGGGTAAGAAGTCATGTATCCATACTTCGGGCTGAAGCCTCCCGCGGAGCGCGACCGGGCGCGCTTCTCAAGCAGCGTCCGGGCAAACACCGCCCCTGCGGTCAAAACGCGGCTTTTCCGCGCTCCTTCTTCCGCCAGCATCTGGTTGCGACTGGCATCGTTTTCATCACTCGGCTTCATCTCGTTGTTTCTTTCCAGCGACTCGCGAGGAGCAGATGCTTGCAGCTCAGCTTCTCCGAGGACTTCTTCTTGTTGAAGAACAGACTGTCGGATGGTTACGGGACTCAACTCTTCCGTCTCATCCACGTTTGCGGCCAGACTACTGGTTGCCACGCCATTGTGGGGAGTGGTTTCTCCCTCTTCATCTTCTACGAGGAATGACGCTTCTTGCAGGGCTGAGACTGACTCGACGTCCGCTAGTTCCTGCACAGCAGAATTGTTCTCGGCCTCGGCCTGGCTTTCCCGCGGCGATGATTTTTTGGAAAAAATGCTTTCTTGCCCATTTTTAACCGCCTCCTCCTCCAATCCGTCACGGTCGCGCGAATGCTGCACCGACTTCTTAACACCGTCGTTCACCTCGCAATAGTTATTTCCACCTTTGTTCATTAGAAGTACTTCCTGGTCCTGTAGCGCTGAGGGGCTCGGGAGTGGCAAAACAAGAGCTCCACCTTGCTGCACTTGCTTTAGCTGTTCTTGTTGGGCCTCGGCGTCCTGATAAAAGTTCTGCAGCTCGTCAGCATCCTCCTCTTCGTACACGTCTTCGGGCGGAGAGTCCAACTCGAAGGACGCTCGGCGCTCCAACATCGACGAAGAGGTGGAGAACGAGTCCTCCGAACTGTCATCCTCGTCGTCGATGGGGGCTAGCTTCGGGTGGTCTTTCGGAATGTGCTGGAGGACCAGGACATCCAGGATTGCCACCCCGAAATCCGCAATCTTCGCGTACACATCCAACACACCACTCACACTTCGCAGCCCGGGGTCCCAGTCTGAATCTGATCCGGAGGACTCAAGAAGTCGAGGGTCCTGTTGCGCAGCTGCGGCTGCCGCCCACTGCTCATCGTCCGTCGAAAAACCGGGCAAGAACATGTTGCCAGATGACACAGAGGACGACGACACTCTTAATATGTTGCCAAGGTCGGGTTTTCTTAATATGTTGCCAAGTATGACATCACAACCTGGTCAGGTGGAAGTAGGAGCCGAATGATCGTGTGAGTCTTCATGTATGAAAAAAACAAGAGCATTTATTACTATTAGACGAGTCAACTACAAGCAGCGATGCTGCGGTCGCTTCTATTCAACTCAAGGGAAGGAAACAAACAAAATATGGTATGGTTGGGGGGGCTTTCTGATAAAATAAATGAGTACTCCTACACGAAATAAAATGGAAATGCTGTAGCTGCTTATAGAAAAAACAAAAAGTGAAAAATGCGCTTCGAAACCAACAAAGATCGGTGGGGTCCTGAAAAGCGTCAGCGATTTTGGAAAAGAAAAAGAATCAAAATGCTGAGTGCGGTTGTAAAAGTGTTCCAGTGAAAGGAGAAGATCTCAAACGGAGCTGTGATCGCTACTGCGATCCCAATATCGTGCTGCCAAACGGTAGTATTGCCATCGCTGCCGTCTGATGTGGGCAATTGTTTTTTACTCTAGGTAAAAGAAATGATCTTCGAAGCGAGATCATAACAGCTTTTCTTCCAAGATTTGCGAACACGGAACTTTGTTTATTTCCAAAAAACTCACTGCGTTTTTGTGTCGAGCAGAAGAGTCAACAAGCAGTGAGGCAAGATCGTGTCACAGTTCCTCGAATTGTCATATCTAGGAGGTTGTTACAGAGTGCACTATGTGCTGCACGATTCCGGGGCGTAGGTTTTGGAGGTGTCTCATTTGGCTGTTTGCGCGGGAGATTTTGGTGGCGCATTTCCTTATGTGTTTTTCTTCTTTGGTGAGGCTTTTCTGTTCCTCCTTCGTGAAAATGGAGCCGATGGACGCCGTACTCCCCTCGCTTCGCACCAGCGGTCCGGGCATCTTGCGGTTTGGTCCACCGCCCCGTGCCATCAAAGAGCGGTCCTTCGTCTTCGCGCCAATATGGGCGGAGCGGGTGGTGGGACCGAAAACGATCCTGCTGCTCTCGGAATCGCTGGAAGCCACTCCCATGCTGCGGATCGAGTCGCTACTGGCGACCTTCTGTAGCAGCTGCGGCAGCTGGTGCTCCGCTGCTGCTCCACCTCGGAAAGAAGATGCTCCATTCGCTGCTACGACTGGTGGGGACGATTTCGTGTTCAGTAATTGATGCGGCTGTTGGTCCCCGATCTGCTGTCCACCGCCGGAGGACATGAAGTCGTCTTCTCCGGTGGAAGACACGGCGCTGCCGGATTGTTCTTGCATGTCGTCAGCGCTCCCTTCGCCTGCCGTGATTCCTCCGATCATGGGAGGACCACCGCCGGCGAGAATTCCTGTATGCGGCTTGCTGCCGCCCGCACGGGCCTTTGGCAGGAAAGAGAATTCATCTGCTTCCGAGTTATTTTCTGTCGACTCCGCGGCCGCGGCGGCGTGCTGCGGTCTTATTCCGACGGGATCGAAGCTCGCACCATCCAGCGCCAGAGGCTCGTCTGGAGGGTGCTGTGGAATCTTCGATTTGGAGTTTCTGTTCGGTTCCGCAGCAGCACCCAGCATTTTTTGGTTTGCGACGGCAGATGAAGCCAGGTTCATATTTCCACCAGCAGACCGCGAGTTCTTGGATTGCGCCCCCTGAGATCCGCTGCGGATGGTGTGAATGCTAATTTTGTCCGAGGCCGGGCTCTCGCGAGGATTGTTCTCGCCGCGGGGGTTGCCGAGGGCAACTTGCAGAGTAGGACTCTCGCCTGGAACCAGATCCACGTCGCTGGTTAGAACCTTCAGGTTCGGCGCGAGTAAAAGCTCGTCACCCTCCCGAAGGTTGACGTCTAGTATCAACTTAGAAGTGTTCATCCCGCTGTTCGACAGGAGCGTCTTGTTCTGGTTTATCTCCGCCATCGCAGCAGGCGCTAGTGGGATGTTCTGCAGGTTTTTTCCGCTGGCTGAAATCACTTTGTCATCCTCCGCAGTGGCAGAGCTGTTGGCAAAAAAGCTCTTATTGCCATCAGCTGCAGAAGTAGCCGCGACTAGTTGTAGCTCTCCTACTCCTGCTGCTAAACCGATGTTGGCGTTGGCCGCCGCCCCATCCGCGCCGGCATTGGAGTAATCCTCCTCCTTCCCCTCACTCAACCGCCCAAACTCATCATCCGCGGTGACGCGGAAGTGCTCGTGCTGCGCTTCGTCGATCATGTGTGACACTTCCCGCGCCAATGTCCTTGATGCTCCCGTGCGCATGAGCTCAATCCACGCGGTGCCAAACACGTCCCAAATGCAGATCGCGTCCTCCTGGCCTGCGACATTGCCGGCACTACTCGCCCGGCCTTCTTCACTGGCGAAGACTTCCTCGCCCGGAGGAAGCGATGGAACTGGTGGGTTTGCTGGCCCCTTTGAAGGTGTCGTAGTAGTTGCACCAGCTACGGGGCTTTTGGTTTTCATACTCGTCGTGGCGGGACCCATAGGACCGGACACCTGTCTATTTTGTCCGGACAAATTCGCCGAGAGCTGCAATTGCGGTGGGCCTGCTACAGTTCTGTTGCTGGTGCCAGGACTGTTGTTGAACAACGTGGTCCCCTTCTCCGGCAGCCGAATCAGCTTCACCTCGGCCTGCGCCGGTGTCAGGCAAGACTGCGCAATGTTGATCGCCACGACCTCCTCGATCCCCTTCTCTACTCCCGGAATGTGCCCGTCTGCGATGCTGGGAAAGCCGAAGAGTGACAACTTCTGCAAATCCCAGATTGCGCAGGTGTTCCACGGAATGTTGGCCCCGCTCACCTCAAACGACCATTTGCTTGTACAACTATTCGAGCCGTGTTCATCAGCATCTTCGGAAGGAGCAGACGACAATGAAGGCTTCTTTTTATGGCGCTCTGCTTTGTCATCTACAACTTCGGTCCTCTGGTTTGTGGGTGGCTCGAACACGGGGTTGTGATCCAGCCCGAACAAGTGGCTGTTTTTGAGCTCGGGCCCAACCACGAGCGTGGTCTCGGAAAGGTAGCTGCGCAAAATGTCCACGGAAAAACCGTTAACGATCATTTCCAGGGTATCAAATATAAAAACGTCTGGGTCTGGAAGAATCGTGCTGCTTTTGCATGACACAGAAGGTCTGGCATGGAAGCTCTAGCATCACAGGCTTCGACAAGCGTTCGCAATGCCGAACCCGCATGACAATTCCCTGACTTTGGTGACAGAAAGTGGGCAACTTTTGCTGACTATGCATGAGAGATTTTTCTGCGTTCTGAAATGCGCATCAGAGGTTTCAACCTTCCAGACCCAGACACTTTTGCAATTGATACAGGGAGAGGAACATCAAAAGGTCCGCCTTCTTCGCCAGCGCCGCCGCGATCAGGTTGGAAAGTGCGGGCGTGAACGCGCCCCAGTAGGGCACGGGGACCGGCTCCAGCAGTTGCAGCTGCGGAAAGCGCCGCTGCTTGGACTTCAGAATGCGGTCAATGGACCGGCGGAGAAAGGCGTCCCACAGAGGGTAGGCGACCAGGAATCCATGGCAGCCCGCACCGCCGGCGCACTCGATCACCCGCCGCAATTTGTTCAAAAGCTGCCCTGCATCCACGCTCGCATCCGTCCGGTGCAGGCGCGTCGCGGCAAAAAAAATCTTCGGCGGATCCGACTGCTGCTTCTCGACCGGTCCGAGCGGTGGCAGCGGCGGAGAAGAGGATGAGCCGCCATTTGCTGCTGCCAGGATCTCCGTCATCGACTTGGTCTGAGGAAGGGATGACGCCAATGCTCTTCGTCTTCGTACAACTTGGAGTTGTACTGTATCTATTATCTCCTAGTACGCATGAACGACACTTGCTCCTTTACCTTTCGATTCGAATAGCAAGAGCTCCAAAATGAAGCAGGGGAAGGGGTACTCGCAGACGTTTAGTTGTAACATCAAGGTGCCAAATTTACTATCTAGTGTCGAGGATTCCTTGTTGAAAGTAGACGAGGCGGTGATAAACAAGGACCAGCATGTTGTGGTCAGGGGATCAATAAATGGGTGTGTCTCGCTAAAACTTGGACAGCCACTTGCGAATGGGGGTAGGGGCTGTCAATAACGAAATCAGAATCTTCATCTGGGAAAGATTCTATCTAAAGATATCTGACTCTTGGTCTTGTCCTCCCCTATCTTCGCACATAAAGCCATCCGATGTATGTAGAATACGTCATGATAAAAATACACCGACGGACTTTGCACTTTCGCTTTGAAATTGAATACAACCAGATCAACTGAGAAAAATAAACAAGCACAAAACCGATTTCGATTGTAGTATCGAGCAAGCCGGCGGAACTCGTGACGCAGAGAAACCCGAACTTTTTCAGAAACCGATCCACGAGACAGAATCAGAGAGAAGTATTTATAGAAGAGACAACTATTCAATCTGGCGTGCATCGCATTCCGAATGTAGAAAGCAAGCAGGACTTGCCTTCAGCTTCACAGGAGGGCAAATTTAAGCAGTAACATGCCGCAAAATGTTTCATTCAAAAACTAAGCTCTCATCAAAACTTGATGTTTCCGAAGAGTTTTTTCCGTGCGTCGGCAGCGAGCTGCTTCATGGTGTCAGCTTGCTTTCGTGCGTCGCTGGCAAACTGTTTCATCGAGGGATTCACGTTTGGCAATGTGGACTGCACAAAGTTAAACGGGTTGTTTCGCGCAGCGGGGTCGACACTGCCCCCGCCCAACAGATCGCCGCCATCTACCGGATTGAACATCTCATCGTCCATGGCTGCGCCCTCTTTGAGCATCAGAATCTGGTCGATTTCCTTTTGTGTTACGTCCACGCCGTGGTTCAATCGATGCACGGCCTCTTCCTCCTCGGACAACACTTTGAAGATGAACTCCACGCGACCAAACTCCCGCAAAACGAAATTGCTGTAGGCCGTAGGCATGCTGATTTGCGATGATGCACCCCCGGAGCGCGCACGCAGCGCTCCGGCGGGTACCTGTAGCAGCACGTTCTTGATGGCAACCGCGTCCATGAGAAATTGCCGCGCCACCTGCTTCGACACCCCGCGGCACTTGTAAATCTCGTGGGTGAAGCGCGGAATGAACCACTGCGCGTGCTTGTCGCAGAAAAACCTGTAGTGTAACTTGGACAAGTACCCGCTGGTCAGGGAGCAGTGCGATGTGAAAATGTCCTCAATTTCCGCAACAAAGGGCGAGACGGTCGGCGCAGATGTTGATGCTGAGCCACTGGAACTACTGGAATTAGCTGCTGCAGCGGACGACGAGGCAGCGCTGGAGGACGCAACAGCGGACGGTGGCTGCTGGTGCTGTCCCAACGCGGTCGTAATGTCCCCACCTGATCCTCCCTGCGCTGTTGCACCACCAGCCCCGCGTTTTGAAAACTTTTGAGCGTAGTGGCTCATCATGGTGGCGCTGAGGCGGGCGAGCAGGGTACTCATCCGAGGGTAGTTCACCAGCACGTCTGCGTAAATGGACGCGGTGATCGCGCCCAGCGTTTCTTGTTCGGAATCGAAGTCGATCTTATTCTGGTACTGGCTCGATGTGCTTGTTCCTGAGGTGAGGTGTTGCCGGACAATGTCGGACAGTTGGGGCAGCATCTGATCCACGTATTCCAACGTGCCAATGCAGGCGCACGCAATCTTGAGGTCCTCGTCGGAGATCACGTAGCCCGAGCCCACCGTCATTCTCTTCACGCGGTTGTGAATTGTCGAGCAGTACAGGTTCGCGGTCTGCTTAAACACCAGAAAAATCTCGAACAAGGTCTGGTCGATACTGAAGGAGACACACTTCATCATCACCCGCCGCATCGCGTCGAACAGGGCAGGCGCGGAGGGGAAAACCTGATGGATTTATTGTTATTCAGGGGAGGGCATGTTGGGGAAAATAACGTCGCAAACAACATCATCATCAGCAGCGGCACTATTGCAACAATGGATACGTAGCGTGAGTCGTCGTCCCCGAGGTCGTCATCCTCTTCTGCGCTGGCGGGTCCCGTCGTTCCCGTTTCGACTTGGGGCATGTCTTCCTGCTCTGGAATCAGGGCTTTCAAGTTGCTGGCCTCGTAGTTTACCCACGTGCCCAGGTACGCTTCGAAGCACTCGGACACGATGCCGCGGAAGCGGGGGAGGTGGCTACTGTCCTCTGGTGACGCCTGCTGTGCCCTCTTCGTCGGACTGAATCCGTACTTCACGAAGGCCATCGGCAGCTCCCGGCTTGGATCGGCCCGATCCGCATCTGCTCCCGGGTCGGATTCTGTCACGAACTCCGAGATGTGCCGCACGGGTTTCTGTTTGTAAGATTTTTCTGACATATTTCCGTACAGTATCTTTTGTTTATGTTCGGCGCAATTTGTCGGGGATACCCGCCCGGCATCCTGTTGAATAAATAAGAGCAGAAATATCTATTACATGCGATTCCTACCTCTCCGCCCGGACTTCTTGCTTGCAGCTGCCTCTCCCTGTTATTACCGTCCTTATCTGCCGACGCCGCAAACTTTTTCGCAAGGTCGTTCTCAAACTCTATGCTTTTTCGCAACACCCGCACCAGGAGCTCCGGATCAGCTGTGTGGTGCGTAGCGCCGAGCACCTCCACCAAGTGTTGTCTTGTGATGTGGCAAAAATGCTCGCACAGCGAGCACGGTACGCCCCAGAAAGAAGGGAAGAACTCGAGATACTTGTCGTCGAATTCCTTCAGTGTGCGGCGGAGCCATGCATAGCGGCGCTCCACGTGCTCCAGGCCCGAGTATTCCTCCTGCTGCGAGGCTTGACCGCCCGGTCCACCGGCCCCCCCTGGTTGACCGGGCGCGCCAACCCCAAGAGCCGTCTGACTCTGCGAGGGCGAGAAGATTTTTTTGTAGTCCTCCAAAATCCGCAGGCAAAATCTTGTGACAATCTCGTGGCGTACAGTCTTTGTGGGCATGGCATTCACACAGTGCGCTGCGGCTTTGATGTCCTCGCGACGTAGATCCACGTCGGTTGGGTCCAGTAGCGCGTCGTAGTCCTCAAAGATCTGCGCCCGCAGATCCGCCAGTAGTGAGTCCTTTTGTCGCAAGAGGTCGTGCACTTTCTGCACCACCTTGCTCAAGCCCTGAAAGTGCTGCGCAAGCTCCTCGCAAGCGTGAAGCAACTGGGCGGCTTTCTTGTACTCGCGTTCCGCGGCAAGCCGGCGCAGCTGCTCGAGAGCGGACACGAGCATGACAAACCTCTTGAATCCGGTCACCGTGTTGGTCAAGTTCTTCTTCGCCAGGTCGAGGAACTTGATGTTCCGACAGAATTCCAACACCAGCGACTCGGACTGCTGGGCTTTGGACTGCACGTTCTTCACCCGCGTGATCAGGTCGCCCATCGCCGTCTTAGCCTGCTCCAGGTCCTCCTTGGCGCGGAACCCCGTGCGTGCCTGCTCGTGTACCGCGTGCCGGAGCTCCGTATCGATGGTCGCCGCAATCTTGTCCAGCTGTTGCATCACCTTGTCCACGTGCTGCAGGGACTTCTCCGAGGGGAACTGCTTGTTCAGGAACGCGATAGGGTCAAAATCTTCCGCCGCGAGAGCGTCAAAATGATCCAGATTCTCGTGATGACTGTTGACGTCGGCGGCTCCTGCGGGGTGGTGACCGGCTTGATGCTGTAGCGCCGGCGGACCTGCGCCCGAGCTCATGATCAGGGTACCTGACATAGTGGCTGAAGAAACGAGATGAACGAAGCACAATCTGTAAAGATTCCAGCTAAAAATGGAAATGGAAATGCATCATATTGAACGAAGCTATTAGAAGCTCAACTACATCTACACTGCGTGTTTTTATGATACTATGCATGCACACTGGGAATTGTTGTGGCATGCGTGGTGCCAACTGAAGCTTCGTAGTTGCCCACCGGAAATAAAAGTGCATCGAACGATTCCGTGTCTACAACAAGAAAGATCCGCCGGGGACGAAAATACAGGAGCGGTCGAACAGAGGCAGGGTCCTAAAGAAGCAGGAACGCATCCATACGGACTACACACACGCGTTCAGAGTTGGAGCTGCACCACAGCCAGGTGAATTTTTTTCGGAAGCTGCAAGGTAAAGTAGTGCAAATTCGTGTCCAACTCTCGGACAAGCACGAGAGTTCAGGATGTTAATGTACCAGTCGTGGTCCAGACTCGAAATTTTCGTGAAAGTGGTCGAAAAGCAGTAGTTGTTCACCATCGGATAGCATGGCGTCATCGGATTTCATTCATAGGTTGAGGTTCATAGCAAGAAGTTGTTCATTGTTCATCATATTTTCATTCGTTAATTCTCGAATTAGAAGAAATGCAATCATCAATTCCTTATGTGTGGTAGTGACAGCACGGTTCCAGCGGTTCTGCGGTTTCTCATGGACCTCCTTTGCAGGGTCGAATAGAAGGCGCGCCTTCTTTTTTCGACCCCGCGCCGTTCTGCGTTCACTTGCTGCTGCTAAACAGCACTCGTCCTAAACCCAAGAAGCTTCCCCGCCGTTCCGGCGCCGGCTCGGCTGCACCACGGCTTTCCTCGCTACCGCCATGGCTGGAGGCAGCCGCCCCGCTGTCGTTGCTGTCGGTGCCTGATTTAGTTTTTGAATTTTATTCTTGTTCGTTATGTAAAAATAAACATGAAAAAATACGCCGTTACAACATGCGCAACATCCGCTGCCCTTCACACACTTGTGCGTGGACTTTTCATTTTGATTTTCGATCTTTTGCTTTTCCACAACGAACACGGAAGCTGGCGGCATAATTATATTTGCCTCTAGCTACAGTATGTACCGTCCTTGTCCTCCTCTTCCTGCTCCGACTCCTCCTCGTCTTCCTGTTCCTTTTCGGGATCCGACTTCAAGGGCCAGCCCTTGGCCTTGTAGTACTGCTCCATGAAGGTTTTCGGCACCCGGCCCTCCTTATCGGCGACCGTGTCGTCGGCGCCCGCCGCCACCAAGGCGTCATACAGCTCCCATTGCAGATTCATCGCCGCCTTGAAGACGGCCGTGCGACCCGTGTCGGGCGACTGGTGGTTCAGGTACGCCACTTTCTCGATCTCCTGCAGCGCGTCTCCCTTGCCGGGCGTGACGACGTAATCCAACAGGATATCCAACAAGGTCGCGACGTCGTCTTTCTCGAAACCGCCCAGCCCCGTCGGACCGTCGTCCTCGCGGGTGAGAAACAACTGCGGATTCTTGTCCATCAAAACCGTGAGTGGAAAATCTTTTAGAAAGTCCTGGGCCGAACCGTTTTTGTCTTTCGAACTGGCCAACGGCTTCAGCAACGCCACGAGACCGGCCGACGATTGCACCAGCTCCAGAGCCGTGCGGCCCTCGCGGTCCTTGTCTTTCCCGCGCACAGTAATGCCAAATCTGCCGAGGGTCGCCATACCTGTAGCGGAGGTTTTCTTTTCAAAGCAAGGAAGGGCAAGGCGACTTTACGATATACAAATTTTGCTTGCCTTGTGTGACTCTCTTGAGTGATCAGCGTGTGAGATACTAAATTAGTTGTGATGAAATACGTTGGATGACACAGGAGCCAGTACTTACCTCTGAGGTTGTCATTCTTCGTTGCGATGTGCAATGCATTCGCTTTTTCAATCGCGGTTTTGGCCTCTTCTTCGCCAAGGGTCTCTGTCATTGTAATTTTTTTCGTTTAAATTCAAAAGTGACCACCACCTGGACGTCTGTGTATCGTTATACAATACGTTGATGGAGGTGGAGCAGTAGCAGGATACTAAGCAATAGCAGTGCTCTTTATGCAAGTCAGAAACATCCCCGACACGGCCGTAGGTGCAACTTTAAGTACCTTGCAATTTCAGAAGCAACAGGGGGAAGACATCGTGCAGCGCGGTTTGTTCAGCGGCAAGCTGAATCGGTCCGGGCACGAGGCGAGCGCCGCGAACCAGGAGCTGCGGAATCAGGAACGCGCACGTGGGACTGCTCGTCAAAACCCCCTGCTGTGGTTTCTCTTCCAATAGCGCCTGGTTTAAACCATGTTGTTCCTCGTCTTCCTTCTTGTCTTCCGCACCAGCTGCGCCCCGATTACGATCCGCGGTACTGCTCGTGCCGCCCCCGGCGCCCTCGGCTCCTTCTGGCGAGTTCTTCTTGGAGGCCCCTGCCTCAGCTTCCGCGTCGGACAGGCCGTTTTGCGATTCTTCCTCGTCTTCTTCCAGATCGTCCTCGTCTTGCTCCTCGAATTCGCCCCTCAATTGGGCCATCTGCGTGCTGTGATCCGCGCACTTGCTGAGCACGTACTCCAAAAAGGTGGACTCGCCCTCGCCGTTCACGTTAACCAGCTCGTCACCAAGCGAGTCGGATTGCAAGTGCTCATTGGTTGCGTAGTACTTGTTCAGTAGAAACTCCATTGCATTGATGTAGTCCTGGCTCTTTTTCGGCTTCTCTTGGGGGGTGGTCGCATGATCACCATCCGCATCATTGTCACTTCGCTCACCACTTTCGCGATTCTGAGCGCCGTTTTCTTGTTCGTCCGGAAGGTTCTTGCATTTTTCCTGTGAAGAAGCTGCAACCCGCGGCGTCGCGACAAGTCCTCGCGTCAGCGGGCCTCCTGCGGAAGTCCTTTGTTCCTTGTCGGACGCGGAACCTTCCTCGTCGTCCTCCGACGCGGCTGTCGCCGCGGCCCGCGCGGCCGCGGGTAGCGCTTTCACCGCCTCTCGGTCCTCGTTCTCTAGCGCCTGCGCAAAGGCGTGGAGCAGCAGCGAATACCGCGAGTTTTCCAACTTGAACAAGTTTCCCGCGTGCGCCTTGGCGTTGTCGTTTTGCAGGATGAAATCCAACAAGAACTCGAACATTTCAGGCACGTAGGGCTTCTGCTTCTGCTGTAGCTGGCTGGTTCGCAACCTTTTTGCCTTTACATGCTCGTTTTTCCCCGGGCAATGCAAAAAAAACGGCTCCTGATCCGGGCTCATGGCCTGCCGCAAAGGAGAACACTCGTCGTAGAGCCGGCGCAAATTCACGTCATTCACGGAGTCCGGCGTGCTCGTTTTGTCTCCGGCCAATCGGGTCAAAAGCTTCTCAATCGTGTCCAAGCGCTCTGGGCGGCTCTGCCAGACCGGGGAGCTGCCACGCCGGGCGCCCTGGGTGCAGGTGAAGGGAAGAGAACGCAACTCGAACAAATCGCGCTTCTCTTCCACTGGACAAGAACCGACCGGCGGCGCGACCAACGGCAGATCGTAGGCTGCGTAGGCCGCCAAGATGCGAGCGGCGTCGAGCGGAGAAATTTTTTCCACGGGGTAGTTCTCGCAAAACGGCCAGGCTGTGATCGTCTTTTCATCGTTCTTGCCCAGGAACGTGGACCTCACTGGAATGGTCCACGCGAGGCCCCCTCCAGTGGAGGAGGAGGAGGACGCGGCACCCGGTGCTGAGGTGGAGCCGGACGACCCTAAAACGGCCGCAGCTACCGAGGCAGCCGCGTTCACGCCGAAAAATAGAAGAACAACTTTCATTTTTCGGACGTGCACAAATTTGTGGAGGAGTCTGAGTAGGTAGAGGTACGTATCACTTCGACACAGTAACCAGGAAAAAAGTTCGCGTGCTCCGCCCTGAGAGACGTTCGCAAATAAAGCTCAACCAACCAGTAAGAATCTTCGTAAACAGCTACAGCTCCGCCCTGATGCGTAGCAGTCTAGAAGAACTCGATTTTTTTAACATTAACACGACTTCGAACGCATTGTGCCATAACATGTAAGAAGTCTTCTTGCAAATTCGATCGGGATCGCCACGTGACTAGGCCATGTGAGTAGATCCGGCTTTTGGAGGAAAGCCATGCTTTGGTTCAGCAAAGAAATCGTGATCGACACGACGGGATCAAGAGTTTGAACTTCTGTCACGGATCAACGAAAGGCGTGCGGATGATCAAGTTGGCAACGGAAAGGTCGATGTTGGGGACAAGAGCCGCGAGCTGTGTGGAGGGTCTCGATCTTTGTGTTTGACAGCATACACTTCAATCAGCAGCTTCTACATATACACTGGCAGACAATCAACATCAAGCGGAACACCGCAAACGCAATTCAAGAAAGTGATTATGATTACTCAACAAATGACCATGTGAAAAATTGTATGTGAAAAAATATCGATGCACGTGCCAGGACCGCGAATTAGTGTAACGCGAAGTGTCCAGCTGTCACCTTTGCTGCGTGTGCGTGTGCATCGTCTTTGCGAGTTGCTTCCATTGTAGTATTCGTTCTTGCATATTACAGAAAAAAATCAAATGATAGATTATTAGAGGACAGGAGTAAGCACTTGTACTGACAAACTGCGAACTGAAGCTTTCATAGAAACGAGTTCTGTGAAATTAGGCTGAAGCAATGTAAAGAAAACGAAAAAAGCATGTCATAAAAGATTGATGCCTTGGCTTTGGTTGTGTATAGTGTGTGGACCTCTCGTGGATTTCCGGGTTAGCCTGAAACTGGAAGTCGCAGGGCAGTATCAAGCCGAACGATACCGAACCAATACAGTTTGAGTTTTGTTGAACGAATACAGACGTTCCACGACCGATCACGATTTGGACCAGTAGAAAAAAAAACCGAGAAGTCCTATAGATAAGTGCGCTTGGACCGATTAGGAAGCGTCCTGCTCCTTTTCGTTTTTATGAGTCATTCTCATCTACATAGCAGCCCCCGGATATTTCATGTCGTGCCATGATCGAGAAAAGCAATACATCTTTCCCGGTCACGTCGCCAGTCCCGGTCAAATTGGGCAACAAAAGTTGACTCTCCTGTGCTGGGTGGTTGACCTTGATTATGTTGATTTCAACTTTTCCAAATTACAACGTTGTAAGAAATTCGAAGTGATATGTTCTGGGGTCTTTGTGTTAGTGTTTGTGTCTGCCGATACACGCTGAAAACTTGACAATTTTATCGAAGACTTGAATATATCAATCTGTTTTGACAGAAGCATAGAACGAAACCTCGTCGACGTCGACGACCTGTATTAGTATAAAAACGTACTCAATCGCAAAATTATTTAAAACAAGGCTACAATCCATGATGTTGTAGTTCGTTGTTTTCAAAATCGTACTGATAAATTTCGGTGCAAGACTCACAATCATAGTTGCGGAATCCGAAACGAAGCTGCTGTTAACACTAAGGCAAAAAGTTACGAAATATGAAGTCAGGAATAAACTGCTGAAAACGTATAAATTTCTAAATCTGTAGCGAGGTTCATCCCTAGCAAAAACCCGCAATTTTTCATCGGAAAACCAAAAAGAAAGAGGGAAACTAGAATCGAATACTTACACATAGAAGGAGTCTTCAACTTCAACATCGCGACTTGAATACTTAATTTCCAAATAAAAACTTTAAAATGCTTCCTCGTACTGAATCGAACGTCTGCGTAGTGCCGAATTCATGGATCCGAGACGACTACAGTCCTGCAAAACAGAGGAGCAAGATATGCAAAAGCATAAAGCCCATGTTCCACCCATAAGCGCTACGAAACGCAGATGGTTTCATCGTGAGCAAGTACAAGTGAATCCAAATACAGCAAATCCAAATTCTAGTGTTTGCAAAAGAATAAAAGTTAGTGGCATGGATCTCATCAAAGGTGCGCGATAAAAATTTAGACCGTTGATGTCTCTGTGATATACAACATACTTTCTGACTTTGACAAATTTCGCTTATGTTCAACGGCAAATATCATCGGCGCGCGCGCCTGCGCAGCCACGTACTCGAATTCCTGCGCGGTGGGAGGACATCATGAATACGAATTTCATTGTTTGCGTTGGTTATCTATGGTTCTTTCATTCTGCGACCTGCGTAAAAAAAAAAAAATCGTGAAAGCAGAGCGCGCCAACCAAAAGATCGACGACCTCGATGCAACGACTTTTGCTGAGCCACTTGCACGACGTCGCATCTTGTTTTCACGCCCCCGCCGGTGGGGTGTCGACGGATGATCCAGATGCGGACTCGGCGTTGCTGTAGTTCGACAGCTCCCTGGCGGCTGCGCCTTCTTTGCTCCTCTTTTTCAGCTTCTTTTGCACACGATGCAAACGCAGATATTGCGCCGATTGGGAGGTATTGTCCTCAGACTCCGATTCCGACGAGGAAATAGTTACGTTCTGCTTGCTAGGAACAAGACCGACATCTTGTTCCTCCTCGCCGCTGGTGTCCCCACGAGCTGCTCCACTGGGTACTAGTTTGGGCGCCGTGGAGGTCACCGGCGGTCTCACGACGCCTACCGGCGCTCGTCCTGTGTAAAAATTCCTCTTTCCTGGGAGTGTCTTCTCCGACAAGCAGTCGACAGACGTAGTTCTTCCGAGCCGAGGACCCCCGGAAGGGGAAAAATCGTCCCCCTCTGCGATGGTGTGGCCGCTCGCGTCGCTGTCGTTACAAGAACCGTTGTGCAGACCACGGTCGGACTCGTCGCCGGATTGGGATTTGAGATCCTCGTCGAAAATTATGTCGCAGGACGATGCTCCTCCACTAACAATCGCGGCGTCCACTCCATGCTCCACACCTACTATTCCGGCTGTATCATGATCACTGGGGCAGGAACTGCACGCCGCGGCGGAGGTGGACGCAGCTTGGGCAACGACGCGCGTAATCAGCTGTTGCACATACTCCTCGGAGCTTTCCGCTACCGACTGCGTAGTCTCCTGCGCGGCCTGCGCTTGATGTTCCACCTCCTGTGCAGCCGCCTGCCTCCTCCTCTGCGCGACAGCCTTGATTTCGCCCCGCCAGCTCTGAACGGACTTAACACCCCCGCCCAGAGTTTTGATGCTGCTGGTTGCGGCCGTCGTGGTCGTTGTTCCCGCAGGATGTGCATGTCCTGCCGTCGATGGAATACTAGAAACGGCCGCAGATGAGGTGGACGTCTTTGAAGCTGCACCTCCCGTAATGCGGGCAGCTGCGCCTCCTGTAGTGCGGTACGAGGAGGAGCCCTTCGGCCGGATCTTGAAACCCTCTTCCATGTAAAGTCGCCAATTGCGATCGTTGGCACCTATCACGGCACTTTCGTCGGCGGAATTTACGCTGTCTTGTTCAACATCATTCGCTTCTTTATCTTTTTCAAAAAGATAATTCCCTTGGCTCAAGGGACACAAAGCGCGGTCGGAGGTCGTGGGCGCGTATTTCACGTTCTCTCTTTTCAGAGCCTGCTCATCGAGGTCGTATGGGGGACCATCGTTCACAGCGGGAACTACCCCGAGTCGCTTGTAACTCGCCATATGAAATGCAAAAGTGTCTGGGTCTGGAAGAATGCAAGATTTGTCATGCATATTTCTCATGACCCATGATGCCTGTAATGCATGACCTAGCGTCGCAGACTTTTAGAGGGCTTCCTGATGCACCTTCCGCATCAGAAATGCCATGCCCGTGTAGCACAAAGCGCGCCCCTCTTGCTGGTCATGCAATGCAAATTTTTTTAGAGTCCAAAAACAGCATGACAAGTTGCAATCTTCCAGACCCAGACATTTTTGCAGTTGATACGCCATCCGCAGTGCGGATCGCGCCTGCCGCTGTTCAACATCCGAACGTATCAAATGTAAAAATGTCTGGGTCTGGAAGAATGCAACTTGTGATGCTGAATTTGGATTCCAAAAAAATCTGTATTGCATGAGCAGCAAAGGGAGTGTAATTCTTGCTACGCGGAGAGGGCATTTGTCATGCGGAAGAGGCATCGCGAAGCCCTCAAAAAATCTGTGATGCTAGGGCATGCATCACAGACATCATGGCCGAGGCAAAACATGCATGACAAGTCTCAGAATCTTCCAGACCCAGACATTTTTACATTTGATAGAACGGTCCGTTGTACTACACTTGATGACATTTTTTCTCTGATTTATTTTTACCTCCTCCACCTCATCGTTCTTCGTCGGTTCGTCAACAAGCGAGGACTTTTTCATGTTCAGCGTGCTGGTGTCATTCTTCTGCTTGTAGTTGTTCTCACTAGAAGTATTTGTCTCCTTGTTATGCTTTTCTTTGTTTTCCATGATGTCCTCCTCTTCTTCGCTGGTGGTGCTTTCGTGCTTAAGCACTTCCACTTCCCGACGGGAAAACGTGAGTGTACCGGTCGTTTTGGACGGCTTCAGCTGGATCGCACTGCATGCGGCCTGGAGGGGGTTCGCGTTTCTCGTGGTGGGCATGAAATGGTTGCCACCACCAGCGCGACTGTTTTGCAGCTGAGCAGCCCGGGTTGCGAACTTCGGTACTATCGGTTTGCTTGTTTCGTCCCGCTTGTTCATGTTGATCTCATCCGCGGTGCCATAATTGTTGTTCTCCTTGTTTACGCGGTACTGCCGTTCGCCCGCGTCGCTGTCGATCATGTTCTTTGCCGCGGCACTGTCTCCGTCAATGTTGAGATGCGAACGTACCCTTTTGCTGGAGCTCAGCATTTTCATCAACTCCTCGTCCACCACGTGCTCATCGCGGGGAACCTCTTCTGCCATCTTTTTGCTAATTTTCGTCACGTCCACGCTGCTGGAGGTCAGCAACCCTGTCTCTGCTGCGGCCATGCTCGTCTTCTGTGTCTCTGCCATCAAAAGCTTGGCCACGTTTTGCTGAATGGGATCCAGGGGCTCAAGCTTGTGCTGCACCCGTGGACGCGGCTGCCGCGAGGACGTAGTTGCACCCGTCCTGGTCGTGGTCGTCCCGGGCGAGGACGAGGAATCGCTGGTCCTCGTGAGGAAACCGCTCATCGTACCTTCGGCGATGTTGATGGGATGGTCCGGCATGTGGGTCGGGTCGATCTTCCCGTTCTTTCTTGCCACTTCACGTATGCGGTCGATTGTGCGGGTGATATCCTCTTCCTCTTCTTCATTATTAGTGTGGATTGCGTTCTCGTTCCTCTTTGACATAGCCTGACCCATCTGCTTCATCTGCCGGTCATGATATGCGGTTTGACGCATCAGACAAGGGAGGGCACCTGGGTTTTGAGCAAGCTATCCTCAAATGCAGAAACACGACTCACCCTGCCAGCGGCAGCATTCGTTGTGCAAAAACAAAGCTCGCGAAGACGAATATCATGTACGTAGTCAGCGATGTATGACCGCATCACCGCAACTTCACGACTGCACAGAAGACAAATTTTACCGAGGAAGCTACTTCGTCCACAGACTGGTCAGCTCTCGTCACTGTGCGGTGACAGACAGCCCTGGGCAGTCAGCACGTGCCCTGTCATACATTGTAGCTTCTTTCGAACGATGCACAGAATGTGGCAGATCAGAGGTGGTAATATTTTTCGCACAGGATACCAAAGCCTTGTTCATAATTTTTGTTTCGCTCTGCTCCTCCTCCGAGTCCGACGAATCCCGGCCCGCCGTCGGCTTCCGAATATGTGAGGTAGTGGAAAAACGACTTTGCCAGGACGGGTTTTCCACGATCCTGCTGCTCGTGCTGCCCGAAGCTCCGTACAACCGGCTGCTTATGGATTGCAAAAATGTCTGGGTCTGGAAGTGTGTACACTTGTCATGCAGGTCTTCCATGATCCATGAGGTCTGGAATGCGGGACCAAGCATGACAGACTCTGTGATGTCTGTCTCTGTGTCATCGTCATGCCTCTCCTGCATGAGAAACTCCGTCCCAGCTTCGTCGAAAGTGGACTGCTTTTGGCACTCAAGCAACACGGATTTTTGCATGATTCAAATTTCGCATGACAAGTTGCAATCGAATCTCCCAGACCCAGACATATTTGCATTCGATACTGCTGGTCCCAGTTACATACTTTTGGGCCACGAAGCTACCGACGTCCACGTCTTCATCGTCACCGCTGCTTTCCCGGGCTTGGTTTTGATGTGCCTGCTGCATCTGGTGCCACAGATGGTGGTGGCCAGCGTGAGGGTGAAGCAGCTGGGCCCTCGGCCGCGACGACCCTTGGTACAGACTCTTCAGCGTCTCCTCGTTTTTGTCTTTCGGTAGCAACAAGCCCTGGTACAATTGGGGAGGATGGTGATTGGGAAAAACGGCGTGGGATTGCACCTGGTCGCGCCAACTATCCGGCCCAAGTCCGTGGATGCGCGTCGTGGGGTTACCTGATTTTAATATTTCCCGCGTCATTGACCTACATATTCGCGTCGACGTTATTTCTCCAAGAGAAAAGAGCAAACTCGCCACTCATACTCTTTGGAAACTTTGAATGAGGTCCTTCTCTTACTCCACTCATCGGGCACACCAGTGACGCTGACACTTTGCGCTACTCAAAAGTGGGTCTCGCTCATGCCTCTCCGAAGAAAGGGGAGGCTCCTGACCCTCAAGGTCGTCCCTGCGTTCAGTGGTCACGTCCGCGTGGCGCTCTGATCTGATGTTCCCTCTCGTATTCCTCTTGCTTTCTCGTCTCTCTCTCTCCCTTGCAGCGGTAGAAAAGAGCAATGAATTCTTCGCATACTCCATGGAAGTAGGAAAGAACGTGTTGCAGGGCCGGGGTGAAAGGTCGTTGTAATGACCCAATGTAGGGCTGCCGTTGGCAAGATAAAATTAGAATTTACATCCATGAGAGGGAGCAAAAATAATCTCTGACAGTGACAGGGTTATATCTCAAACCCACAAATTAATCAACTCAATGAAGATTGATACACGCCACGTTCTGTAGAGGGTACGAACGACCTTTCGGTTTGAGACAACTGTTACCATTTTTCATGAATCTTGTGACACTAGTATCGTGATCAAAAGCAACGTTATGCGCAAAAGAGGACATTCTGAATCTGAAACTCTTGTTCTTGAAGACATTCATATTCATAAAACTTGGTCTTGAAAAATTACAGAAATTCGAAAGTAGACAATTGTTCATTTTTCGTCTGGCACAAGAAAACCAATATCAAGTCAATGCTGTCCTTTGCTGTCCGACAATCATATCCGGGCAGCTCCGATTATGCTTCACGAGCAAGCCCCCAGGGGAACCGGAAACAAGCTTCTCCAGCATGTCGAAGCCGCGCGCACTAGGTCATGGTCTTCGCCGCCAGGCGCCTACTGCAGCAGAATCCAACACGAGGCTCGTCTCGAACTGTTCCGCAGTTGCTCTGAGAGGACATCTTTTTGCTAATTTCCTATCATTCATTGAGCGTTCTTTGTCTCGGTGTTGCCAAGAACCGCCTAGCTCTAGACCACCGGGGTGCAGATTAATACCAGATGCGACAAGAAATCTTGTTCTTGTATCATTTCATACCATAATCGTAATCCAGCTGCTTCGCAGGTTCAAAATAAGTACTTACTACGACTACATACGTTTACTTCTTCACGACAACCTGCTACACGGTGGTTTATTGGAAGTGAAAACAGGCCATCAATTCAAGAAAACGAAGAAACAACAGGAATTATATGTTAAACTACCTAAAGCGTTTGTTAGGCGGCGCTGACGCTCGTATTCGGGATCCTCCTCCTGGACTTGCTATCAAAAGAAAAAATGCCCCCACCCCGGATTTTGCAAAAATTTCTGATGCAAAGTTTCCAGAAGAAAACTTTTTGTCTTGCATGAAAGGACTATGACTCTTTCTGATGCGGAACCTAGGCGAGTAAGGCATCTTATAAATATAAGTACATGACAGCCCCGGCTGCTGCTGGGCTCTCGCGCAACACAAATTTTAGCTGTTCCGCATTAGAAATTTGTGATGCTGAATTATGCAAGACGGGGAATGTTTCTATTGGGAAAGTTTGCAACACAGACTCTGCCAAGTTCTGGGGTGGGGGCATTTTTCACTGTAATACTTGCTTCGCCATATTCTTTTTCATCCGGGATCTGTTTGTGTGTGTTTTTTAATCATGGAAGTTTTGCAGCCGCTGCTTCGGAATCGGAAAGCGATCTAGTCCTGCATGACATTTTGGACAACTACATCTGGTATAATTTTCCTTTTCGCTTTTCTGGAGTGCCGGAGGTCCGACAAAACGATGAGCCAGAGTCGTCGGCGAAGAATTGGCAACACGGACGCACACATTGAAACTCAAAAACTACCAAAGCTGAAACAAATGCAGAAGCACAAATGCTTCAGTTGTCAAGACGGTTTAGTGGGCACACTGCTACCTTTTGACAAGAAAGAACCGCGGGGAACCGCAACCGCTCTAGTTCTAAGTAGAAACTACGTTACAAAAGTTTTTCAAGTGTGATTTCGTTTCTTCAGGAGGAAAAACCTAAACGAAGAGTGCACAAGTAAAGAAAACAAAGAAAACTACGCCGCGAAACATATTCGCCATGCTGCTAGACAATCTTTTGACTCGCTCCTTTATCATTTTCATGGATAAAGTGAAATATTTGAAAGTTGTAAAAGACTTAGACATTCGATAGTGAAGAAGGATGTGGCGACCATCACTAACTCAGCTTAAGAGAGCAGGAGCTGCCAATTATCGAAGAAATATCCTCGAAAAGCAAGACTTTCGAGCATTGAGATTGACATTCTTTTTATATTTTTTCAAACTATGATGGTTTCTTTTCTGGCGAAAGGATTCACGACCGTTCGTGGTGGTAGAAAAAACATTTTGAAGCTACTTAAATGAAATAGAGGAGGGCACAGGTCGTTTTCGGTACATTGCAAGACAAAACAATTGTCACAATGAGCAACTATTTCATTAGATAGGATTTGGCATAGCATAGTATGGGGATTGGCGTACCGGAACTTTAAGAGTGCGACGATGTTGTGTGAAAGATGAAACACTAGAGATGCAGGAATAAAAAATAAGAAAGCGCAACCAGGTTGTGTGGCTCATTAAGTTTTTACGCAAGTTTTGCATTTTTGCATTGTCGCTTTTTATTTACGAAGTGTCATTCAGCCAGAGCCAGGACTCTTCTACCATCACAATCGCATTTGCAACCGGGGTTGCGATGCGTTTGGAGTGGCCGCTGGATTTTTTTTCAGAATTCGTTTATCTAAGATCAACTTAAGTAGCACATCGGAATTGCTTTTGTCGCGACGAGCTAGTATCTTATTCATTGCTATGTTCATTTGACTTTCAATAAATCGTCTCTTGGTCTTTTTTACCGCAAAAAAGAGGCACTTCTAAGCGCTCGACGTACTCAAACTTCTAAACTAATTGTGTACTGTTTATTTACTTTTCCTACGTACTAATTTCTCCTCGTCCCGCGGTTGCCTCTTTTCATTGTGAAGCAGCTCAGCGATCCAGGTGTACCGGAAAGTTTGGCTTTGCTTCGCCGGGTCGGATTCCTTGTGGAGGGTGCGACGAGGTCCTGATGTCGGGTGCAGCGTTGCTTGCCCGAGGACTGGAACAAATTTAATCCGCTTTGGTCTTGCTCTTGTGATCGCCAGAGTTTCGTTTTGCGCTGCCACTGGTCCTCCTCGAGGGCAATTTTGCCGATCCATCGTCGCCCCGCTTCTTGAAGACGAGGTGGCTCGTGCCGGAGCTCGTGCCCGAAGTGTTGCTGGTAGCTACCAGTTCGGGTACTACCATATTAGGCTTCGACCGCCTTCTACTGCTCTTGCGTGAAGAGGATCCACCAAAGATACTACTATCTCCAGGGGGTGGCAACGGTCCAACGACTGGCTGCCCCGCCTGTATTCGCCGGTCGCGGTCGAGCCTGCTGAACGAGGAAGAAGTATTATTTGTGGGGTTGTAGTTCATCTCCTGCTGCAACGACGACGTGTCGTTGCTTGTAGTTGTGCCCGCACCTCCAACGCTAGTACTATCGGTCAACGACGAAAACAGCTGATGCAGATGCTTCTGCGGTGCGGACCCGTGGAACTGCGCTGCGGACCCGTGGAACGGCTCGCCCTGCGCATCCCGGAGGGAGGTTTGCATACCCCGCGACAATGCCGAAGACTGGGTTGTCGTAGTAGACGGCGTGGAGCTGGACGACCCGTTCATCTATACAGTGCAAAACCATCCCATCGCATCAGTATAAATTGCATTACAAACTAGCCCAGCATGCTGATTTACCTTGGTAATTATGCACAAAGGCAACTACTACGAGTGCGATACTTTTGCACAGGATATCATCATGCCGTTTGCATTTTCCCAATTGTCAGTGACCTTGCTCAGCACCAAGGTTTCACTGGAAAAGTCGTAGATCCGGCTCGCTGGCTCGCCGTCGCGGTTGGGATATCCACCAAGGTAACTGATTCGTCGCTCCACTAGCGAACATCTTCAAAACGTCTCTTTCAGAAACCGAAGATGGTGTGCTGCAAACGAGGCCTTCTGCGATTCCAATAACGTACACTGTCCAGATGAAGAACTCATTGCTCCTTCTTATTCATCTTCACGACTATGCATTCAATTTTTCATGCGTGCGTCGTTTCCAGTCAAGATCTCGCTATACTATGTTGGATAGCCTGTTTATTTTCCAAGACGGGGCGATACGCACCAGCTGATCGAAGTGAAGCGATCGAATCAGTTCTGCTTCCATAAAAGTTTTTGCATCTGCTGATACGGCCCGAAGGAGTGCGTTGTGTTTGCTCCGCTGGTTAAGGAATCTATCAGTGCCTGTGTGCTGTCCTCGTTATCGTCCTCGCCCATCCAGCTTGGCGGGCTGCCCTCGCTATAATTATGCTCTTTGAACAGCCTTACGATCTCGTTTTGCTGGGTCTTCTCTTTCTTTAAGCTGTGGAGTCAAGAAGTTACAGGGCGATTATTGCTTTAAAAGTGAATCTGAATCCATAAAATGCTCCTCTGGACGACGAGACCGTCGCAGTCCCGGCCCCGGTTGTTTTCACTTTCGGTGTCGACTCGAGTTCTGCTGTGCCGCAGGGGCACAGATGAAAGTGTCTCGCTATGCATAGCTTTCATTTCGTCGGCCAGGTTCTTCATATCACAAAGTGAACCAAGAATTTGAGCCAACTCGAAATCTTGTGCATCACGCTGTCTGTGACAAACCTCTGTGTGCTACATCTCGGCGTGCTGAAGATTAACTATCACAACTAGTAAGTCGCTACTATCACAACTGTGCTGACATACAACAAAAAAGAAAAACATATACAAAAATAAACCGATACTGCGCTTCTGATTCCGCGGCTTCGCGCTCTGCTCGTCGTTTCTCGCGAGCTATGGCCTGGTAGTTTTCCTTCTTTTTGCGTCGTTCCGCTTTCGTCTCCTCCTTCTTCGCCGGCACTTTGCTCGCTGCAGGGTCTGTTTATATTTTTCGGAACGCTATCCCTACCGGTATTTCGTGCGTGATTGGTTATACTTGCATAGCAAGGAGTAGTATAGTAACTGCTAGGTTTTCATAATCATATCCTTGTGGATTGAATATAGCGCGCGCCCCGTCGTGGAAAAAAATGAAGCGCAGCACTAGGAAGAATTTCCCGCGCTGCAATAGCACATGATGTGTTTAAGTACTTGATACCTTTTTCCAAATCCTTCCGCGCTTTTTCTGCCAAGACCAGTGCCTCCGCCAAAGCCTTCTCGTCCGCTGCCTGTTGTCTTGCGGTTTTCGTCTTCAATTTTTTCTTCGTTGGCTTGTTACTCGCTGGCTTTGTTGCCGGCGCGCTAGAGGCTGATTTTATCATGATTGCCGTTTTATTTCGATCCGTTTCATCATATCTAATAGTCGGCTCTCGATTGAGTTCAACTCACATATTTCTCCACGAGTCTCCACATTGGAGCTTACCATCTCTCAGCGATGAATGTCAATGTGGTCATGATACTACTAGTATAAAGTGAGCATGCGCATGATTTAGAGATGAACGCGGCAAGTCCAATTACTTACCCTCTTTCGCTTCTGATGCGGCCTGACTAGGGGCATCCTCATCCACCTTCGTGGCTGAGTCAGTCGTCTCGTCCGCATTATCTTCTTCACCTTTTTTGTCAAAGTGAAAGAAGTAAAACTTCACCGAGCAGACGAATCACATATTATATCGCGGCAACAAGAGCAAATCACAATCGATCAAAAAATAAACCAAACTAATACCGTCTCCCGTGGGTGCGTCGCATTTGCGTTTCTCCTCCCCGCGAGCGGCCTCGGTGGCTTCGTCGGCAACAACCTGAGAAAGGTGCAGCTGTATAGCACATTTGTACTATGTGCTACCCGAAACTTAATAGGGAACGAAAACTCATATTTATAGACCTTGCGCGGAAATCAAAATAGATCAACAACAGCGTGTACTTCTCCGATCGAACGAGTACCTGCCGGCTTTCCGCCGCGTTTTTGTCGAAGGATTCCGGCTCGAGCCGCTTTGTGGTGATAACTCGTGGCGTGCTCGTGCTTTCTGGAATATCCCTCTCAGGTTCCGTCAAATCATCATCAACGTCGTCGACGCAATTATCGTCCTCTTTTTCTAGAGACGACTCCTTTTCAACCGGCGCAGCTGGAGCGGGCTGCACCGCTTCAGGTTCTACTGTGCCTGCCGCGGAGGCATCCGGATCAAGCTGCGAGTCACCATTTTTGTCCAGGTCAGACCGCGATGAAGGCGCCTTGATGTTCTGGACGGTCTGGTTTGCGATTTCCTCTTCCTTCGCGTCGCTCGTGTTGATTCTCGTTGTCGGGACGTCAACTTTGTCGTCGTCTTTCTCAGTACTTACCCTGGCGACATCATCGGAAGGGTCCTTCTTCGGCGAATCATCAGCGCAGGCTGCATTGTCCTCTTCTTGTTCCACCTTTGTAAAAGAACTCTCGTGCGATGATGCGGAGAGACTGGCTTGCTGCTCCCCAGGTTGTTGTTCGTTGGAGGTCGTTGCGCCACTGACATTCAACCCCTGGTTCTCGGGGTCGCTGCACAGGCTCGTGCTAGTTTTCAGAGCAGCATCAACTTCCGCCTGCTTCTCGCGCTGCCTCTTGCCGCCCCGGGTCCCTTGTTTCTTCTTCTTTTTCTTCGCCCCAGCGACTCCTTCTGCCGCCAATACACTGCCGCTTTCGAGGCCCGCTCCCGGTTGCTGCTCCAAAGAACAGGAGGCGTCATCACCCTCAAAGGTCGCGGTTGTCGCGGAAGACGCTGCGGCAGTCGTGGTGGTACAGGTGCTCGTCGTGCTTCCAATCATGACCTGAGTCGCCCCGGCTCCCACCGGGGTGGAGGTACTTGAGGTCTTCTTACTGCCGTGCTTGTTCGTACTGGAAGAACTTGAGGTGGTATTAAAGCCCTTGTTGTTTCCCCCGATGAACGTAGAGTTACAACTGGTGCTGCCGACCATCGTGCTAGAAGTAGCACAACCACCGGACTGCAACATCTCGCCAGAAGTGCTAGGCCCTTGATGTTGCACCATAGAAGATGAAGTAGCTTTACTAGTATCCGCCCCGCGAAGAGCGGGAGCTGCCCGGTTCTTGCCCCCCGCCCGGTCGCCGCGTCCACCGGCGCTGGTACTGGTCCCATCGCCCGGTGCGACTTCGGTTACCAGGCCGGGCAGGTTATTTCGAGTAAACTCGGACTCGTTAAAGTCCGGATCCTGCAGCAACGCTTCCTCCACTTCCTGCAGTCCCAGATCCTTCAGCTTTCGCTTCGTTTGCTGCGACAGCTGCGGTTTCTTCATCGTAGTCCCTTGCTGTGAAGATGTCTGCGAAGCGGCAGAAGTCGCTGTGGTTGTTCCCGAAGAAGTAGCGGACGACGAAGCTCCTGCCATCGTTGGTGCGGCGCCCCATTCTCCTCGGTTCGGCTTACTGCTCGTTACACTGAAGTGCACGTCGGGTTGGCTCGAGTGCTTTGATCCCGCTCCGGAAGAGAACCCGGTTCCGAACTTTTGCGTCGAAAAGTGCTGACTGGTGGTTGTGGCGTCCTCGCGCTCGCGGTCCGAACTGGTCCGGGATGACGCATTGAACCCGGGCTGCGTTTCCGAATGCGCCGAGGACGTGGTTGTGGCACCCCCGCCACCACCGTTCAGAGCTGCGTAGTTTACCTTCAGTCCTCTCGAGGAGTGCTGTTGCTGTGTTGTACCACCGCCAGTTGTACCTGGGCCGGCCCCACCCTGCGATTGGTGCTGCGCACTACTAGAACTAGCGCGTTGAAGATGCTGCTGCTGCGCTCCTGGTGGTCCACCTTTATTGCCTCCAATATTATTGTTCGCCGGTGGTCCTGGTCGTGCGTGTTCGTATGGAGGACCGTTGTTCTGCGCTGCCGGTTGTGGCCCTGCCTTGGACGAGAAAGGCAGCAGCGCTTTACTTGGGTGCTGCTGGTTCATCTGTGCGGTTCCGCCGGCGGTAGAAGAATTCTGTTGAACACTGGATCCACCTGTTTGCTGTTCCTTTCTTGGGACCACGGAGGGCTGTGACCCACCAGAGGTGTAATTCTGTCGCGGAAACGGCGGTGGCATCTGGGCAGGAAGCGCAGGCGCTGCAACACTGCCCGCCAGGCTGCTCAGCACCTTATCGGAAAGGTCGGGAGGCAGCTGTTCGGAGATCTCGTAGAAGTACTGATCCTTTTTTGACACCTTCTTGTTCCAATTTCCCCAGGCGGTGGCGGCGCCCGCCGGGTTGTTCGGCCCCGCCTTGCTCTTCTCCTCACCGATCTCTTTCAGCCTCTTCATCGCCCGGAAAAGCGCATTCTTGTGCTTCAAACCCCGGTGCTCCTGCTTTTCGTTCAGCGTTACCAAAGCCTCCATGAGCTCCCGCGCATCCGCGTCCAGCCCGTCGCAATCTTTGCCAAGTTTTGGCGGTTTGGGAGGCTCGGGTACAGCCGGAGCGTAGAAGCCGGTGGCCGCGAAATTACCACTGGGTTGATCAGTGGTGCGGGTGTCGTTTGTAGTCACTGTACCTGTGAAGACACGCGAACGAAACCAAAAAGTAGTTGTGACAAGCGCTATTTGAACGGAAAAAAAGTGGTACTAGCTGCAAATGCAACAAGTGACATGGCCTCTATCTTTATGTTTCCGCCCTTTCCATCATTTGTAGAAATACTGCGAGCTCTGTTGCGATCATATGTCAAGCAGGTGTGGGGTAAGTATCTATCTGCGAGGAGCCATTTTCTACGAAGAAAATTTCTCTATGACCAAAGTTCTCTGCAGTACCCTTTCCGGCAGCTATTCCCGTTTCATTCATTTCATTCCTACGGTCAGCTCGCGGTTCCACGTGCCGCCCGTCCATCATGCTGCTTGCTGTCCCGCGCCGCTGAGAGGGTGAGTAACAGTTACAATTTGATTTAGGCACAGGGAACTAAGAAGCTGTGCAGCTACAGAGTGCATCCCACAAGAACGAGCTAAAAAGACGAAGAGACCGTGCATTGAAATTGGTATAAAAAATCCCTATCGATATCGTTATGTACAAAAATGACGTATACTTCCAGCCCGGCAAGATTGCCACTCGTCGTGGCAGAAGCACCATAGCCGTCCTTCTCATAGGATCCGCTATCCTGCACAGGCACGCGCCGCACGACTTCATTGATTTCGTGCTGCGAAATGTCGCGCAGGTGATTGCTCTTGGCCGTCCTCGTGCCTTTGCTGGCTGCTGTACCATAGTCCTTGTACTGGTCTGAACCCGTCGTGGTCACCGAAGAGAGCGCAACGGTGCCGGGAAGATGCCCCATTTGATGCGAGGAACCTGCGTGCAGTAACTTTCTGTTACTGGTGGCGGTGCTGCCGTCCCCGCGCGCCGCCCCATTTGACTCGCGCCGTGACCGCTGCTCCTCGGTGTCTTCTGTGGAGCTGGAGTCGATCAGGTCACAGAGTCTCGTTTGGCTCCGCAGCAGAATATCGTGGTCTTGCTCAACGACCCCTGTCTGTGGTGGAAGGGGAGGAGCCTGCTGCAGCTGCTGCCCATGCCCTCCCGGGGGTCTACTAGTTGTGCAACTCGTCGTGTTTACTTGTTGAGCCGTCTGCTGCGTCAAAGACCCTGCTACCGCTGCAGCGCTACTGCAGGAGCTCGTCTGCGTGGCGTGCTGTGCGGGGAGTGCGAAGCAGGTTTGTTGCTGGTGGCGAACCCGTGGCTGGTGCTGCTGCTGATGTTGATCCGAAGGATTGCCGTTGATGTTGTTCGGCCCGCCCCCGAGCTGCATGCCCTGCTGCTGTCGCCACGACTGCTGGTGCGAGCTTGAGTGCTGGTGCAACGTGGACGACTGCACGTGCGGCAGGCTGTGGTTCCTGTTGTTTTTCCCGCCCTTCATGTCGCCCTTGTCAGCATGATCATGTTGGGGCCCCCCTCTGCCGCCACCTCCCTTTTCGTGCTGCTGGTATTTGCTCATGGAGCCTTGTCTCCGCTCGTTGTACTGCTGGTGATAATTATACCCGTGGCCGCTCTTGCCCCCTCCGTGGTGGCCCCGGCCTTCGTGCGGACCCGCTTGAAACGACGAGCCGTGGTGACCACTCTGCGAGTGCGAGTGCTGGGAGTTGTTGTAGTAGTTGTTTCTACCCTGATGGTGATGCTGCTGGCCGCCCGAAGGGCCGCCCGTCGAGCTGCTGGTCGAGTTATTGTAGTTCGTGTTTGATGTTCCACCATGGTTCAACATCGCCTGCTGGTTGTGGTAAGAATGGTTGTTGTTGGCGGACACGCTATTCATCCTGCTGAGTTGTCCTGCCACGGATTGTTCGGGCGCGTTGTGGCCGACAACACCCACGTTGAACGTGTTCGTTCCAGCCTGCTGCTGCTGCTGCATTTGCGCTCCGCCTGCCGACCCGGGCAAGCTGTTGTAGTGATTTGCATGCGAAGCTGGAGGCTGATGATGCTGAAATTGCTGGTGCTGTTGTCCACCTTGTCCACCTCCCTGCAGCATCTGCGCTTGATGTTGTCCACTGCTCGCGGCCATCGGGTGCTGTGACAGGTCGGGCTGCGATTGACCGATCCCCGGTCCGCCGAATATTTGTTGCCCTTGCTGGTGCTGCTGCGGTTCCGACGACGAGGCCGACGCGCCTAGATTTTGATGTTGGCCACCAGCAGCGCCGTGTGATAATGAATTTGGCTGCTGGTGCATTTGATGCTGCGTCGAGTTATTTTGTCCGGACGATGGTCCTCCACCACCGTAGGCCAGACTTTGGCTGGTGTTCGTTGGCAACGTTGTGAGTTGCTGGCCCATTTGCAGGGGCTGCGAGCGATCCGGAAGATTGAACACTCCGGGACACCCCTCCGGAAGCTTGAATTGCAAATCGATTTCATTCACAAACTCTTGTCGGTTCTTGGCGGCATCACTAAATTGCTCCTGCTGCTGCATACCGTTGTTCGTGGCACAGGAGGTCGAGGCACTTGTGCTGGAGCCTAAAAATCCAGCGTTGCCGGTGTTCGACGAGGATGCGTTGTTCATGTCGCTCATAGCATTGCTCATGTTATTTGCGACACCGCCCATATTAGCGAAGCCCTGGGCGGCCTGGCCCGCACCAACGCCACGAGAAGCCGCAGAATTGTGGCAATAATTGCTTGAGTTTTCTATCATCTGTTGGTGCTGCTGCTGCTGCGTTACGCCCATCCACTGTTGCCCACTGAACGGCTGCGACTGCTGTTGATCTCGGACCTGCTGTGATTGCATCGGCTGAAACGCAACGCTGTTCGCGTTGAGACCACGGCTGCTCGCAGATGCTGTGTTATTGTTCCCTTGCTGTTGCTGCACAAGGCTGTGCTGCTGAAGCTGATGTTCTTGTGTTTGCTGCTGCTGCTGCTGCTGCTGCTGCTGTGCGAGCGCTATGCTTTGCGGTCCGCCGCTGTTCAAGTTGAGCAGGCCGAGATTTTGCTGCTGATTGTTGCTAGCCTGTAGCAATTGCTGCTGCTGTTCGAGAGTCAAGTTCCCTGCATGCAAAGGCATAAGATTACTCCCGCTGGCGCCACTACCGCCCATGTTGCCGAGCAGCTGGTGCTGCTGCTGGGCTTGCAGGAAACTGTTGTACTGTGCCTGGCTCACCACGCCGCCACCACTACCCAAGAAGGAATTGTTGCCGCCGCCTTCTGCCCCTATGTTGCTTTGCCCATTGTCGAGCTGCATGCTGTTACTTGATACGACGCCCTGTTGCGGTAATGACAGTAGCGTCGTGTTGGTAGTGTTTCCCATGTTGAACTGCGAGTTGTGCTGAGAAATCACCTGGTCCGCTGAGTTTCCGAACGGCTGTTGTTGCTGCTGCTGCGGGGGCGCATTGTTCATCCCGAAATTATTACCACCATTCTGGTCCAGCATGTTGCTGGTGCCGGAAAAGTTACTCCCGAGTTGTGTCGTGCCCAACATGCTAGTCGAGCCGAGCTGCAAGCTGTTCTGGTCTAAAACCTCGTTGAAAATCATACCCCCGCCCGACGGATTGTTGTTTTGGCCTGCCACTGCGTGTGGCTGCTGCAGGTGCTGGAGATGTTGCGCTCCAGGTGCCTGATTTGTTCCCACGTTCAACGAGCCATAGCCACCGCTCGGAATATTGCTCTGCTGTTGTTGAGCCAGGAGCTGTTGCAGCTGTTGCTGACCAGGCATCAAGACCCCTGACCCGTTGCTAGCACCTGCACCCGAGGAAGGACCTCCTCCAGGTTGCTGCTGCGGACCGGCATTGTTGCTGTTGCTAGTACCGCTACTTGAGACGAGCTGATCCTGCTGTTCCGCGGCCGCCCCGTTAATATTTGGATTACTTGCTTGCTGATTTTCGAGGCCGCTTGTGCCACCGCCTGTACCTCCAGCGTCCTGTGCGGTGGCTGTATTCTCCATCATCAAGCCACTCGCGGCCATCGTTGCACCAGACTCTGGCTGCTGTTGTTGCACCAGCTGCACCAGGTTATTGTTATTCGTTGTACAAGAACCACTACCGCCCATCATGTTGTTGCTCTCAACCACTTTGCTGGCGTCGAGTTGTTGCGCCTGGGCGTCGGTAGTAGTACCATTCCCTGGCGGCGGCGGCGGGGGTGGCGGAACGGTCGACCCAGACGTGCTGCTCTGCTGCTGACTATTTTCCGCCGTGGACGCTACAGTGTCGGGCGTACTTTTCTGGTCCGCTGCACTATTGGGCAGGGAGGGCAGGCAGCTGCTGGCGACGTCTAACTGCACCGCGCCTATGTTGCGGTTCTGTGGTAGTTGCGGCACGAAGTCCACCGCCTGGGTATTCCAAGTTGAGGAAGGCTTGAAGGGTGGTGCGGCGGCAGATGAACCCCCGGGATTGTTGGTGGAGGACGCCGCAGACGTCGACGACATCTGCTGGTGCATGCCCATGCCGCCGACTGCGTTATGAAGGTGATCTAGGTTGAGCAACGACTGATGTTGCAGCTGCTGGCTCTGCTGTTGATCGACCATAGTACCTTGCAATCCGTTCAACTTATCCCACAGAAAAAAGCTGGCAGGGCATATTTGTAATGCAACAATAAATACACAGAAAAATCTGCCATGGGCGGCCTCATAGCATGCTGTTTAGGATACGCAATACAGATTTTTTTTGTGTATTTATTTTTGCATTACAAATGTGACCTGCCAGCTTTTTTCTGTGTGATACAACTGCGCCGGATTGAACGGCTGTGCGCCGAACTGCTGCTATCCTGAGTAAAAACGTACCCACACCAGAGTTGTCATGCAGATTTGCAAAGACGGGAAGACTTGTAATGCGCATCCTCATGAGAGCCATTTCCAATCGTGTTTTGGAATTTGTAATGCTGTAAACAGGATGAGCAGATGGGTTTCTGATGCAGCTGGCCTTGCGAACCTGCACTACACTACGGACTGCAACTTGTGATGCGTGACCCCCAAAGGTTCTAGGTTTGTGTTGCAAAATGGCCATCTTGACTCTGGTGTGGGTACGTTTTTACTCAGGATAGCTGCAAACTGTGGCTCTGCTGCGGATCGAACACCTGTAGATGGTTCTGACCCGCCCCGAGTTGCGGTCCTCCCTGTTGCACGTGCAGCATCCCTTGCTGCTGCTGGTGCTGCTGCTGCGGGCGCATTGCCTGCTGCTGCTGCTGTTGCAGGATCTGCAGCTGCTGTGTCGTGACTTGATCCGGATTGATCTGCGGCGGCATGGGCAGTGGTATTAGCCGCGGCTGGTGCAATGGAGGTTGTTGTCCCTGCTGCTGTTGCACCGTAGAAGTAGCCGCGCCACCGTTTACTGTCTGCTGCCCCTGTTGCTGCGGCGTCGTGCCGTTGACCATGATATTGCTACTCGCGCTGGCGTTGAACAAACCGGACGAGCCGACGTGCTGCTGCGTCTGCTGGGAAACCTGCATCTGCTGCGCCGTTGTCGTGCTGTTGGGTGCTACGCCAAGATTGCCGCCTGCGGCTTGGGTGAAATTTGAGATGTTTGTGCTCGAAAGCGTTCCCACCGGCCCCGCCGTTGTGGCAGTAGTTGACACGGGCTGCTGCTGTTGCAAGTGATGTTGATCAAAGCCGAACTGCGGCTGCGCCGCAAGGACACTGGCGTTGCCGTCCATCCCACCTGTCGCAGGTCTGCCGTTGCCGTCTCCTGCTGCGCCAGGGGCAGTAAAGGCTGGCGGAAAAGACGTCGTGGCAGCCGACATCCGAGCGGAAGGGAATCGAGTAAGGGATCTCAACAGAACAGCTTGGTGGCGTATTGTAGATGAAGATGAGCAGCCGGTAACGCACGTGTAGGCAAAAAAATACGTTCACGTGCAGCAGTAGTACTTATATATATTGAGCGGTCACATGAAAACCGCACGATATTCTTCGCAACAAATGTTTACCAAAAGGTATAAAGATGTTAGCGCAAAAACAAGAAACGAATCGAAGTAATAGTAGAACGCAACGACAAAAATCACAAGCAGAAGCTGATGACTAATGCCTTTACGGAAATGAATTAGTAGTAGAAGTGTAGTCCTAGTTCAAAAGTTGTTTTACAAAGTCTAAAAGGTTTCTATAAATATTTTGTCCAGTAAGAGCATGGTACATTGACAATCAAATAGATTTTGAAGCTTAGGTTGGTACAACTTGTCGACAGACAAAGGGTATTGACAGGCAGCAATGCGCTTTGTTGTTGACACCAGTTGAATAGAGTTACATACGGATATTCTACTGAGGCGGCTGACTCGTTCTGAGTATGGTCACAGGACGCGGCTCTCTTGTGTCGGCCTCGGCTCTCGCCCTGAGTATACCAGAAATCGACGTCGGTTGCTCAGTGCAAAAAGGTAAATGTTTTTTTTTTGTAGTTTTTTGTATTTCTATTGCGTTCGAAGCTACTCCTGCATCAACTGCTCGAACGGGACCACTATACCAATAGAACGTCGAAACACAATTCGCAGAATGAGATACGAAACACGGAAAAGAAGAGAAAAATGAGTAGTTGCTTACAAGAATAAATACAATTTGAAATTTGAATTTCTACAACTTTTACGGTGAATTTGTTTTTTTGCGCAAGATTAGAAAGAAATCAGCGGACGATATGAAGAAAATTGAGATTGAGCACTTCTAGATTAAACGGAAAGACAAAATAAACCTGTGTTCTTGAGCACCCCCAGTGAGAAGTAGGAAAGTACTAGATCAAACACTACGGGGCTGAAAAATTGAAAGTACAGACAGGAGGTTTTTTTATCGACGGGCGAGAAATTCTTGTTTTGATAGTGACCTTCTAACGTTCAATAGCGGAATGCTTAGTCGTGCCGAGCAAGCAATATTTTATTGCTCGATTCCGGCCGTCGTCAAGATGCGGACAAGATACAGCGATATGGTCTCCGTCTTCAGCAAAATGTTACAAGTCCTATCGAGAGTCGTTCTACTGCTAGTAGAGAACAACTGCTTCCATATTCATCTTGTTCTCGAATATCTTTACCACATCCACACTCCGACACATTCTTTATGGTACGTCATTACAACAACAAAAATCCCCTACCTGTCGATCTGTTTGTTTGAAAATTCAACATGTTTGAATGAAACAACCACTGCGGACGTGAGTCCTAGCAGCACGACCACAAAGAATGGTTTGATGAAAAGGAATTGGAATTGCGTGTATCCTTCCTGATGAAAATAAGGAGATTGGTACATCACCTTCATCGCTCATTCAACAGTTTGGAAATGGAACTTGCTGTGCAGCATGAAGGAGGAGGTATGGAAAGAGTGTGGATCTTTGCAGGGTCATCGTGCATCGTCTTTTGAAGATGGAAATTGGAATGCGAAGCAAAGTAGACATGTGCGCACGCGGATGCGACGGGCGCTGCTGCTGCTCTATCTTTTTTAGTGACGTCGTTGTTGTAACGCAATACTAGCTGTGCTCTGGTCTGAAGTCGCTTCAAAAAATTTCTGTGGAATTTTCATGCCTTCCGCATGTCAAACACACATGCTACAATGTTGTAATACGCACGCTCATCTTCTGTATCAACACAGCACAATTGCACGTCTCTTTTTAACGGAAACACTTCACAGACCTGAAGAATAGGATGTCGCAATGCGAATGCCGTGCTCGATTGCCCTTAGCGGTCAGGTTTCGGCTCGATTTGATCTTTCTTTTTGACACAAGTTCGTTCCTTGATGTTCTTGATTCGATTTTCAGCTTTTCTGCTGCAAAAAGTCCTCATCTTCTGCAAAAAGTCTGCATCTTCTGCATGAAGTGCGCTTCATCTCAAAAACCAAAGTCAACAGCGTTGCGTTTTTTACAAACGATTGTTTTGAGAGGTACTCGACTTCTACACTTTGCGTGTCGCGAACAGCTTGAGCTTGTTTCATCTTTTTATTACGACGTCATTCTAAAAACATTGTTCTAGCTTTCACTTGGAAGAAACATGAACATGCGGCCGATCCAGCAGAAAGTTTTCGCATAAATTAGAATTACAGAATGAACGCCTAAGTACGCTTTTTAGTGTCGACGCTTGTGCGATCAGAACGCAGACGCTCCTGTAGAGAGAAGAGACCTACCGCGACTGCCTCTTCGGCTTGGACGGATCGCGCTGGAAGACTTCAATGTAAAAATTAGCCCCGTTCCAGGCTGTGATTGCTATGAGAAAAAGGCCGAGTAGCAGCATACTTTCCGCACTGTAATACCAGAGCAGAGCTGGTGCAAACGCGAGCACGGAGCACAGAAAGTGGATCAGGCCGTACCAAAACCATAGCCACCGGTCCCCTCCGGGGAACATCGCCCAGGGTTGTCGCTTCTTCGGAGTAGACATGACGTACCTGAAATTGAAGACGGTGGTACAGCCGAGTGTCCCGATGAATCGCGCCTCTTTCGTAACAGTCAACGTGATGAGAGCGGGAAAGAGCCACTCTGAAAAACCTAATCTAGTAGGGCAGTGCGTCCTGGCAAAAATCTAAAGGCGTAGAACAAATATCTTTACCTGTAGAGTGTGAGATAGCTGGGATCGGCAGGAAGAAAGAGCGTGATGGTAACGACGTAGAAAGCGAGGTGGCCGAGGTAGTATAGCGACGGCCAGAGCAACACGGTGCCTATCGTCAATTTTTCCGGCACCGCGAATCGAAATTGCGTGCCACGGAAAATATCTCCACCGGCACTGGTGCCCGCTTTATTTTCTGCAGAAGTCGGATCGGAACTGCGGACCACAAATGCAGACTCCGACGAATGGCACCCGTACTCCGTGGTAAAAAATCCCTTCGCGCCCGGCTGCAATGAGGGTCCGTACTCCAACTGCAGAGGGTAGTGCCGGATCAATAGGCAGGCGAAGAAAGGCGCGACGTGAACGAAGCAGGAAGTCAGTTTGTCTATCGAATGAAAAACCAAACTGTTGCGGAAGAGAAAGACCGCGGTGGCCAGCGGGCCCGTCGCCATGGCGAAGGAGATGGTAAACAACTCGGGAACGCCAGGGAGAATCCAGACGTAAACCAAGAGTACAAAGTTGCCGAAGTAACACATGTCCAGCAGAAAAAACTGATACCTGGTCATAGTTTTTTCAAACATTTATTCTTTACGTATACTCTCGGCGCGCTGCAGCTTCTCCGGAAAAAAGTTATTCCAATAAGACAAGAACTCAAACGAATAAGAATACAACAAGTTTCACCATCTAAACAAAGTGAGCGTCTCTTCCACACCTGAACTTTCTGTATGTCCACCAGCGGTACAGATAGAGCCCGCAAAAGGTGATCGTGTGGAGGTAGAGAAAAAGCCACTTGTGGTCTCCGAACAGCAGGAAGACAAATGTGAGGATGAAAATGACCGCCCCGAAGAATGTGAGCTTGTCGACGAATTTCGCGTAGGCCGTACCGCCCGCTTCTTGTAGTTCGCGAATGCGCTGTAACTCCAAGTCTACCGTTTCGCGATCCGTAATGATCAGTGCCAGTCTCCTTGCGTGTTTGCGACCAATGCTTTCTTTTGGCTCCGTTGTAACTGATGCTGCTTGTTCTTTTGCAGGGCTCGTAACTCTACCTGCGTCCTCGCTAGGCGAAACTCCCTGCGAAATGCCGATTTTTGCGGACTGGTGTTGATCAACCGTGATGTTGACACTTTTTTCGGAGGTGTCGGCTTTCGAGACTTCCGCATCGCGTGGGCAACCAGTGGCCCCTCGCAGAGTCTCGATCACAGAAGAATGTGACTTGCTGCGACTACTGGAAGATGAAGAAGTAGCACACATGCCTTGCCCGGGGGGGCTGTCATCCATAGAAGTCAAGAGCACCGGTCCAGGCTCTAGTGGCGGTGCCGCGGCAGTGTCCCCCAGTTCCGCAGGGGCAACCTTTCCGATGCTGCTGCTCTGCATCGTGAGAATTCACGAGAGTTTCAAACGAGGAATTGCCAGATGAGGAGCAGACACGGACTGACGACGCTCAATAGAAATAGCTAGACCTGATCCGAGAGAAGGTGATCATAATGAAGCGGTGCCGACTACCGCTGCCAATCAGGAGGACTCGATCGGAGCGGCCCAGCATCCGCGTTGCGGTCAGGGTGGCGCGACTGATTCCGATTCGCTCATGATCATATTTGAGGCTCGCGACGGCGGGGGCGGAGCTCGGAATAAATGAAAATCATACGAGATAATAGCAGACACCGACAGCGCGTTTTAGCGTTACTGTTAGCACAAAGGCATATAGAAATCCAACCACAAATCATCGCGTGGACGCTTTCGACATACACCTTTATATATGCGAGTCCTAACGGACGACGGCGGGATCGGGAGAGTGGGGAACACGGTACCCATACGCTGGGTGAGTATAGAACCCCGGGCGCACATGGCACACGTAACGCGCGTGCTTTGTAGCTCCTCACTTTGTAGCCTTCGTGAACGCTAAGGGCAGATCTGGATTCCCGCTAGGGCTGCAATTAAAGGACCCACAACACACGCACAAACCCGCGGGCGCCGCCCGGTGGCAAACAATGCCCCGATGGGCCCACAAGATTGAGCGAAGGGGGGCGGTCGGCGTGCGGGGCCAACAAATTGATAGGCTGCGGGCACAGAAAGGCTCCCTGCCCAGCGCGCCAAACTGAAACCGCCGGGGCGCCCTGCTATTCATAAATACGGCAGGTTCCGGGCTGGGTCGCTGCGAAATCCGAAGCGAGCCCCGGCCCACCCCCCGCTGCCAGGCAGCGCGCTGCGCGCCATGGGTCCACAGGAAGGCGCGCGGGGGTACTTGGCTCCCGGAATGGAAACGGCGGCGGGCGGCCCAACGAAGGAAGCTAGCAGGGGCGCACGTGGCCAAGGCACAACGAGCGGCCTACCGCCCGAGGGGCGGCGTGCCCATCGCACAGGCGACGGGCGCGGGCCGGGGGGCGCCTGGCTGGGCGAGCGAGGTCACCCCCCCCCGCCCGGCGCCTCCCGTAGGTCGCTGACCTGCATGACGGGAAGCCGGGCGAGCGACAGATCTCCGCGGGGCGATCGTTAGCACAATGAGCCACTCCGGACGGCCCTGCCGCATGCCACATTGGCTTGAGGACTCGTGCCGGCCGCCCCGAAAAAAGGAAGCGCCGCCCGCCCCGGCGTCGCAGGCCTGCCCTGGTGGCGCGGGGCGGTTGTAGCTGGTGCGTGTTTCGCCGTGTATGTTCCCCAGCTATTCTTCAGCAAGTGCGGCCTGGCGTGCTTGTGCCAATACATGGACGAAGTCGCGACGTTCTCCCAATAATCAGAAGAGCCGAGCCAGGCCGACGCCGCTGGCCTTCCGGCGGATGGATCCCATGCCCCTTGCCGCTCTTTCGCAAAGGCCACCCGGTCGCCCCCGCCGGCCCCGCTGGCGCGGCCTTGTGGTGGCCATCCCACGGGGCGCGCGGCTTGAAGCACTGCAAAAACCCGCCCGACAACCGCATCTGTTCGCGCGCACAGACCACGCGCCCACGGGACATGTATGCTGCACCCACGAAGCGCGCGGCGGCCCTGGGCATTGCCGCCTGTCTGCATCCCCTGGACATCGCGCGCCCACCGGGACACTTCGGAGGCCCGCCGGCGCCGGCCAAATGGCTGCCCACCTTCTGCAGGCGGGGGGCATAGAGCGAGGGCGGCGCGTTCGGCTGCCAAGCCCCCGACTACCCTCCCCCGGTCGTCTGGGAGCGCCAAAACTCACAGGATTCTCCCACACCCGGATGGGAAGGTGGCCCGCGTCGGCGCCCAGCCAGGCGGGCGCGTTCCTCGCGCATGCTGCGGCCTCTGCACAGGGCGGGCCGCCGCGTGCAGGCGCGCCCCAGCGACATTTGGCGCCGACCCAAAACCGCTCCAAATTGGGGGCGGTGACGCCCGCCGCCACCGAGCTGCCCACCCACTTCCCAGGCTCGCAATGGGGGGCACGCAAGAAAAACGGGCAGCGCCGTCCTGCGTGCTTGAGCAGAATACGCAGGGCCCGGCAGCTCGCACGAACTGCACAAGTTCAGCAAGTCCGCGCGCCATTATCTGCGCAGCAGCGAGCGGGCCGCTACAGGACAGAGAGCGAAACCATTAAGAGACACTAAACCACAAAGGAACTCGTGCCTACCTCCTCAAAAGTCAGCGACCCCGACGGCAAATCCATCAGCTCGAGTATCACGAGAGAGATTCTTGAAGAACACCATTCAATACCGCCGACAGAGTGCAGAGCGAAAGTCAAAATCGTTCTGCTGATTCACAATTATCTTTCTCGCTTTCACTTCACATAGGGCCACTCGCAATCGCATTCAGGCATCAGTACATTCATGAGAAGTTGAAAGTCATCCGCTGTCGCCAGATCGAAAGTACTAATGGTAATGCACTCTCGAAAAATAAAGTGAGACGATTTCAGTCCCAGACTTTGATGAGACCATCGTAGCCACAAGTGATGACCCGGGAGGTGTGCTTCGGGTGCCAGCAGCAACTCATCAGCGCTCCCGAGTGTGCGTTCATGGACTTGTAGACCCGGTTGTTTCTCCAGCCCCAGAACCAGAGCTTTCCGTTGCCGTCGCCTGAGGTGATGAACTGGCCGTCTGGCGACCAACTTATTTCGCACGCGTACCCCGAGGACGCGTGGCCCTTGAACGACTTGCGCGCTTGGTACTTGAATTGCCCGTAGGCCTGGTAGGTGACGATCTTGTTGTCCATTGACTGGCCCAGCAAGGTTTTCTTGTCGGGACTCACCGCGACCGTGGGGATACTGTGCATCAGCGGGTCGGTGATGTATTTCGTCGGGATCGGAATACCGTATTCCCAGATCAGCATCTTTTTGTCGTCGGCGGTCGTCACCAACTTCTTCCCGTTTTCGCAGAAGGTAATACTGTTGACTGACCCCAAATGCTCGTCGTATTCTTGGACGATCTGAATTGCAAGTAAGTTGTTGCACGTAGTGGTGCTGAGATCAAATTGTGTTGGGACAAAAGAAGTGGAAATAAAGGAAGAATCTTCATCATGGGCAAAACAGCAATTGCAGAATATTTGAAATCGTAACGCAAAACACTGCATCTACTTCTTGTAAGTACCTTTCCGGTATTTGCGTCCCACTCGACCGCTTTCTTGTTCGAGCACCCTGCGATAAACGAGTTCTGTTTGCTTGGGTCGGGGTGGACGGCGATGCAGAAGGGGGTCTTGTTGTTTGTCATCGTGGTGATGATTTTCCCCGTCTCCGTGTCCCACAAGTTGATGTTCTTGTCGAAGCTGCAGGAGTAGAAGCGCGACCCGTCGGTGGTGAAGCGCACGTCGCGGACGCCCACGTCGTGGCCCATGTAGTCGCGCAGGCACTGTCGCTGGTTGTAGAAGTCCCAGATCTTCACCTTGGCGTCCAGCCCAGCGGACAGCAGCAGGTGCCCCGTCTCGGGGAACAGCCGGACCGTCTGCACCCCCTGCGTGTGCCCGGTGTAGGTGTGGACCTGCTTTTTCGGCAGGTAGGTCCACGTCTCCTCGTCCTCCAACATCTGCTGGAAGTCCCGCTTGTCCTGGTGCGCCTGCTTAAACGTCATCCACGACCGGCCCTGGTAGTCGTACTCGGTCTTGCCGTAGAAACGCGACGTTTCAGCCACCTTGACCAAGTCCTTGGCCTGGCCCTTCGCAATGGCCTCCTCTTCGGTCACGCGCTCTTGATCCGCCTGCGGTTTTTTTAATATTGGTGTGAGTATTTTTACGACGATTTCTACATGCGATCTTTCGCTCCGTTGCCGAAACATGTCGACAAACACACGGGACACTGGAGATACAATGCTGGCTGCAGATAGAATGGAAAAAGGAAAAAAATGAAGTGTCGTAAATAGGGGTATTAGTATATGAAAAATGTTGTCCACAATATATTACCTTGATTTCGCTCATTTGATTTTCCCAGAACTTCCTCCTGTCGCCTTCTCCCTCGAAGGCGGCCCAGGGCCCCTGAAAGTTGTCGGTGTCTGCCGCGTCGTCGTTCCGTATCCTTTTTCTCCCCCCCTCCTGCAGTTGTCCGCGGAGCCTTTTGCCGCCCGTGAGTGCGGACTCGCCCCATATGCCTTGGTTCAGGAATTTGTTTTGGCTGGGCGCACTACCGCCGGACGCAAAAAAGGACTTTGCGGAGGCGGACTTGAACTTGTCGTGCGACAGCATGGCGTCCTGAAAGTCGAACTCGCTCAGGTGGGTGCTTTCCAGGTGCCCCATGTGCATGTTTTTCCGCTTCCCCTCCAAGCTCAGCCCCCCGCTCTTGGCCGGGTCCACGGGCCCCTGCAGGGGGTGCCGCAGGGCGTCGATTTTCGGGTTCGTAACCAGTTTCTTGTCCAGGTCAACCACCACCGTGTCCAGCCCGAACGTACTCACGACGGGCGCGGCCTCGAAGGAATCGGGGGCCCTGATCGTCGTCTCATGGTGGTAGGCCTTTACGGACGACGCCTTCGAAAGCGCCGGCGCAACTAGGTGGGCGGCCTGGGGAATCGCGTCCACGTCCTCGTCGCTGTAGTCGTCGAACTCGGTCGCCATTTTATGATTTGCTTTAAAACTGATCTTTTTCACAAGCTCCTAAAACACCGACTTAATACGGAGTCCACGAAGAACAATGACACATATTACGAAAGGGCGCAGGCTATGCGAGGGATGATATACAAAATCGAGATCATAATCACGTTTAGAAGAAAGCAAGTTCTTTATGTGGTACTGCTATCCAGTGAAACTAGAATATTTCTTTCGTTTTCCTGCTCGTCCGTCGGGGAAAATGGGACAAAAATATAGGAAGGTGAAAAAATACTTCAGCACGTTGTAGCGGTTCATTTACAGACGCTGTCAACAGGGAAGGATCCAGGCGCTCTGGATGAGAAGCCTGCTGGTGTGCAAACATTCATTACACCACTGCGCGCGAAATATCTTTTCGCACGAAGTTGTCAACAATTTCGGATCTGAGATTGTTCGTTTTCGTGATCCTCGTGAGCATGGCGATCATCGTTCAGGCCCTGCAGAGGTGGTTCTGTGTCCTGTTTTGTAGCTGAAAATTTCTCTGCTTCATTCTAGAACACAGCATGCGTTTGGAAAAAGGAACTCCACTACGCAGGAAAGAAAATGCTATCTTCATAAAATGAATTTTTTTTTTTGGTCAGATCACAGGTTGTTCTTGCTTGAAATGTGCCGTGTCGTAGAGTTTCCATGAAATTGATTTTTGAGTCGCGTCTTTTATTTTCTAGGAAAGTTATTTGTAGATCGTCCATATGTAGTTAGTACATGCAAGTAGAAGTCCAATCAAGTGCAAAAAAGGCCAATTAGGTTTTTGTCGCTCGCCGAAAAACGGTCAACTACATCAAGGGGGAAGTATTAGTAGATTTCAATCGGAAATAGTCGCTAGGAAATGTCCTTAATGTAGGAGGTAAAATTCAAGCTCGAAACGGTAAACGGCAACCAAAAACAAGGCTGTAGCCGTTGTATAGCGATGGCTGTAATCATAGATTGCGATTCGTTGCTGACACGAGCCTGAACATAAGCGCATTGTGTAGTAGAAATAAAATATTTCCTACCTTTGGGGATACCGAAGCATTTTTTACTAGATATGGCATAAATATGAAGATGGATTATTGTAATTGACAAAGTAATCAGATGCGGAATCACGCGATCCGTAATTCCGCGGTCAAAGACAAACCAAAGTAGCAAAGTACAATTTCAAGGGATTATCTTTAATCTCTTCCCAATGCAAGAAGTTTAGACTTGCTGAGCTCTTCCACCTCCTGAATGACAGTATATTATGAATACGGGGAGTCGAGTGCCATGCTTGCTACATCGAAGGCGAAATCATGTCGCAACCAAGGTCTACTTGCAAGAATCATGAGAAGAACAGACACCTAAGTACCTCTGCCAAGAGGTTGGCGCAGGAGCTCCCCCTGGTCGTGAATACATACTGTTACTGCCAATTCTTTTTCTTGCGCACGGCCTAATAATTTTTTGGGTAGGCCGAAGCCGCACCTGGAGCTCCGCCCGACCCTTGTCCTCCTGACGAGTTGTTGTACGAGTTGCTGTAGTAGTTGCTGTTGCTTGCGTTTTGGTGCTTCTGCGGCTGCGCATTGTTGCCACTAGCGTGCTGCGATGAGGAGTACGCAGAGGAGCCCTGCGAACCTCCACGCACGCCAACACTATTGTTGTAAACGTAGGAACCATTCGTACCGCTTCTCCCGTTGTAGCTGCCGCCCTGCGTATTCCTCCCACAGTTACCTCCTCCGCCGACACCAGGGTACGAACTCGAATTGTTGGCTCTATGAGCGCTGTCCGAGTTGTCCCCCCGCTCCCCCCGCGTATTACTAACTCCCTGACCGTGTTGCGATCCCTGCCTCGCCGCGCCAGCTTGCTGCCGAGAAAAACTGCTGTAAGCTGTCGTAGCTCCAGCAGCGGCTCCTCCACCGCCGTTGTTGTAATTGTTGTTGCCGCTCCACTGCCGCTGCTGTCGCTCTTGGCTGTTGGCCTGGCTGGCATGATGTTGCCCATTGGCATCATTATGATTGCCTCCCGAATCGGAGCGATGTTGATAGTTGTACCCGCCCTGCTGTGTACGACAAGCGTTGTTGCTGTAGCTGTACTGCTGGCCCTGCGGTGCGTGCTGTTGGTTGTACCCTGCTTCGTACGAGCGCTGCTGTTGACCTTGTTGGTTCATACCCCCAACGGTGCCAGGTGCTCTGTTGTATTGATTTTTCTGGTAGCTGCTGCTTCCTTGCTGCTGCTGGATTTGCTGTTCATAGTGCGCCGTGGTCCCCGCTGTGCTTGTGGGGCCGCTCCTCGCCGTCTTCCGTTGATGGTTATTCCCAGGATAACTGCGGTTCTGCTGTTGACCACCCCCCTGCTGCTGCTGCTGTGTTGCGCGGTGATCGTACGTGTTATGGTAGGAGGTGTTGTTCTGCAGCGACGCTGCAGTGTTATTTCCAGAACGGGGCCCCATAAAGCTGTTTCGTGCCATGTTCGTATTATTCTGGTGTTGTTGCTGCTGCTGCTGCTGCTGTTGCTGTCCCGCCGCTGGATTATAGCTGGTGTTCATTCTGGTGGAGGAAGCGTTGTTATTAGTTTGGTGCATGTGCTGCATGCTGTAGTTGTTCGTACTGTTGCTTGTTCCCTGGTGATGCTGCAAAGAGGAATTATGTGGTCCTCCACCCACAACTCTACTGGCGTTCTTACCCCCGTGCTGCTGCTCGCCGCGGGTGTTATTGTGCTGGTACCCCCCGCCAGAAGAACCCACACACCCGCTGCCAGAGCCGCCGGTTTGCGCGTGCAGGTGCGGACTGGTGCGCTGTTGATTGTAACTAGAAGCCGGTCTCCTTCCTTCGCAGGGGCCCCAGATCGGCTCAAAGCGCTCCCCGGTACTGGAATTCGCCCCGATTGGGCCCTCCGGTGCATCTCCCACAAGAATTTCTGTTCAAATTGTTTGGAATCAAATTCAAACTGATTCGGTCATATTAGTATTACATCCGAGCTGCATGCAGCGACTGTTCTAGTTCGACAAAAGATGCAAAAACTATATAGCTATACGAAAAGGAAACTGTAAAAAAACTATTGTTTACGGGTCAGATTGTCGTGCATCGAATTCTGGCCGCGCCCAGACTGGTGTAATTGTCCTCCTCCTCGCTGGGTGTGCCCATACGACTTGCTCCCGGTGTTACTCCTGGCGGGCGTGCGAAACTGCTGTTCCTGATACGGCGTTGCGCTCGCGTGCTGGCGCGTGTTATTTCCGCCGTACGTGTTAGTATTATTTGCCGCGAGGCCGGTGGAAGAATGCCGCGGATTATACTGGTCCACCGAGTAGCTTCCCGGGGAGGCGTGGTAGGAGGACGAGAAACCGTTCACCGTGGTTGCCGGGCTCGCCAAGAGCGAGTTGCAATTGCTGTCGTACTGCCGCGAAGCGCTCTGCGCAAGCTGGTTGTGCGAAGATTGCTGCTGGCCCGCGAGCCCGGCGCCGCGACCGGTACCGGTTGCTGCGTCGTCATACATCGTCGTGCTGGGCGCACCCCCAGCACTGTGACTGTTCGCGTTCCCCAAAACTGTCGCGTCGTGGGCAGCATTGATGCCACCCGGTGCTGGATTTTTCGCCTGCAGGCCCTGCTGCACGCGGAGTTTTTGCTTCTCTTTCTTGCGCCGCTTGATCTCCCCCGGTGGGCAGTCGTGACAAAAATCGCACTTCTTGCCGTTCGAGCACCCGCCCTGGCGGTGCACGAACGCACAGGGCTTGCACATCCCGACCGAGTGGTATTTTGACCCCACGGAAGAAAATTCGTTCCCGTCCGCATCAACGGCCTCGGGACAAACGAAATTCTGGTCCCCGGAGCCGGAGGCGTTCCCGGCCGCGGACGCTGCGTGGTGGTCCGCACTGGGCATAGTCATCGCTTCTTGTTGGGCACCAAACTGGACGTTCGCACCTCCGGATTTCGCTGTGTGGTCCGCGAACGTGGCCGCAGTCGTGCTAGCCGTATCCATCATCAGCAGCATACCCTGGCAGCTCACGTTGGGCGTGGGGGTGCACAGGCTCTGATGCTGATGTCCCCCCTGATCGTGGACAACCGTCTGTGCCTGGAAGCTGCCTGTTGTGGTTGGAAAATTTTTTGGTTGATGTCTCTCGTGCTGATGATGGGTTTGTTCCTAAACCTTGGAAAAATATTTTTGCAAGGTCCGCTGCAGATGCTTAACCTACTATATCCGAACATTGATATTCAGTTTGAAGTGGTAGAAACAAAACAATTATATGTACACTGCTACTTACCAGATAGCTGCGAAGATGAGGCTGGCTGTCCATAGTGCTGCACATCTCCGCTCTGCTGCTGCTGTGCGTGAAAATTAGAAGAATGCTCTGATGTTATTTTCTAGCAGATCCATGCAGTAGAAAAAGAAAAAATAGGAGAGAAAGGCAGCGTCTTCAAACCTCAACCGTAAGAAAGTCAAGATTGATTTTCCTGTTTCCCTAGACAGAGTGCTTGTACCTGTGTATTCTCGCTGGAAGTATTTTCCGCTCGCCACAGAGCCTGAGGCTCCGGACAACGCAGCGGCACTTTAGAGTCGCTTTGAAGCTGGTGGAAGTAGGGCGACGCGATGGTGGTCCTCTGGGCCGCGGGCAGGGCAGAATCTGAAGCGGGGGTTTGCAGGGCTCTGCTCTGATCGGGAAAATCTTGACGGTAAGACCGGTTTCCGTCTATCGCGGGCGGAGCAGAGAAACGGCCGGGGTCATTCCCTGTGTCGCGGGTATCGGTTTGCGCGCACCGGCGGGCACTCTGGCTTAGCGGAAGCGTCCGTCCGGTCGGCGTACCCACTGGCGTCTGCATGATCTGCATTAAATTTTGGTGGAGTCGTGGAGTGGCTTCATCTTCTCCCGCCCGACAACTCGACCCCGATTGCAGCGGCGGTGAGGCCAGCTGTTGCTGCTCCATTTGCCGCGGTAGCTGCTCCCACGTGGACGGCGGCTTTAACGCCGCGATGGAAGATGTCGTGTTGCCCCCGCCAAACATTGGTGGAAAAGCCGGCGACGTCGCCGGTTGCTCGCCGGCGCAAAAGGTGTTAGTACTCGTCGCGTGCTGCATTTGTTGAAAAGATGGCATAGTATTATTGTTGTAGCTGTTGGCCCCCGCCGCGGTGTTCATGTTCGTCCCGTTCGTAGTTCCGTAATGCCAGCACTGCTGGTCCTGGAAGCCGACCGTGCCGACGGTCTGGTAATTCGATGTTGACCCTTGATGCTGACCACAAGACGCTGAGCCTTGGTCGGGGCCGTAGGATCCTGCTACAGTGGTCCCCGAGCCTTGGTAAAAATCGGTTCCGCCGCTGCACATGTTGCTGCTCGCCCCGGTAGAAGCAGTCATCGTCGTCCCATTGCAGCCGGCCGCGTCGTTGCCGCCCATCGAGTTGGCTGGCGCGGCCATGTGCTGCTGCATGTGCATGGCGTTTTGCTGCTGCTGGTGCTGCAACTGCGCGAAATGGTTATTGTCGAAGTCCGGAAAAGTGAAGTTCTGTCCATTGTTCGCCGTGGGCATTTGCAAACTGGTGCTGGAGCTGTCCACCACGACCGGCTGATGCCCGCCTTGCGCCATTCCCGAGCTTCCGAGAGGCGCGAGCGCCACGACTGAGGAACACGTAGTACCAGATCCGCCCGCAGTGCCGAACATGCCGTTCGTCTGTGCGACGTTTCCCTGCTGCTGATGGTTGTAATGGTCCCCGTTCGCAGCCCCGAAGAAGTAGCGGGGCAAACTCTCTTTCGAACCCTCGCCAGATTGAACCGGATCGGCGCAAAACGAACCAATCGGCACGTGCTGCTGATTGTATGCATTCATCGTACCAGCACTGTTGCACGAGGAATTAGTAGCAGCTGCACCCATGTGCATGCCGCGTACGTCGTTGTGGTCCTGTTGGTGGTGTTGTGATGTAAACGGCAACTGGTAAGCCAAGTTGTGCATACTGGGACGCTTGCTGATGCTGTTGACGTCTTGCTGCTCCTGTGGCATGAGCACGGGATAGGAAACCAATGAATCGCGGTCCGAAAACATGTCTTGCACTGCCGCGTAAGAGCCGTTATTCATGTTGGCGACTGGCTGCTGATGATGTAGCTGCTGATTACAAGAACTCTGAACAAATTGCTGGCCGATGGCAGTAGCGCCGTCGAAGTTGTTATTGTGAGAACTGCAAGAACCGCTGTAGTTCAAGTTCTGCCCGCTGTTCTGCTGGTGGTCCATCATGCTTGTTCCTTGTTGGTGGTTCACGGTGCAGCTGGTGACCATGGACATTGCACCAGGTTGCAGATGAGAGGGGCCTGCGAGGCCGCCGCATGCATTGCCGTTCCCACTGCCACTGTTGGTATAACTGCAGTGCTGTTGTTGCTGGCAAGATGTTGAACCATCAATATCATACCCCATCTGCATAGAAGATGTTTGATACTGCCCCCCATGCGACGATTGGTGCATTCCGCTGGCGTTCATCAGCATCGCCGGATCTTGCGACGACGGCACGGAAATGGTACTACCTGGCATGTGCTGCGTATGGTGCTGGTCTTGGAAGGTGTTGTTTCCCAGGTGCTGTTGGCCACAGGAGCTGTTCCCCTGATTATTATACGTGGTAGAAGACCCAAACTGCTGATGCTCAAACGATTCCCTGTTGAAAGATGCGCCATTTCCGCCGTTGGTACAAGAGCTCAAATCAGCTCCAGTACTTGTTCCGTTGTTGTAAGAGCAGGATCCGGTTGTACTAGCACTGTTGGAACCACCAGCACCAGGGTAGTTGTTTTGATGGTATTGTTGGCCACCTTGCTGCAGGCCGTTGCCGCCGGCAGGATCATTGCCCCAGTTGTTTTGGGTACTAGAAGCCCACCGCTGTAATTGCGTGGAAAAGGCATCAGTTCCGTCGAATCCACCTGTCGCAGAAGTCGAGGGTTGCTGAGGCACATCTTGCTTCGGCGGCGTTCCGCTTCCACGCTTCGCAGACGTCGGCTCCGGAGGAGGTGCCGACGCCGGCGGCGGAGTCCGCACCAAGGAAACCACGGAACTGGGCGTGCCGACGACACGTCTCGGAGCCCACAGGTCACCGGGGCTCGAAGCACCTAGGTAGTAGGGAAGACAGAGGGTTCAAACCAAAAATATCAAACCAGAAACAGTCAGAAGATTGTTCTGCTGTATGATGGATAGGAATTTGAGTGCTAATGCTGAAATAGCCTCGAACAGTCGCCACACTCAGTCAAGGTCAAGGATATAAGACTTTCTTGGTCGAATAGTACCTTCACAACTCGGCGACGCTAGTTCGTCGAAATCGTCGGAAAAGAGCGCTCGCGGATGCAACGACTTATCACTGGTGTTGCATTCCGTGCGATTTGGCCGGGCCTGTGAGTGTTAAAAGTAGAAGCAACTACAAGATGATCGGGTCGCTACAAGGAAATCGAAATAAGCAAGTATACAAACCGTTCGACTTTTCGTTCGATTCGTGTGTTTCAGCTTCGAGTTGTACTGTACAGGAGAAGAAAATGAAAAATCCGAAAACATTGTGCTGAATCAATAGTGATTTACGTTATCAGCCATGTTCGTGTTGGAATTCGGCACATCTGGAGTGTCGGTGGTGCTGCTGTATTCGCCAGTGCACTCGTTAGAGTCAAAAGAAGTCTGCTGCGGAGATAACTCCTGTTCGACGCCGTGCTCCACTTTATGGTGCTGGTGGCTAGCGGTGCCACCACCCGCACTCGTTTGCGACCCTCCGGATGCTGGTCGACTAGTACTCATCAGCTCGGCGGAACGCGTGGGCCGTAGCTGGTGATGCTTGTTGCTCCGTGCTCCCGCGGAAGTCGTTGTGGTAGTACCTGTCACGCTAAGGCTCGAAGTTCCGGATGATGGCATTGCGATATAGCTCTGCCAGATTGACCTTGCAGAATAAAGAGGCTCCTGCTGATAGTTGCCGGCGGAAGATTTTGCAACGAGTTGTGCCCCTGCCCGGTGGGCGGTACTAGCTGAAAGTCCAAATAGTTGTTGTACCTGCGAGTTTCATCACAGAACGATGAATGTGGACGAGCCGAATGCATTTTCAGAATACAAAAAGGAGAGGAAACGCGTCGGATTCGGAAAGTAGAAAAATATAAAAAGCTTTTTCTCACCGAAATCAACAGCCGGCCCGAGCAATTTTTTCCGTTGTTTTCGTTCTATTTCGTTGCTTGAATGATGCAAGTACGACTCGTGGAGATGTCGACCGGTAAGTCTAAAGAGGCAAAAGATTCTTGTCCAAGCGCGCCCGGGCGCGGAGTTTTCGAAGGAGTTCTTGTTCCCGAGCAAATAGGCCTCGAGTTTTTGATGTGAGTGTAGCTGTTCTGAATGCACGAGTTCGTCCGACGTTCGATGGGTCGGGAATTGTCGAAAACCCTTATCTGAAAGCGCGGACGAGGTGGAACTTCTAAGCGCTGTATACAATAAGGTTTTTGTTTCTAATTTTAGGGCCTCAGAGGCTCGTGTACAGCAATGACCACTTAATCTGTCGCACGTCCAAATTGACTGCCAAAGCAAAACGTTCTCTACAGCTCTTCTAGGAACAAGATACAGATGCGCTTGTCCCAACAACTCCTAAAAAATTTTTCAAAATACGAATCCCAAAATTTTAATTTGTTGAAGAGCTATTGGTCTACACATTGCGTGCGGTACTTTGTTTGTGAAAAAGCGATTCTTCCTTCGGCTACATATTGTCTATACCTACTTTACTCGTCTTACTACTACTTTACTGTCTACTTGAAATTTTAACTCTACTACACTGCACAGGAAAAATGCATCGTGTTTGTCATACTGGTGAGATTCTTCGTTCTAAGTACGTTTTATGCGTGCAGACGCTTGCACACACGACAACCATTGTGCTTGTTGTGCATCACAATGTATAAAGTTTCCAGTCGCAGACCGCAGAGAGACAAATCAATGCTGAAATAATGGATGATGCACGCAACGCAGCTTTAATACGGTCGCGGGACTGCTAAAAAGGATCGTGGCTGTAATTCTGGCTTGCTAGACACTGGAACACAGAAAACTCACGTGCTGCACGAAATTCCAACTTGTTCGGCAACTGCTGCGGAAAGCGGAGAATACTTGAAAGCCCAACTGCTCTTTTAGGTTCACCTAGTAAGTAGCCTTGCCCTACTGGGTAGTGCGATGAATCACCTTCCTGCGCACCAGCAAAGCAAATACGAAAATACTTACTTGATATTGTGCGCAACACCATGCGCGTCAGCAAATCATCTATTCTCAAAAAGAAAATGCTGCCCTCCTCCTGCTGGGAGTTTGTCATTATTTCGAATGGAATGCACGCAAATCGCTACTGTTTGCAATTGACATTTACGAATAATAAACTGAACTTAGTCCGAACCACGAGGGAAATGCAACTACTACTTCTACTTACCACGTGCATGCTAGGCTTCTGTAACTGCTCTAGCTCTAAGTAAAAACGACCATAAAAGGAGTGCAATCGCTATATTTCATTCTTGTATGGAGCTCGAGAGCAACACTGGCCGTCAGTACGCCAAGACAGTCAGAAGCGCGGCGCTATCGTAATTCTCGCTACTTTTTGGCGAGACGTTGCCGGCTATCAAATGTTTCTTCGTAGTCGACAGCTGCGTACCATCTTGCTGTTCGTTCGATAAATCCGATGCCGGCGCCAGCGGCGCGCTTTCCCCACTCGATATCGTCCTCGGCCAGGCGCACTCTTCTGCACGCTCGGACCACACCAACGGACGATAGGCGTCTCCGAGGAAAGTCGCAACCAGTCTCTGAACCCTCGTGACTGTCGCTTTAGACATCGCGGGTTTTAGTTCGTGCGTGTTGAGACAGTGGCCCCGGACGATGTGATGCACGTCGGCGAGCGTGAACCGACTTCGCTTCGTTCGATCCTGCGCGTCGCGGTTGTCTATCAAATGCGAATCTTGTGGCAGTTCGCTACTAGCCTTCGCTTTTTCCTGCTCAACAGCACCTTCCGGGCTGTCCGGATCTCCCCCAGGAGATGAGGACGGATCCCCCTCATCAGCTGCCTCCTCTCCGGCCGTTTGATTGTTCGACGGGGGTAGTGGTCGCTTCTGGTCGTGTTCTTTTAGTTTGTGTCGCAGGTCAGAAAGCTCCCGCACAAACAGTTGGTGGTCTTCTTTGCTGAGCTGGCAGGAGCTGCCCGCGTTGCTGTACAGTCTACTCTCTTTGCAATTTTTGCTCTTCAGCTCCTCCTCCTTCTCCTTCACCTCATCCCTGAGCTTTTTCTGCTCGGCCAGCGCGTCCTTGTGGAAATAGGCGAAATATAGGCGTGTCGAGCCGCCCTCCTGCTGTTTCTGTCCAAATACGCGCTTGATTTTTTCGTTGTACTCCGCACGGTGGCCGTGAAAAGCGATCGGGAACGGGGAGTAGTACAGACTCTTCTCATAAACCGCCTTTTCTGCCTCCGCGAACGTTCCAGAGGCGGCGGCGGACGCCGCCCGAGCGTTCCGCATCCGGTAGTAACCCGCCAAATCCAAATTCAATGTCTCATGTTCCTCCGCGTATTGGGCCGCTTCGCTGTGGATCTTTTCCGCGGAGTCCACATCTTCGTGGACAGAAACATTAGAATCAGCAGCATGATCTTCATCAAGCTTCACTTTCCGCTGCTGGTCCACCAGCGCAACTTTCAAGTCTCTTTTCCAACACACCTTTGCCGCTATCATCCGGTTGAAAAAGGTGTTCCGCTGCTCCCACAAAATGTCGAAGTGGGAGCCAACGGAGTCGAGCGCCTTGCCCAGAGCCCCGGAATCCTTGTACAAGTCCCCCACCATCGCGTGCGTTTTCTTCCCGTAGTCGTACGGCAGCGCCGCCAACTCGTCGAAGGGGTTGGGCTTTACCAACCGCACCTTGTCCAGCTCGCGCGCCCAAAACATCCGACCTTTCGCGTCGTGCGTGACCTGAATCGCCTGAACCGCGATGGTGGGATGCACGTGGGCGAGCTCGCGCAAACAGATGGAGTTCAAATCCATGTAGCTCTCCCACACGAAGGACTGAAAGGGGAGACACTGGTGCCCGGTTTTCGCCCCGAACGCCGAGTCGATGGAGACGCGGTGGCTCCGCTTGCTCCCACCGTCCGTGCTCGCGTGGCCCATGTGACCCAGATAGGTCTGCGACGTAGCCACGCTGAAAAAGCGCAGGCTGTTGTAGAACCAGTAGGTTTTCCGCAGCAGCAAACCCGAATTCATGCGTCGGGAAAACGTCCGGGTGGCCACTTGGCTCGTTTGCACGATACCGCCGTTCTGGCCGCCGAGAAAGTCGCGCTCGAGCACGTCGTCTGGCGAATTCAAAATACTCCTCGCCAAGTCCAGGTCGCCCTCCAGCAGGGTACTGGCCTTGTTCAGAATACCATCCAGCTCCTCGATCGACTGGAGCTCCGACCCGAAGTACGTCGACAAGATCGCTTCGTCCGTCAGCGTGTCCACGTTGGCCGGCGCCGGCTCGACTTGCAGGGTAGAAGAAGTTCCGGGCTGATCTTCGGCTACAGCGGTGTCCTCGCTAGTTGTACTTGGAGGATTTTTGGCCAACAGATCTCCGTCCGCCGGGTGGACTTCCCCGTGCCGTTGGCGCTGGATGCCGTGCCAGGTCCACCCGCTGCGGCGCGCCACCCGTTCCGAGGCAAGCAGCTGGTTGATCGATAAATTGTGGGTGTTTTCCATTTCCGCCACGAGGATTTTGTACTTCTCCGCCCGTCCGATGTAGAAGTACTTGTAGAATTCCGCCAGGATTTGCAAGCCCTTGCGGGACACGCAGAGGCCCTGCGTCACTTCCGTGCTGAAGCCCGTACGCTGCAACCCGAACACCTTGTCCGTGATCGTGGTCCAAATGTGACCCAGGTAGTACGGAATGTTGGCGTCGAAGTTCCGCAGATTGACAAAGCGCTCGAAATTCTCGGGGATGAAATACAAATCCGACTCGATCTGGCAATACCAATCGGGAAGCTCGCTTTTCGTGTTGCCTTGAAGATGATGATGTTCTCCACCGCCAGAAAAAGCCGAATCCGGTGAAACCCCCTCCAGCTCAATTTTGTGGTCCGCGAAGTACTTGGCCTCGGCCGCTTTTGAACCTTTCAAGGTTGCCACCAGCTTTTGCATCTCGGGACTGCCACGATACTTGCTCTGCAGCACACGCAGCAGGTTCCCCTGGCGCTTGCGCACACGTTGCAACTTTCGCGAAATGGACACAGAGGGCGCTCTGGCGCCCTGCTTCAGCAGACCGATGCGCTCGGACTCAAGTTGATCGTATGCGGAAAACAGTTCGCTATCGGTTTCTAAAAGCCCGTCGCGAATAACGTGCGCATTGTGCATAAAACGTGGGTCATTTTCGCCTCTGCTCACTGCGTCGGAGCCCGCGATTTTTGCGGATTTTTCCTTTGCTTTTGCTTGTGCTTCTCCTTTGTCAACATCTCTACTGCCCACGCCTTTCTCCGCTGGGTAAAGGTGAAACATGAGGTCGTGCGTGCCGCTGAGAAACTCCTTCCGCTCGTACCACTTTGCGCGAGATTCCCGGAAGCGCCGATGCACGTCCCGCAAAATGCGCGCAAACAGCCGGCTTTCCGCGGCCCGGATGCAGCTCTGGAAACTTTGATCATCCCCCGCGTCTACCGTAGACGCGGGCGGCAGAATGAACTTGTGGTAGTGCTCTGGACTGATCGGACCCAGCACTGACGGATCCGAGACTTTACGGAAACCCAGCTCCAAAATAATCCGGTCTTCCGTTTCCGTGAAAGAAACGTTACTATTTGCTGCAGAAGAGCCACGGTCATGATTGCAGTAGTGCGCTAGAATTGCTGACGCCATTGCGTTTGCATCTTCTTCCTTTATGAACACGGCATCAGTGTTTTCAAAAGCGCTTTTTCCTTGAAACGTCCCCGTTCGCAGCACGTCCCACAAGGACTGCGCGCCCACGGCGTTCTGCAAGTAGCTGAGCCGCGTCTTTTCGTTTACATAGCGGTCTGAAGAAAAAAGCTCTTTCACCATGTCCACGAGATGACTTGCAACTGCTCCCGCTAATGATGTTCCAACAGCGCTTTTTAGCAAGTCGAACGGGAAATGGTCCAGGATGTGCTGTTTCTGCCAGTGTAACCAACTTTCGTCCACATCCACGACGTGCTCGTCGTCTGGTAATAGGAGACCCAAATCCGGCTTCGTTTTGTCCAACCGGTACAGACTTTCGCCGGGAAGCGTGGCGATTTTATTGGCACTGTCTTGTGGAGCAGCTTCCGGTAATATAAGGGTTTCTTTCGTAGCCGATTTTTCATCCTTAGGTGGTTTAACATTTTTCGTTTTCGTCGCCACCCCATTGTAGAAGATATCGTCGTCCTCGTCCTGCGGGTTTCCGCTTTCCGTAAGTGGCGCGCGGTCCCCCAGCCAGGCGTTCTGGAATTCCGTGATCCGCGGCGCTTGCGGAAAGAAGTAGTAGAAGTAGGCTTCTAGCATCATCGCGTTCTCCTTCTTATCAAATGCAAAAATGTCTGGGTCTGGAAGATTGCAAGATTTGTCATGCATATTTCGGATCACGCAAATGGTGTCTGATGCTGGCAAAAGCATCACAGGTTTTGAGCACGCCCTGTGATGCCTGTCCCGCATGAGAAACTTCCTACTTGCGTGCCAAGAAATGGACAGCTTTTGGCGTTCATGCAACACAAATTTTTGTGTGTTCCAGAGTTTGCATCACAAGTTCCAACCCTTCCAGACCCAGACATATTTGCAATCCATACTTCTCGGCGCCGTTGGGGCTGCGGTACTCGTTCTGCCACTATCAACTGTAAAAATTTCTGGGTCTGGAAGCATTCATGTTTGTCATGCTTGTCTGGCATGACTCTTAAATCTGTCATGCACGTTACCCAAGAGCTCCGTTTTTCTGTGATGCAGAAGCGCAGTTTGTCATGCAGAATAGGCAACACCTAGGAGCTCAGAAACTTGTCATGCTGAGCCAGCATTTGTAGCCTCATCATGAGACGCGACCCAGCATCACAAGTTCCCAGACCCAGACATTTTTACTTTTGATAGCCACTCGTCGGAGATAATGTCCAGGTTGTGCACCCGGTACCCGTATCAAATGCAAATTTGTCTGGGTCTGGAAAGTTCTGATGCTAAAATGTGCATGATGAAAACACTTCCTTACGCAGCAAGCCATGACAAGTTTGCAGAACGCTTTCTCATACGCAATCAGCATGAGAGGCTGCGTATTTGTATGAAAAGAGAGGCTGCGACTTTTGCTAGTCATGCAATACAGATTTCACAGGCATGTAAGACCAGCAATACAAGTTCCAACCTTCCAGATCCAGACATATTCGCAATGCATAACCCGTTGAAGTACTCCGGCGCGCTCCGGTTGGCCACGAAGAACACAAAGTCGTCGCAGTAGGGCGCGATCATGTTCGACTGATTCACCATGATGGCCCGTTCCTGGTGGTAGACCACCGGCGCGAGACACGCAATCCGCTGCGGTCGCTCGTCGGCGATTGCCGGGGGAACGTCTTCTTCCTTGCAGTAGGAGCTCTCGGAAAACGCGTTGATGTTGAACGGCGTGACGTCGAGATTGCGTGGTTTTTCGAAAACATCAGCAGGAGACTCGACAAGTTTATCTCCCTCATTCAAAGATGTGTTGAGGTTGACTTCACCTGTGGCACTGGCTGTCGCAAGACGAGTAGTTTCAATGTCTTTTAAACCCGGCTTCGGCAACGCGAAGGACTCCCCGGGATCCGTCGCGCCCTTGGGATCGTAGAAGGGGTAGAAGGGATTCAGGTCCGGGCGATACATGAGCAGGGCGTCGACCAAGGAACGGATTGGGTGGCACAACCGCGAGTACAGGTCAAAATTTTGCAGCGAAACGCGTTCCTCCCAGTCATCCTCCATCATCTGCGGCAACAGGAAGTCTTCGGGGGAGGAAAAGGGACCTCCGAGGGTTTGGGCTTCTTCGCTTGTTTGCAGGTACTTTCGGATCGTTTTCCCAACTCGCTTCCCGAGCAGTCTCTTGTGCGCGACCACCTCCTCGGGGATCGGGTACGCGACGACCACGGTTTCTTTTTCGCCCTCGCCCGCCTGCATGGCGTTTTGGCGCAGCAACGGGTCCTTGTTGATCGCCGCCTGCGGGTCCGGGCGGACTTTGCCGTCCCAACACCGAAAAATCCAGCACTTCCAGGGCGCTTTCTTCTGTTCCAGGTCGTGGTCCTCGCGGTGCTGGAACACTTCGTGGCGGAAGGACAACACCGTGTCGCCGTTCAACCGAACTAAGAGCGCGAAGCAGTCCGCGTGGGGGAGCAGGTTCATGTTGAACGTGTGCCCCTCGGGCGTTTGCTGCACGCCGAAATCGAGGCCGCGCCCGGTCCGCGTGCGTAGCAGTTCGCACGGCTTGTCCTCGTCCTCCGTCGAGACACTGTAGGAGACGGACAACCGCGACTCCCCATCGGGGCTCAGCGGCCCCTGCTCCTCTGGCTCGGCGTTCGTTATGATCTGGACTTTATTTGGTCCTTGTTCAACATCGTCCTTCCGATCATCTTCATCAACTGATGAAAACGGCATGACTTGGACCCGTCGGGCGGTGCCGAGGCCAAGAAGAGCTCGGGTGACCACTGCTGGTTCGTCCTCGGTACTACTACCTTCCGCACTACTGTTTTCCCCCTGCACATCGTCCGGCGTAGTAGAGACCGCGTTATCCTCGCCTTCCAAAGTTGGCCCCTGGTTGACCTGTTCCGGCCACACAGCCACGCGCACCAACGACTTGGCAAGAACTCTCCGGCTCTTTTCATCCTTTCTCTCCTGCGACAATTTTGTCGACGAAAGCAGCTTGCTGCCACCGAGTAATCCGGTCGCGAACCCGTCCCGCAGGACTTCGTCGAGGAGGACGTGTTGAAAGCCGTCGTAACCCGTGCACTGGTAAAAATCGTAGAGCGGAAACCACAAGCGATCTTTGCGCCACTGGTTATTGAAGAATGACAGGTATCCCGAGTACACTTTCTTCACGTGCAGGCTCGGATCCCAGAAAAAGTGAAAACCGGACTCGCCCGTTCTATCGACACTTCTTGTCGTTCCGGTTCCCCCATCAGTACTACTCTCCGGCTGCTGCAGCTCTCTGGCGCCGTGATACTCGCCGGTGAACGCGTCCTGCTGCACGGAAAACACTTGTGCTCGCATGGTAGGCGGAAACTCGCGCTGCAGGATCGCTTCGAGTCGTTGCTCCGCTTCTTGCGTTTCGTTCTTGCCTACTTTCAAGCCGTCGCGCTCTGATGCTTTTGAAGATCCGCCTGCTTCTGCTGGTTGCCCATTGTGAATACCTGGAGAACGAACTACTTCCAACGCTGGAGTTACCTCCTCGCTGAACATCTCGCCCCCTGGAAAGCACTTCAACACTTCAGGCACCAAGTCGCCCAGCAGCAGCAAGTGGCTCGGCGGGAAAGACTGGAACACAGTCTTCAAGCTCGTGCCGCGGAACTGCACCTCTTCCTGCAACCGCACCAGGCTGACCATCAACTTGAGGAATGCGATCGGGAGGCACTCGTGCGCGATGGCCTGTAGCCCGTGCAGAAGGTCGTACAGATCGTTCTCGGCCGCGCGGCCGATGCTGAAGAAAATCTCAATCATCTCCAACACCGCCTCGGAAGAGAGCACCAAATTTCGGCTCAGCAGTTTGTACACCGCGCGGTCGAGCAGTTCGTGCTGCGTATCCGTCAGCAAGGGGAGGTCGCGCTCGAGCAAAATGCCTCGAAACTCGCCGAAATGAAACTCTGCCTCCTCAAATTCGGCGACCGTGGCGGCGTCCACCTCGTTCTCGTTCACGCGATCCTGCCACACGACCTTTGGGTCCAGTGAGACGTGCAGCATCCCGGTTCGCGAGCGCGGGATCGGGTCCTCGTGCAGAAAGTTCGGTCGCCCCAGCTTCCACTTCTTCCAGTAGTCCCCATAGAGCCAATCACGGAGGCTGCGCTCGCTGCGCCACAGATATTCGAACACTACCTTGACGTAATAAATGGTATCGGCCGTATCATGGATTTCCTAAGGAACTGCACCGGATTCCGATTCCTTCATCATCATGATCAGCATCAGCACCATCATTATCATCTGCATGATTTCGGTGCTGTTGTACTAAAAATCCAGCGAGTTCCGGAAAACTGCCGATGTAGCAATCAAGTTACATACCTTGAGTCCAAACAAATCGTAGCGCACTTGGGTCCGCGGATACTGTGCCAGATGGGCCGCTGTGCCGCAGCGGCAATCCACCGGCAGATTTGTGCGCACGGCGAACGACTCCGCGTTGCGCTCGTGCGCGGAGCGGAACATGTCGTGGAGGAGGTCCTGCGGGACTTTGCGATACCCCGCATGCTGTCGCCGAACGCGATCCACGGAAGCACGGTAGGCCTCGGCGACTGAGACTGCGTCTTCTTCCGCGCGCTGTGTCTGTTTTTCCACATCATGGTCGCCCGCGGAAGGGGACCACGGGGGAGCCGCGCCAGTGAACCGGACCGCAAAAAACGCTAATGCTACGAGCAGCAAACCTTCAGAAAACTTGCGGACGCGAAGGCAGGAAGCGAACAAAAACCGACACGGAGAATTTCCAAAAACATGTACATGATACCGAAGAAAGCGCATTACATTGGAATGGCCGCAAAAGAGGGACGTCCATAGAGCTAGTTCTTACACGATGTTTTACTTTCAGATTAGGTAGTGACATAAATTGACTTTGACAGTTCGTCAAAGGTTACACGCGGCCAATGCAGAGCACTGCTCTTTGTGCAGCTGTCGTCGTGTGTCAGCGGAAACAAAGAGAAGGGTATGCTGTGAGGGAAAAAAGATCCAGCGGTCTGCTGCACGTTCGTGAAAATACATCGTGCCTCACTTATTTCCGCGAGCAGAAAAGTTGATTTGCGTAATTCTGTATGCATGGTCATTTTCATTCGAGAGAGTCATCTCAGCTTACATCCTACACTTATGAGAGCATCTTTGTGCTGCTATGGCGATCGTTCAACAAAGCCAGTCGCTTCACATATCAGATTTTTCATCTTCATGTGTCCAGTTTGTCTTCGTCTCGCATCTTGAATTTCCCGGGCTCGCGGCCCACCAGCAAGTAGCCCAACAGTGGTGCGATGGAAAGTATCTTAAATGGCTTTCCAATCTTCTCCAGCGTGTCTCGCGTGGAAGGAATGGTGTCGCAGACGTAAAAGGTGTCCAGCTTGTCCACGTTCAAAAACCTCCGCCACGACTCTGACGGAAACACGGCGTGCGTGACGTAACAGGATACCTTGCTCGCGCCCGCGTGAACCAGCGCGTCAATGGACTCTAACAGGGTGCCGCCGGTCTGCACCATGTCGTCCACAAGGATCACGTGCCGATTCTTCGCATCGCCGTCCTGTTTTATTCAAGGATAATGATGCCTATTAGTGACGGGCAGCTTATGGATGCTAATAAAACCTGTCTACTTCGGCGCAGATTGATGCGCATGAGCAACTTTTTCTCAATTGAAATTCAAAAACAGCGCATGAAATTTTCTCATATCTTTTACTTGTATCCTGCAAATTCGCTTGTCGCCCTCGCCACGCTGTTTCGTGATAACGACGTGCGGGTACTCTGGAAACTTGGAGCCGAACCGCTTCTTGGCGCCGTCATCGGGGAAGGCGATAGCGATTTCCTCGCCCGCGAAGGGCTCCACGACCTGCTTGTTCACTGAGGGAGACGATCCGGACTTGAGCATGCGACTCAGCTCCTGCTTCAGAAGAAACACAGCGGACTTCAACTCGACCAGCACGTTATCGTTGAAGTAAAATTGCTCTTGCAGCGTGTGGATGTCGTAAATGGTGATGATCGGCGCCCCGGTGCGGCAATTCGGCGTAGAATCTAGCACGCGTGCCAGCGTCTTCGCGGTCGCAATCTGCCCCATCGTCTCCACGCGCTCCATCGTGCCTGGAGAAATAATTAATGTACGCATTCGTAAAGTAAACAACTGCGAGGAATAGTACAGGTTGGTAGGTTGACTAGTAGATTTGGACTGTTCAAAAAAAAATGCAGAATCAATCATGTCAGCATGATTTTTCAAGTTCAACCACTAAGCCGACGACAAGCACATCCTGATTTTTATTTCAGCAACGTGTGCTACTACCTGTGGAAAACCAAGGCACGATGATGCGATAGTTTCGCACGAGCATTTTAGGCAGGGCGTAGATGACCGCGAGCTGTTCGAACACCTTTTCGGGTGTGTGGAACGATGCCAGGAAACACACGCTCGCGTGATCATCCTGCATGCGGTACACGTTCTCCGGCGTGAAGGCGACGTTGGGCCAACCGTCCTTGAAATACTCGAAGGTGGGACCGATCAGATGAATCTTCCCTGGGTACAAAGACTGCACGGCCTTCGCCAGCTTCTCCATGCTCTTGTGGTACACAATCACCGTGTACCCCTCCCCCTGTTGCACCACCTCATTCGACGTGTAACCCTGTTGCATGCTGTAGAGCCGTCTTTCTCCCGAGGCCACCCGCGTAAAACTTGTGGTGCCCTGGGACTTCGAGCGTTTCGGCGCCTGCACATTGCGAAAAGTGTCGTCATCATCAATAAGTAAGGAGTTTTGACTCCCCGTCGTTTGCAGTTCCACAACCTTATTTCTGTTGTCCCCCGGTGAAGGCGAGCCATCGCCGCGTCTGGAACTGCTGGACGAGCTAGTCCCGGTGCCAGGCGACCCTCGGTCCGCGGGGATAACCAGCTTAGGAGGAGGCAGACTCATCGATTGGGTTTGGGTGCCAACAAACGATGAAGGCGTACTAGCGGCAAGTAAGTTGTGAAGATCAAATACAAGTGGCTCAAATTAGTTGCTTCCGGGAAAAAAACATGGACAACAATCTTATTGACCACGCTGTTATTCGCTATACTGTCATGCCTCCTCGCAAAGTATTTGTTGCTCCGAAAAGTGTTTGTTGCTTGCCCGCACGTGCTGCTAGATCTAAAAGACATGATCGTGAAGCACACAGCAACTCCGAAGGATTCTTATTCACAAAGAAATGTGACAACTGTGTACGATTTTACGTTTCGAGCGACGCAAATGCAAGTCGCTACTGCAGTGTGGATCGCCGTCGGATCAATGCTCTCTCATCGCGGCGCCTGGATCCATGTGTTAACACAGACGGACCAATAAGAATGAAACATCTGCGGATCTTCCTAGAAAACCTGACTCCTTCTAGATCAGCCGTAGGATTCACGAGGCACTTTGGATCGTTCGCTGAGAACTTGTCGTAAGCACGAACCACAGGGACAGGACGATGGAAAGTTTACAATGAAAGGAAGCGATCCATCTCGAAAGCACCAATCAACATTAAAGTCAATCTGCACAGCGCGTATGCTGCAATTTTCCAGCGGTCAAAGCGTATTCTGTCTGGCAAAGCGAAATAAGATATCGCAAACGAAATCCGATGTATCTCCATTCTGGTTCTGTCCATCTGCATGCTAGCACAAATAAACGGCCACCTCACTTCTTCACGTTCATTTGAAACCCTGCGCAGTCGCTGCAGCGCAGCTCATCGTACATGATTACTAGCATTATTATGTATCCGCTTTTCAAAAACGCGCCTAAAGTAGCGCGCGTTTTTCGCGCTCACAATCCGGGGAGCAACAAAATGCGCAATTGTCCAAAATAAAAGTATGCCAAGCGCGTCCAGCGCTCGCGCATTGTAGGTTCTAGCAAGTTCAACTACTCGTCGACGTCTATCATTGCCGTAGTCGCAACCGCGCAACAGCCTCTATACGGAGACGGGCAGCTCGCTGCAATTTCGGCGTGTACTCGAAACAGGAGGCTCCGCCACAGGCTTTTCCCGTAGGCAGAGTACCTCCTGTGCGACCTTGGGCTTGCTGCGAATCTGGATTACTGGTTGCCAGTGTGCGCAAGCGTTCCGCTTCTTTGAATCTCTTTGCAGCTTGCCGCATCTGACCTTCAAAGTCTCTCTTTCCGACGTCACGAATAAGCTGCTTCTTCGTCGAGGCACCATAAAACGTTGTCAAGTCGCATTTTTCGTCGAGCAAGGCTCGGGAGGCGTTCCCGCCCACTGCACAGTACGTACCTCCTTGCGAAGCCCAGGGTAGCAACGCATTTTCGACGGCGTGGATGGTGTTCAGAGTAACCCAGAAGAGGAGGTCTACCGAGTTCAGCTGCGCGCACGGCAGGCTGCATTGTTCTCGGATACTGTTCGTGACCTCTGGCGGCCCGTAAAATGCCACGGTTTGCGCGAAGTGAATTTTTCGCAGCCTCCCAACAGCTTGCATGAGCTGATCCTTGTTCATTCCGGGTGCCACCGTGACGATGGCATGCGCGTCGTGTTTCAGCTTCAAGTCTGCCCCGCGCGTTCGAGACTGATCGTAGAAGGCAAAGCAATCGGCCTCATGCAGTGGCGATTTTGCCAACGGTTCATGCACGCCCTTCAGATTCACAACCATCCACTCACCGGACCCGCGCGGCTCAAAGTACACGACGCCCTGCATCGCGTTTTTGCTGTTACCATCAATTTTCTCACGAATGTACTCCGCGACCTCGAAGTTGCTGGATCCTGCCAGGAGACCGCCAGCCTCTACAAGCGAGTCAAAGCTGCCACATTCGTCAAAGACAGCGTCGATAATCTCCGACCAGCGCGTACAAGCCGGGCCTTCGTGGTACATTGAATTTTCCTTCTTTTGCATGCACGCACGCAACCGCGCAACAGCCTCTATACGGAGACGGGCAGCTCGCTGCAATTTCGGAACAGACACAAAGTTGCTGTTTTGGCTACTAGTAGAAGTAGTTGCACGCCCTAGTACCGCCGGCGAATTTTTTTTCACCGCGAGCTGCCCAAAGACCCCGTCGGCCCTTTTTAGCGCTTCCACGAGCCGCGTGGTGTCAGATTGCAGCGGTTTCAAGGTCTGCGGGTCTAGCACTTCGGCCGAAAAGTAGTGATCCTCGAAAGTAGAGGCAGCGGGATTCGTGTCGTCCTTGAAAGGGGAGAAAGCAAAATTATTTTTCTTGGTCGCCTCCACGGGGTCGTTCCCCGCTGTTTTCTTGTCAAGCCTCACCACCACCTCCATCGGCCTCAATTCCCGGCGATCGCAAGGCGGGCAGTTGCACTTCGGGCACTCGTATCAACTGTAAAACTGTCTGGGTCTGGATGATTCTGAGACTTGTCACGCACGTGTTGCATGAGCCATGATGTCTGTGATGCATGCCCTAGCATCAAGGGCTTTCTGAGGGATTCTTGATGCCTATTCCGGATGACAAATGCGCTCCCCGCGTAGCAAAAACTAGAATCCTTTTGCTGCTCATCATGCAACACAAATTTTTCAGGCATCCAAATGCAGCATCACAAGTTGCATTCTTCCAGACCCAGACATTTTTGCATTTGATAACTCGGTGGGAAGAAACGTCGGAGAAAAACAAATTCCAACAGCCAGGGACACCGCGGCGATCGCCAACGCGACGAACCAGCTGGGGCCGCTCTTCTGCTCGCGCGGCGGACGCATCGGGGGTCCAGCGGAAAGACGCCGAAGCCCGTCCTTCTGTCCAAGGGTAATCGTCATGGTGTTGTAATTGGTCATATAGTCGCAACCGCGCAACGGCCTCTATACGGAGACGGGCAGCTCGCTGCAATCTATAAGTGCGAAGACATGTAAATAAGTGCGAAGACATGTAAATAGCTAGTGCGAAGACATATAAAAGACAAGTATCCGCTATTACAATGACTAATTACAATGACTAATTACAATGACTAATTACAATGACTAATTACAATGACTGATTACAATGACTAATTACAATGACTAATTGCAATGACTAATTACACTGACTAATTACAATGACTAATTACAGTGACTAATTGCTATTAGTTATTGCTATTAGTTATTGTTATTCGCTATTGTTATTCGCTATTATTATTCGCTATTGTTATTCGCTATGCTTATTATCTAAGCCGAAACCCTAAGCCCAACCCAAAGCCGGGGCCGCGCGGGCAGCCGCCAAGCAAAGCCGAGACCGCGCGCCAAAGCCCTAGGGCCGAGGTCGCGCCCGCGGCAAAGCCCCAAACCAAAGTCGAGACCGCGCGGCCAAGCCCCAGAGCCGCCGCTAAGCCCCAAAGCCGAGGCCAAGGCCGCGCGACAAGCCTCGAAGCAGCGAAGCCTCTATACGGAGACGGGCAGCTCGCTGCAATTTCGGAAAAATCATGTTTGCCTACTACGTGTTACTTGCCTTGCTGGTCAGTGTCGTGTTGGCCTGCATTGGCTTCTTCGGTCGCGACAGCCAGTACGCCAGAAAACGGCAACCCATTGGAGGGTTCGACGACTTCTAAGAGCACATGATCGCGGTTGGTCCGTCGTGAGGAGTGCTAACATCGTTGACTCTGGTTTAAACCAGAGTATTTTAGTAGTATATCGCGGTCGGCCTAAAATACTTAAACTTTAAGTATTTTAGGCCGAGCCAGGAAGAACTGCAAAACCAGAAATACAAGGAAGGTGTGAGGCTGGGCCGTTCCGTTCCAATCCTCTCAGAAGCGCCATGCGATGTGCCGTGGAGGAACGGAGGGCAATAAGGCAGTGTCTCGCGGCCGTGCAGATGCGGCCCCGGCACGAAGTGCACAAGAGCCACGAGGTGATGCTGCAACATGGACGATGTTACATCGTCCAGGACGAGGCAGATGTTCCGGAAGCTGCAGATGGCGCCGCAGGACTAGAACGCGAGAAAGAAAGCGAAGAGTTCGCCTGCGGTCTTTCTTCCAACATTATTTGCCTCCGTCCGCGTGGGGTAAACTCAAGAGCGGAAGATGTTGCTCCGTCACGCACCATTCGAGGTCCAGTCACGACCCCTACAACGCGGGGGCCCTCTGCGCTCTTTTGTTCCGCACCGCGGTAGCATGTTTTTACCTCTTTCTGTGCGGTGGAAATGAATTTGCTCTCGCCTGCCTGTACGAAAAGGTATTGCATCCAGAGGAATGGGAGCACGTGGAATATTACGCGGGTTTTCTGGATTCCACGGTCCTACCCACCGACCACCGAAAGTTTTGCTTCGAACTCTACTCCCGATTGGTGCAGGACGGACTGTGCATCTTGTCCGCACCGCCGGACTACTTCAGTGGTCACGTCGGGAATGGAGGTGGTGCTACGGACAGCACGTGGAGGGAGCAGGACTCGTCGAAAGCTAGTGCTGTTGGGGCACAAGTAGCAGACCACAAAGAAGGCAGCGGTACCAAACCTCCTCCCGGAACATCGACCTCCTCTACTGCCGCTGATTTTCCGAAGTTTTCAAAATCCTGGTACCAATTCTATCCTGTGCAAAAGTATCGTACTGGTATATATTGCAATCATGCATATACAAATCTTTTCCTTAAGGTAGAAATTTAAATTTTATTTCTCATGCTGAGGAAATTTGTAATGCGTTAGCATTTATACGAGTACAGTACGATACTTTTGCACAGGATAAATTCCTGATTGCCACGATTTTGGTGAACTCGCTGCCACTGGTCGAGAAGCAGCTCGGCGCGACCGAAACCCTGAACGCCTACCGTATTCTCGTCGCACTGGCGGAGGGGAACCAGAATGTGTTGCAGTGGGTGCAGCCGCTGGTGCCCTTGGTGTATGGAGAACGCTTGCGGGAGGACGGCGCAGAAGAAGGCCAATCAGGAGAACAGCTGCAACGGCCTCTATACGGAGACGGGCAGCTCGCTGCAATTTCGGAAGCAGGACATCCTGCAGGACGCAGGTTTTCGCACAGTCGGCCGGTGCAGGAAGGAGACCTTTGCCAATAGTTGCAGTGAAGAGACCTACTTCCACCTTCGGAAGCGGGCAACACCAGAAGCCACAGCAGACTGGTAGCCACGCTGCGACGCAGGCGGCCGCGGCGTTGCTGCTGCAGTCTTCCGCGGGGGGAACACAACAACAGCATGGATGCTGCTCCCCCGGAGGCGCGGTCTGGACCACCTCTGGCGCTTCTCCGAAAAGTAGACCGCCACAGGGATTCTTGCCGCAAAGCCGATACGGAAACGACAGCTCCGTGAGGCGATAGAGCAAAAATGACTTCACCTCCTCTAAAAACGCATGGAGAACGGGGCTCACGTAATCCTGCAACTCTTGCGTGGTCAAAAAACCTTCCTCCTCGGAAAGCGGAAGGTCCAAGTCGTCCGTGATCACGTCCGCTACGGGGCCTGCGTTCATACCGGAACGGAAATAGAGTCTGGTCTGCGGGTCCTGCGCATTGGCACTATCTCTGCCGAGGCAGCAATCGCGCAGACCTTCCGTTACAGGGCCCCAACAGCAGTCCGCCACCCTGTCACGAACCGCCGCCTTCCAGCCACGCCGTTGTGGCCGATACCACGGCTTTTTATGAATCCACATATCATACTTCGAGTACAACAGAGGCCGCTGCGCAACTGTATACCACTGCTGCACACGCTGGATCTGTGCGAGTCGTCGATCGCTAAGAGCCGGCCGCGTCGCTTCGCTGCCTGGCGCGAGATCATTCTGAGGCTGCTGCATTTCCACTTGCGCAGGCGGCAAGACCTGCAAGACTTCCACATCCTCACGCGGGAGGCTGCGCGGGTCCGGCGCATTCGAATCCTTCGTCCAAACAACCTCCGTCGGGTCCGTGCGGCTCCGCCGTCGCACCCAACCCAACCGGCGCAGGCGGTAAACGTCGCTAGGCGTCGGCCCCGAAAAGGCACCCTTCCCCGTCAACAATTTCTTGAGCCCGTAGCTAACATTTTCCCCACTGCAAATCCCCGTTGCAAGTTCGTGGCAAACCATGGCTGATTCACCCAAGCCGAAAACAGACCGCTTCTCGTCGTTTTCATCTTCATCAAAGCTGCCTGCTCTCCCGCTTTCGCCAATACTGCTTGTAGTCTGCGAGCTCGGACCCCCGGACCCGGAAAGCAAAAGCCGCTGCATTCTCCGAACGCGACCCAGAACCTGGACCAGGATTGAATAGACGCCATCGTCAGACAGTCCGGCAAATCTGTATTGACTCGTATCTCCATCCCGCAACATCGCCTCCTGTCCAGGGGGCGGACGATCGCGTTGTAAAAAACCGCTTTCAGGGTCCTCGTCCTCGATGTCGTCGCGGCCGCGCGTCCAGCTAAAAATGCTGCGATAACCATACCGGATTTCTTGCAAGTCGTCAGATTCCGGATTGACCTGCCGGAAGAGAAACGCCCCACCTTCGTGAAGGTGTGGTGCCGGCACCCCACGAAAGTGTTCTGGTCTACTGCCGTCGTCTTTTCCTTGTTTCAGCTTCCTCTCCTCCCCCGACGCGGACCACGCCCTTCTACCGCCCGGACGAAGTCCTGACGCGGCTTCCTTCTCCGCCTCTACCCGAAACCTCTCTGGTCCGAGCGCCTTCCAGATTCCGTCAGGCGTAGCGTAGGACGCAAGCAAACCCACGATCTCCGTGTACGGAGACCCGCGGTCCTCGAGCGAAGCTATCAACTGTAAAAATGTCTGGGTCTGGAAGCTTGTAATGCAAGGTTGGGAAGAGTGAATGCTCTGTAATGCACAGCCAAGCATGAGAAATATCCGCGCTGCTTAGTATAGCGCTTTCCGCATGACAAAGTGGGTTTGTGCATGACAAGTATACGGGTCTCATCTTGGACACGCATCACAAACTTTTCAGTCATGCCAGACACGCATGACAGACCTCGCATTCTTCCAGACCCAGACATTTTTACATTTGATAGAAGCAGACGTGGTGCAACACGCACAACAGTGGTTCGCCGTCTCAGGACACGCCGGCCAGTTTATGCTGCTCTTTCCCAAAACGGGACCTATCTCGTTAAAGTCCCGATTTGAGAGAGTCATAACGTCCGCATCGCCAACGCCGTCGGGAGCGAAATACGCGCACCGCAACCTCTCTGCGTCCAGCTGCAGGACCAAATCAAACAAAAAACTTCCGAATACCCGCGGGTCGTCACTCGGTAGATGGGTACTATTTTCCAGCACGCCAGCGTCTATTGGCCCATGTTGCTGCGCGTCCGCCTCACCGGCACCAGAGACAGGTGACTGCTGGGGTCTAAAATGATCAGTCCGGTCGGACACTTCCGCCCCCGCTTCGCTTGTTGCGGCATCGAGCGCCCACTCTTCTTCAAGTTCGTGGAGCACGCGCGCAAGCCAGTCAGAAGCCCCATGTTCGCAAAAATTCGAATTGGACTCCGGTGACGGTCGCTGAATTTCAAAAAGTTCTCGGTCCTGGTAATCAACTTCGTCGCAGTACTCGACAGACGAGCAAGAGCTTGCGTCGCTGTCTCCACAGCCGTCTGTGGTAGGTGGTGATACAACATGCGCTCCATCAATGTTGTAGATCGACGTGGGTACTAGTATAGCCCGCGCGGCGAGAAAGATTCCTCGGAGCCGAGTCCTCATTTTTTCTTCTGTAGTTGTTGCGCCAAAAATTATCATGCGTTTAAGAAATATTTTTATGTATGTGGGGGAAGGGCGAGAAGGTGAAAAGTCGCTCGCTTTCTTTCTTTCTTTCCATGCCCGGGCATGACGTCAAAAATTCAAGGCCCTAAAAGATCCACTGCAGTCTCACGGTAATTCTTCGCTGCAGCAATCGTTCACTTTTCCACGGTAACTCTTCTTTACCAGATATATTTGTAGTTTTTGAGCTTCTTTCTGAACGACCCGCAACATTAAAATACGCAAGCGTAACTACATTGATTTGTTAAGACCTGAAGCGATAGGGCGTGGAAGATTTGTAGTTGTTATATGTATCACGATAAAATCGATCTGTCTTAGGGTTAAATCGAAGACCACTAGCAGCAAGATCTGTGTATAGTCTCCTAACCATCTAGATCAATGACAGATCGGATCTGTGTCGGGGGTCAAAACACATCACATCAGTTTATCGGGATTTCCAAGCGGAAGAGCAGAACGGCACCACCTGACAGAAAAATCACAGCGCCGTTTCCACCGTTATTTCTAATGTCTTTCACAGCCCGCAAGAGAAGTACCTCAAGCAAGGGTGAATGAAAAAGTTCTAGAATTGCGTCGGTTGAACAACCTGTCGAACTCCACAAACTTAGTTCGCGGAAACGCTTCTCCATTCAGCTGGTATTGGAATTGGTCCAACAGCTACCGGCGGTATTAATGCGAGCATATTCCCATGAATATGAAGGTGCTGAGAAACCCACAACATTATGGCAACAACATTATCGGACTTGCATAGTAGATACGCTCTTCTCGGCCTCCAATGCTTGACAGCATACTACACTTACAGATTATGTTCTTCTTGGAGGTCGAGGCTCGTATCAGTTCGCTGACGAGAATAGAATACAACTCAAACAAATGCAGGAGCGGCTCAAATACTCCTTGCAGCATAGGTTCCTTCTTTTTCTACCAAGCGAGCTTTCCAGGATCAATTCTACAAAGTGAGTGCCGTTATCAGTGCTATAAAATTATCGTCAAGCCGCAGCCCAGGTAGTACTGTAAAATAGAAAGACAAAAAAGCGACTTCAAGTTCATCAGAAAGTCAAAACGAACTCATTTACTTCAAGAAATAGAGAAAAGTCCATTCCACTCGGGTGCCTGTACAGTCGTCGTCTAGAACTCTATATCAAATGTAAAAATGTCTGGGTCTGGAAGATTCTAAACTTGTAATGCTGTCTCTGGATTCTAAAAAAATTTGTATTGCATGACCAGCAAAAGGACTCCATTTTGTGCTACGTGGAGAGGGCATTTTTCATGCGGTAGAGGCATCACAAAGTCTTCTAAAAATCTGTGATGCTAGGGCATGCATCACAGACATCACCGGTAATTCGAAATATGCATGACAAACCTGGCAATCTTCCAGACCCAGACATTTTTGCATTTGATACTCTAGCGGTAGTCGCAGCCTCGCGACCGCTTCGATCCGACGTCGTGACGCCCTTTGCAAGTTGGGAATGAGGGCATCGCCGAGGATGCAGTTACTAATTGCAGTCGGACAGGCAGCACAAGCCATGCCCGGCATCAAGCCAGGGCAGCTCGCAACACTCGGGCAGCAAAGCCCCGGACACGCCGCGCGCGCAAGAAGTCCTGCAGAATTGCTACAGCTGCGTGTCGACTCGTGACCCTTGCGCACCCGTTCGGAAACGCTAGGATCTGACTCACCGCAGCACCCGCTACACGGCTCCCGCCCGCCCAGCCGGTAGGGCAGCGACCGGGACGCAAGCTCGTACAGCAAGTACGCCTTCACTTCCTCGAGAAACGCATACAGTACGGGCTGGACGCGATCCGTGAGCTCCTCCTGCGTCAGGAAGTGCTCCTCCCCGGGCTCAAAGTCGATTTCTCTGTTGAGTCCGGACCTGTAATACACACCGCCATTTATTACGTCGTAGTCCGGCTCTGCCATACTTTCTCCCAAGCACGACGACACCGCGTCAAACACTTTACGCGCCCGAGAGCGACGCCGCGGCTGGAACCACGGCCGCAAGTGCGGCGCTCCACCGCGCTCGAGGTACTGACTCCCTTTCGCGTACAGAAGCGGGCGGATCCTCAGCAAATGTTTTTTTTGCGTTTCCTGAAGTTGCTGCAACCGATCTCGGCTGAAGGCGGGCTGCAAGGTCTGCTCGTAGACGATTGCGTTGCCCACCCCTTCTTGCATCTGGACTTGGTCTGGAGGCAGCAAACGATCGATTGCTTCCTTTGACAGCGCATTCCTTGGGTTGTCGGGAGGGAACGCAACACGATCGGCCTCTTCCTGCTCGACTCGTACGGTTGGATCCATGCGCCAGGCAAGTTCCGTGGGATCTGTCCTACTCCGCGTCGGCCTCAGGCCGCTCCGGCGCAGCTGTCGCTTTTCCTTTGCGGAAAGCCGCCTGTCGCTGCCTGCTACCCTCGTGAGCCGCTGCAAGTTCTTCCGCGCATTTTCCCGACCGCAAATTCCCTGCCAAAGTTCTTTACGGAGGACGGCCGAATCGCCCAGGCCCACCACGGTGCGCTCCTCTTCGCGGGCGTCTCGAGCGATTAAGTTCGCACGATTCGCACCGGTGCTCATCGTCGAAAATGGTCTTGAGAAACAAGTACCGCTCCTCCACAGAAGGCGCTGCATCCTGTTGACCCGATTGAGCACCTGTACCAGCAGGGAGTAGACGCCGTCCTTGGACAGCTGGGCGACCTCATACTTGCTCCCGCCGTCCGGAGGAGGCAAAAGCCTCTCTTGCGCCGGAGGAGACAAACCCGCGCCGCGCCCATCGACCTCATCGTCTCGCCCCCGAAACCAGAGGCGCCCGTGAGCTGAAACGTTCCGAGATCTTTGGTAGAGAAAAGTTCCGTCCTCGTGCAAGTGGGACGGCGGAACGCCGTGGAAAGTGACCGGTCGTACATCGTCAGGATACGAGGCTCCTGCGCCGGGCATTTGGTGGCCGTCCGCTAGAGTTGTGTTCCTCGCCACAGACGCTCGCAGTCTCTCGGCTTCGATGCGGAACCGCTCCGGACCGAGCGGTTTCCACACGGCGTCCAGTGTGGTGTACGAGGCGAGATGCGCAATAATCTCAGTGTAGGGCGACCCCTTGTCGAGCAGCGGGGGAACGGAAGCCAGGCGACAGCTGTGTGCCGCATTCGTATACCAGTCTGTAGTACTTTCCAGCGGCCTCAGGGTGGGGCCGATTTCGAAAAAGTCCTTATTTTCATCCACCTCCAAGTAGTCGCTCCCAGCCGGAAGGGGAAGATCCTCCGGACCGAGCGGCGGACGAAAGTCATGCGCCAGAGGGATTCTCCGCGGGTCCCGCCCGGGAGGCGCCGAATTGCGTTGCCTGCGCCCCCTGTCTGCGTCATCGTAGGCACAGTCACTAACGCGGAGCAAAAGATCGAACAAAAAGCTGCCAAATACCCGCGGATGGTCACTCGGTAAGGACGATACATCCGGGCTTTCTGAGGTCTCCGTCGCATAATCTCCAGTGAAGTCTGTTCCTACTTCCGGCGGTGTCGCAGGACAAAAAGAAATATTGTGGCGACTCCGCGGGCTCCTGGCACCAGCGAGGTTCTGCTCGTCAACCGTTTCACTTTCTGCGAGGAACCATCCTTCCTCCTCGCCAAGTTCCCGGAGCACCCTCTCCACCCAAGCTTCGTCTGTTTCGGCTTCTGGCCCTGTGTTGGTAGACGCGGCCCCTTGACTCGGAGCGTCGGAAAAGTGCATCGATTCCTCAGAATCCGAATGCGAATCGCTTGCGGCACTACAACTTCTGGATCTCGGCCGGCGGACGGCGGCACTCCCGTGGACCGTGCTGGAAGAGAGAAAAAGCGTTAGCAAAGGCGATTTTACTCCCACCATGATGGAAAATTTCTAGATAGTTCAATAGATTTAGGTTCTTATGAATAATCTGCAGTGCAAATCTTCCCGATAGTTGACGATACGCGCCGTTCGCTTACGTCCACAATTAGGTGCGTGTAAGTATAGAAGTCAATACTTTTACTTATGAATCAATGTGATGGAATAAGAATAATTGAAAAAGATAGGCTCACTTGAAAGGGCAGCGTGCATAAACGGCACAATGAATACTTGTTAAGCTGTAACAATCTTAATCGCTATGTTGATCTGCAGGTGAATATTTCGAAGTGCGAGCGCCTGTGCCATTCCACGCTGATGAAGATCTTGATCGTCTGTTCCACACGAATTGACGCTCATTTGCAACCGAACAAACCAGAGTAGATTGAGAACCTTTTTATCTAATCCTGGAGCTAATTCTTTGATCTCTTGTTGAACCAAACAGACCGATTTTGGCAAGTGCATTTTCATCTGAAGACAAGATCGGATAGAGGAATGATAGATCTGCAGTACAGTTTCGGGGGAACTCAGAAGCCACATTTAGCCACAGCGCAATCTTGCTCATGGATCGGACGAACAAAAAGAGGCGACAAAGGTCACAGCTTCGTTGTTTGTTCGGTTGGATGCGTTTGTTTTCCATCGTTGCCTGCTACCACCAGTGTAGCAAAAAATCAAAATACCTGAGCAGAGATTTACGTTCTGTAGTGAGTTCGCAACTCTGCGTCAAACGGAAGTAGAACGATGTAGCTCATCTCCTTTTATCATCGAATAAAGAAGGCGTAGAACCCTGAGAAACTTCCTTTTCGGAAGAAATCAGACTTTGAAACGCTAAAAAATAAGACGCTGCGTACAAAATACGCAACTTCAATCACTGTCCCACGTGAAGAATCGTCCGCGCCTGCTCTATCTGCCTTTCCTGCTCCCTCTCAACCGCGCTCCTTTCTGCCGCTCGTTTCAGATTTTTCAACACCCCCCGGGGATTTCGGCCCACGTACCGACGCACCTTTTCCCAGGCGGCGTGGCCGATCTCCGAGCTTGAATGCGCGAAGACGCGATGCCGGCAGGCATCAACGTACACGGAATCCTGGTGCGGCCGGGTCCGTCGCGCGTTCTCCATCTCGGCCAGCGCCTCGAGCAACCGAGGCACTTTCGCTCCCGCCGCGGAGTGGTATTTTTCCAGCGAACCACCCGCACCGCTCGGCCTCGCGTGTCCCGGCGGTATCTCACGTGGTCCTGCAGGAGCAGTTTCTCCCTCCCCCAGTATACGTGTCTGCGTGGTGCGCGTGGTCGTATAACTCGCCACTGTGCGCACCGTCACGTCGGGATGAAGATCGTCCGGAAGCTCCACAGAGTCAGACAGCACTTCTCCTGCAAAATTGTCTCCGTGTTTCGAAGGAGGGCCACCAAAGTTCGAGGACTGCAATCCCGGTCGTGTTCTTCCCGTCTGCCTCGCTGCAGGAGACTGTTGCGACAGAAGTTGCCCCTTTTTTATCTTCGGCTCTTCCGCTTGGGCGTGCCAGTCCCAGGCATTGGCGTGTGCCTGCTTCTGTTGATCGAGCACGAGCTTCTCGTCCCCGCGAGCGCCCGTTTGGAATCCAAACATGCCGCGCAGATGCATATCCTTCTTCGCCACCGGATTCATCGCCCCCTTGACTGCCAGGGCGGCGTTGCCGCGCACGTCCTCCGCGGTCGCGGCGTTCCACGCTTTGTACTTTCCCGGGTGGTCATGGATAGTGCCCGGATCCGCCTCTTCATCCGATGTGCTGGGCCCGTCGTCGGACAAATCCAGCAGGTCGGCGGCTTCGTCCTCGGGATAGGTTTTCGGGACTTTCTGCACCAAATCAAACTGGTGAAAGATACTGCTCAGGTCAGGGGGCGGTCCGGGAGGCTCCGGCAAATACTTGATCTTGATTTTGTGCCGACCCGCCCGCGGGGCGGAGTCCTGCGATCGAAAACTCAGCGGCTGCGAGCCCACCTCACTGGTCTGCGGCACCGGCACGGGCGCGTCGCGTTGTTCCGCCTCCAGTTTGCGTAAAGCCTGCTCCAGGCCGTCTGTCCCAATCGCCTTGCCAGCATCGGGAGCTGCTGTTTTCCACGACGGGGGCGCGTGGTGCGTCAAGAGCACGTCCTGGTGCATCGCAGGCTCGTCGACCGGGTGCCGCATAGCGAAGCCCCCGGATGCACCAGCTGCGGCCATGTAGTTGGTGTTCCCACCTGCTGCGCTTCCAACTCCACTAAGACCCGCTGCCCCCAGTCCGCTCTGCCCGGTGGCTGCTTGGTGCTTCGCGTGCAGTTGCTGGGCGATTTCGAACAAAAGCTTCTCGCGGTCCTCTTGCGCAAGCTCGTGTCCCCGCAGGGCAATTTCTTCCCTCGCCGCCGACACGAGCCGGCGCAGCGCAATGTCGCGGTGGCGCACTTCGTGCACCGTCGGGAAGAGTTCGCGCGGCCGTAGTCCGCCGCGGGGCAACAGCCGGTCCGCCGACTCCGCCACGAGGTCCCGTTCACTTTCGGACCCGGACGACCAGTGCGCGTGTACGGCGGGCACGCGCAGCCCGCTTTGGCAGACCACGCTCTTCCACCGTGAAACCGAGGGCTGCCTCTCGAACTGGCGGAGCCACGACGCGCTCTTCTTGTCGTACGCACTCATGGCTTCCGCCGCTTCCTTCTTCTCAAGCTCCCGCAGCTGACGACGCAGCTGCGCCCGGAGCATGAGTAAGTTTCGGACGTGCTGCATCTGCGCGCCGGCGTTCAGATCGCGCACCCGCTCCCAGTGCTCCCGCACCTGCCCAACCGGGGGCGTCTGCGGGCGGTCGTCGGAATGCAGCGAGGAGAGCGACCACGTCTCTTGCGCGTCGTACATCGCGTCCTGTTCCGACTTCGACATGTTCATGCGGTCTTCGGTCAGCGCCGCCAGCTTCAGTGTGGAAAGGTCGTCCTCCGGCAAGTGCAGCAGTGCAGACTGGTGAAAATTCGTCTCCGCCTCCTCGCCGCTGCTGATGGACGAGACGATTTCCGCCAGCTCCCCCTCCGTGGGCGCGGGGCGGCCGGGACCGTACAAAGGCGCGGCGGCGACAAGCTCCTCTTCGCCGGAGGGGTCGGCGTCGTGCAACGAAATCTCGTCGACAAAGTTCGGCTCGACCTTCGGCCGGTGGCGGTGCTTCTGCCCGTCCACCGGTTCGTCGGGGCGGTCAAACCGTCCCTGATCCGCTTCTGCGAGCATCTCCTCTGCAAAGTGGTCCGCGTCGAAGTCGAGCAGTCCCTCGTCCTGCTCGGGTTCGGGCTTAATATTTGCAGCATCGTCTTCGTCGGCGTCCTCCTGCGAGTCCGACGGTAAATCGTCTCCTCGTTCCGCAGCAGAATTGTCTGCAAGAAAAGAGCTGTCCCCCGCATCCGACGAATCTGATAAAAGCGCGCGGTCGACCGCGCGGCGGTCACTGGTGACGGCGACGGGAGCACTGCCGTCGTGTACTGCTGTGGCGCCAAGATCAATCGTAGGGACGCTTGCGGTATTTTTATCACTCGCAGATCGCAGTGGCGGCCTGGCCGACGCGCTCATCCCGGGGAGTGGACCGACGGATTGCACTGCGCGATTGACAGCATCGGCTTGCTGACCGTTCGCCGGCGTGGAAGCTGAACCGCCTTCGGCGCGCGGATGCGAGCTGTTAACAAGACGAGGGCCCATACCACTCTGTACCGAGCGTAACAGTGGCCGCTCGGAAGACGCTGATGTGTCTTCGGCTTTTATACCGGGCGGCCTTCCCCTGAGCTCCGATATCTCCGGTCGCGCTTTGTTGCCACTCATGCTTTCGCGGAACGTAGAGGTAGACACCTGCGGCTGCGAGTGGGTCTACTATATGTTAGGTGAAAGTGTTTAATCAAAGGAGGCACGGTATGGGAAAAAGTTGCTTCACTGTCTGGTGTAATGTGAAAAAAACGAAGTCAAAACGTACGGTCTAACAACAGACGAAGTACAGTAAGTCGCACGTGGCAAGAACGAATCACGACAAGTGGCCGCGGCAATGTGTAGAACGCTTATGACGATAGACGGAATACATGATGGAAACGCGATTCTTTTTCGACTCGCACGACAAAACGCAGTGGCTTGCGCCATGGACGATAAATGAGATGAAGAACGCAACGATGAAATAAGTAGCTCACGCTGAGTAGGAGACGAACACGCGCGTGCCCAGGCGCTTGTTATCACGGGGCCCGCTCGCTTCGTGTACGTCTTTCTGATTCTCAAGAATTATAGCAAGTGAATGTACAAAGCGCAACGCTGATTTTACAGAGGAAGGCAGGCAGAGTTCTTGTGCAGGGTTGTGCAAAAAAAAAGCTCAGCAGCCGTGTGGTAGAGGTAGTGGTCAAAGTACTTATTAGGAGGTCACTAGGTGTCAAAATGCCATGATGGCCAAGCCAACGCGACACGACTACTTTATCTTGAATTTACCGCCAGTTTTTTTCTTTTTCTCGGGCACAGGCTCCTCGGTGGATTCGTCATGTTTTTTTCGGCTAGGGACCTGGAATGCCTGCGGGTCCCCCATCCCGGGCGCCAGTTCCTCGGACACATCTGGCGCGACGTATTTGGACCAGTGGGGTGCCAGACTTTGCTCCCCGCGCCCCACCCGCGCGGCTTCTGCCTCCTTCTGCACGACGGGCAACTCGGCGCGCGCAATGGAGAGCAGACGTGCGTGCTGGCGCGTTCCGAGCGTCATCTCTTTTAGCCCCTTCAGGGCTTCCTCCAACCCGTAGGGATCGCGAGAGAGCATGCACTGCTCCACTTGCTTCACGTAGACTTCCATTTGCTCTTGCTTCTCAGCTGCTTTGGCAGCCTTCTCCTCGGACAGCTCTTTGTGCTTGCGAGTCATGCGCCGAATGTCATCCTCATCGTACCCAATACCGAAGTTTTGTTTGGCAACCGTCAAGGCCGACTTGTATTTGTCAGGGTCGTCGCCGGCGATCTTTATCAACTGGTTCACCTGCTTCCTGATGTTCGACCTGGTGTTTTATGGTGTTTCATAAGCTCTAGAAAGAGAAACCATTTACATCTATACAGGTACTTACTTAACAACTTTGTGCCCGGTGACTGATCGAAAAACATCAGACAGTATTGCATTTTGAAGTAAACACTCACTGACATCGATCCGCGATCGGAATTGTTATGCGCAATTTGTACCGTTGCTGCGCTCGAAAATCCTGCTCCCAATTGCCCCACTGCTCCTGGTCTCGCTGCGTGTCTACGGTGTGATTATAGATTGGCGTAGCGTAGTACGCATCCCGCCGCACCTCGTCCTCTGTTTTTGGAATCATCAGCTGCTGTCTGCTAGCGAACAGGGCCGCGTTTTGATCGACAATTTCTCCGTCTTCACCGAGGCCATCCTGCTCCTCCTCCAAGGAACCCAGATCGGCAATGGTCTCCGCTGTGGCCAGCTGCCCGATGGTTCTCTCCCGGGACAGCGAACCGCCCGCAACACCAGCCCCACCCGCGGCTTCCTCCAGAGCCTCGTCCAGCAAAGCGTCGTCGACCGCATCCTGCCTTTCTTGCGCTTTCTCCGGATCAAACTCCATCACCTTGGAAGCCATGCCGTCCGCAAGACCCTGCATTTGCTTCATCGCCTGACGACCCATGGACTTGATCTCTCTCGTGTTCGCGTGCTGAAACCGGTCCTCGATTGGTTGGCGTTTGTTCCCCTTCGCTCGCAGCAGGTAGCTATAGTCCTCTTCTTTCTCATCCTCCAAAGCCGGCGGACTTGAGTCCCTCAGCGCAAGCATGTCTTGTTTTTTCTGCTTTTTCTGCATGCGCTTCAGCTTGTCCTTTCGGCGCTTCTTGCGATTGACTTCTTCCTCGTCCTCTTCTTTCGCGACCACCTCCACGACAAAGTCGTCGGCCAACCCCGGCGGCACCCACGCAATTGGCTCCAGCGGATTGTTGGCCAAAGCCTGTAGGAAAGCGTCTTCGGTCTCGAACTCGCCCTCCATGATTTTCAACGGATCCGGAACTCGTGGGTCGTGCCGCTTCTTGTTTCGGCCGCCTCCTGCAGTGATCGGCTGAAAATAGATCTGATTTCCCTTCGCGAGTTGATTCAAAGTCTGCTCTCTTTCAGCTGCCAGGTAGTCTTCTCGAGTCGTCACGCGATGCTGTTTTAAAAAAATGTAGAATTAGGATTTAGAGTTTACAGAAATACGTACTGCCCATGCTCGAAAAAAAAAATATAAGTTAGTAGTGTCAACCACATTCATAAGTAACAGGAGCCTGGTTTCTTTTTTCTCTCTGAATTACTTTCGCTTTCGGACGAGGATATTACGCTTGTCAACAAATCAACGACGGAAGTCGAGGTCCGCGCCGCCGCGCAATCATTCATGGAGAACATCATTAAAGCTGCAGAAAAACACGATCTTGTACCCCTTTGCTGAGCGCCATCTGGTACATGCTGCTGACTTGTTGCCTGATGCGCGAGGGGCTTTGGGTCTCGGGGTCGACCCCGCCGTCGTCGTCGTAATGGATGACGGGCGTCTTGTCTGCCTTCCTGCCACCGCACAGCATTCCAAGGCAGGTGACAATGGCTGGGCAGCAGAACAAGAAGAATAGGAAAATCAGCATACCGCTCGCGAGCATCCAGAACATCATGCTAGCCACCAGGCCGTACTCGACATACGTATTGGGTTCTTTCGGTTCAAAGCACCTCAGGGTGCAGTGCGCGCGCGTTTCCCCCGGGCAAGCGATGTTCTCGTCGACGCACACCTCCTCGCACTTTTTCGCAGACTGGTACGCGAACAGGGTGAGAAACCCGAAACTGAGAAGCAGCGCTCCGTTACTGCAGACGGCAATGAAGAACTTCTTCGAACGCAAGTCGTTGAGTTTCTTCGCGTCGTTGGCGTATTTCAGGATGAGCATGAAAAAGGCCACAAACTCCTCCTCGTCAATTTCCCCGTCGTTGTTGTCATCGATCATCTTCAACAGCATATCCAGCGTCGACATGTTAGGCCGCACGCCAAACCTGCGGTCCAAAAACAACCCGAACTCTTCGATGTTGATGCTGCCGGACTGATCTGCATCTGCTTCTCGAAAAAGCTTGCGCTGCAGTTTTTATGCGAGTGAACATCCCGATGCAATAAAACTGAGGTAAAAACAACCCGATGATCTGTGTCTAGAGCTACTCGTCCCAGGAATCGCACATTATCAAATTGCAGAAAAACTTGACAAAGCAATTATACGATTTTCATTTCATCCAGGCGTTTGAACTGCTTTTTCGTGAACACCCCGCCGGGCAGCTTCACCCGGGCGAGTGCTTTTGCGGTTGTGCTGGCGTCGCTGATGTCGTCCGCGTTGTCGATGTACGACTTCTCTGCCGCGCGCTGCTTTCGCCGCATCTGTTTCGCCTGCCTTTTCGCCATGTACGTGCTGGAGTACTCCGAGTCGTCGGTTGTCTCCGAGGTTGCGTAGGTGCTTTCTTTCAAGGACCGCTGTTTCGTGTGCATGGAGTACACATCCGTCTCGGATGCCTCGCCGTCGGCTCGGTTCAAGTCGTTCACGGCCCCGCGCAGGGACCGCTCCGTGCGCGCGACCTCTGTCATGGCGTCCTCGGTGCTGGAATACGCGGTGCTTTCCGGCGGCAGCAGACCTTCTGCCCGCAGCCGCTCCCGTTCTGCCGCGAGCTTGCGCTCCTCTTTCGCGGCGCGGTCGCGCTCCATCTGGGCTCGCTTTTTTGACGAATGCACCTCGAACGGAATCCCGGGCGCTTTCCCCTTTTCGCGCGCGTGTATGCTCTGGATGCGTGTGCGCTTGCGCAGCCGCTCGTCTTCCGTGATTGTCGCTTCCAGTGCCCGTCTTTCTCTTAACCTTCGCGCCCTCTTTTCTCGCCGCTCTTCCTGCGCCGCCAGTTGCTCCTCGGTGAGCTCTCGTGCGTCGTCGTCGCCAGCGCCCTCCGCGGCGTCCTCCAGTTGCTGCATGCCGCCAATCGGGGAATCCTCCCCGATGCGCTGCATGACAGCCTCGGGCTCGTTTCCCTTGCTGACAGACTTTTGGAGAACTTTGTGCGAGGCAACGGACATCACGTCCGAACGATCGTCCAGAGCCTTCTTCTTTGCGGGAGAGGCGCGGCTTGTGCCACCGGCGTGTGATTCCAAATCCTGGATCACTTTGGACGCAAAGGACTGCTGATCCGCAGGAATGGCCTGACCACGCTCACCCCCGGTTGCCTGCTCCAGCTGCTGCAGCGTCTTCTGGGTCAACGGAACTGCAGAAAGAAAGGAGGAAATCAGATATTTTTGATCATGATGAAAGACCTATTAGTTGTAGAAAGTGGATTTTCTAAAATTCAAAACTTAATTTTCATCATCTTCACATACAGAACTTCAGGATAGTAGCAAGTACCTCCCTCCTTGCCCAACTCCGCGCCCGACGGCTGTCTCGAGAGGGCGCCAGCCTTGTCCGCTACCGTACTAGAAGTATCCTCGGCCTTTTTCGCGGCGACCGCAGCGCCGACAATAGGAAATTCGGCGTATTTGTCCTCGGTATCCGCGACTTGGCAACAGCAAACGATCTGGACATGTGCCGCATCGTCCAACTCCTTGGCTTCCTGATACGCGTAGCAGAAGCAGCACACGAAGCTTTCCACCATGGCGCGGCGCTGTTCCTGCATGGTCATGTCAAACCAGTCGTGATTGAGTCCTTTGGTTTTGCGCAGTTGGTACCGCTGCTCGCAGAACGCCGGGGCCGCAAAGATGTTGAAGATGATCGCCCGCTTGTACGCGTCCCAGAAGTATGAAATGCAAAAATGTCTGGGTCTGGAAGAATGCATGTTTGTCATGCTTGTCTGGCATGACTCTTAAAGCTGTCACGCACGTTACCCAAGCGCTCCATTTTTCTGTGATGCAGAAACGCAGTTTGTCATGCAGAATAGGCAACACCTAGAAGCTCAGAAACTTCTCATGCTGAGCCAGCATTTGTGGCCTCATCATGAGACGCCACCCAGCATCACAAGTTTCCAGACCCAGACATTTTTACATTTGATAAGAAGGGCATGATCTCCGCTGCGTCGTACGTGTGGGCCACCTATCCTGTGCAAAAGTACTCGCACTAATCGCATTCACGCATTACAAATTTATTTCTCAGGCTCAATCCGCATTACAAATTTTATTTCTCACGCTGAGGAGATTTGTCATGCGATTTATACTAGTACGATGCTTTTGCATTTCATACCACCCGGGCCGCGTAGCAGCAGCACACGTGCACGCACAACTGCATGTCCTCGGTGAAACTGTACCAGGGGTACTCCAAGTCCATAACGTCCGGGTTTTGCTGCAGCGGCGCGTGGTACCGCGACTCCGGGATGGCGTTCACCGCGAGTGCCTTGTACAGAAACGCAAACGGGCCGGACAGGAATGTCATGCCCAGCATGGGAAAAATCACAGTCGGGAGAAGCACAATCACGATCAGCACCATCAGAACAAAGTTCAAGATCGCGGCCCGGTCCCGCTCCGCCTGTCGCTCCTCCTCCTCCGCCGCCAATATTTCCTCGTACGTTTCTGGCGGCTTTTCGCCCTTACAGGGGTTGTACACCCCTTCCGGAGGGGGCGGCGCTTGCGTGATCAGGTACCCGCCGGTGGCGACAAACACCGTCGGAGCTTCTGTCGTAGTGGTGTTCATCGCGTTGCTGGTGCCATCGTGCGCGGCCGCGTTCGCGAATAGCTGCGACCGTCGTTCTCTAGGAGAGAAGGGGCCTGCACCGCCATCGCGGCGCTTTGGCTCGATAGGTTGGTGGAAACGGCGGCCATGATCAAGTTTATTCCGGGTCGTCGCGTTGTCTTCCAGCTGAGCGAAGATGTCCTCCACTGCGCAGGAGTGCACAGTATCGTCATCGGGTCTGAACCGTGTCCGCAAGTGATCTTCCAGCACGCGCCCGACGGCAAGTACCGCTACGAGGCGAAGCTTCATCTTACGCCCGGAAAGGTACTTATAAATATCCTCTTTGCCAATACGAAGTTCCTCCACGCGACGAAAATTCCGAGAATCCGGCGTAGCTCCCCCCGCCGCAGCCGCGAAGGCAGACCTTCATCGACCTACGATCCAAAGAACGGTAAAACATGTACAACCTTGCCTGCAATTTGTAGACTTCGGCGTGACGAAAGAGAAAAGCGCACCGCCATCGTTTGTTATTGCTTGAAAAAAAGACTTCTTTCGAATAAAAAATACGATACAGGTCGTGGACAGTAGTGGGCCGGTAGAACGGGTGTCCCAAAAAGCCGAGGCGGCGTGGGAACCACCGTCAGCTAAATGATTTTCATTTGGGTAAGGCTTTCGAAAACGTAGGGATAAAGACAAAGAAATGTAGGAGGACCTGAATCATCGAGATGACGCTCATTATAATTAGACGCTCTTTCGAATATCCGAAGGTCTCTCGATATGAAAAGCGAAATTCCTCTCTGTGCGACACAACTCTCGTTACGACTGGCCGACTGGTGTGTCACTCTATGATATCGAGTTGCGGTTGCGGTTCTCGTTTTCCTTACAACACACTTCACGATTTGTATCGACATAAGTGGCAACTCATCGAAACTACCGCAGAATCGTCTGCAATGCAACGAACGCCGACAAAGCCAAATGCTGGTTTTCAGCTCGTGGAATGTTGTCCAGCAACAATCAATCTGAATCTCCTGTTTGCCCATCTCAAAAATCACGTTGGAGAAGCGCATCGGGGATACACCCAGAGTTTACTTGTCTGGTCCCGCGTTCCCAACGTGGGGGTTGCTTGCACTATGCGGTGAATCTTAGGATCGCTAAGAAACTGAAAACTGAGTGTTTGCAGATCAGACTTGATGCCGCGCAGGGCTTCCATGTTCAGTGGTTGACCAGCCACCTCGGCCCTCGGCCTCGGCTGCGAATGACCCAGTCGCCACGCCTCCGGGGAAGAAAACCTCCCTAGCTGCCGCTGTTGAAATCTGTTGTGAGCCCCCTGCACGTTACCCGGAGGAGGCGACTCGTCGCCCTGCTCAACTTCCATTTCCGCGACGCCGCCGGTACTAACCTCGATGCCGAAGCTGCGGGACGTGCTTTTTCTCTGCAGGAGCAGGTCCCGGGGGCTCGCCGTGGCGGTCGTTTCGCGTTCGACCGGCCCTCCGGGAGGACCCGAGGAAGACGCATGGTGTCCTCCTCCTGCTGCGGCAAAATTTTCCACCCGTGAGGCGTACACCGAAACGTGATGCTGCAGGTTCCGCACAGCCGTGCACTCGGCGAGTCGCAGCTTTTCTTCCAAAAATTCTATGTCCGCGTTCAGGGCGGCGATGTCTCGAGCATGCCCCGCGGCGGTTTCGCGCTCAGCCGTTTTTCTCATTTCCAGATCTTTTTCGCGACGCTTCGCCCCGACGAATTCGCGCGCTAGTTTGTCAGCTCGCGAGCGAAACCCGCTCTGACACTCGGTTCCTTTTAGTTTTCGCATTAACAGAATATTACCGTAGCATGATTGATGTGCAGCATGATGAAGTGTTTTGTTTTTTCTTTTTGACAGACCGCAAACTACCGATGAAAAAGAATACTGGCTTCCTCTATTGCGTGGCCGCGGGACACAAGCGCTTCATCGTGATTGTAGCAATTTGCGCGCCAAATCGCGAGCACCGCTCTGGACAACGATATTTCGTGAGGCGTAAGCGTCACTCTTTTGTTGCTCTGCACGAAGTTGCGTCCCTTCTGCAGCCGAGCCAGCGCCTGCTCCAGATCTGCTACCGAATGCGTCACACTTGCCGCCAACCTGTTATTTGAAGGAATCGAAATCCGACATATTACACAGATCGTCCTCAATAGCTCGGTCGGAAATGGCCTTTGCGCTGAGGAATTGCACGACAAAAAAAGTGTGCATCAGCAATGCTTTTGAGGAGACAAGCCAGCACTTTACGCGGGGGTGCCTTGCTGGTCCTGTTCGCGTGCACCCTTCCCTGTGCCTATCGCGCGCGGAGTCCGTGGTGAGTACTTTGGAACAAAGTTCAAATTCAGCACGCTCGTCGCCCCTTCTTGCTTGGTCGCTGGGTACTGCGGCGTCAGATACCCAAGCTGTGGCTTCCATAGTGGCATGATGTTCATCGTCAATAACACGCGTACCCACGCAGGGCCTTCGAACCGAAGCAGGCTTTTTGGAGCTCTCGAACCAGCGCACTCTCGTTTGCAATGCTGAGGCTTGGGGATCCGCTGGGAAAAAAGCTGCCATTAACACGAGGCGCGTTGAATTATACTGCTTTCAAAAAGTGCCGACGTCGGCACGATAAATACGCATGAATCACGAACACCACATGCACAAAAAGTCGGTGCGCGCTGGCGACGCACAAACGCTATCGGCGCTGGGCCATTTCCATTACTGTTCCGAGTTCCGATCATGTTCCAAGCACGAGCGGCGTTGCGAGGAGACGAGGCGTCCGTGGACCAAATTAATAGAAGAGCCGCCGACGCAGAGAGCGGCGCCCGAGCCGCACTTCCCGCCGGCCGGGCCGGCCGGCACCTTTCCCGCGCCAGTACCCTGAGCAACCGCTGCGGCGCGCGAGCTGAACAATTCGCGGCGCCCCACGCACTCGCCCGCGCCCGCCCCTCTACGCGCCGATGGGCTCGCGCCGCGCCCCTTCAGCGCGGGCACCGAAAGGGGCCAGCCTGCGTTCGGGCCTTAGCTCCGCCGAAGCCAAAAGGCCGGCGGCCTGGGCCCAACAGCCCAGCGCGACACACTGCGGGCGCGGGCGGCGGCGCCGCGCGCCTGCGTGGCGAATTGCGTGCGAGCGCGGGGGGCGGCTCCTTATTTTCGGAGCAACAGGCCCCCCCTCTGGTTGGCAGCGGGAACTTCGGCCCCGGGGTTGTTTTTGCCTCCCCCATTGTCCGCGTCGTTCTCGTTGCCGGCGGGCCGGGCGACTGCGGCACTTGGCGTCTCGGTGGGGCCCGCAGTTTCGCCGCGGGCAAAACTGCGCGCCACCCGGACCACCCACGGCAGCGGCCGGCGGCGTGCTGCGCTTCACGGCGTGCAGCCCCCGGCCCGGCCGCGCGGCTGAACCAAGTCGGGCCGGCGCGGCCCGCCAAAGGCCATTCGACAGTCGCGGCCCCAACTCACAGCGGCCCGGCCGCCCCGTGCCGCGCCGAAGTTTTCTCCATCGCACACAGGGCGCATCCCCCCGCTTCGGCGGCCCTCCCCCTCCAGAACGGCCCCGCAGCTTCGCGGAATCCGCGGCAGAGCGCCCCCCATCCGGGGAAAAGGCCGGATACGAGTCGGCCCCGCCCTTCCCGGCGTCGGCCCCCCGGCGGTGATGATGCGCCGATGGCGCGCGGGCCTGCGTGCTTGCTGGGGGCCCAACCAACGAACCGGCGAGGCGCCTCAAGAGGTCTGCGGCCCCCTCGCCACCCTGTTTGTCTCCGCTGCCCGCGTAGGCGGCAAAGTAGCGGAGATCCGCTCCGCGCCGCCCGAGGCCGGGGAGCCGGCGGGCCAAAAACGACACGCGGGCCCGGGCTTCGCCCCCGCGCGCCAGCAAAAGTAGTCGCGCCGCCCGCCGCCCCTTTTGCATATTTTGCGAGCACACACAGCCCCGCCTGGGCCCCTGTTCCAAAATAGCCAAGCCACGGAGCGAGTCCCGCAATCAATCGACAACGCTTCGGCGTTCTGCATGAGCGCGCACTGCGCTGCGGCTGCGGAAATCCCGGCGAACCAGGAGCCGGGCAGGAACCGGAAGAAAACCGCGAAGAGAACCAGGCGCAGAACTTCCGCGCGTCAAAAGCGATCCATCGAGGCCGAAAGGGCGGCGCCACCGCCCACCGTCGTCGCCCCCCAATGTAGCGGGCGCGCCGTCTGGCCGGGTCGGCCGATGAGATCCGGGCGGAGATTCCTGCCGCCTTCGGCCGCCACACTGGGCAGGAGGCAGCGAAGCGCGGCAGCGCCGCACAAGCACCCCACGGAGGCACTCGCGGCGCCTTCTGTTCTGCGAACGCTAGGCGCGGCGGCGGGCTTTGGTCTAACAGGAGAGTCCCAAGGTGCTAGACTGGCGGAGTCACGATCACACACACGAATGCCTCTGACTGTAGAAAAAGCACATAGCACCGTCAAACACAGAACACTACTCAGGATCGATATTGCACTGCCACAAAGGCATTTATCGTGCATTTTAGTGCCGTCGAGTATCGCAATTCGTAAAACACAGTGGCAATAAAAACTACAACGAGAAGCCTTCTTCGCTGATTTTTACATCTGTACGAGCGAGGTCTAGAAAAAGTGTCACGCGCCGACCACCTCGACTATGGTCATCATAGCACGCAGCTCAGTCTTCCGCGTTCTCATCATCTTTGAAGTATTTGTAAAGCCGTTCCTTCTTTGCACAAATCTCCAAGTTCTCGGGTCCGAGGTCTTGTAGTTTCACTTGCGTCCCGGATGAGGCAAATAGATGTCCCGTCTTCTGATTGACGTAGAACACCCTTCCCGAACGGCAGCCGAGTAGGCAGTGATCCACGGGCACCTTGCTGCGATGCAGCAACGCATGCGGCACGGAAACCTGGTCTCCCGAAAGCGCAAGATCCGTACTCCTCTTCCCCTCCGCGACCGCACCCAGTGTCGATTTTGTCTCCGAAGGGACCACCGTAGACTGCTCCGCCGGCTCTGCGCTACCACTTGCGGCTGCAGCAACAAACTGTGAGTTGACGTGCACCAGCAACTTTGGCTTGACATATCCGTCCGGGAGGAAACAAACTTCGGTCGGCACCGCGTCCGGCAGCCCTCGCTCATCGAGAACGCGCGAGCAGTGCACCAGCTGCCGGCCTTCTGGCTGGTCCACGTCCCACAGACACAGCTTCCCGTCCGCACCCAAACTGACAAGCACCTCCGACCGCGGCTTGCTCTGCAACGTGACAGCGGGGATGGCCAACAGTTTCGTGATGTGCCCCGTGTGCCCCAGACAGAACGTCTCGATGTCCCAGTGCTGCGGGTAATTGCTCACGCGAATCTTCTCGTGGTTGTCTCCGGTTACCAAGTAGTACGCTTTCCTGGGCAACATCTCCACGCTCTTCGCCTGAGGATCCCCTGCTCCGGAAGCGGACGTCGCAGTGGACGCTGGACTAATCGCAGCAGCAGTGCCGGCCGCAATTCCAACCCCCGTCTTTTGCACTTGCTTCTTCTCGAGGAAGCACATGCTCGTAACGATCGCCAGGTGTCCGAACAGAAGTTTCGCCTCCAGCTTCTTGCCGTGCTCTAGTACTCCCTCCACTGCCAACTCGTATACATCACCGAACTTGTCTGCAAAAAGCAACTTGCGCCCAGAGGGGTCGAACGTCGCGCACGTGATCTTCTTTTGGTGCTGGTAACGGCCTAATTCTTTCCTATCGTGCGACCAAAGGACAATCGTTTTGTCATCCCCGGCGGTCGCGTACCGGACGCTGGTGGTGCGCCCGCTGTCAGCTGTGGTCTCAATACGTCGCTTCTTTGCCCGTGCATCCTCGTCCCGGGGGTCTGCTGAAAAGTCCTGGCTTTGGGCCGAACCAACACTATTTTCGCAAACTACTCGCACGGCTTGCGTATGCGGCTGCGGCAGGTCGCTGAGAAAGGAATTGGCGGACAGGTCGTAGCAGAAAAGGCGTTCTTCCACGGCGTAAAACAAGGTATCCTCGGATATCACACCCGCGCAAACAAAATGCGACTTCTCTGGTGTCGCAGTCGCCAACGCTCGGCGTTCACCCGGCATTCTCTTATTTCCTGGTAACTCGATGCAATGAAAAAAACGAACTAATAAATTCTTGAGAGTCTTGTCGCGAGACACCTACGTGCCAAAATCCAAGTTGAAAACAAGGAATGCTATTTCCTTAATCGATGTCGATTCCTGAAGAACAGAAGCAAATTAATTTGTCCTTTGGGACACGTACAAAAAAATCGCTTTGCAGTGACTAGACCAAGGTCATCAAACCGGAGCTCTCATGATCGCTTCATGGCGGAGCTGCAGTAAAATTTGGATCCAAAATGCTGTCTGTCAGTGTGCCTTGATCGCTCGTTTCTGTGTAAAAGATCCATTTGTTGATCTTATTCTTGATTCCTCATCTTGTTCATTCCGAAATTGTAGTGAGATCTACAGTGCAGACGTGGAAGTATGAGATGAAACTTCTGGTCATAGAAGATCTGCAGAAAAAACTCACGAAACAGTATTGCGATGGCTACTTGACCTACTGCAAGCAGACAATACGCTCGAGGGTCAGGAAATGCATCGCAAAATTAATTCAAATTGAGGCGCATAAAAAACAAATTCGACAGTTGTAGTGAGATCTGCAGTGCAGACGCGGAAGTATCAGATGAAACCTCTGGTCATAGAAAATCTGCAGAAAGAACTCACGAAACAGTATTGCGATGGCTACTTGACCTACTGCAAGCAAACAATCCGCTCGAGGGTCAGGAAATGCATCGCGAAATAAATTCAAATTGAGGCGCATAAAAAACAAATTCCACAGTTGTAGTGAGATCTGCAGTGCAGACGTGGAAGTATCAGATGAAACCTCTGGTCATAGAAAATCTGCAGAAAAAACTCACGAAATAGTATTGCGATGGCTACTTGACCTACTGCAAGCACGAAAAAGGCTCGAGGGTCAGGAAATGCATCGCGGAATTGAGGAGCAACATGAAATACTGATGTGCACGATACACACGCACTCGTCACGGAACTTGCAGCACCTCGGCAACAAACAAGAGACCTCGATCTAGCTTTGCTCATCATTAAATCGTGATCGCTTTTCTTCCCCTCGTATCTTCTTCCAGATACGCTACCGATGCATATCATGAAGATCCAGGTTGGGTCAGCCAGCCACGACTGATCGCTCCTTTCACCGACAAAAACAACCAATGAACAGCCCTTGGTCTAGAAAACGCTGTGACAGCATCAAAATTGAAACAAGTCCTGGTGACCTGCACTTTGTACATAACTGAACCGCCGGGGTAGTCTGTTGTAACTCGTTTCTATTCTTGTCAACACAGGGTAACAAAAAAGACCAGTTTGGTAACACCGCCTCTCCTGTCGCACACCACCAGGGCGCAGCAGGCAGGAATCGGTCAAGAAATACTGTCGCTTGTGCTGGAAAAAAACATCTATATATCATTTCCGTCGATCGCGTCCGATCTGGGACTGACACGCCTTGAAGAGCGCAAATTTATCTTCCATCTTTCCGAAGTTCCCGGACCGCTGTTGCGCCCGCGGCAAAACCGTGTCCTTGTTCAGGACCTTCCTTCGCTCGACGTCTTTTTCGAACTGCAGCCGCTCGTTGAACACCTTTGGCCGCGCGGAGCCCGACGCGGGCTCGGGTGCATTTCGCGATTGCTTCAGCTGGCCAATCAGCGAGGCGTTGCCGGACAGCTGCGCGTTCGCGAGCGCCAGAATCTTGCTGCGTCCCGCGATCCCGCCCGTCTGGGCGATGAGATCCTTCTCGGCCTTGTCGTTCTTCTTGTCCGTGCGCAACATCTTGCGCATCTGCGAGTTCACGGAAAAGTCGCTGCGATTCGTCTTGTGTCGCAACTTGTACAAGTCCTGCAAGTGCGCGTCTGCCCGCCGCCTCTTCTCCTGCGGACCCAGCAACGACGCTTCCTGTGCCCGCAGCTGATCCGCCTCCTCGGTCGTCATCTTCGGAGCTGCCCGCTTGTTCCGCATCGCCTCCACCGGGCAATTCAGCATGCTCTCCTGCAGGTGCGCGTTCTTCTCGCGCCGATCTTTGTTCGTGAGCAGAATGTGCTCGTCGTCATCTGGATGTGGCGCGCCGGCTCCCGCCATCCTGCCTCGGTTATTCGGGTCAAACATGGTCCCGGCCTCGTCTAAATCGTCCACGCCACGGTTATTCGGGTCGAACATGGTCCCGGCCTCGTCTAAATCGTCCTCGTCTTCTTGCCTGCTCATCGCTCTCCTTGTTGTCGTTGAGGAAGACGAGGAGGGCATCGTGGTTACTGAAGGAGCTCCTGCACCTCCTGTGACAGACGCCGCGTCCTGCACCTGCGGCCTCGCGGCTGGAAGATAGTTCAGCTCTGGGTGCGCTTTCGCGAACTTCTGCTGTTGCAGCTCCGCGAGCTTCTCTAGGCGGAACATGGGGTCGTTCTTCATTTCGCGTCGCGCGTCTAAATCCATGTAAAGAGGGTCGAGTTCTGTCACCTTCTCGACGTCCGCCACGCCCTTCATCTCGTGCGCGCTGCGAAACCCGCTCTGTCCCTTGGGTCGCTCGCACCCGGACACGAGTTCGTAGTCGCAGTTCTTCGGGTCGGTCCGGATCACCCATTCCTGGTTGCAGTGGGTTTTGCCGTTCACAGATTGGCTGATGTCCACGATCTCCCCGCAGTACATCCGGAACTCGTAGATGGGGGTGGTGAAGTAGTGGCCCACGTTCTTCTTGTCCGCGTCGAACCGCGTACCCTGGCCGATGAAGTTGCCGCAGTTGCAGCATTTCACTTTGAAGGGGATCTCGAACCGGATCTGCAGAATACCCTTGTGCAGGTTTTTCGTTCGGTTTTTCCCGAGCGCGTGCTCGAACCCCTGGGCCCGGCGAAACTTGTCGATCGAGCCGTGTTTTTGCGGGTCGAACTCCGGCGGAAAGTAAAACCCATCCGCCTGGGTGGCCTTCAACGTGATGCCCGCCGTCGACATGGTTGGCAGAGGAGCTTTTTACTCAATATTGCGGTAAATTCTCCAAGTCTGAGCTGTAATACTCACGGGAAATGAACTGGATAGGAAAATTGCGTCATCTCCAGGAGCAGGAGATGACCGCAAACGTGCCTACCTGAACTCTGGTGTAAAATATCTGAAAGAATGTAGTGGACAGCACTCGAAAAAAGTCATTCTGGATATGTTGTCATCTTCAAGAGGGTACGTAGCGTTATTTCGTGGGGAGGCAACTGTTCCTGTGAAAGATGAAAGTGAAAAAAGTCAAATCGAATGGTAAACGAGCCTCGACATTCGAACATTTTCTGTCATTTACGAAGTGTTTTGTTCTGAAAATATGTCTGATTTTGATCCACATGTTGTACGAGGTTGTACGAATCTACTCTCGCTTGGAACAAAAAATTTCCGAATCATTCCCTGTGAACGAAAGTCACCGATTTTTTCGTGCGCTCGATCCATTGTTTCTTTCGCTTTTGCTTTACAACACTTGCACTTAGTTCATTCGTCAAAATGGTCCCTGCAGTGTCGTGGAGCAAAAAGAAAACTATTGATCCGGGTTCATTTTGCGCAATCCAGGACAGAAACATTTATATTTCCCATGCGCACCACCACTCCTTGTCATTTCGGGTGCATTTGTTCTGCTAAAAGCTACTGTCTACGCTCTCCTAGAAACGCCAGTTAAGGGAATTCACGCTAATATCCGCTACCATGCTATTGATAGGGCTACTTTATTGCTAGATTCACGCTATACCTTTCACGTTTTGATTTGTGTTTTTCACGCTATACCAACTGTAAGAATTGTCAAGTAGCCGCGGGTTTTATTGCCACTGACTGTAAGAAAACTGTAAGAAACTAAGACACTGGTACTGTATTCTCGAAGAGGAACAACTTTTACTTTTCCCCAACTCCCCTTTCGCCTTTACACCTTGGGCCGTATGAAGCTCTTGGGAAACTCCTGCTTCAGGTTGCGCATGATCATCTGCACGGGTGGCTGCGGAGTATCCACCATCACTGGGGCGCCAACCTGTTATTTGTATTTGCGAAAAGAATGACCACACCGCACATTGTTTGTGTGATGAAAATTGATCCATGACACGGACGCAGCTGCTTCAGAGGATTGATAGAATTTTCAAAGTTTCTAGAATCAACTCTAACTACCTTCCACGGCTCCACAACCTTGCCGTCGTCGGCAACGATCTTTCGTTTTCTCGGCGCAGGAATGGGATCAGGCATCCAGTGGGGAAAGCTTCTTGTGTCGCCGTCGCTATTTATGTAGCCCATGTAGGCGTCGTGTCCTTCCTTCATACCACCGATGGGTCGGAAAGGCGCTTCATGGACAGCCTGTGCATGCGAGTGGAAAAAAGCATGGACGAGGGCTCTCTGCAGTGACCTCCTCTACATATTTATACATCTTCACAAAAAAAAGCATCAGGGGCATATTTCTAAAGTTCAATTGCATTTCCAAATGATAGATTGACTCGATACCTTCTTCGCAGTGCTCTCTACATCTGGTCTCGGAATGCCGTAGGGCACGTCGCAATGGAAGACTTCGTTCCCGTCGAAAGTCTTGTTGCCGTAGCCCGGTCCCTTGAAGGCCTGCTCGTGTGTTGTCCTTTCGGCTTCCTTCTTCAGCTCCTCTCGTCTCAACTTGGATCTGTTTTTCGTTTCACATGGTACGTTTAGTAGTTTCTAATCCTCAAAGCAAACGGAAGCTCAAAGATCTGAATGGAATCCGCACTGCGTGGAAGATAGTGATGCACAACAACAGCAGCGTATTCAGAAATCCATATCAAACTAAAATGCCAAAAGGTTATTACGCTATGTCGTAATCGTCTGGAACGTGCGCGGGAAATCTCCTCTCCCCGTCATCGCCAAAACCGAACAAGACACCCGGCGTGATGATACCACCGCCACCCTTCTTGGCCGGATTTGTCATTATGTTCGGCTGAATCAACGGCTCTACCTGTTTTGGTGGGGCGAGTTGGGAGGTCGCTTTGTCTCGATTGATATATTCCGTATTGATCTTTTATTTTTCAAGAAACGAAAGCATGAGCGCATTGCGGCAGAAAAAAAAACAACAAGAATCAAATCTACCTTTTCTCGTCTCGTGACTTTTGGCTCCCCGCTGGGGATCCACACCAAACCACCGGATGTCCCTACCTTGATCGCGCCTGGCGGTCTAAAGGGCTCTTCGGCGTACATTTTTACCTTGTCTCGCTTCACGGCGCCGGATGCTTCCTTGAAGGGGTCGCCGATACATATTGGCTGGATAAACTCGAACATGGTGTCCTGTGATGTCAAGGTGAAAATTGGTTCATTTTACCCGCCATGGTATCTCTTTGCCATCTTTTTTGCCGAGAGAAAAAAAAGCATTCACATTCTTCGATCTCAAAAAAAAAAGGGAAGAGCCGCGACGAGCCCAAAAACAAGTTCAAGTACCAGTGTCATGCCCTTCTTCCCTGGGTTCGTCACTATGTTTGGCCTTGTTCTTTCCGCAAGCTCCTCTTCTGTCATCTGAAGTTTTGGTTCGTTTTCAACACGATAAATTCAACAATATTCGTATCTTCATTCGACTATGGATTTTTACTTAGAAAACTTTTCACGACGAGATCAACAGATTGATCTTGTACCTTCTTTGTCCTTGGTGCTTTGGAGTTTTCACCAATGGCGAGCGGTGCGGTAAAACCGAAGTACCCGAACTTTGGTTCGTTTGCAGACGCTAGTGAGTTCGCGAGGATCTCCGCCCGCTTGCTCTCCAACGCTTCCATGTTGAACGGCATCTTGAAAGGTTTTCTATGGGGTAGAACTAGAAGCGTATAATTAATTTTACAATGGGTACTAACCCCTTTTCGAGCACAAACCTGCTGCGCGGAGTCTCTGCACTACGGTCCTCGGGGGCGTAGTGCTAGAGACTCACTTTTCAGTGCAGGGACGCAGCCAAAAAAAACCGTCGGTTTCTAAGCTGGTTGTAAAAATGCAACGCTGTTCCTTCTCAATGTGAGCTTTATCCTGAGAGTGATTCCGTGAATGTAGCTGATCGAATAAAGTGCACAGAAACACCAACTAGCATAAATCTACGGACTTACAGACTCAGTGACGGTGAACGACATGCGGTGGACGAAAACAACAAATAAAGGCACTTACATTTATACTGCCGGTGCCTCACTTGAAGACAGTACGACCTGGACGTCTCAACGATAAATCTCTCGGACGATGCTCGAAGTGGCCCCTCGCTGAAAACGCAGCATTGGTTCACCACGAAACAAAACTACCAATTCACGGCGCTGGTGTTGCTCACAACAGTTCGTAGTGAACTCTTTTGAGTACTACTATGCCCAAAACGACCCCACACTTGTGTGAAGAAAAAGGACGATGGATAGCGACCCCCTTTCGGAAAAAAGATCGAAATCAGGAAAATTCATTTTGCGAAAGAGATTGCTGAACCTGATCCTCGTGCGCCCAAGATACACGAATAAACGAAATCACTTGTCTGAAGATGTGGCCATGGGAGGCTCCAAAGCATGGACTAGCTTACAGATGAAACTGATACAGCTATGGGTGGCTCCATGTTTGGACATTCTTTCCAGCCTTCTTCTTTTCTCGTCTCTGTCATCCGTGACGTGCTTCGCAAACAGTTCTCGTATCATTTTCACCCGTTCGATCGGCTCTGCACGGCCCTGTGGAAGCGTCAGGATTGAAATCGTCAAAGTTGAAATGATTTCTCATGCATAAACTGCAAGGCATGAAGTGCCTCTCTTGCAGGGATGGCAAGTAAGGCCGACTGTCAGCCTGTTTGGGGTCTGCGATGCAGCTGCTAAAGTAGCATGACAAAGGACGCCTTCTGTCCCTAAACAACATGACAAACTGGACTTAGACGGTGCCAAAATTTGTCATGCGCCGCTTGGTAATTGGGCTTCTAACTGGTATCGATTTTATGCATTACAAGTTATTTCAACTTTGTCGATTTCAATCCTGACGCTCCCATACACCCGTGGTCTTGTTTTTCGCGATGGTTTTCAGCACGCCGAAAAACTCGCCCCACTCGACGCCCCGCAGTACGTTAATCACCGCCTGCCGCTCGCCGTCGGTCGAGGCCGCGGCCAGGTAATGTGCCTTGTCCTCGTAGTCTTGGATGTCGTGGAAATTACCCACGACGTCGTAGATGATCTCCCGCAGGGTCAACACTCTCCCCAGCTTCTTCAGCGGTTTGTTGCCGGAAAGATTTCGGAATTTCGTCAGCGCGTCGGTTGACTTCGCAGCGTCCACGAAGGAACCGTAGACCGAGGTAGCACTTTCTGGCACGTCGAACTCTTCCCGCATCAGCGACGGCCGTCGCGGTGGGGTGGCGGCTACGGCTGGGATCCTCTCTCTTGTGAGCGAAGTTCTCGTCGGGGAAGCAGGTGCTGTTGTACCAAGAGAAGCGTTTGTTTCATTATCAACATTCTGCTTCACGAAGTTCGCAAGACAGATATTCGCGTTGTCGCCCAGTCCACCCTCTTTTGTCGGCTGTAGCGTAGGATACCTGTCTGCGTATTCGTGAATGATCGCCTCTAGCTGCAGGGCCTGTTTTTCCACTTCGCTCATATCCCTTCGCGCCTCGACGTCCGGATGCAGCACCAAATGAGGCCGCCCGGCGCGCAGACTTTGTTTGATGTTTCCCCAGGTGTCGTACGTCAAGTCCACTCGCACCAAAGGCAGAGTCTGTGTACGCGTCGCTGTTGGTGTAGCGGCAGTATCACCTGCATCAGCAACTCCTTCAACCGCTGATGGGAACAGTACTAAGTAGTTGTGCGCCAGCTGCATCGCTTTCACATACTCCCAGACGTTCACCCGTGCTGGCTTGGTCTTGTCGTACGCGAAGCCTAGTCCCGTAGCGAGAAACGCTAGAATCTGCTTCTCGTCCAGAGCGTCCGCGAGAGTTCTCACTGCAGTAATCCAGGACAAACGGAACTGGAACCGGTCGTATAGTGCCGCGGCTTCAACCTCGTCTTCCAATTCCACCCCCGCGAGAGCTTTGTCGACGCAGATGAAAAAGGGAGCTTGTTTGTCGTTCATCAGGCGGTGGTTTCTTCTATCCGACGAGGGATTCGGAAACGCCACTTTGGAGAGGAAATCGTAGACCCGAAAACCTGCGGGTGGTACGTAAGCGACCGGGTTATTCGCGTCCGGGTCGGCGTAGGCTGGACCCGCGAGAAGCGCAGTACCCGGCTTGAAGTCGAACACGATCGGGGACTCATTTGTTTCCGCGGTTGAAAAGCGGCTTTGCCTCTGACGCGAGTCTCTCTGGCGGAAAAAAAGTTTCGCGCCAAGGTCGCGCACTGACACGCGCGTCAGCTGCTCCGTGAGAAACCATGCGGTTTTGCGCGGTTTTCTTTCTGGTGAGTCGCTGTTTTGATGATTGTCGTCTTCTAATCTGTTTCTGGTGGTTTTTTTCGCCTTGATAAAATTGTACCTATGCAATGCAGCGAGAAGTATAGTCGCCGTTGCGATAGCTCCAGCAGTCGCGACTACCGCTCGATTGTGCGCTGACTCCGCGTTTGCTTCGGCATCCGTGCGAAAGAAAGCTGGAATGAGTTTTTCCAGGCTGCTCGTCTGCTTCTCTTCACCAAACAACAGCTTCAGAACTTCTAACATCTTCTGAATATTACCAATACCATTATCGTGTTACTTCCAAACGTTATCGATATAACAAACTTTCGCTTTTTCATATACTTAGATGCATGCTGACATTCGTGCTCTGCAACGTGTCCTATCTGAGGGGCGACAGTAAATCGTACTTTGACGATATGTTGCTCGGTTTAATCATTTTATGAGTGTCAGGAAAAAGGTACAGGGCAAAAGAGAACGTAGTAGATCGTGGTCGTGCAAGTCAGGGACGTCAGGCCTTTCTGTTGGGCGATGCTTCATAGGGTTTGCGTTTGGAACCTGCATATTTTCACATTAAAGCGAAGTAGCGGCATGCAGCAACAATCACCTCTGACTATCCAAAAAACTCACCCCGATTCGGTTAACTCGACGACTTCTACAGTGAACGACAATTCCATAGCTAAAGACGAGAACGAACCACCAATAAAGAACGAGTCGAATGTTCACAAAAGCAATATAAACACTATTCAAAAAGAGACCCCGCCCCTTGCACGATAGGACCCGATTGAAGAATCTGACTTCGGGCTGCGAATGAACTTTTTCCACTCGGCGCAGGAACAGAAATGTAAATGGGTCTTCCGGCGAAAAGCGGAACGCAACACACTAGAACCTCGAAATCATCTGCTAGTGCATCCAGAGCGGCGATACTGGTACGACACACAAACATAATCAGGTTTCGTGTTACTTCATCACTGCCATGGTTTGCGCCCGTGCCTCCCTTAGGAATCGTTGCTCGTACGACGAGACTCAGTGACCTTCCAAACACCTGACAGATGACGTCCGATACAGAGAAAATCATCATAACAAGATTTAGCAAAGGAAAGTGTTAAACTAGATTCAGATACAACGAGATGTAGAAGAGATGATGGCGATGTACTCAACTCCGGGGATTATACTGACAACTCGTAATCAGAAGCAAACCTGGAGTGCGAAGGAAAAGAGATTGACAATGAGACTGAGAAAGACAAAGAGAATCAATAGAAACAGGATTGTCCGCCAAAATAAATAAACGGCTTCTGGTGTATTTATTTTTTTCGATAAGTTCCGTAAAGTATTGATAAATAATGCTTCCTCCGCTGAAATTTCAATCTTGGCAACCTTGAATAGCGACACTTTGAGTTACTGTGTCATTCGCCCAAAATTAGACTGATGTAAAAAAAATTTGTGAGTGCAAACTGAGATAAAAATCTGCGGCACTCTCGGATCGCCATGCAAGCCTGACTGCTTCTTTCGAGCGTCCTACTTGTTCGTGACGTGTTTGTGTTCCTCACATTTCACGAAGGTTGCGAGAGAAGCAGTGCACATTTTTCCATGCACATCCACGCCAACAAAAGTTTCTTGTCCACCTGCGACAAAGTTGACAGTGCACTCCACTACCGCACCCTGAATTTGCGACTGCAGAGCCTGGACTTGTTTGGCACATGCAACTTCTGCCGGCTCGCCATCGGCTCCCGAAGCACTGGCCTGTGCAGCATCCTGATCGGTCCGAGACTTCTCGTCCTGCCGGTCGTGCGTCATGTGAGATTCGGAAGTGTCGACGTGACCATCACGCATCGTAGACGCTTCCGAGTGTTCTTCGAAATGCACGGTGGTGTGCGGTCCTTTTTGATCGTCGATGGTATCCATGTGCTGTCGTTTCTGGGCAGTCTTCCGCCCAACTGCGCCGTCTTGCACGACGGCACAACCACCCAAAATCCGGATGCTCCGACCGAACATGCTCTTAAGGCGAAAGTGCTTCGGTGGTCGGTCTTCTAATTGCGAACCTGGACAATTTAGGCTGTAGCAGTTTCGAAGGCGTTTCCCTGATGTGCGAAACTTGCTGAGTCAACCCTACCTTGGAAAATCCAACAGTTCCTAAAAAGGGCTAAGAGGGTTGAAAGCGGGTTGGCGATGAACCTAATCACCTCCTTGGGCTTTTCAGATGAACCTGGACCTGCTAAACCGATTTCCCGGCCAAAAATTATAAGTAATTACCAAACACGCTCAAAGACTTAATTTCTTTACTTACATAATTGAACGTAACGTGAAGGCAATGTACGCTGCGCACGATTTCTGAAGCCTGAAGGAGTTGAACGATCTTGCCAGCGATACCGATAGGCGAAATTGCGTAAACAGCCGCCGCTTGGACGATGACCGAAAAAATTCCAACTTTTGGAGGCCTTCACCGACAATGAACGACTTCCAATCGTACGAAATGACCGAGCTTAAACACACGTGCATCGATGTGACCAAAAATTCCGGGGAAATCAAGGCAAACAAGCGCTAGCGTTGTTGCTCCTCTTCTCAGACTTATGAAGAAAATTTTTCCTGTATATCTCGTCTCCAGTCATCGTCTAAAATGGATTTGTTTGATGAGTAATCAACAATCTTCCTTCTCATTCCATCGTATTTATATTTACATTTAGCTATCGGCGCGGCCGCACAATAACGCGATCAATCCATACAATTTTCTATCTAACAATTTAATTTTGCAATGTCTTACTGCGATCACCTCTGCAATGCATAGTAGAGAAACAGATGAAACTCCTGAAAAAGATAAATCCGTCAAAAGATTTAATTTTTTCTAGGACACAATCAATCGATATATGTCGTTTGTCTTTGTTTCTTCATACTACAAAATCATAAAGTAACGAAGTAACTGGCTTTGTACGTATTTGTCGTTACATTAAAGGCGGCAGTTATACTTTCTCCTAGTCATAAACTTAGCCGTGAAAATCTCCTTCTCGAAGCTTCACTTGTTGTATTCCGTGTATCTCTTCCTGACAATTTATCTTGTCATTTTTTCCCATCCCGGTTCCACCTCACAACTGCAGCTCGTTCTGCAGTCTGGCGATCATCTCCTCCTCGAGCTCGCCGTCGGTTTCCGCCATTTCCTCCAGCGTCATGTCCACCAACCGGGATTTCTGCTGCACAAAGCTGCCGGGGGTAGAATCCGCAGCAGTTGCTTCCGCGGGGGCGTCCGGCACATCCACGGTCGCGGAGACTGCCGAAGCCGGCGGCGGAGCCTGAAACCGGACCTCGCTGTCGCAGGTGGCCCTGTTGTAGTATTATCTTGCGAATGTCGAAGCCGTCTTCTATTTATCGGTGTAAAATGAATGTCGAACCCGACTACGTGAGTCTCAGAGTTGTAGATTTCGACAAACAAAAACAAATCTCGAAGAAGTATATGAGCGAGGTAACAAACCCAAACGAGAACTTCGCGGTTGAGTTCTCATCCGGCCGGCCGGCCGGATGAGAACTCAACCACATCTGTGGCGGATTGAAATCGGCCGGCCGGTCGTCCGGGTCCCCTTCTTCCCTCCTGGTCGACGGCCTCACTCTTCTTCTTGATTGTCACCCCCCAGCTGCGCAGTTTCACTTCTACGCAAAAAGCCCGAGCTTTGTCATGCAAAAGCTGCGGCAAGTGCCTAAAGCCAAGAAGCAGAAGCTGCGTTGTTTGCTACTTCTACTGCGAGTCGCCGGAAAAGACGATAAGCCTGGGGGCCCAGAGGATGGGGGCACAGCCCAACGCGGGCGCGCAGCGCTGGCTGAGTGACCATGCCGGCTGCGGCCGGGCGCCGACGAACCCCACCAGGAAGCAAAGCAACAGCGTACAACTTGCGCGCGCGGGCCATCCTGCTGCGCCGCCTTCGCGTGTGGGAAACGATAAAGATTGCTAGGGCGCCAGTAGCCCGGCGGAGGCACACATAAGCGCGGCCCAGGCCATTTGCATTGTCCCTGCTATCGGGTGGGGGCAGCTTTGGAGCCCGACGCGCCGCAGGATTCGGGCGCCGGCAGAAACAAAGGGCAGCGCGCGCGGCGCGTCGGAGATTGGTTGCCCGGCGCGCCGAGCGAGGCCCCGCCTCCCATCACGCAAGTCGGTGGACGCGCGAAGCGCGTCCGACCCGGATCCGGCGCATCTGCCAACTGTTGCGCCGAAGCAAGCATGAGCCAGCGGAGAGGCGCGCGGACGCGCTTTCTGGGCCGGCGATTGCAACGTATAGCGGGCGCGCGTTGCGCGCCCCGCGAAATTTTGCCTATTGCGTTTGCGAGCCCCGCGAATGTTTTTGCATTCAATTCTTTCGAATTCCACCCAGAAGCCAAAAGGCATAGCGCAGTCCAACTATGAAAGCGCGCCCGCGGCGGGCGCGCACAATGCGCCACCTTTAAAATTTTCCAACTTCTGCCCCGCTGCATAGCGTAGCTTCTCTGTATTCACAGCAGGCGCGCGTAGCGTTTTTGTGTTGCACACGGCCCCCGGCGAAAGTGGAGTGAGGGAAGCGTCGGTCTCCAGCAGGCCGCCCCCCCCCCTTTCGCCCGAGCGAATGGCGGGCCAATTGACCAGGACGACCAGCCGGTCGATTTCCGCCGCTGATGTGGTTGAGTTCTCATCCGGCCGGCCGGCCGGATGAGAACTCAACCGCGAAGTTCTCGTTTGGGTTTGTTACCTCGCTCTATCGAAAAACAAAATACATCCAATTTTTGTCGGTCGCATGGGGCAAGTTCGCCAGGTCCTCCTGGGCACAATTGACCCGGTCCGGAGCGATGTCACCGATGTAGGTAGCGTCACAGTGGTCGGCGCGATCCTCTTCGTGCGCTTTGTCGACCGCTTTGGCGCAGGCTTCCGGCAACGTGAATCCGCCCGCGGCGTTCTCGTAGTCCGCGATTTCCTTGGTCTTCACACCGTCCACTTTGTCCGTCGATTTCTCGCTTTCCTTGCGCGTCGTCTGCGGCGGTTGATCGTTGACCTGGTCGCTGGTTCGTTTCTGCTTGTCCTCGTGCTTGTGTTCTGTCGAGCGGCCGTTCGCGTAGTTGAAGGTAGAGGTAGAACTGGACACAGAGGACGACGACGACGACCACGACCTGCTGTAGGTCCGCGTTTGCGGGGTCTGCGTCAGTTTCCGCGCAAAAGTGTCCACCGTATTGACCGCCAAGACGGCAAGAAAGACAACAAAATTGGTTAGGCGAAACATGATGTTCGCAACCTGTTGCTTTTTTCGTTCACTTGTGGAGTTATTTTTGCTCGAATGAACAAAAAGGCTACGTGGATGTGAAGTGGGTTCCAGTCGTCGAAGGTACTTACTCTACCTTGATGTACTCGCCGGCGGAAAATGCCCACGCGCTGCCAACGAAATCTACTAGATACGACTCTATACTGGTATCTTCACTTCTGAAACAAAGAACGCAAGTTGTTTTACAGCGAATAATGGCCACGACGTCCCAAACGATTCAGCCACGACGAATCTGCTGCCACGAGCCCCAGCTGGATTACCGAGTTCGAGCGTCAATTGACGAATATGATCAAGAAAAAGAATCAATCCTGAGTGCATTATTTCCAATGGCACTGCAACTTCTACGATCACATTGCAAGGTCTGACGAGTCTACGATCGACGAAATTGTCTTTCGAAGTTTGTAGCAAATACAGAAATACCAGTTCCTTCGGAACACAGGCGCAGACCAAATCGCAGCAGATACTGCTACAGTTGCCGATTCCATAGTCCGCTCGTAGTAGTTTTTGCGATAAGTAGCTACCTCCATCAAGGCCAGAACAATGACTAACTGAACTAGCAATTTTTGTAGTTCAATTTTGCTTTTTTTCCGCTGGTGAATTCTCGGAATCTTCACACGGCTCGTCGAAAACCAGAATATGTACCCAGCCGCCACACACGGTCCCCACGTGCGGCAATTCCGGAAAAGGTCCGGTGCGACCAGCGCCCTTCTTTTCCCCCTCAGACGAATCTGCTTGCGTGCACACTTCATCTCGCTCTCCTCCCACTCGCGCCTCCACCTCCGGCACCGCGACCGCCAGCTGCTCGACGATTTCCGTGACGAGAAACATGTGATACAAGCCTACCACCGTCCAGAAGTGCCACCACGCGTGCGTCTGCGGGTAAAAAGGCAGCCGCGTGCGCAGCGCCGAGCAGAAGCCGTTGTCCACGACCCAGCAGAGAATCGCGAGAAGGAGTTCCAAAAACGCCAGGTGAAACATGCTCCTTGCGTCCACAAAGGATTTTCGAAATTTCCTCGCTGCCATTTTTTCCCCCGTCGCTTGGTCAAGCGCCTGGAAAACACGGGCGAAGGCGTAGAACTCGTGAACGAACAGAATGCTGAAGCTGGTCGACATGAGGCCCCGCAGCACCTGATGCAGTTGTTTCCGCTCCGGGCTCAAGGTGGTCAGTATGCCCATGCTCAGGCCCAAGCCCCAGCAAACCGTGAACCGTGCCAGGGCCCAACTCACACGATCTGGATTTTTTGAAGGCAGTTTTGCCTTGTTCCCGCTTCGTGAAAGTTTTCGTCTGCAGTTCCACACTGCGAAATTGCCGTTGAGCATGATGTAGTAAATCGGCAGCTCGTCGACCAATTGCGCCCAGTACCGCAAGGTCATGTGGAACAGCGTGGTGCCAATCATGATGCAAAACAGAAACACCAATGCGCGCACCGCTGCCGGCGAGTAAGAATAGCTGCTGGATGAATTCGCGTCCCCGCTTGCGGACTTCATCTGCAGAAGGCGGAAATAATTCCAAAACGGCACAACCACTGGGAAGAGGTACAGAACCGACGTGACCGTGTTCCACGATTCAGCCACCGGAACCTCGATCCATGCGCTATCAGAGGTGGTTTCGTCGGAGGAGGACCACAGTCTCGGTACTGAAAGCGTGGAGACGTAATTCGCCTCGCACCAGTCGAATTCCGCGTCGGGCGTGCCCCAGTAATTCAGAAATTTCTTCTCCTCCTGCTGATCGCCCTGGATCGCAATGAACCGCGCCTGTGCCGCTTCGGTGTTGAGCTGCGGTGGGTCGAAGAAGTATTGCGTCGTAGTCACGCACAGCAAAAGACCCAAAGACGTGGCAATTCCGGTAGGCGACGCCAGCCGGCTGGCCCAGTCGGCCTTCTTTACCACAGTCTCAGGAGAGGATGGTGTAAGCGTCATTTTTGTTGAACGCTATAGAAGCGAAGAGGTATTTAAAACAGGAAAAATCGAAATACGGGTTGGATTTGAAAATTTTCAAAATCAGAAGGAAAATCGTCATGGTTTAAAATCGTAATCGGCATATTAAAGTTAAGTACTTATAAGGTTCGAAACTGTCCCATCCAAATGAAGAGGCTTCAGCACCAGATCAGGAAAAACACTTTCCTAGGGTCCTCGTACACATTCTCAGATTTTTCTGTCGTGGACAACCTTGACCTTCTGAACTTGAATTGCATGAAAAACTGATCGACTTCCTACCGTGCTCCTGCTGCAGAACACGGATGTCATTTGGATCGGAAGTGTAGTCGCCAACAAACCGCAGACGAGGCAGTCCCACGTAATCGTTGAAGCGAGCGAGAGAAAAAGGCCAGTGTGTAACCACATACAGGCGCCGAAAGTTATCCCATCTTCATCACGTCCTCTTCTTCTTGTCTTTGCCTCTCCTGCACTGTCCTGTACACCTTTGCAAGGTACTTGTCGAAAGTCGGCTTCATCTGTAGTGTTGTGAAAAATGCAACCCGATGTCTTTTTGCAAATGCACTGGCTCTGAAGGGGAAGTAAACTCTCATGCGAAAAAAAAACACAAAAAACAAGCAAGTACCTTCGCTGCTGCGTTCTCCCAGGTCATGGTAAGTGGCTGCTGTATGCTCGCGAATGATATCTTCTGCGGAACGACGTAGTCTCGCATGTTGTTGCTCTTTAGCATCTGAGTGTAGAAGTTGCAGTGTCGTCACATGTAGATCTACCTAGGAAAAGTTGCTGCGAAAGAATATCATGAACTCCTTGCTCACCATCAACGAAAACGAAACAGAAACCACAGACTCTTTTACCTGGCAAATCAGGAAGCACTGTGGCGGCAAACCTAGTGCTCTTGGCCCGAAGGAGTCGTACCAGTATTCCAGCTGTTCTGTGTGCGTCGCTATCTCCGGATTGTAGACGTACACAACCCCGCTGATGTCGCGCTTCAGGGCCGTGAAGCACTTATCTGGCAACTTGGAGCTGACGTCCCAGAGCTGCGCGCTGTCGTCGTAATTTTGCGCCCCACCTCCGCCGGCCTGAGCCAGCACGTGTGAGTCGTCGTATTCCAGTACGCGTACGCCCAAAGTCGGTGGCAAACTCGAACCCGCACTCTGCATGTCGCACAAATGGTTGGCGAGCCACGTCTTTCCCGCGCCCTCCGGTCCCACGAACAGGACCTTCAAATGCGGCGTCGTCATGTTCTTTTTCTCGACTGTTCAAACTCGCTCCTCCGACAGCCACTCGTTTGACGTGTTTCTGTTTCTCTCTCTGCGAGCTACGGCGAAAAAATTGCAAACACATTTACGATCTCAAAACACGACTCGTGGATGATGTAGTATCCGCTCCTCGTTCCACCGAAAAGAAGCACACAGTCATCCGTTTGGACGCAAAATCCATCGAAGACAATTCAAACGAAAGTAACGCAAAATCCATTGAAGACAATTCCACTGCATATTAGGCGAACCCACAACTAGCACTAGTGGGCTGCTCGGTAGGCTTACTTGATGGTGCAGTCATTCGCATTTCTTCGAAAATCGCAATCATGAAATTGATCGCCGATCTGGTTTGCAAAATTCTTCATGTGCATGTGCATGTAAAAATCTCTCTCGTCGTCCTGCGTCGAGCTAGTGCATTTACAAACAGAAAGGGTGGAGCGCGTAATTGCTTGGCACGTGGTTGTGGCCGTGCGCCGTATGCGCCAAAGAGTTCCGCACCCGCTTATTGAAGATCACGTGTCCAAGAGTTGGCTGGTTCCGGAGCAGCTCCAAAGCATCAAGTAACCGACTCTCCAAGTGAGACAGCAAGGACCCACTGTCGCTCCTGTTTTCGTTCAGAGTAGAAGACATCGCTTGTCAACTCCACTGTTTCCATGATCAACACATAAGTGATTGGCGTTAACATCCAGAGAGACGCATTCCATACGAAAGAAAAAAATTCCATCATAGATCCATACCCTGCAGCCAGCAGATGGTGACGCTTGCGACACGACAAAACGCGCAACAGTTTCGAGAAGCAAGCCAGCACCACGGGACTCCGTTCATTTGTTTTCACCAGACAAATTTTCAGCAAGGCCGTGATCAGCACTGCCAGCGTTCGGCTGCACGTGAAGCAGGCCTGCAGTAATTCGTTTTCCTCCATGACCTGAAATTCCGCGGACCGCACGTGCGACCGACTGCGCGAAGGGTGCTGCGAATTGTAGAAGTTCCCGCTGCCCTGCCCGCGGGCGTGATGCCGTGGAGAAAACGCGTCGTTGACGCGCTGCGGCGGGGAGAAGTGGTCGTGCCGGATTGCCAGATGCGGATCGTGGCGTATCACTTCGTCCTCGGACGGAATCCGCAGTTTCAAACTCGGATCGCCTTGTTCCCGATTAGCGTGGTGATCGTGCTGATGATTGTAACCGCCTGAAGGAAGATGGTGACTAGAAGCGTTCCGCCCACCTCCAGCGCCAGCAGTGTAGGATCCGTCATCGTAATGACCGACCGAGGCCTGATGCTCGGCCCCGAAAGCTGAGGACCCATGCTGGTGGTGGTATTGGTCGGCGCTGCCGCTCATGTGGTGTGGCATGTTGAAGTTGTCAGCCCCCGCGTGAAGATGATTATTTGCCGTAGTACTGTTGAAAAACAGTGCACCGCCTACATCCAGGCTTTGGTACTCTGCGAGATTTTCCACCACCGCGAAGCACGAAAGCTCCAGCCGCATGCACGCCGCGAGGAACAAATGCACTAGCGCTTCAAAAATGCCGGTCTGAAAGAATCCTTCAGAAACCGAATTCAATGGCGAAGAAGGCTCATCCGCGTCGCTGCCGCTGCAATCGTCCGTAGCGAGCTCGCCCACCAAGTGGCACAGGTGAACGACCAATTTCAGATGGCAAGTGTCGGCCTTTCTCGGGCCTTCCGGATTCCCCGTCAGCAGTGGCCACGGCACGGTCTGGGGTGAGATGTTCGGAAACCAATGCAGCAGTTCGGCCTGCGTGTGCCCGTCTAAGTGCAAAAAGGAAGCCGCGTAAGCCGCGGCTCGAGAAGTAGAGTCACTAGACCCTGAATAGTTGTGCATCCCCCTAGAGGCGCTGCTTGCAAAGGACCGGTCTGATCGCGCGGATTGTATCGGCTTAATACCGGAAGCCAGTCCCACCGAGTCTGACCTTATTCCGATTCTCGAGCTTGTTGCGAGCGGCCGCACAGGTGGAAGCAGCAGCGGTTGCGTCGGTGCGCCAGGCACGTAGAGTTGAAAGGCGTTGACCCCGGTCTGGATCGCGCGCACGACATGCGCGTCCACCACATCTTCAGCCGATGCGGAGGAGAAGAAAACTTTGTGCAGGTTCTCGATGAGAATGGAGTGCACTTTCTCCTGGAAGAAATCTACGGGACACAGACCCCGGCTGAACCGGTGCACAAGCAACGGAATCAGTGCGCGCACGGTCTCAGTCGTGGTATGGTTCAACACCACTTCGAAGAACAGACTCAAAAACCGCGGCACCAGCTTACAAATGCTGCTAACGCGCGGCGTGATCGGGAGTCGCTGCCACAGAAAATCCACGTAGGCGTCGCGTTCCTCCGCAATCCGTTCCTCGTGCTGGTCCCGCGGGGTCCGCCCAATGTCTTGGTCGCTCCTCGTCGCGGCTTGGTGCCACAAAAATGTGTCGTCCGTAGCTTGACTCCGGAGGCAATACTTCTGCATCTGCGCCACCCAGTACAGATTCGCGGCCTGGTCCCGCGCGGCGCGCTTGTGCGGGGGACTGCGCGACCGAGCGCTGCCGCCCTCGTGTTCGAGACCGCCGCGCCCGGGTGGTGATCGAGGCCTCCCCCCATGATGTTGATCCTTTCCAAAGTCGTCACGCGTCCCAGGCCCCCGATTTCGTCGTGCCGCGCCTCCGGCGCCGTTGGCCCCAAGCCCTCCCGGATGCAGTCCGGATGCCTTCGCTCCGGCGCCGCCACCGTGCTTGTGCGATGCTATTCCGCCACTGGCGCCACCACTCCCCGCACCTAGGTTGTACGCAAACGCGGAGTTGTGCGGGCCCGCGGATCCAGCCCCACTTCCCGAAGAGGACAGCAGACCCGGGTGGTACGCTGCGCTGCTGGCCCGCCCGAAGTAGGTACTCACGTTGCACGTAGATAGAAAGGGGTCCTCCACGAATGCGGCCGTCAGAGGTAGGTCCAGAATTTGGTGAAACAATCCTTGCAGGGAGAGTGGCCCGACCATCGCCGGCAAAAGACTCAGGATCTCTTGCGACACGATTCGCGGATGCAGAACGACCAATTGCAGCAAAACCGGGTAGTATTTCTGGAACACGGAGGGGTAGTGCTTCAGCAACGTGTCGCGGTTTTGAATCAGAAACAAAACCGTGTTCATGGCCAGCAAAGCCGATTTCCTGGTCTGCGACAGAAAAAAGTGCGACAAAACCGGATCCATGTCAAAGATCACGTGGTGTCCGTGGTTGAGCAGAAACTGCAGCACCGTGCAGAACAAAATCCCGCTGCCGCGGCCGCGGGCCGTCGCCCCTACTCCGGCGGGATCGCCCAGCGCGGCGCCGTGACACCCGCGCTGCTTCCCCGAAGCGACCGACGCGTCGTACGCGCCAAGATCTGCGTGATGCCCCGGCGGTCCGGCTGGGTGATCGACACTCGCACTCGCAACACCCATGAAGGCAGAGCGGGTCGAGGAGGCGCTGCTCGTGGAGGAGCTTGTCGAAGCGCAACACTGCCGCTCGTAGACACGCTTCACCGCCGGGAAAATCGCAGACACGAGCGACGAATCCATGATGCAAAGCAAATCGAGAATCCGCACGGCCTCCACCGCGCTGGCTTCTATCATCTGGCTTTGCCACGCGTACGCGACACTCTTTGGCCACGCATCCTTTGCACTTTCATCGACCCCGCGCCCGCTGCCATTGTTGCTGCTACTCACGCAGGCTTCGCGTTCACTCTGAGCTAACACACGGTGGCAGTAGGCTATAATCACGTTTCGAAAGTACGGGTGCATTGGGAAGAGGGTACTATCTTTGTCGTTACCATCCCCCTCCTCCGTGGAAAACGGCTCGAGAACTCTTCGTGGAGTCTGAAAGCTCGGAACCTGTTGTCCGCCTCGCAAGCGCGGCCCGGAGGAGCCGCTAGAGCTCGAGGCCGCGGAGGCAGTGGCGCGCTGGCTTGTTCGGTAGAAGAGTGGCGGTTCGTCAGCTGAGACGCTAGTGCCTTGGTTGACAGACGAAGACGCGTCGAACGTTCTTGCGACATCGTCGTGGTTCTCCCCACGACGCCCCGAAAACCTTTCCTTGCTCGTACTCGCTGATCTTGTTGCTCCGTTCTTCGCAATAACCTCCGACGTCGCGCCGCCCAGTCTGGCACAGACGCCGAGAAAGTATACGTGGTACAGGTAGTGGTAGAGCGTGGAAAAAACCGCGACGTGCAGCACCTGGTCATCCGTATATTCGAGCGACAGGTTTAAAATCGTGAAGTTATCTCCCGGCGACGAAAACTGCCCGTCCACCTCGGTGACTTGCCGGTGCTCGCTGTTAGTGCCGAACAGCCGCTTCCAGAGCTTTTTCTTCCCCTTTGACGACGTCTTCACACTGGTGCTGGTCAGAAGGTAACAGAAAAACTGCTCCATGGGAAAGAGAACAATGTGGTAGAGGCTGTTGCACGTGTGCTGCAATGGATTGGGAATCAGGTACGTTGTGCTGTATGGCTCTCGAGGACCGCAGTAGTTCTGTTCCAACCTAGTACCGGGCTCCGCCGATTTTCCGGTGGAAGAATAGTTGTTGTGCCTGGCGTCGTGGTCCGATTGCGCCGCAGTGTTCTTCTGACTTACCCCGGCCGCATCCCCTGCGTAGTTGCAGAATTTCACTAGCTGTAAAGCTTCCGCAGCATCTTGCAAGTTCTGTTCCTCGTCTTCTCCGTCCCCGCAAGGCACGGTCTGCATCGGCGGGAACGCAGGCTCCGCCGCCGCAGATAGGCGGATACATACAAGTGGTCCACTTCGGCGTTTGAAGCAGCTGCAGCAGTCTAAGTACTTGATTTTGTATCCACAAAAGTGACCGAAAAGAGAGAAGCTAACACTAAAAGCAGAGAGCGATAAGCTAATATACAAAATCGAGCTCGCTGTCAGATACCAAATACGACACTCAGCAACTTTCGCGCAAACGCCAAGCGCCCCCTGCATAATATCAGGTGATGCACCAGTGCTACCAACGAGTGGCAGCGCAACGCAACCGACACAGCCTCCCTTGCCTGCACTAGTTCGGAAACCGTAGCCAGAGGACTGTCTTCGCACAGCATGCTTTCAAAGAGTTTGTTTGCCAGCTGCTGTTGTTCTACCGGGTCGGCTGGGGACTGCTGCTCTGGTAGTGATCTACTACTCTGGTGACCCAAAGCTTCGGTAACTCGTTTGTTCGAGGGCGTTGCACCAGGCGGCGTCGTGCTTCCAATCGACGTAGTTTTGCCAGGTGTGTTGGCAATCGATTGACTGTGCCTGTTATTGGGCGTCGCCGCGACCGCGGCCATGTGCGGATCATACAAACCGCGTCCCCTAGTATTCCCGTGTCGCGACCGCGCCGTCGTGCTACTTCGTGGCGTCGTGCTGCGCGACGACGCATCGCTGGACGCCGTCGCTGCAGAGGCGCCGCTCCTGTGCGCTCTTTCCGATGTGGTCCCTCGAGGACCGCCGGATATTGCGCCGCCCGGGTCGGCTTTGTTCCTACCTGTTTTTGCAGGCCCTGACGCCAGCAGGATCGGCGCCGAGGTTTGCGGCTGCTCCACCCAGTTGCTCGGAAGCTTCTCTAGATGATCTTCGAACTTGCGGTGCGTTTCCTCCCGATCCTTGCGTAGTTTTTCGAACACCGCCACGGCCACGCGTAGCAGCAGTCGCGTCCACTGCGCTCGCCGACTCAGGGGTGCGCGCTCCATGCGCCGCTCGAGCAGGTGGAAACCGAGAAACCACGCAAGCAAATTTTCCATGTTCACGTCGGCGCACTCATCCCCGGACGGTCGCAGCACATACAGATTCAACACGTCGACAGCCTCGTACGGTTGTTGATCATCTTGTTCCACAAGTGGTTGTAGCACATCAAACCGGGTGCTGTCATTCTCATTCGGAGAGTGAGCCCGCTTACTGTAATTCCTGCGAGAGTCTGTTTCTGCGGTTTTGACAACACCAGAGGAATCTCGGGCAGCGTCGTCTGCAGCGCGGCGAGGACTTCCGATGTCCGCTGACGGGGCCAGAGCTGCATTGTCGTTTGTCATGTCATGCCCGAATAAGTCAGTATCGGAACTGCCGCTGCTCCCGTTCGAGGAAGCTAGAGAATCGGCCGGTGATTTTTCCTTCTCGCCTGGGTAGTGGCCGCTAGTACGCCTTCCACCGCGGGAACCATGTGAATGTTTCGTACCATTTTCCAGGCGCACAAAACCGAAACCCGCGTTTGGCGGGTATCGGGCCTTCGGGTCTCGCAGCTCAACCAGTGCCAGTTTGAGGAAGAACTCCGGCAAACAAGTGCTCAGTACCGTCGTTGACGACACGATCGGGGGACAGTAGTACCCAGTGTCACCGGGGATCGTGTTCCAACCGCGGGCGAATTCCGGATTTCGCGATCGCGTCGAGGAGGGCGTTGCCGCTGCGTTGCTGTCACCGACGCTGTGGTCCTGTTCGTCGCAACCGCCACCTTCGCTAGTACTCCTCTCCAGCTTCACCCGCCGCGCGGCCGCTGCGAGCACATCCACAGGATTGGGAAATGAATCGGAAAAATACTGCGCTGCGCCCGCCGCGGTGCTGCTGGGGGAGGACGGAATCGGCTGCTCACTGCGCGGCGTCCGTGTTGAATCCACGCTCTGGTCCAACGCTGACTCCGCCGAATTAGGGTCTTTGCCTCCGCTCCCACGAGATGAGGCTCCACCTGCAGTTGAACCGGCACCCGCCACACGGGGTGGCTGAAACAAGTGCTGTGCATAGGATAGCGGGGAACACAACGCTTCCGTGACGCACTGCGGCCGCACGGACACAGCAAATTCCCGAATCAGTGCGGCAACGAGTATTCTCACCCTTGGCGGAACGATGCTGGTGTCCGGCTGCAACAGAAGCGCAAAGAGCTCCGTAAGCAGGCGGCGCTGCGCCAGCGTGAAAGACTGCTGGTGAGGCTGCGTGCTGCTGGAGGAAGTGCTATTCTTTGAAGAGAACAGCGTCGCAGCGACATCATGGTTTTTATTCAGCGAAAGGATGGAGGACTGGAACAGTTGCCGCAAACTCGTCACCGCCACAGCTGCGTCCCGCCGCTGAGCCTTCAATTCCGCGACCACCTGCTCCATAAGCAGATTTGCACTGTTCGCACCAGACGACGACATCCTCGTGTATTACAACCTCAACCTCTGCTCAAAACTGGAAAACACAAATCGAGGTGGGGACATACTTGCGCACGCCGCAGATTTTTCTCGAGAATCACCGACTAGGCATAGCTGCGGACCCTAAAATTTGTTCAACTTCTGACCTACGAGAAGAAAGAATCGTGATCCTGAGTGGTTTTTGCTGTCTCTAATCACGCGAAAACAGACGGTGCACAACTTGTTCCGCCCGGGGTTCCAAAGTCTTTCAGTGGTTTCGTAACTTCCTGCGTCACCCACAACAGAAATTGGAAAAGAAAACAAGCGCACCTACGGTTTGAAAAATGGTTCCAATTTGCTTTCTTTTGTCGAGCAAGGAGCTTGCTACTACACAATGAATCCGTCAGCACATCCTCCTTGAGAGTAGAGCTAAACAACAGCTCTTCTCTAGTGCACTCCTGATCCTGCGCCGTCGTCCCTACTATTGCTAGCTTCGCGCAGCAACCGGGAAGTTTTTTCCCAGGGTGTAATATGCCAGCTCGTCGGGTCTTTTCTCGAACAGGTAATCCGGGCGTCTTTGCAGCTCGCGGTGGTATTTGATAGAGACCCAGAACAGGTAAGCGTACAACACGATCATGGAATAGGTCGCCAGCATGTAGTTCCGACGCTCCTCTCCGCACCGACCCTCGAAAGAAATGCGAAACCTGGAAGTTTTTCGGAGTCTCGAGAAATCTGGTGTCTGTCGGGCAACAGTTCTTTGCCGAGAGTTGTAAAAATCATTTTTATCATTGAAAAATCGGACTACGACAGTAAAGATGTTAAAAACTAACAGCGACATCAGTGGTGCATATCTATCAGTACATGGTCTGCGAAAAGCCGTGCTGATCAATCTGTCCTTGTATGTCCGTAATCCATTCTTCACAGGTTGCTATGAGCGAGAAGTCCAGAACGGCACACGTGCAGAGGTTGACGAAACGGTACAGACCGAAGAGCAGGAAGGTAAAGTGGAAGTCCGAACGGTTTCGCCATGCTGCGTTGATGCCCAGTAGGCCAACCAGGATGGCGACGAAATTTTCGATGCCCAAGGCGGTCGAGGCTTGGTAGGTGTACCCGCCACCGAGGAAATAGAGGTGCCACGAATGTCGGGCGGAAAGCAATATGACGCCGAAAACCAGGGTGAGCAGCGCGTTTGCAAACACCGTGAGCCTGATGGGCAAGACAAAAAACGCGACCTCGCTCCAGTGCGGCTCGCGTGTCGAGGCCGCGCTAGCCACCATCTGGCATTATTGTCGGCGTAGTGCCGAGACGCGTCAATGCAGGCACTTAGCTTACTCAGGTGCGGGTCAGATATATTCTTGATGTGTGATTTTATTTGCCCTCTTGGAATCCGAATCGTGATTCTTTGTGGTCAGGTCTTTTGAAAATTTTCGCTCGAAAAACTGATACCCACAGATTACTTCCTTTCACAACCTCAACCCCTCCAGTACAACCACGCGCCTGTGCGATCCCTCAGTTCTTGCTTCCACCCTGAATCTACCACGCTCTCGGGAAAGGCAGGCGGTTCAACCCGGTGGATTGGCGGGCTTGTAGCCAAAATCTCTTGCATTGATTTCCTCAATCTATAATCCCGAATAGCTTCTTTCCGAACTTCGTATTTTTCGATGCTGTTCTTGTTTATTTTTCAGTCCACTGGTGGTACACAAAGTATTCACATTCTTTACGGCGGCACAACCGCAGCTGATATTTTGACTATCTGTTTTTTCTCTTGAATCAGTAACTTTCTATCAAAAGTCAGTGGCGACAACAGCCACAACTCCTGAATTTCATATTAATCAAATCTGTATTCTCGTATTTGCAAAAGGTCAAGAGAGCGAGTGATGGCTACCACTCTGGACGCATTTCTTCACTGCGTATTTAGATTTAGATTTTTTCTAGCAGGTTTTTGCAATTTTTCTTTATTTTTTTTCTACACACGCATTCACTATTTGTTGCCAATAAATACATTCGATGAAAAGATCCTCTGAAAGCAGATCCTGTAAAAGTCCGTCAACATAGTAGAGGCAGTGATGCACTATTAATACCGAAGAAATAATGAATGTAGTAAGTAAGCTTAATTTGAAAGCGAGCTGATTGCCCGCGCAACCGAGTTTCGAAACTCGTCCTTAGTCTTTTCAGAGCGGATCGACAACCACTGACGGTGCTGTGCGGTTGGATCCCGTAGTATAAGATGCCCGTCTCGTTTTTTCGAACCGGTGGTGAAGCTGTGCAAAGAGCGGGGAAACAGTGGAAACTGCCTGCGAAGCGGTTGCAGCGCCATCTGTGATGCATACGATCCCACTGCCGAGCTGTGGTCCCCTCCTGCTCTACGTCCTCTGGCAATAATTTCTTCTGCCGTCTCATGCCCATGGCCTTGATGCTGTGGCGGTGCCCGGACGGCAATCACGAACTCCCCTTCTTCACTGCTGAACTCATCCCAGTTTTGCAGCAGGTAGTCGATGAAGTGCGGGAACAGCCGCCCGAGGAAAGTGTAGTACTCCGGCGCGGAGCCGGTCGTGGAGGCCAACGCTGCCGGCGCAATGCGGTCGAGCCCGGGGTCGTTGAGAACGTCGGACGGGCGCCAGGCAGACCTGGAAAAGAGCTTCACATCCGATACGCTCCACGGCCGGTCGTCGTGTTCGTCGAGCCCCGAGAGGTGGCCGGCCTCGGAGGGCGGCGCGCTCGGCGCCAGAAAGGGCGAGTCTGCGGGGGTACTAGCCGCGGTCGACGCAGCAAGCACGCTTTCCGCCGAAGAGATTATTTCCCAGCCCAATTCGCTCGCTCCCGAGCTCGCGCCGCCGCTGCCCGCGGAATGCAGGAATGGCTCATCCGCGACAGAACTCTCGTCGGTCAGAGTAGTCGCTGTTCGTGTTCTTGTTCTTCCCCCCTCTGGTGCTGCTGCTGGTACTACGACGATTGGCTCTGGTGCCAATTCGGGAGGCAGCATGGGAACGATGTGCAGCATTTGCAAGAAATGCAGACCCACCAGCGCCCACCCGTGGGACGAAAGCCAGCCCGTCTTCGCGCCGACGACATTCGCCTTTTTCAGCACAAGCTTGACCACCAACAGCCAATCGCGGACTAAAACGCTTTTTTCCGTTTGCGCCCGGATCAGCTCAGTGTTTCCTACGGCGTTCTCGTTCCCAATAGTCAAATCAAGCAGAATTTCGTTTGCCGCAGGCGGGCTAGATACTTTCTCCACGACGGGATTCGTTGTATTCTGGTAACCGGCTGCAGAGGTGGAATTGGAAAAGTTCTTCGGAAGGAGGCCTGCAGGATAGGGCTCGATCTCCCCATCTCTCCTCGTGGCGCGGCTCTGCTCATCTGCCGTGCTATTGTTCTGAGATGACGAGGACAGCGCATGTGACGCAACTACCGAGGACGTCGAAGTTGCATTGCCCTTCCGCCTCCACTTCAGCAGAGGACGCCAAATCAGCTGCAATACCGGGATGCGACTTTTCCACAGCGCGGCATGCCAATCCACCTGCAGGCTCCACTCTCCGTGAATTCCGTCCAACACTTCCCAGTGCCCGGGCAACAAATTATGTTCGCTCACCATCGAGAACAGCAGGTGCCGTGCTTGGTCGGAGTCCAGCGGCCGCGGCAGGCTGTTTGGGGAGCACGGATTCACCACGTCGATGGCTGCAGTCACGTCCAAATCGGAAGACACGGTGTCGAGTCCGTTCACGTGACTCCCGAAGGACTGCACCACGCGAACCACATGCCTTTTTGCAGTCGGCGAAGTAGAGGCGCAGGGCGAGGCCGCGGAGCCAACGATCGGCGAAGAATGGTTGGACGATGGCGGAGACGAGCCCGCCGAGGCCGACCTGCTTCCTTCGCGAGGACTACTAAACACGACGTCCCCGCTGTTTTTTCGTGCCATCACCACGTCGCGCAGGTGTGTGCGCGGGGCTATGGTCGGCACGAATTTTTGCAGCATCGCCTTCGCGGCCGCGAGCGCGCGCTCGCGTTCCTTGTGAACCGCTTCGGCGGTTTCGCTCGTACTCCTCGCGTTCTCTTGTAGCATCTCCCGGACGCGATCCCCCATGATCTCGAAGGCGCCCCGTCGCTCCTTCGCTGCGGCTGCGGCATCACCCCGGCTGCTCATTCTATGGCCGCTGTCCACCAAAAGCCGCTGAAGCAGTTGCTCCGACGAGAATCCCAGAGCAGGGTTGGTAGTACAATGGGAACCCGTTGTTTCTACTACTGCTCGTTGTTCTAGCGGATGATCGGTGCCCGCTCGGGGCCGTTCAACCTCTGCGAGCTGCGTCTGCGAGGGCAGCGGCTCTGAACCGAAAACCGAACTTGCAGAACCAGAGGCCGAGAAAAAAGGAACACTGCTGGTGCGTGGATCCGGATGCTGCCGGTCGACGAAGGCCGCTCGCGGCGGGTAAGGCGGTCCGTGGTGCGTGTACTGCACGGAGTTGTACTCTGCTGGCGAGAGAGCCGGTGGGTTGCCGCGAGCACTATCATCGCCCAGCCAAGAAGCAGTCGCTCCTCGTTGCATTGCGCTGGCCGGGCCGGGCTGCGGGTTTTTGTTCTTTCCCTGCTTTCTGTTACTCCTGACTGTGGTTCTTGCACCTCCTCGCGGATTCCTCTCGTCCCCAAACAAAATCATATTTCCCCGTCTGCGGAGGCCTTCCCGGGTAAGCGGCAGTTCTTCACCCGCTGGTGCGCAAGAAGCCGACGGCCGCTCAATTTGCGCTGTCGATGGTGCCTCAGCCCGGGGTGGCGGTGGCGGAGGAGAATAATGCGGAACAGCGGTAGGACCGCTCTGAGACGCCGTGGCAGACACGTAAGGAGGCACCGGCCCCGGTGGATGGCAGTACGCAGCATCAGGCGGAAAAAAACCTGGACCCGAAATCGGGCCCGGTGCCATCGGGTAGGCGCCATTCCAAACGGACGCACTGTTTGGCGGCGCCCACCTCGGACCCGGTGTATGCACGTCGGACCAGGCGTACGTCGCTTGCGGAACCCGGCCGTGTCTTGGAACGGAATTGGTGACATAGTGCCCAGAAGTAACACCACCTCGTCCACTAGCGTCGCTCACACGCGGTCCTTGCTCGTAGCTCCCGGGGTGGTACTGACTGCCAGGACCTGAAGATGCACTGTGATAGGAGCCGCATGGTGCGGACGGTGCATACGCACTTCTCCGAGGAATGCTTAGGCGCTCCGCTTCTTTCAGTGCCGGCCGGATGTACAAACACTCAATCGCTCGTTTCCGTGCCTCCTCTGAAAAAAGCTCGTGCGGTTCTTCGCCAGAAGGTTCTGACACGGGTCGTTCCTGTTGCTGCTGGCTCCGAGCTCCAGTCTCCATTTCATCTGCGAGCAAGTTAGACGGCAGATGGTATTCGTACCCATCAAACGCTGGGTGATAACGAGACGACCCGATCACTGTTGTATTTTGATCGTAAACATCATCTTACATAGAAGTAGACGAACATAAAATATCGCAAATTTCAAGCCAGCATGAAGTCAGTGCGGTTGAAATCAGCAGAAAAAAAAACGCCATTGACATATGTACCTCCTGCGGATGGGCAGGACGCCCAAGTGCGCCGAGTATCGCTTCCTCGCGACTGCGGGTGCCGGTGAACACCCTCAGGTTCTTCGGACTGGTAACACGACAAAGGTTCTGCTGGTCCGGCGACTTGGTCGGGAAATGGAATGTGCGCTTCCAGGTAGTAAACGCAGCCCGGACGCGTAGTCTCGTCCTCGTAGTGCCTTACGTGGATCAACTCAGGAAGCCGCAGACCCGAGGTCGACAACCCTGACAGCAGCCACCGCCCGAACGTGGCAGCGTCGTTCCGAAAAAAGTCCGCCGCAACCGAGCCGAACTCCACTTCGTTTGCTGCGAGGTACATCAGATTCATCCTCACCGCTCGGAATTCCTCGGTGCTGTTCAGCGTCAGGTTTCTCTCCTCGTTCTGTTGCTGTGGGTCGTCTACTTTTGCCGGGTTGCTAAACGTGGCATACCGGGGATCCGCGCCCAGGAAGGCTGCGGCCAGTCGAAGCTCAAACTCCTTGTTGCCCTCCGGATCGGTAGACAGCTTCTTCAACAGGTTTCCTTCTTTCTTCTTCTGTCGCCTGGTCGCCGCGCCTGCACTACACAGAAAACTGCTGGCACTAGTACTACTCGAAGCACCTCCTTCGGAAGCCGTGCAGGCGGAGACCACGCCCTTTCGCGGGGAAATTGACACTGTTGTCACCAGTTCCTCGTCCCCAGCGAAGGAGACCTTCCGATTACCGCCCGTCCCTTCTGCATCTGACGTTTCGATAGGTCTTTCCCCCGTGGTCATCTCGGCTGTTCTTGCGCCGTTCGAACTAGTAGCGGGGCCTTGCATAGTGTGCTGCTGCGACGCGTGCTTGCGCTCGAGGATACGGCGGTGCCCCGCGGTGAACAACTGCAGGAGGTCTGCGTGCGTCGGCAACAGCAGCGTGCGGTGATCAAACTCCCTCTCCTGTTGGTGCAAACGCTGGATGGCCGCGAGTTCCGCTTGCCGTCGCAATTTGCTGGTCTTCAAAGCAGTCAGCTGCTCGAACACTTCCTGGACCCCGATGGGCCCGTTGCGGAGCAGTATTACCCAAGCGGCGCACACCAATCGGTGCTCCCATAACGACAGCTTCCGGTGGTCGTCTACACTGGTGCGAATCCCGTACAAGGACGTGTGAACGCTATGACGCTGCTGCTGTGCCCATGAGCGCGCGGAAGAAGAAGAACTCGCTGCACCGGTAGACATCTGCGGACCTGTGCATTCGATTTCGATATCTGGATAGGAAGTTAAAGTTTTTGCACCGCTTATAATTCACGCGCATCTACTTTTTGTGCGTTCTTGCGTTTATTTTTGCTTTTGGAAAAAACAAAAAAAAACACGATCGTACGGAAAGCACCAATACGCGCCTGTTGGTCTTCGTCCGGCTGCGTAAGGAAGGGGCCGTGCAGGAAGCCTGGCCGCTGCAGAACCGATTGGCCGATGCTCATCGGCACCTGGTGCACGATGGCCTGAATGGCGGCGTCCGAGCTGCTTTGGATCAGGTGCAGCAGGTAATCCGCAGTGACGTACCGAGGCCCGTGAGCCGGGTGCTCTTCCAGGACGTGGGTGGCCAGGCAACCTAGTCGCCAGCTCCAGAGGTCCGTCGCCGATAGCACTGGCATGCCGCTGACATCTACGCCCCCCACTGCGCGAGCGAGTATTGCCGTGAATATCAGCGCGAAGCAGTGCATTGAGCTGCACAGAAGCTGCGGGTAACTCATTCTTATTCTCCCCATAATTTGTTGTGAAAAAAAAAGGGTCGTTAGGTCACAAAAATGTACAAAACGAGCACGGCGGGCAATTTAATTATAGAAAATCACAACGAAAACTCGCACAAAACTAAATCACGAGCGTGCTTAGCCGAGACCGTTCTTGCTGTTGTAAAGAAATCCAAGGCGTCAATGCATATGGCATTGCGCATTCGAGTAGTCTTGTGCAAGAAAAATTTTTAAAAAGAAAATGGTCAGAGCTCTAAAAAAAACTCCCGCCGCCGGTGGATCTATGCATCTAGCGGGTTCTGAGCGAGCGGGTGCGATCGTTCCGGAGCCACGGCATGGATAAGGAGGTCTCGTATATAATTTTCGGAGCTAATGTCATGAGAGCGCAACTCCGCAGGCGTGACCAATCAATGCGCAAAATATATTTTGGTCGTTTACAGTGCCATACGTGGCTGCGCGTAAGCGCGGTCGTGAAAGATTGACTCAGCTCCATGTGTGTTGTTTCTGAGCATCATGTACCATGTCCATTTCTCGTTCGTTATCGGAACTATGTTCAACTTGGTTGAAGTGTTTTGTGTGAGCGATCATATTCAAGATCTTCACGCTCGCCCTGGTTTCATCATGTGAGAGGAACGGAGTCACGGGTAAATTGCTGAGCAATCATGAAACGACTAGCTACATAGATGCTAAAAAATGATCCGCGCAGGAGCATGGTTACCATGTATCATTTCTGCAGGTGCGAAGTAGAGCATCAGCACCAGACGCAAGCATTTATGGTATATAAAAGTTTATCATAGAAATCACCGCACCGCTCCCGCATCGCCGGAACTTATTGGTCTAGCGTCCTCTTCTCCTTCTCGCAGCGTGGTAAACTCTACGAGGTGCTCCTCTGGTATTGCCGCCCAGTCCCGATTTCCGAACTTAACTAGGTAGTCTTTACTGTTGACTTGCATGCCGACCCCGTACTTGACTAGCTTTCTGGTCTTTTCGTCCCTTACTGTACTGGATACCCTTTCCCCATCCTCCGTGATAACAGGCTCGGGCAGGTCGTACAACTTCCGGAGCCTACTCGAAGGCAACAGCGAGTTGATTTTATAGTTTAGCATTTCCCGCGCCGGCTGGCCCTTATGCGAGAGGAACGGCTGACGGTCCTTCTCGTCCTTCAACACCAAGTCGTGGGCCTCGAACACTTCCGCGGCGTGTCGCTCGTACTTGTGCACGGTTTCCTCGTCGCGGTCGAACAGAACCTGGCACCGGAAGTGCACACTCACCATGTAGCACTGGAGCAGTAAAATGGCCGGGGCAAACACCGCAAATTTCACGGTCTCCCCAATGCAAAACTGGTCGTGTGCGATATTGTACATCTCCTCGTTGAAAAACCCCCCGTTGCGGTCCGCCGCCTTCTGGATGTCCGTGAACCACTCCTCGCAATACCACAACGAGTGCAGATCCAGCGCGACCACAGTGAACTATTGTGAAATAGAATCAAATTTTTTTTCCCCTTCTTCGACTGTCAAGACTTTTATGTGAAGATGAAAAAACAGTCACTACGAAAAGGATTATCTTCGCCAGCACGACCTGTTTAGACACAGCGAATCCTAATGCCAATGCGTCTGCAAAAATACTTCAAAGCATGAGGAAACGAGGACCAGGTAGACTTCAAAACTTATCTGCCATCTTGTCAGAAATCACCGAAGACCAAAACCAGTACCGGGACGGCCAGTCGGAACAGAAACGCGTAGCAGATCTCTTTCGGGGTGCCGTGGCCGGCGTAGATGGAGACGCCGGCGACGACCGCCAGCACGAAGCCGAGGAGGACGCCCCCGATGTTGCTGAGGCTCCGTGCGTAGGCGGTGTAGCCACCCAGGACCCAACCCGGGTATTCCAGTTCCACCGCCCCCAGAAACAGCAGCAACAAGCAGTGCAGAAAGCAGGCCAGCGGTACCGGAAGACAGTGGAAGCACAAGTAGTCCTCGAACGGGCGCGGAAAAGTGTCCCCGAAGAAAGCGAAGGGCTTCTCGGGATCAAATCCGTGCCGTTGGTAGTTGTGGTCAAAAAAATCGTGCACCGGGGGGTTCTCGTCGTCGAGCAACATGGCGACGTGCCGCGGAAACTAGCGGCTACTTCCCTAGAACGGGTGGCGGACCACGGACGTTTTAAAACGTCGAAAAAATCTGTATTCTCGGGTGATGTGAAACGATTCTATTTTCTAGTTGTATCTTCTATACACCACATGCTCCGCTTTCCGGCCTCGTGGGGTGCTTTTTACACGACATGCTGTCGTAATTGGAATTACGCACCGTGCTTCTCTCGTCCACAGTCAAAAAACAAAAACTCTTCCTCTAGAGAATCCCGCAATAAAATCTCGTCTCTTCGCGTTGTCCAGCAACGCCAAAACGAAATTCTTGTGCGCATCGTCTTCAACACGTTTGCGCCACGGCTCCTCGTTGCGACCGTGCGCCGACGACGTGCCGTAGAGTCGATTTGAGAGACTCGCCTGCCTCTTGAATCGTCCTGACGAGGAAGCCTCTTTCTGCTGGGGTTCTTTCTGTGTGTTCTTTCATGGTGGTCTATTTTTCATGTCGCTTCCGTTCTGTTTTGGAAGAAGTATTTCGTATGAATTATGGCGCTCCGGGCTGCTTCGAGTCCCAGTTATGCGCATGTGAAAGAAATATAGGCTCGATATGACATTCTGTCGCTAGACGACTGCGTGGCTCTATAATTTTTCGCGTGGTTCTATTGTACTGTAGCAAAATCGAACTCGAAATTCAAAGATGACGCATGTCATTATCACTTGCCGCACGGACAACTGAAAACCACAGCCGGAAGTCGCAATGCTCTGTCTATCGCGCCGGAAGAACGCTGCGACTCCGCCTGGACATGTCAGCGCTCCACCACCGCGATTGTACTCCCTCCTCTTGGTGAAGAGGTTGGCGACGCGCGGGACGGCATAGGCGTCTCTTCTAATCCACCGAGAAACGTAGCGGCAAGAAAGTCGCTCAATGTGTATGAAGATGAAAAACAAGAATCACACACTTCCTGCCATGCACTTTGGACAAGCAGTTGTTTTTATTTCTAGCGGGCCAGTGCCCGCAGTTTCATCTCACACTTCTCAAGTCATTGTAACCAGACTGCAAAAAATCATGTCTGTTTCATTCCTCATGAGAGCGAAGATGAAACTTGGCCTACCGCCTTGAAAAACCACTTAGCAGGCTGCACATCAAGTACCTAGTGTGATTAAGATCTTCGACTGCGTAAATCGTGGGGGTCTTCCTCCTCCGGAATGTACTCGACAGAGAGGTTTAGTCGGGATAGATCGTAGAAGGAAAAGGATTCCTCGCCCGTCAAAGTTGCGTACGGGACCAGGTCCTGATCGAACCCGAAGAACCGGCGCTCATCGAGAAACGCGCGCAGATCCAGACGCCGATTATTACCTGCTAGTTGTACCGGTCTCACACCATACTCGCTCTGCAGTTGCCCCTCCGGAAGATCATCCGGAGCAGTAGAGGGGGGTATCATCAGCAGCCGCACTTCCTGCTCCTCGTCCACATCCGTCGACGGGCGGCCGCTTCTTGCGCTAGAAGTAGTCGTGTCCACCTCTTCATCGAGTAGACTCTGCTCCTCCGAGCCGTTGCCATCCTCGTCGGCTTGATCATCTTCTTCCGGCTTGGACCTGTTCTTGCACGACGCGCCTGATGCTGATGCTGTGTACGAAATGTAACGGTGATGAACCAGGAGCAAGTAAGTGGCGAGACAAAACTCAGAAACCGCGGCACCAACGTCCAGCAGAAATCCCACGGCTCCTGAAGATGTTCCCAGCATTCAGTGGTGAGATGAAAAACGTATGTTTGTCTGAGGTGCAACAGCAGCGAAAAACTCTATCCCTTCAACATTTCGGATCGACTACTATTTCGACTGCTCGTGCAAAAATACTACCTGCTCGGGTTGACGCCGGCACCACGTTAAACAAAGACGACGCCCCTTCTGCGACAGAAAGAAGTTCGCAGGCGGCGCATAAGCGCAAAACTTTCGCGGGCCAGTGGTAAAACACGAGAGACAACACGAAGGCCAGGTACGGCTGCTTTTTTCCGGCGTAGATGCCCCAACTTCCGGTCGCAGAGAAACTGCATGAAACCAGCAGCTGCAGATACACCGACGTTTGGTGTGCGACGCCTGCGGTCGTCGTTCCGGAGGCTGTTGCAGTCGCGCCCGCGACACCTCCGCGACTTGTTGTACCGAAGCCCATCGTCCCGTGAAACCCGAGCAAAAAAAACACGATGTCCACCAGGAGGAGCAACACCGTGTGCAGAAAGCACGCTAGTGGCAATGGCACGCATCCGAAACACAACTGGTCCCGCGAGCGCCGCGGACGATCCTGGTCTACGTAATTTTCTTTCACATTGGCCGCGGAACGAGTGGAAACAGTGTGCGGGTCACTTCTGTCAACAATGGAGTTGGCATTGGCGGCTTTCCCCAAAACCGGGGCATGCTGGTGCCCTGCGACCGGTGACTCGTGCATCATCTTTGACGTAACGAGTTCTTTGAAATAAATCTGTATTCTTGAGAACGAACAAAAGGCACCGAGACGATGGTGTTTATCTGAAAACCAATCTGGTTTCAAACAAAATGCTGAAGCTGTGATCGATTCAGTTTAGATTGTAGTACGAAACAGTTAGTACCGTAAGGAAAAACAGTCTCCAAGCCATACATAGTCATGGACGTATGAAACAGAAAACGCTGCTCAACTGCGTGGGGAAGAACTCTCGTGTGAAGTCGCAAAAAAGAAGTCTCTCTTTCTCTCTCATGAACATCACGGCCAAAATAAGGCAAAGCACGATGGCCCTGCACAACCAACAAAAACCGTGGATAGCTGCATTCATAAGTCGTAGCAGTTAATCTGACTTCTCCTGCAACACGGTCCCCATCATGCCGATGAAGCTACAAGAAGGGGTAACTGTAGTTCCAATGTTAATTTTCTGGTTCAAAATCATACACGATTGAAATAATGGTAAAAAAACATGGTATAGGCGAAAGTTCTCCGCCAAAGAAAGAAGAAAAAAATTATTCAAGAAAGAATATCCAATGAGAAAAACTGATTCTACAAATCGCTTTCCCGCTGTTTTGCAGCGGAATATTTGTCTAACTTTGCCTTGTCTCTTCGCCTAGCTTTTTCCTCATCGGATATTTGCTCGTCGTGCCTTCCATTCAATATGTCCGAAAATACGGACGCCCTAGCCTTTGCTGCACGTGGCTCCGCCGTGGTCTCTGTATTGACAAGTTGTTTCCCCAGATCACCACTTGACGTCGCAACGATCCCCGCGTTATTTTCTTCCGTCCGTAAAGAAGGACGCCCTTGCACAGTAGTTGTTCTAACGGCTGCGCTTCTTGCAGTCAGGTCTTCTACGCCGGTTGGACCCCTGACCAAGGACGTTCTGCGCGCGTCAGAATCCCTCTCCGCGCTTGTCTTGCTCCCCTTCTGTACTCGTGAGCCCGCGCCACCGCGGGTGCTCTCGTGCGCCCTGGAATTATCCAGACCCGCTCCCTCACGACTGCTTTCCCGCAGCACAATTATGCTCCGATTGACACTTACGGGGCCCCCGACGCCCGCCGCGGTCGTCCCGCCCCGATCCCGCATTTCCAGCTGTTGCGCCATTTGCAGGTGCCGGTGTTGCAGGTCGGAATCCTGCAGTACGGAGGGACACAGGAAGATGAAGCCCAGGGACACCGAGATCATGGTGATCGCGGGCACCACGAGCAGCCACATCCAGACGTTGAGCGTGGCCGAGCTCTCCTTGCGCGCGTCCTCGAGCCACGAAAGCGGAACAATCACCTTGATCGCCGGCATCACGTCGAACTGCGCGTTTTTTGCCAGCGGCACCTGCACCATGGCCCGGTCCGCGTCGATCACCTGGACGAGCTGGGCCCGGATTGGCGTTAGCTGCCCGCCCCGGAAGCCTTCCGCCGCCGCGAACCGCCGGATATTCTCGTTGCGCGCCTCCAACAGCCGGAGGTAGTACAGTTGCAGCTTTTCGTATTCCACCGCGTACGCCTCTGTCGTCTCATCGAACCACCTGGAGTCAACGGGTGGAGCAGCAGTAGTTGCACTAGTGGTAGTCACCACATGTTGAATCGAAGCGGAAAAACGCGGCGACCCGGCGTCCGCCGCGCTCGGGCCCGATGGAGGGTGCTGGTCTTGAACGTCCTGCGAATCGAAGACTGGTGTTGCTGTTGACGAGTGGAGGTCTTCTGCCGTGCTTTCAGCAAAATAAACCTCACCTGCGTCGAGAGTCTCTCCGCCTACAATAATTTTTTCTGGAACGACCACACTCGAAGTGGTTGTCGTCTTGCTGGTAATGTTCTTGGGGACACGAGCTTCTCCGGCAAGAACAGCGTCCTCACGAGAAACTGAAAGAGATAAATCTAAAGCTCCTTCCGGATCTTCCTCGTCGGCGGTCTGAAATGCATCGTCCCTGGTTACTGGAACTGACTGCTCCGAGGTTGCAGCAGCAGGAGCAGCAACAGCGGCGGCAGCGTCCTCGGTCGCCGACGCGGATGGTGAAGACCCCCCGCGGCCTGCTCCAAGTGGAGGCCTCCGTGATGCTTGCATCATCAGCGTTGTCCGAAAGGTACTAACGCCAGAACTAATATCCTCAACCGACCTCAGCAGCGAAGGTAATTCGTACACCAGCGGAAGGACCTCCAAGACAAGACTGCGGTACGCCTCCTTTCGGACCCAGTCGTCGTCCGAAAAAGCATAATACGCGCTGCCCCAACCGCCGACAGCAGGTCCGCCGTCATAAGGAAGTGGGTCGACCAGGAGTTCTTGCGTCAGGTTGAGAATGACGGGTCCCTCCATGCTGTACACATGGACCATGTGATCGACGTATTTGCTCTGACTCATCTCGGCCGCGGCCGGAGAGAAGTCATCCTCCGATAAACCCAGTGGGTACGCGAAGACCATCAAATCCCACAGGGCCCCGTCCTGGACCTGGCGCGGCAACATTGCGTCCGTGACCTCAACGGGCTCTTGCAGCTCCCGAGTCTGCAGTTTCGCTCCCAGGTCCTGCACCAACTCAGCCCGCGTCTTTCCCAGCGAGGCTTCCAGCGGATCTCCCAACGCAGGGTCGGGCGTCCAAGGAAGGCCGCCGTCGCCGGACGGCCGCTGCCAGCGCTTGTGCATGACCAGGAGTCTGCGGGCGGGGTTAACGTCGTTTTCCTGTGCGAAGAGCCAAGTGATTGGACGCTTCGTTCCCGCGAAACCCTCCGCTACTCGGTGATAATGCCAAAAGGCGGGAAAGTCGTCCGGCCGGTATTCGATGGCTTGTTCGATTAGGGGAAAAACCGCTTTCGTCACAAAGCCCTCGTCGTGGTTGTACGTGGATTGCTTCTCCCGGGGAACATGCTCCGCGGGGAACACGGTTGGATACCAGAGCCGGTAGTCCTCCGCGTCGTACCCCTTGGCTGGGGTGCAGGAAACGTAACCCGGTTCCTTCGCGCGCCCACGAGAATCCGTCTCGGGAATGAGGGGCGGGAAGTCCGGCCGTTGTGCGGCGTCGCCCGGCTTCGGCACCGGAAGGCCCACCACGCACTGGGAGGGCGCGTAACGCCCGTCGGAACTAGCCCCGTCCTTCTCGAGCCAGCTGTTGCACTTGGGGTCTAAAACCCGAAGAGATCGCTCCCACTCCGGCACCGCAGGTCCAGGAAGAGCGACCTGGATTCCGAGTTTCGATCGCCAGTCGTTGGCCAAGGGCGATGTTGCATCTGCCTCCGCAGAGCAGATGTTTTTCAACACGGAGTCCGCATACCACCGATACTCGCGAAAGTCCGCCAGCATATCGAGCGACTTTTGCTGTCCGGGTGGCACCGCGCGGGGAAGATCCTGGGAGCTCGGAGAGCTGCGCCGCCGCGCCGCCACTTCCAAAGCCGAGGCGCCAGGCTGGAAGGGTGTTTCTTGTTGTTCCCTCCGAAGGTCGGCCAGCATCTTAGGTTCTTCTTGCATGTTGAGCCTCATATTGTCCTCGTCCTGGCGTGACAACTTCTGACTAGCGCCTCCAGCTTGGCCCGATAATACAGTTGTGGCGTTTTTCCCTAAAATACCGCGGCCGCCCACACTCGGGGGCGGAGGGGACGGTCGCGCACCCGTCCTCTGAAGCGGAGACAAACGTCGCACCGGCAGCGACAATAAAGGATCCATGGACGCCTCCTCTACACCTTCCTCCAGCACCTGGCCACGCTGCCCAAAGCGAATCGGCGCTCTGGCCAACGCGGACTCCACGAGCAGTGGCGGTCGCCGTTCGATGGGAGTGACAGCGGGGTTCAAGCATAGAGAGGTGTCTGGCAACCAAGGTGCCCAGATGCGCAAAGAGATAGCCCCGAGAACCCGCTCTACGTCGTACTTCTTGACGTCCGCTTCGTCCGTCCAAAGGCTGCAGTAGACGTAGTCTTCGCGCCACTTTTGCATCTCGCGCGTCGACAAGACCGCTTCACTCTCGCCCGCGGCTTCGGGTCCTAGGCCTAGCGATGCGGCCGTGCTGCTCTTGAGTTGTTCCATTAGCTCGGCCAGTTGCGGGGACTGTGGCTCTCGTCCACGCTGTACGTCCAGAAACGAAGAGCCACTCGCCCCGGTCGTCCCGTCGGCGGTGGACGAGGACCCCGTTTTCTCGTCACTGGACTGCCGCCGCAGCCTGCCGCTTTCTTGGAAGCGGAAGGAACTGCGGTCCGTCCGCAGCTCCCCGGGAAGCGCGCGAAGCATGTAGAAGGAGCAGCTCCTGGCCCTGCACTCGTTCGCGCAGGCCGCGCCAGGGTCGACCTGTACGAGTTCGTCCGAGTCCTCGTTGACGGGCTCCCCGCGAACCGCGTCGACAACAACGCGCGAGGCCCGCACGCGGATTGCAAACTCATTGTGTAACCACTGCCGGTTTAAAACGGGGGCATTCGCGTCGGTCAGTTCCATGGGCCCGATGGGCAAGCCCACGGTGGGCAGGTAACCGGACAACGCCGAAGAGGTGCGAGCGATTCCGCCGATGCCAGCCTGCGCAGAAGATATGTCCATAGGAACCTCACTGTTTTCCTTTACCCCACAGGCCTCGCGATGACCCTTTAGCCAAACCCCGCCGCCAAGCGCGGCCATCTCAGGCCCGATCGTCAGACAGAAGCTCCCGTCCGCCTGAATCTGTGCCGCCGCTTCCACGTCCAACAGCACTTCCGTGTCGGAATGTAACAGGACACAAAGAGAATCGGCCAGCCGTTCTGGTGCCGCTTCGGACGCCACGCTCTTGACTCCTTGGCGAAACGCGATGCCCCGGCAGGCATGATTCGCGGTGCACAACTCCAGGCAGCTCTCGCGTGTTGGTCCCCGGAACTCTTTTACACTTTTCAGGCTACAAACGGGCCCGTCTACGGGTTTCAGAGAGTAGGCGTCTGCTGCCGCAGAGACCGCGTAACCGCGAGGCATCAGCCCCGTAATCGTCCCCAACTTCTCGCCGGTTTGCGGATCGAGTTTCTGTATGGACGGATCGCGACACCGCACCCCGATGAGAGCGGTCGGATTCCGCTGCAACAGGTCGGCTTGCTGTACTTTATCCTGGTCGGACGCCTCACTGTCCAGCACTTCAAAAACTTGCGGACCAACCGCCAGTGTGGTCGGCTGGACCTCTGGCTTCTGCTTCAGGAGTGTGCACGCCCAAACTGGTGTTCCTCGGAGCGGCTCGATCCGCATGGCTTGAAAAGCGGCGCAATTCTCTCTGCCAAGCCTGTAACACCAGCTTTCGCACTGAACGGGCGGAACACGCTGCAGCATCACGTGCGGCACTTCTGCCAACACTGCCGGGGGGAAAGCATAGCCCATGGCTGTCTGAAAACAGCTGTCACTCCGTCCTGGAGACAATTCCACGTGCTGCGAGCTCAAGCAAGTGAGGGCCAGCCCTTCTAGCTTTTCGTCTGGAATAACCTGCTCCTCCACTGGAAGGGCAGCGGGCGTGACCTCTGGAGGGGCAGTTGTTGTACCTTCGCTCGCTCCTGGAGGGGCAGTTGTTGTACCAGTCATGTCGAAAGCCAGTCCCGGATGCATGGTGGGAGTTTTATTTTCGCCCGACCCGCCGATAGTATCTTTGACTAGTCCCGGAGCAAAGGTCGTGGCCGACGTCTCATTGGTAGCATTCGACGAATTTTTCTCTGCCCCCGGCGGCACGCCCCCTGCAGTTATGTTACTCTCGTCGCGCTCCTGCAAAAAAGCACCAGACGATTCTTGCGAGAAGAACTGTTGACTCTGGTTAGTGCTATTGATGCTGGTTATTACCTCCTGCGGAAGCGGACCGAGTTCACAAAGCGGATCTTCCTGCTCCCCGGATTCTACCACCGTCCGCTTCCAGGCGCTCCAGCCGAGCGGAAGATGTCTTCTGGGCTCAACGACGTTGTCACCTTCCCGTAGCGGGTCTCGACCGCTTTCGACGTTTGGACTATCCCACACAAAATCCTTCAACCCGTCCTCCGTGGCCACCTTGTAGGCACGCAGGCGCCACTGGCCACGTCTCACTTGACGCAAACAGGCGTTGGTGACCGTCTGACTTGCCGCTGCCGGTGTCGTGGGGGTAGTTGCGTTCCCATTTCCCGTTTCGGAGAAGCGTTTCGACATCTCCTCCAACAAGGCTCGGTCCGCTCGCAGGGCGTAGCGAAACGCCGTTAAAGCGACATCATTGCGCCCATTGGAGTTTGCCTTCGCCGCCTCCGGGATTGCCAAATACGGCTCCCGGCGGAAATACCCCGTGTGGGAAAAGGAAGCCGTCCGCATTTGCAATTTGTCGCATACCGTGCAGGCTCGAGGCTCCCCGTCGATTTCGCGGCGCCGATAGTCCTCGACATCAATGTAGGACCAGCGGGTTGCCGGGGAGACACCAGGGACGCCCTGACTGCTTTTGACCGCGAACACAATGTAGCGGCTCGCGCAGCAGTACTGCAGTTGCACACTGTCGGTCAAGGGATTCCCCAAGTTCCGTGGCCGGATACTGTTTTTCAGTCGCACCAGCGAATGAGTCTTTTCTTCCGACGGAGAATACAGGTCAACATCATGATCTTCCGTCGCCCCGCCCCACTCCTGCGCTAGGTTCAAAGTGATCATCGTGTGAGACGCGGCTGTGCCGTTGTTCTCCTTGTTTCCGAGGGAACTAGTGGTGGTACTCACAACGTAGCCCCCGCAGCTGCACAGTTGTTGTCCGAAAGCCGACGGCGTCGCCACGGCGGAACCGTTCTTCGCGTTGTCCACAGCGGATGAAGCCGCGGTGTTCTCTGCGAGCAGCGGCAGCGCGCTGCAATAGTTGATGGGGTACGAACCAGGCTCGGCCCGCGTGACCACTTCCGGCTTGAAGGTCGCCTCGGGGGCGAATTCCTTGCGCAGAAAGTCCTGGATCATTGCCTCCCTCGCCAACTTGGTCTCCATGGAGAAGGGCGGCAGGGTGGTTAACACTGCGGACGTCTTGGAAGAGCCCTGCCCCGCCGGTGCTCCTGGCGCCGCAGCGGCCGCGAGCTCCGCCTCACTTGTGCTCTTTATTCGATCATCATCATTCGATGCGCCTAGTAGCTCGATCCTGTTATACTTATCGTCTACCACGGCCGCTCTTCGCAGAAACCGATTTACTTTACGCCTTCTCTTATCGAGGAACGTGCCGCGCAGCGATTGAAACACTGGCGCATGATGATCCCGTCTCGTCAGTCGCCTGCGCGCACGCGTTGTCGCGGTGCTACGCTGAGTCGACGAGGATGCCTGTGCAAGAACTTCAGCTGTCCGTACGACGACGGCTGGCACGAAGACACCCAAGCAAACCGCAACGAGGAGCGATCGACCGCAACGCATCCTGCTGGGAACGACCGTAGCACTTCCGTGGTACGCTGAGTTGCTCGCCGGTTTGCTCCAGACTAACAACCCCGCCATGCGACGGAATGAGAGAGGCGGGGAGTAGCAAATAAATCCATGTCTAGTCACGATCACGCAAAATTATTGGGGTGAAGGTAAGTAGCAAACTGGGAGGGGTCCAAGGATGTTGAAAGATAAAATTGTGCTGGGAAGAACCATACCTATCGGCCGGTAAAACTACAGTGATTCTTCTCTTTTCGCAGATACATATTTGATGGTGGAGGGTCGTTCTTGATACAGGTGGGTAGGTCCATCATGGGAAAGTTGTTCTGCTGGGGCACTACAGACAGGTAAGGGAAATAAAACTTATCGCTATCGGTTTCCTAAGCAACAACAACCTGATGTAACTCCGCAAATATCCAATGGGAAAGTCTGCTGTCTACATACTCAGTCAACGATATCGACACTGATATCGCACGAATTCAACTTGAACGAAAAGATTCTAAACTGAACGAGCCTTTACTTGGCCTGCAATTTCGCTGACGCCCCTTGAAAGACGACACGACAACGGGAACGGACGACGAAGTGAAAGTGTCACACCTACGACAAACGACTGCTGGCTAGTGAGAACGCACACATCTGACTTGGAAGAACGTAAACGAACGACGGGTCCATGAAAAGAACTTTTCAGTTCCGACACGGAGATTTTTATTTTTCTCTCGCTTCACAAAAAACATGAGAACGCGCTGCACACGTCGAGCTGAGTACTGCTCACTTTTTGGGACCAGCACGGACGGCGCATGTTGGTGCTGCATCATTGAATTGTGCGCTTCAATGCTCAAATGCATGTGCATGTATCTATGTGGAAGTAGTGTTGGGAATCACGACATGCAAAGCCCGAGGCTGCGCAAGACACCACATAAGGCCGCTTCGGTGCTTGTTCTTCATGCAGCGTGATTCTACCGTCCATCAATCTTTATGTTCTCAAAGTCGAGCGGTTGCCACGTCGGCCCGTGGAGAGGAACGAGACTTGACTGCGGGCAGAGGGTGCAGGGGACACATCCCGAATCTCGTCTGCGACCGACCGCTGCATGACTTGCAACGCGGTGGCCGCTTTTTCCTCGAGCGTGGAGTGCTGCCGCAGCAGCGCGTCCAGACCGCTCTTGACCCGCGCGGAGAGCGGCACAATGAAACGCAAGTCCGGGTTCCCGGTGATCTCCTTGTGCAGTTTTTCAAAGTTATCTGTGAGCACCTTGCTCGGATTCGTCCCGGTCCAGGACGTGGTCGCCCCCCCGCCCGCACGCAGCACCGATCCCCTCGTGCTCCCGGTCTTCAGCTCTCGCGACAGCGGCAAAAACTTCGTCAGCAAATCGTCTTGCCGTTTGTACTGCATGTGGTGAAAACACGCCTCCTTGAGCCCCGCAACTTCGATCTCCAACCCCTCGTTTGTCTTGCGCATGCTGGTGTAAAGTAGATACATTATTTCGATATTCTTATTCCGCATGATGCGTTTTTATCTGAATGCTTATCGATGCTTCCGGTACAACGCCAACCTATGAAGGAAGTACGACAATCAAGATGAACATAGTACAGCTCCTCCTTGATGTACTTACAGCAGCAAGTGTATGATGCTGCGCACGGAAAAAAAAATGACAGAAAAAGGCCCTTATGTACATTTCCAGGTCGGACTCCGTTTCACGTGCCTTCTTCAGAACCTTTTCGAGAAACTCCTCACTCGCATCAGCTTTCTTCTCGGCAAGGTCGGCCCTTTTTTGCGACTCTTTTAGCTGCTGCTCCGTCCTGCCAAGCTTGGTCGTGAGGTCCTGCACGCACTTCGATACAAGTTTGTTGCTGCGCTCGGACCGCGCGAACTCGTCTTCGCGCTGCCGAAGGCTCTGCAGATCGCGTTGCAAGTCCTTCACAAACTTGGGCAACTTCGCACTGTCCAGGTTCGCAACCCCCAGCGGATTTTGGTACCTGTCGAAAACATTCTTGCATAGCATAATAAATGCAAAAAAGCAGTACAAACATTTCGCGAGATCCAAGAAACGCCATCCACTCAAGAACGGCGCTTCGAGACTATACTCACTTGAAAATATTAAGCCCGCACGAAACGACCAATCAACGAGAACTACAGAAACTTCCTCCAAAACCTTTCCAGCTCCAGTGCTAGGCGCACATTCCGTTCCTGTTGCGCCTGCACCTCGCGACGCAGACGGGTGATTTCGGTTTCCAGCTCGTCAAACAGGGCGTAGGGGTTTCGCGAAACGTCCAGGTCGAGGTCCACCAACTTCTCCCCCACTGCCGCGCGGAGCTTCTTCTTCACATCCAGCACGGCGAGCTTCAGGTCCTGAATCTGCAGGTCCCGCTCCGCCAGCTCCTCCGCCCCGATCTCGCGCTCTTCCAACGTTTCGATCTGGCGCAACGCGCGGCGGTACTTGTCGGTGAGTAAGTCGTGGTCCACGGCGGAAACTTTAGACGCCTGGAGCACCTCCACCTGCTTCAGCACGCGCCGGTGCGCCAGCAGCAGCGCCTCGTAGTCCTGCGCCAGCTTCTTGTCGGCCCCCGGCTGTTTCTTGGGCGAATCCGGTGGCCGCGAAACCTCCAGGTAGTTGGAGGTGTTGCCGTAGTACTGCTGCAGCAGTCCTGCTGGTGCTCCGGTTGCAGATGTCGTGCCGCCCTTATTGCCACGCGCAGCTTCCGGCGATCCGAGTCGAGCCGTGGACGAAGACGCGCGCACTGTAGTGCCGGCGATGATACTTTTTGTGCTGGCTGCGGCGGCCGGTGACTTAGAGGTCGTACTGTTCATCGACGATTGATGTTCCCCCGCCCCTCGGGGCGATGCGCTTGTATCTTCGGAGGGGTCGTTCGAAGCCAGAAGGTTGGGCGGTGGTGCTGGCGGCGGCTCCTGGTCGGCCTTGCGAGTCGTCGATCGGAAGGAATTTTTATCCGATTGTTCCTTCGGCGCGGTTATGGTGTCGAAAGCGTTTCTCCTGTCAATCGCCGGGTCGATCTCGTCTGCGAAAAGCCTTTCGGTTGGAAGCACATTTTCGTGGTCCCACTGGTCTCCGGCGAGGATGGAGCTATCGCCAGTGAAGCGCCGGACTCGATGCAGATCCTCCGGCCCCACGTGGTCGCCCACCGTAGAAAGATCCACCGAAGGTCGCCGAATTTTCTCGTCCGCGCCCGTGGGCGGGGTCCATCCGACGCGCAGCGGAATGAGGTCGACCCCGCCGCGTAAATACAGCCGCCGGCACGTCGTCGCCATAAGCGATGCCCGTTCGGCTGTGTCCAGGCAGCGAATCTGCGGTAGGTGCATAGAACAATGAGCGTGCAGCACAGCGAAGTGGGAATCTCTACACAAAGGGTCCCACGATGAAAAGGTATCTACCAAGAAGGTTTGTAAAAGTATACCTTTAGTACCGACGACCTCCACTTCCTCTACATTTAGTTGTAAACTTACCATGTAAAAGCCACCTGCCTCAAACACAGCAACAAATCCGTACAGTCTCTTCCATCTGCGGTTCCGTCAGCTGCGTTTCCGGCACGGTGGCGAGCACGAAGGTCTTGCAGTTGCCGGTGATGAGCGGCATCAGCAACGCGCCCAGCTGTCTTTCCGACTTGAACTGGGGCGAGACGGGGGACCGCAGCAAGGCGTTCGGTCCGCCGCCGCCGTCGGCGTCCTCCGCGGCGGAGCTGGGGTTGTGGTTCTCGGTCTCCGCGAAGGCGCCCCCCACCTCCCGGAGCAAGACGTGCAGCGACCCCAGGTCGCGCTTGCACTCGGCGTCACTCTCCGAGGCAAGATCAACGAAGTGCACCGTGCTTAACAGGTGATCTTCCTGGTCGTGGAACAGAGCCACGCGCAAAAACAGGTGCCGCGGCTTGGCGAGCTTCGCGGTGGAGTTCTTCAGGCAGTGCTTGCGCACGGTGTCGCGTTCGCGCAGCGCGGTTAAAACCTCCAGTGCCTCCCCGTAGGACTGCAGTTCCAGCACGTCAAACTTGGTCAGGTTCCGGAACACCGGCCGTTCGTTCTGGTCCCGAACCTCGCTACCGCGGACGTCCCACCACGACAAACCCACCCGGAATTTCTCCTTGCGCCGCACGCGGAACACTTCGCGCAGAAACGCCGTGACCAGGCCGTCGGCGTCGACGCTCCGCGCCGCCGACGCCCCGGTGGCTGCACCGCTCGTCCCCGATGGGGGGCCAAACAGAGTGTAGGTTTTGCCGCTCCCCTCGGCGCCCATCGATAAAAGGACCGCATTGTACCCGTCCAGGACCTGTTTAATGATTATATCGGTTTGATGTTCCACAAGAAACACGCGCTTTTATCAAATTCCAAGAAACGACTGTAGTGACATAACCTCTGTGCGGCGCGATCTCTCACATTTACCAAGTATAGGCTTTCCGAAATCGCTTGTTTCGCAGTAAGGGCATAATATCCTTCACCATATTTATACCCAGTCCAACAGGCAAGCGCCGACCGTGTCCACAAGTGCGTTGGTCTTCGCCTGCACGGGCACCGCGTGCGTGCAGCGCCACTGCTTCGGTTTCAGTTCCGTCGCGTACGGGTCCGGCACGAGGCGAAGAAACACCCGCTTGCGCTGGTCCTCTTCGACCGAAAACAGAGCCCGTGCCCGCTCGCTGCTCCCCGGAACGGCGGCCCGAAGCCGCCCGTACAACTCCAGGCACGCTAACCGTTCCTCCATCAGAACCGGAAATGTAGGTAGTCCTTCCACGTCTGCTGCGACAGTCCGACGCAAAACCGGCGGACTCCTTGTAGTTGTACCTCCTGCTTTTTACGTCAGCATCGCACAAACAAAAGTCGTCACTTATTTGCACCAAGTGTCATATGGTCATTCTTCGTTTGTTGTCGCAGTACCAATTTGCACTTCAAACCCGATTCTGCACATCAAGACGGGAAGATCAACAGCTTTTCACATTCGCAAATACTTCTCCACATTTGACCTCGATCTCGCTCACGTTCTTCTCGTGTTTCGGTAACAAGCTCGAACTTAGTACTACTTCAAGAAAGCTACAGAGATTCAATAAAGCAAAAAAGTCAGGTATAGCGTGAGCTCAAGCCTCCCAGGGTAAATATTGCTGGATGCGCGAACAGCACGCGACGGGTATCAAAAACAAACTTTATAAGCAGAGTGACCGCCGAGACCATCATTCACGGCGAACGCCGCTTGTGCCTCCAGGCACAAGCGGCGTAGATGATGATGATGATGGCAACACCCTCCAGGCGCACTTCGAGGAACTCGGGGCACAGGCTGCACAGCCAGGGGAAAAGGCGCCCGCCTTGCGGGACGCCGCTGCGGATCTTGTGCCACGTGCTGTGGCCGCCGGCAACACGGGCGCGGAAACATCGCCCACGGAGGAAAGACCACAGGGCCGGCCGGATGTACGGCGGCACGGCTTTGGTGGCGCAGTCCCCCACGGGTGACTAGTGGCGCACGGAGTCGAGTGCCCCCTGGATGTCTAATGACACGAGCGCGCCATCGCAGGCGCGCGGCCGCGGCACTCCCCGCCAAGTCTGTGGCACGAGCGCAGACGGCGCGCCCGCGGGCTGGGTGCGGGCATTTTCTGAGAAAACGCGGCTACCGCAGTGCTGCGGGCCTCGTGAGACTGACGACCTCGCCAGTCCGGGCCGATCGCGTCCAACGCCGGGGATAGATCGACCGCGGTCAGGGCCCCGCTTCTGAGTTCTCTCTCAAAATAATCGGAGGCGAACGGCTTCTGGTCTTTCCTGGGCTGCACCAAGTCCCCTTCCAATATGGCGGGACCGGGGTTCTGCATCGAGATCCCGACGGCTGTCCCTCGGTTTCGCCGTTTCCGGCTGCCGGCTTTCCCCCGGAATCGCGGCGCTCCTCGCGGGGCCCGAATGCGGAGGCCGGCGCCTCCTTTCTGGGCCTCATGTGCCTGCGCATATTGCGCAGGCGTAGGCCGGCCCCGCAAGCGTGAAAACGAAACACAGCACGGGCGGAAACTGGCGGCCGTCGTGCTGGGGGACAGTTTCCAGAACTGCCGCCCCGACCTGAATCCACAAAAGCGCCGGCCTTTGCTGTCCGAGGGGCCGGAGTTGGTGGCGGTTTTCGGAATTACGTCGGGGCAGGAGTTCTTTTGTCGAGGAAAGGCGCCGGCGTCCGCTTCTGAGGTTCCGTCTTGTGCGTGCCGCGTGGGCTCGTCCTTGCCGCGCGGGCGTTTTCGCTTCGCAGGCTTCCCGTCTGGGGCGGCAGCCCGCGGCCTGCCGAGGAACGGCGCGAGGCAGGCCGCTAACAGGCCGGAAGCTTTTTGGCCGATTTCTCCAGCGTCGATTGCTGCCAGGGGGCCTGCTGGCTCTTGCTCTGTGCAACTGAGTGGACGGCGATCCGAGAGAAGGCAGCGGAGGGGCCAGGCAGGCCGAGGGGCCGCGCGGGCCAGGGTGCCCGCGCTGCTGTCGCCCGTCTCTGCCGCCGATCCCCCCAGGAGAAGGCCGGCACAGATCGGGTCGCCATTAGGACGCCAGAGCACGCGGCCCGGCGCGGTCCGTGGCCTTGCCGCCGGGCAGGTTTTTCCGCGCTGCAGCTCTGTCCGCTCAGCCTCGTCGAGAAGGAGCGCGCGGTCTTTGTCCCGGGCCTGAGCGCGCAGCCCTGCGGGCCCCGCGCCTGGGGGCCTGTAGACGGAAGTCGGCGCTACCTCGGCAGACGTTCCTCCGCAGGGCTCTGCCGGTAGCAACAGCCGGCACCATGCAACATCTGCCTCAGACCTTCCAGGGTAAATATTGCGAACAGCACGCGACGTGTATCAAAAACAAAATAAACTTCATAGGCGGAGTGGTCGTCGAGACCTTCATGGCGAACGCTTTTTTCTGTCTGTCGTGATACGTTGAAATCGCACTCCATCCTACAGGGGCAAAAAAGCGGCACCGCTACACTTTTCCGCAGCTCTGTCGTCATTCGTATTTGTACAAGGACAGAAATATCGCGCAGCGAGCGGTTGCTCGATATTCTTTTGACCAGTTCAGAAATAGTATAGGCGACAGTGCAGTAGTACATCTACATCGATAATTGACATTTTCTGCATTAAAGAGGTTATTCAGCAGCTCATCCTCATTGTTCATTAATTGAATACTAAACGAAATACGGTGATATTCAGATATCGGATGACCCCTTTGTCACTTTCCTAATCTTAGCATCCATTCCGCGCGAAGTTAGTCCTCCTGCGCCGTTCATCTTCTAGCAGTACAGGCCGCCGAACCTCGACGAGGCTCCCCACGAGAAGCCGTTGGACTTCGTTCTCGTGGTGCGGCTGTTGTACTTTCCCATGTCGCGCAGCGGCACCTCTTTTCCCGCGGTCGGGAGCGCAAACGGTTTCTCGTCGCGGCCGAGGAGGGTGAAGCCCTTCTTTGGGTCCGCGACCCAATTGTTCGGGTGGGCGTACCGCAGGCCGGCGGAGATGAGGCAGTCGCTGCTCTGCACGTACCAGTTGGTCTGGTCCGCGTCCATCCGCTTTTTGGTCGGCCGCGTGTTGAAACTGGTTGTGCGCTTGTCGTTCCCCGCGATGGAGTACCGGTCGAGGTTCCGGGCCGTCAACCCAATTTGCGTGTACGACGGAGGCTTATACCTTTTCGTAGGTCGGTGGAAAGAGAAATAAATTATACTGTGTACACGATTTGTTCTACTTTAATATCGGAACAGAAACTTCATCCACTCTCTCTACTCTCAAGCCTGTAATTTATGCAAAAAAAAAAGTTGCACTATGTCTGCCCAACACAGCTGCAACTTGGAGTCCCCAATAAATGGGTCGTTCTTTCAAACAAGTACCTCGTCTTCATGTAGTGCTCCTTGCGAAGCTGGTCTATGCGTGTCGTGGGTGGGAACATCAAAGACGTGTTGGACTCCAGGCTGTCGATCGAGGTGTCATAAAGCGCCCTTGAGGTGGTCGCCGAAGCCTCGGGCTCCCGCGTTTCGTCCTCCAAAGAAGTTGCGTTTTTGCTGAATCCGACCGGATTCATCGTGCTCGTACCACGGAGTAGTTCCGCGGAGGACGCCAGGTTATTGAGGGTTTGTTCTGTTGCGATAGAACTACTCCCCACGGTGCCCTCAATGGACAAATTCGCGGCTCCGGCGGGCATGGTGGACGAACCCGCCTCGAGCATCCGAGATGCTGATCCACTCTCCCCCGCAACATCCACCTCCATCAGGTGGCGGACCCGTTCTTGCGCCCGGGCCTCCATCTTCCGGACCTGCTCCATTTCGCTGGCGGTCAACTTGCGGCGGGTTTTCTCCGGCGAGAGGAACCGGCTCGCTTCCTTCGACAGATCCAGGCTGTAGTAGGACCCGAACTCATCCAAGAACTCCCGATGATCGAACGCTACCTTGCTATTGTCGTAGAACTCCTTCCCCGGGCGGTACTCAAAGCTGAAGGTCACGGACGACTTCATGGCCGGTAACTTGCCCTTGATGGTGAAATAGGGGCCGCCGGGTTTGTAGAGGTGCGTGGAGGTGGGAATCTGGGGGTCGTTCACCTCCGGCTTCCACAACTCGGGCTTCATCCCCATGTAGATGGTCGCTTTCGAGGGGATCTTGTTGCCCGCCACGTCGCCGTACTGGCCCGGTCCCGGGTTGCCCAGGTCGAAGCTGGGCTTCAGCAGCCAGTTGGTGGCCCCCTGTCGGAGCAGCTCCCGGGCCGGGCACGGCGCCATGCTCCAGGTCGGGCCATCCTGGTTCCACATCGGCTTCACGTTGTAGTGCCCGGGCCCGGGCTCGGTGGTGGACTTGGGCAGTTCGCGTTTCTCTTCCTCTAGTTCTCCGTCATCCCCCTCCTGGTAGTACTCCACGTCTTCGGAAATAGCCACGATCGTGGGCAAGTCGGTGCTCGTTTTGCTCGCCTGCAACGGGTCGAGCGGGTCAGCTGCCAGAAGTGGCACGACCTGATTCTTTTGCAGCGGCTTTGTTGTTGAAGACTGGACTATACCGGATCCTTCTACTTGGCTGGTGATCTTCCCTGTCTGTCGCTGCACTTCTGGCTGCAGCTCGTAGTTCTCGAGTTCATCAGAGGAAGCTGCTGAAGACGAGCTTGACCCTCCAAAGGTGAAGCGCTCGGAGGGCGGCAGCAGCGCATTGATGCCCTCCAACGTCGGCGCAGACTCGGGCTCCTCGGGCTTGAGCACCGTTTCCACCGCGCCGAACACGTCCGCCATGACTCGCAAAAGCCCCCTCCTTTTCGCCGGAAAATTTCTCCGGACGCCTTCGAGAAACAGAATCCGCGCCAAGTCGATCAGTTTGGCGCGCTAGTGTAAGTTAGTAGTTCTTTTGAAGCTTCGCAAACCTCTGCAGCAGCACGAAGATCGACGGCACAAAACAAATCCCCCCCCAATCAAAGCCGGCTGACTTTGCGAGCGCGCTGACAACAAAAGCGAAAGCGCGCTGGCTTTGCACTTCGGGCTCGCCCAGAGGTCCCCTCAGGAAGGGAGTAAAAAGTCCGCTCCTATTGGCTACATTTTACGAATAGGCTGGAGAAGTGGGGGAATGACATTCCATTAACTTTTCGCACGCAGCGAGCTTTCGCGCTGCCTCCCGAAGACATTCAAAAAACCAAGTTAAAGCTCACTGGCTTTTTCACTCGGAGTGAGAAGTCGCCTACACATCCCGAAAGGCTTAGAGAAAAGAAGTGAGAAATCAGTGATTTCTCACTCTCGCGAAATCTTGACGGCTGGAAACCTTTTTGGAGTCCGACTCCAGAGTGAGAATTTTTCAAAAGTGAGAAATCAGTGATTTCTCACTACTTTTCTCGAAGGTACCCGAGCCCCGAAGAAATTTGGCGCTCGGGTACCTTCGAGAAAAGTAGTGAGAAGTCACTGATTTCTCACTTTTGAAAAATTCTCACTCTGGGAAGAGTCAACGCGACTCCGACCAGAGTGAGAGTCTTGCAAAGTGAGAAATCACATTTTTCCCACTCCATTTCTCGGATTGTTCGAGAAACCGAGTGAGAAATCACTGATTTCTCACTTTTCCCAAATGAAAACTTTTCAGAAGTCAGCGGAGCGACTTCTCGCTTTTCAACATGAAAACTTTTCAGAAGTGACAAATGAATCACTGATTTCTCACTTTTCCAGAATGAAAATGCTTCAGAAACGAGAAGTCGCTGACTTTTCACTCCTTTTCTAGAAGACCAGTGGAAACGCAGTGAGAAGTCCGTAGCTTCTCACTTTTCAACGATGAAGATTTGTCGGAAGTCAGAAAGCAAGGGCCTTGCCCCTATTGTTGGACGGAATGTTGGCAGGTTGTTTCTCAAAAAGAAACTGCCCCAGACGGAAGGCGGGCCCCTTGTGGCCCACGCGTCCACGCGCGGCCCGTTTGCGAAATTCCCGCGCTGCCACCCCTCGAAAGCCTTCGGGGAGGTTTTCCGGTTATCAATTCTATCAGAGGGTTGCGAGTCATGGGCTCGGGCTCCTCGGGCTTGAGCACCGTTTCCACCGCGCCGAACACGTCCGCCATGACGTCACTGGCAACCTCGCTGGATATCACGGTCAAAACATCTTCCGGCTCCGCTATTCTCCTGCTTTTGCGTTCGCTTTTTTTGCTTTTCGGTGCGGAGGCAGCTGCACTGGAAGCAGCTGATGTTCCGGAGGTTACTATTTTCTTCTCCGATTTAGAAGTACTTGATGTAGTGGTCACGGGCACTGCAGAGGGCGAACGCGTCACGGTTTTCGACTCGGAGGAAGAAGACGAGGCTCCCCCACCCGTCTTCGCGGACGCCGCAGACGATGAGCCCTGCTTACTTTCCCCGAGCACGGCGGCCTTCACGTGGCGTTCCGCTTTCGCGCGGCCGGCCTTGTCGTTCCCGAACATACCCATCCGCACAATCTCTTGCTGCGTTTTCTGCTTTCGCTTCACCGGCGGGGGACCTGGCATCGCGTTGGAGACGGCTCGGGGGTCCTCGTTGGCGCGCCGGTTCGCTTCCTCCGCTTCCCGAATCATTTGGTCAATCATCTGTTGTTGCTCATCCACCGTCGGCTTGCCGTCCGGAATATTTCGTACGATCTTGGAATAGTCGATTGGCCCCGCCAGCGGCGACGCCCGCGGAGACCGCTTGCGTGTCGGATCGTACCTGTTGCACGTCAGCGTGGCAACTACAAAACGAGACTCAAATGGATGCGGGTACTATACAGAAGTATTCAGTCTATAACACTCCATTTCATGTTTCGTGGTCTTGTATTTGTACCTTATGTTGACAAACTCAAATAAGAAAGAAGTATCGATACGATTGCTTGAGACGCTCTGACGCGTTTGCACGTGCAACGTAACTACTCTCCGTCGAGGACAGAAGTTCCTTCTCGTATTTTTTCTTCGGTGGAAGCATACGCTGCGGGTCTGAAATGTAGAGGGGTGATGATGATGCGAGACTAACTTTAAACCAATAAGCAACCAAAATGCAGCTGAGAAAGTAGATAGGCGCGTGGTGTCGACAACCCTGATGTTGAAAAAGCAGTACGCTCAACATGAAAAAGATCGAAAAACCAAGAGCGGTACCTCGGTTTCCAACGTCCTCGCCTTGCAAGTCGGTGTTGTAGCTGGCAAAGGTTTATCAAATGCAAAAGTTTCTGGGTCTGGAAGAGTGCAAGTTTGTCATGCTTGTCTGGCATGACTCGAGAATCTGTGTTGCATAGGCACGAAAAGGCCCTCTTGCCTGTCATGCAAAAACGCAGCGTGCCATGCGGAATACGTAAGGCATGGTAGCCAGAAAGTTTGTCATGCATAGCTGCGTATTGCAGTGCGTCTATCATTCGCTTTTAGCAATACAAGTTTCCAGACCGAGACATATTTGCAATCCATAAGGTTTTTTTCCGTTGCAACGACTTCCGCCCTCCGCTCCCGTGAACCTCGCCGGGATACGTATCCGCCGGGTGAATCGTGTAGGCGCGCTCCTCCACGAGGGGGCCAGGCGAAGTGGAAAACACCGAATCCACGCTCGTGTCAGTGAGCTGCGTGCTTCGGTTGTTGCGGCGCAGCGTGTCCTGAAACTTCTTGTAGTTCAGGAAGTCACTGTAATATTATGCGGTTGATGGCAGTTTTTTTTTTGTCTCGAAGTGTGCCAGGAGCTACTGTAGTTTCACTTTCATGTTCCACACTGTCAAAGAAAAGAAATCCGCGCAAGAACTGGTTTTCCAAAGACGACGAACCTGGGAGTCCGGTGCTTTGGCGATTTCGGCGGAAAGCGCCGCTTCCGGGTCGGATCAGGTATGAGCTGGTATCGCCGCAAGCTAGAGGGGTCGTCTACCATGTCCGCGGCCATTAGATTGTCGTACTTTACGGAGGCTTCCTTGCTGGTGTCCACAAAATCCGGGGACTTCTGTCGACCTCCCGGTGGCGAGCGCGACCCCCGTCTCGTCGAGGAAGAAGACTGATTTTAGAGTTGATCGGAAAGAAGATTTTCATTTTCAAAGTCTTTTTCATGTACTTACTGTAGCATAGGCTCTCCATCCCTGTTGAGGACTCTTTTTCTTTCCGAAGATCGACGCACAAACGTCTTCGATCTAACAACCTTTAGTTTAAACATAAGTACCTGTGCCACTTGTTGGAATACGGAAGGCTTAATCGCGGTTTTTCGCATGGCCTCGTTCCTACTCGTCCCCCAAGCAGGATCGTCGGAGAGGTGCCAACCCCGCATCTTGAGGTCAATCGGCGGCATATCATATGTAAAACCGCTCCCACCCCATAGTCAAGTTGGGAACGTAGCAACAGAAACCCAGAAGCTTTGGGAGCAACGCATGACAAATTCCAGTCCTTAGTGTGGTGCAGTTTAGCAAGTGCAGCCGCATCACAAATCCATCTGCTCATCCCGTTCACAGCATTACAAATCCCAAAACGCGATTGGAAATGCCTCTCATGGAGATGCGCATATACAAATCTTCCTGTAGTCGCAAATCTGCATGACAACTATGGGGTGGGGACGTTTTTACTCAGGATACGGCAGCTCGCTCCAGACCGACGACTCGAAGGTCGAGTCCATCGTGCGCGAAAAGTCGATATCAAATGCAAATATGTCTGGGTCTGAAAGAGTGCAGTTTTGTCATGCTTGTCTGGCATGACTCGAGAGTCTGTGTTGCATAGGCACGCAAAGGGACTCTTACCTGTCACGCAAGAACGCAGTGTGCCATGCGTGATACGTAACACATGGCAGCCAAAAAATTTGTCATGCATAGCTGCGTATTGCAGTGCGTCTGCCATTCCTTTTTAACATTCCAACTTTCCAGACCCAGACATATTTGCAGTGCATAGTCGAAATCCATCTCTACTCCACCCTGCGCTTTCGAAACTACTACGGCAGTTGTATCCGGCACGGAAAACGGCGCAACAGGTAGAAACTAAACGCCCTTACGAAGATGCGGGCATGGCGTTTTATCGAGCACCAGCGCGTTGGGCTTCAATTATACGGGACTTAGGTACAACTAACGTTGTTACATTTTTTCGTTTCTAAAATAAACGGTCATCGATTTTGGAAAAATGAAAAAACTTCGAAAGCGACCGCGAAATTCACGACGAAGCAACGAAACGCGCGAGAAAGTATTTTTGTTTCATGACTAGTAGAGAACTTCTTTGAAATATATAAGCTAAGTACTGAATGCCAGATAGCCTCTCCTTGTTAATATCGCTCGGTGCAATCTCCAACGTCGTAAGCATGAGTGCTATTCCGAACCGTCTCTCTGCCTTGTAGATCGAAATTGGAAAACACAGCGATCCTTGACATGACGCGAGGGCGACGAAAACAAAAGGACTTTGATCCGAAGATGCACAGCGTATTTTTGCAAAATTGCTTTTACTCCCGCGCTATTGCGTCGCTACTCGAGGCGGCCGTCGCATCTACTTCGACGTTGTCAGCGTATGATAGCTCGACAGCCCCATGATCGGCGCCAGATGTTCTTCTACTCGCAGACGGATCGCCGTCCCGCGTGAGCATGATGGGTCCGAGCTTTGAAACGACCAGCAGACCTATTGGCGCCGTCAGAAGAATGGACAAGACCGCGGTCGTCACGATCACTTCGCCCCACTCCTGCAAGACCTTCATCTCCACCTCGGGAGTAGAGCTATTCTTTCCGCCGCCTTGACTCCGTTCCGTTTCCAAAATCTTATGGAGCCTATCGAGCGGAACGCTTCCCAAGGCTGCTTGCACCGTGGCTTTCGGCATCCACGCGAGGCCGATAAAAATCCGCTCCCGCCAGCTCAGGTTGCCGAAGCTCGTCGCGAACACGGCGGCGGGAACGCGCACGAAAAACACGCAGCACAGGACGAGAAAGGTCGCCTTCGGAAGGGTGGGAAAGTGGAGCTTTCGCACGTCCACAACCGTACCAATCACGCCAAAAAGCAGCGGCTCGGCGAACCAGTCCCATATCCGGCTGAGGTTGTGGCACACCGCCGTGACCGGCGTGTAGTCCTGCGCGCCAGCGGCCAACATCAACTCGCGCACCGAAAAATCCGCATCCGCGTCCTCGGCGGCGTGAGATGCGCCCATCACGTCGAAAACGGAGTGGTCCTCGCCCTGCCTCGAGGGGACTGCAGTTGTATCACCTAGTACAACCCGGAGGTCTTTCTCTTCTGTTCCAAATCCCCCTCTTGCGGCGCCCTTTGGACTACTTGTGCGAAGATCCAAGTCGAGTGAGTGGCTCGCCTCATCGCTCGCCGCACTCGGCGCCGCAAGCGAGATGTCTTCTAGCTCAAACGACATGACTCTTTTCGTCCCGCTGCCCCCGTCAGTCGGCGATTGACTGGGCATGGCTATTCTGTTGTCGTCGCTGTCCGCTCCGGAATCACTATAAGCGCCCGTTGCTCCTTCGTCGTGCCGGTCCGTTGCCTCTGCTCCGTCGTCTGGAAAATCGCCTGTACTAGTACCGACTGGGGTTTTAGAACTTGTTGTGCCGTGCAAAGTTGCACTTTTTGGCCTCGACAGCTGCGAAAACGCACAGGTGAAAAACAGACAAGCGAGAAACCCCGCGCCCGAGTACTGGAAGTGGACTGCGAGCATCGCAACGCCGCACCCAGTGGCGAATACCATAGCGGAGAGAAAATTTTCAGGCTTCGTAGGATTATTTACAACCTCGGTCGTTATTCTACTGCTCTCTTCCAGGCTGTTTGGGTCCTCTGCGGCACCACGACCACTTCCGGGCAGCTGCGTTTCCATTCCGGTTGGAGATGTTGCGGGGCTAGAAGCAGTCGGAATGAAGCGCATCTTTTGCCGTGACTCCCGTGCTGATCCAAGCGCCAGCTGCTCCACGGGCGTCTTGCTCCGACGCAAGTCATCCCCGAGGCCACCACCGAACACAGAGCCCTGATCGTAGCTGTCGCTTTGATTAGAAATTAGTTTCCCCACCATATTCGGCAACAGCTTTTTCCTGCCCCGCCGTCCCCGGGACGAAGACGACTGCAGCAGTTCGTTTCGGCGGGCGAGCGCGTGGGCAGCCAGGAGCTTGCGGCCGAAGAAAGAACCGCTACCCCAAAAGGAGCTAGTTGAACTAGAGGTTGCATGACCCCCTCGGGATGATGATGAAGATGCCGTCGCTGCGTCCGTTTGGCAAAGCTTCGCGAACGCCGCACCTAAAGTGACGCCCAGCACCGCGCCGAGCAGCAAATTGGTTGGCCCGTGCAGCATCGCGTAGAAGTGCGAACTGGGATGCGCAGGTACGTGCGGCAGCCCCAGCAGGGTCCGCAAAAGGTTTCTCTCGTCCGCGGGCATGATGTCACTCATGGCGACGCCGAGCGAGGTGGTGAACCCGGAAATGGTATAAAATGCAAAAATGTCTGGGTCTGGAGGGTTTTGACTTTGAGACATGCCACGCACGGTTTGCATGAGCCATGATGTCTGTGATGCATGCCCTAGCATCACAGGTTTTTTCAGGGATTCTTGATGCCTATTCCGCATGACAAATGCCCTGTCCGCGTAGCAAAAGTGAGACTCCTTTTGCTGCTCATGCAACACAAATCTTTTAGACATCCAAATGCAGCATCACAAGTTGCATTCTTGCAGACCCAGACATTTTTGCATTTGATAAATGGCAACCACGTCGTCCAAGCTCGCGGCGTATGAAATGCAAAAATGTCTGGGTCTGGAAACTTGTGATGCAAGTCAGTCAATATACAAATGCACTGTAATGCGCCGCCAAGCATGACAAGTTGCTTCGTGCTTCGGTGCTGCGTATTCCGCATGAGAAACTGCGTTTTTGCATGACAGGCGAGAGAGGTTGTTTGTGGCCACGCAATACAGATTCAAGAGCCATGCCAGATCAGCATAACAAATCTCGCAATCTTCCAGACCCAGAAATTTTTGCATTTGATACGGCGCACACGACCAGAGAGGGAATCGCCTTCGCGACACCGTACCCGCGCTTTTGCAGCGCAAACATACCGCCGCACACCACGGCAGGGGACACGGCGCCCAGGATAAAGCCCAGCACGAGGCCCCAGGCGAGGGAAAACCCAAACACATACATGGATACGAGAGCCACGGCAAAGGCCTCGCTCACGCCGGGAAGCACGGTCAGCCGCAGACACATGCCGCCCATCCGCCGGATTTTCTGGTAGTCGATCTCGCATCCCGCAATCATGAGAATAGTGGCGAGCCCGAGCGTGCGCACGAGGGACGAAATATCTGCGGGAATCAAAGTGAGGTTTTGGCTCGCTTGTTCCGCATCTCCGGCCGCTGGGGGGCCGCCAGGTTTGGTCGTTGTCCTGCTGTTGTCATGTATTAGTGACTGCCTCACCTTCGCCTGTGCGAAATGCAGTGCGGCACCGCCCACGTTGCGGAAACAAATACCCCCCAGGAGGTAGCCCAGCAGTGGGGGTGTCTTCATCACGTAACGGAATAAGCAACCCCATGCGTGCGCAAACACCCACAGCGCGAACAGCACAACCAGGCTGAAAGCAGAGATGTGAGTTGGAGGGTCGCCTGCAAGATCATGCTGATGCTGCCGTCCGTCTCCCGGAATAGTTGACATGATTCCTCGATCGAAGATCAAAACAAAATCGCCTCTACATACGAGGGCTCCACATTGTGACGAGCTCGATATCTGGTACAGACAACATTTGTACTTGAGATGGCGCGGTTTGTCTTCGTCGTAAATTCACGACGGACAACTAAAACAAAACTACGGAGAAGCTGAACACCATCACGGATCAACCGAAGCAGCTTCCGGTAGGAGCTGTTATGGGACAGCCACTTTGCAGCTCGAGTGCGTTTTTATTTCTGTTTCGCTTTTACATTTTTACTCATCTTCACGTGTGCGGGTGAAAAAAAACGGATTTGATTACTAGTATCCGTCTGTGACAAAAGGGTATCATCAGCCTTGTTTTTGTTTCTTTGCGGGTCGTCCTTCCTTTGGTCTCTCAGATCGCTCTGCAGGCCTCCCTCTCCCTTGTGGACCTGCTGCTTCGCCCTTCTTCTTGCCTTTTCCTTTCTTGCCCATGTGTGCCGCGCCCTTAACGGGGGCATCCTCGGGCTTTACCTGTAATTAGACAGTTCGTAGATGGCCACGAAAAGTAAATTTCAAAATATCGCGATCAAGTAGGACGACAATCCTTCGGATTATAGCCGATAACAAAAACAGTAAACCAACAACTATACCATATCGGCAACTTCCTCCGGTAATCGCAGGTACTTTATGCTGTTGCCTCTTATGTAGACGTCCGCTACTCTGCAGAATTTTTCCGTGTGCGCATCCACGCATATTGCGTCTCTGACCTGTAGAAAATCAAAATGAAAATGGAAAAATAAACAAAGAAATATTGTCGAACATCCGATGAAATTATAACCCGTACAGCAGGAAGGGACTCGTCCTCAACTAGTTTCTTTACGGGTCCTCGTGGTTTCTTCTACTTCCAAGGAAAAAAAGAAGGCAACGCACCCAAAAACGTAGTACCTGTGCGTTCATGAAGTTGTCCACTTTTACGAGTAGTCCCGAATAGGTTTCCCCTGACTTCAACTCCAGCATGACCTGGTGGTTCAAGGCCGTCTGCAGGAGGTTCGAAGGCAACATTGCGACGGTTAGTCTTGGCCCTAGGGGCTGATGTTGTTCCACGAACTTTTCCAAAGGAGCGTCTTGCCCTTGCTCGTCACACCAAGCTGCTATTGGCGAGAACCTGCGATCGCGGTTCGCGCTTGGAGTTAAAGACTACGCCACGGACTGATATGGTAAACTGGCGCAGCTGCAGGATTGCTCGGTATAGCACATGTGCTTGTCGCCAAATCAAAGCAAAAGGTTATCACTATACACCTTATTGCTAGCGTGAAGAAATGTGTCGCCAAAACTGATTGATACAAGTCAAAAAATGTTCGTCGGTAGTGATCTCTATAGTTTCGCTCTACCCACCTGCGTCGCTGTGTAGAGTGAAAGCATTGCGAAGATAATAGAAAAGGCCTTTACAGTTTGGAAGACTTACGGCCCATGATCGGAAAAAGAAAATGGTAAAGCGATCGTGTATGACCTTCCGTTCGTACGTCTATGAGATCTGATGTCGGATCGACCTATCTCAAAATAGGATCATCGCGATATTAGTTCTTCACTGAAACTATCACAAAAAATGCAGTGATCAAGATCTTGCGGGAGACCCAGACTACAGACCTCCTATAGCGAAATCTGAAAAGTCTCTAGACTTGGCGAGGGTTCAGTAGCGTTCGATGTATTTTGGCTCTGTAGAGATAGGCGTGTCGCTTGTTCCAATGATTCTTCTCTTCATGATGATGTCCAAAGAGGCACAACTATGCTCGATTCATGCTAAAAGTAGGCTCTTTCTTTCTATTTCATACAATCTCGTACATCTTCTGGTTCCATTTCTATCCTTAAGAAACAGAAAAGAGTAAAAAACCAAAAACCTTTAGTTTTGCACCGAGAAAAGCTATAGATTCCATGTTGTTTATACTTTTGCAGTTCTTAAGAAAGAGATAGTGTAGGCGGGGTTGTTAACTTGCATTTTTGGGCCCTAGGTCCACCGTCGTTCATGGAAATAATATCAGCTGCACCTGGCTGTACACAGGTGTCTCTTCTATCCCCGGCGCCGCTGCGAAAAGATGAAAGAACTTTCTCAGCGACAACATTCTTCCGCAGCTAGTGCTCCGTTTCGTCCGTCTCAGGGTCTGCGTTTTCGGTACCCAATGAGACCTTCGATCCGACCAGCATGAAATTCGACGCGCTCCGAGATGCTATGAAGTTGTTGTTTGCCGAAAAGAACATCGGCAGCGCTGTTGATTCCCGCAGAGTACTACTACAACTTTCGGAAGTCGTACTATTTGCCAACAAACTGGCCCGGTAGCTCATCGTGCCGGCGGTGGTGCGGCACTCCGCGAGTGTGGTATGATTTGTCTTGGTTCCCTTTGATGTAGTAATGCAAGCCCCGCCACCGCCGGTCGCGCAACTGTTTTCGAACAGCCGCCGAGAGAGTTCCTCACTCTGCCGAACGCTCATTTCGTCCACGGAATGGGAATTCTTGCGGCCGAGCGCGCGGTCCAGGTCCTCTAGCGATTGCCGGATTTGCTGGAGTCGCTGCTGCGACAGCACACCTTCCGGCTCCTCCGCGGGGTCCTCGTTTACAAACATGGGCATGGAGGCTTTCTCGCGCCACAAAGACACCAGACTGCGTTGGGACATCTCGCGGCTGCCCTCCTTGGCCGCGAGCAGCGGATGCACTTTTCCGCTGCGCTGCCGCGCCAGCTGCAAGGACGCGGCGCTGTTGTAACTGCAGTTGTGGTCGCTCCGACTCCGCCGAAAGAAGCGCGAGGCACTGGGAAGGCTGGGAACTTGGTCGCTGACCCGATTCTATCATTTGTAAAAACGTCCCCACCCCAGAGTTGTCATGCAGATTTGCAATGACAGGAACATTTGTAATGGGCATCCCCATGAGAGGAATTTGTAGTCGTGTTTTGGCATTTGTAATGCTGTAACCAGGATAAGCAGATGGATTTCTGATGCGTTTGCCATTGCTGACCTGCACTACACTACGGACTGGAACTTGTGATGCATGAGTCCCAAAACTTCCAGGTTTGTGTTGCAAAATCCCCATCTTGACTCTGGTGTGGGGACGTTTTTACACAGGATAGATTCAAGTTGTTGCTCTCGATCGCGAGGGCGGTGGTGGAACTCCGATGAGTGTTTCTCGCCCCATATCAACATCAAAAATCCCCCCTCCCCATATCGAAACGAAAATCTGTGGTGCGGGATTTGTGTACACAAATTGGATCTGTCTTGCAGTAGAACACTGCACGAAGATGCTAAGCCTGGGTAGGGGTCTTCTGGTGTAGGCGCTTAGCATGGCAGACAACTGCCCCGTAGGTCTTACAGCATTACAAATCGCCTCTACAACGCGGCGGACTCTCTGGATTTGCATCCTTGCAAGACAAAGAGGATTTGGGATCACAAATCTGCATCACAAATTTTCAGAAGGCTACGTTCTGAATATGGGGAGGGGGGATTTTTCCTCACAATACCCCAGAAGTTGTTTTCATCCCGCTAGACAGACGCGCAGCTCCTGCAAGGGGGCCCAGCAATGTTGAGCCGCGATCTTGCTCCGGCACAAGTATTTTCTGCGATGGCGAACTGGGAGACGGTTTGATGAGCCCTCGTCCACCTGCTCCGCTGGTCGTACTCTTGACTTTTCTCAAACCACTCGAAAGGCGGCCCGCCGCCCCGACACCCGCCCTCGACGTAGCTGACGCGCGACGACGACACCGCGAAGACACTGGAGATGCGGGACGCTGGTTGTGAATGGGAGGACCTGCCAAACAGCCATTCGCGTCTATTGTGAGGAAAAATCCCCCCTCCCCATATCAAAACAAAACTTCTGATGCTGGACTTCTGTACACAAATCCGAGCTGTCTTGCTGGAGGGCTTTGCAGGCCCATACGAAGCGTGAGTAGAGAGGTTTTGGCCTAGGCGCTTAGCATGATAAACCTCCGCGCTGTAGGCCCAACAGCATGGCAAACCGCCTGCACAATGCGGCGGCTGTCTGCGCAGTTGCCTTCTTGCAAGACAGACACGGTTTGTGACCACAAATCAGCATCACACATTTCCAAAAATATACCTTGTTGATATGGGGAAGGGGGATTTTTCCTCACGATAGCGTCGTCGTCGCTGATGTCTCCTCCGCTGGAGGAGAAAATGTCGGGATCCAGAAAACCGCGGCTCCTATCAATTGCAAAAGTATCGTACTCGTATGGATGCAAGTCTTGCATTACAAATCGTTTTATCAAGGCAAATCCGCATGACAAATTCCATTTCTCATGCTAAGGAAATTTGTATTGCAATTTACACTAGTACGATACTTTTGCAGTTCATAGCTCTCTCGGTTCCACAGTGCTGCTGTCTGCTGGTGTAGGTCATGATCTGCAACAACCGCTGGTGGCACCACGTCGGTGTCTTCAACATCGTGAGCAGTCACAAACATGTCCTCCGGGCGGGAAAGTTGTCCTGCTATCAATCCGTTTGGTACTTCTACGTTGGCGCCGTCAGCGAAAATTTCTCCCTGTTTTGTGCTCCGCCTTCCTCTATTCCCAGATGTTGACCGCAACAAGTCGTATCCGCTCTGCGGCGACGCGAGTGCAGTTCCGGCGGAGACCCTACCGGCGTGCTCGTGGCTCCAGCGCGTTGTCTGCAAACGACCCGAGCCAGCATTCGCTCTGTGCCTATTTTCCTCACAAGTGTTTACGCCGAGGACGCAGTTGCTGTCATCCTCCCGAGACGTTGCCCACATTTCTAAGCGCGTTTCGCGCAATTCCGCGGGTTCTGGGGGTTTTATCTGCACGCTCCTGCGCAGAGGACTCCCAACAGGTGCGAGCCGTACATCGTAGTTGTTGTCGTTTTCGCGATCTTCATCGGAGAAGGTCGACAGCTTGTCATCATGCTCAGGTAAAAGGTCGATGCTGTCTTTGTTTTGCATTTTGTCGCCAGTCTGTACAACCTGGAGCAACTTTTCATACTGCGTCGTCCAGACGTCGGGGTGAACGAACACGCGATACTGAACCACCTCGAGAAAATGCAGTTGCGCGTGCAACAGGTTCTTGCGGCTAAACAGCTTCCGTTGCAACAGCGCCGGGTGGTTGAAGAAGACCCGTACCAACACGGCCTCTGCGGTCTCGCACCCAAAGCACGCGGGAGGTTGTCGTCGTACTTGGTCCTGTTTGTGAAGTAACGAAGGCGGCGCAGCTCCAGCGGAGCAAGTGCTCGTGCTTTTTTTCTTCAGACGCAACCCATAGTGCTCTGAAAACCCGGGCCACTCCTTGACCGCGACACTGTACTCGTACAGCGAGGGTCCGTGGTCCTCGTACGCGGGTAGCGCGCTCATCACAGCGGCGATTAGCAGCAGTGGCCAGGACTCTTTCCCCAAGGCGAGAGCAGCACTGCTGTTTGGTATTTTATTCGTGCGGTCATCATGATGTTTTCCTTGAATATTGTCGGTCTTTCCATGATACCGCGCCGAAGTACTCGGCTTTGCTGTCCCGCCCCCGCCCGGGCTCCTCGCGCCGCCGGAGGAGAGCAAAAGCGCCCGCTGCGCGCAGTACCTTTGGAGCAAGATCCAGACATTCAGTAGCACATCGGGCTGCAGCACCAGCGTCGTGCACACGTACCGGCAGAAGTGCTGGATTCCTTCCGCTGACGCCTCCTTGGCTGCGACCCGCACGCCGGAATTCGGGCGGCCCAGCCACGTCGAGACGAAGTCCGGAAAGTGCCGCACCACACACCGCAGGACCGCGGGACAGCTGCTCGCCGTCGGAACACCCGCAGCCGCGCTCGCGTCACGCTGCTGCTGGTCACTCTGCAGCACCAATTTCAAGATCTCGCACGACACGGCCTCGCAGAGTGCTCCACCGCATTTCGCCGACCAGGACTTTCGATTGTTCATGGCTGCAGTCGCGCCGGTGCGTAATATATAAGTTGCCGATCGTCGTCAGAACCGCGCGGGCGCACCTGCTGGCAGTATTTTTCCGCTAATTTTTGAGGATGATAGCGCTGCAGCGTCGTACTGCGAAATCGTGCGCCACGGTGGAGGTCACATGAGTCTGCGTGCAGTTTTTGCGGCATTGTTGTACATATACATGGCATTATTTCTACAAGAGTTGCAGTGCAAGAAATGCGAGAATGACATAAGTAACGATTGGCACCACAATGGCTCCTACTGATCAAAACGCAAGGATAATTTTAATTTGTCAAAAAACTACAACTTATATATTTCTTTCCAAACATCAAGCAGTTGCGCAACCACCTCGACAAATTATTGCCGGTCTCTTTCTCTGCCTCCGCTCACCTAGAGCTTCTCTTTCTTACTAAGCTGCTTGCTCTGTGTCAGAAACAGCTGTGTAATCACCACAGAAGAAGAAACGGTGGCGGAGGGTGGACCTCGTCCTGCTCTCAGCCAGACATCGGCCTGTGCCAACTGGACCGGCTCCACTTGGTTTTTATTTCACGTCTTGGTTCCAACGTAGGTTGTAGTAGTTGGACTGGGATTCATTATTTTGTATTTAGTGTTTACGTGCCAGCATTTCGATCTTCATCGTATATTCTAGTACATAGAGTCATTCTGATGTAGATTTTAGTAGTGGATATCGAAATTCGAATACGTAGTAAAAAAACGCATAAAAAGACGGCGCGAAGCAGTACAACGACCGCGCTGCAGCTCACGTTCTCTTGGCCGCTCAAGATCAAACCTATCAAACCACCAGTCAAAAGGGGTTGAATACTTCTCGGATGAGCAGACCGGAAGAGCAGCTGACTTTTTTTAGGCGTACAGTGTATTAATATTTATCGGGCGCGGTTGTTGTATGTAGTTATTTATTTTTTTTCGTCACATATTCATTCGAAAGAGAAAAACCAAAAAGTGCCTCCGGCGGCTAGAATACTTGAAAAACAAGTCCGTCGCCTCTCAACGTTGAAACATAGGGGTTACACTAAACTAGTAAAAGTAGATACGGATGAGTCATCCTTGCGTGGTACCATCTCACGTAGCACCACCGCTGTGCTGATAACTAACAAAGACGGGTAAGTAATTGGGTCTTTTCTGTTTCTGGAGGAATATACTACTGTACGCGTCGGCTACTTGCGTCTATTATTTGGACTACTAATATTAAAGACAAATAGAGTAGCGATAGTCTCAGCTGATGCAAATATCTCAAAATTTTTTGATTTTCTGATTTGGATTTTTTTTCTGTTAATTAGGGTTTCGAACAACTACCCGATACTAAAAAATAGCCTTCAACCAATCGATTGATGTAAAAACGATGTAGGAAATGCGAGAAGCAAATTTCTGAAGCTTACTGTAAAGATGAATTCAGATGCGATCTGTCTGAGTGAGATAATGTCTATTTTCCTGTTTAGGGTTTTTCCCCGAGTACATATCAACAATAGTTTATTTTCCTGCCTGAAAAAGCTCCACCTACTGGAGTTGAAAACTGTGGTGCTACAACGAGTGCTTGGTTACAACACCGCAACTAGTAAAGTATTTTCTGTAGTTTCTAAAACCGTCTTGCCTCTTCTCCCCGTAGCTCGCGGCTCTCTTATTTTTCCCGCGCCGGAAAGAGACCATTGCTCACGTGCCCTTCCTGTTGTCACCGCTTGGAGGTCCACCTCCACCTTATATTATACAACAGATGCGAATCGCGAATCTTGAAAATGAATCATATTTGATTCTAGAATTTTTTGCGGCGAAGAGAAGACCATCAAACAGTTGTCAAAGAACCCAGGTCATTCAGAAGAAAGCTCAGAAACAGTCTAAGTACCTCCGGGGGTTTGGCCGGGCTGCGGACCCGGGGTCCCACCGGTTGGGGGGACCGGGGGCGGCTGGAGCCCTTGTTGTTGCCCCTGCTGCAGCAAGTTGGCAATCGGATTATTGTTGTTCATGGGAAGCGGTTGCAGCGTGTTACTACCCGGCTGCTGCTGCAGGGGTCCGCCCCCGCCGGGTTGTTGCGGGGGTAGTGGCATGAGTTGCGCGGGATGTTGTTGCTGCCCGCGATTCGGACTTCCCGGGGGCTGCGCGGCCGCCGCATTTCCCTTCATCGGCATCAGTCCCTGCATGTTGTTCATCATGGGCTGTGCGCCTTGGGGACCTGCTCCCAGTGGCAGAAGTCCTTGCGGCTGGAGCTGCTGCTGCGGCATGCCTGGGCTTGGCGGCTGCGGTCCGCCCGCCATCATGGGATTGCCCATCATCGGCAGTGGCTGCTGATTTCCCCCTCCGGAATTGTTCAGCATCTGGAGAAGCGGATTGTTGCCTGCCGCTCCGGGCGGTAGTCCACCCTGCTGCGGAAGGACGCCCCCGGGCATCCCGCCCGGGAGCAGGTTCGGATTGTTTCCCAAAGGATTCAGCCCCAGCATCGCGGGGTTGTTCTGCATCTGCGGCCCGCCCGGCTGCATCTGCGGTGGCAATTGCATCTGCGGATGCTGATTGGGCCCGCCCTTCGCCATCATGTTCATGCCCAGTAGGGGATTCATCATATTATGCCCCGGCTGCTGCTGGGGTGCTGCGAAGGGACTGGTGTTCATCGGCTGTTGCTGCATTTGGTGTGGCTGCATGCCCCCGGGGGGCCCCATCATGCCACCGCCCGGCATCTGATTCATAGGCGAAGGCCCTGCAAAAACATTGGAGGCTTGACATGCAAGGTCTCGATGAAGAACCAGCTTTATACATTTGTCAACATCGAGTAACAGTATACGAAGAAAAAAGTCAAATATTGATATGGCTCTACCAGGTCGGGTATGCATTGGAAATATGATGTCTGGGTCTGAGTCTGACAGAGCGTTGCAATTTCTGATTGTCCTTTGTCTGGTTCACGCAAACATCCGTGGTCTTGCGTGACTATTAAAATATGCCCGCCTTCGGTCAAGTTTATTGATTTTATTCAAGGACGATTTGTATCCACGACACGCATAAGAAAGAACTGGCACGACTCTGTGTTGCTAAGCCCCAAATTCCCGGGCTGATGAAGTATGAAAAAGGTGCACGACAAACTTCTGCAGCCTCCCCGACCCAGACACAGCATTTGCAGTTGATATCCCGGTATCATATTAGGTGCGTTCGTGGGTTTTTGCATAAACATCATCACCCCGCGCTCGTCGACGCGAAGCTCGCGCTGCTCTTCGGGTTTGGGCTCGCCGTCCGCGGTGGTTTTTGTACCTGTTTGTACAGTGTGTCGTTGTAGAAGTAGCTTCGAACCCCGGCATGATGTCGCCTACGCGCAACCAGCCTCCGTGAGAGTCGACTCAAAGTTATTTGTTCCGCTTTGTAGTTCTTGTGACCACCACTCTTTTAATTGATTCATGCATGGATGACACCGAGACCGATCCGAACGGGTGATGAAAATGTTTATTTTCGTTGCGATGTAAAATCATAATCAGATACCGTCCGTTCCTGATTCGGAGGAGTTCACTCTGTTCGGCTGCGGCTTCTTGGCGGTTTCGTCTACCGTCACGATCTGCTTTCCGTCGGGGCCGAGTTTACTTTCGAACAACTTTTTCACCCCGATTGGGTGCTGGTTGTCATTCTCGAAAACGTTAATACTGTTCGCGGGTAAATTACAGCTTGCCACAAACTCGAGCGGATTATTTATGAACTGGTCATATACCTGTAGTAGCGTTATTTCTTCAAACGTTTAATATTTGTGTTATTTTCCGCTTACTAGCGTGGATGTTAACACGAGCAGGAAGGAAACAAAATTGTTGCTGTTGGTTCTTCATAAGCGCAAAAAAACGAGGCATTGAAGGTCGTCAACAAGGAGCAACTTATGCCAATAAAAATACTGACGACTCGTCGCTTCCCGGATTATCGTGGACGAAACGACACTCGTGCCCGCGGTAACAGCCCGCGGTGAGCGTGTGTGACGGTCCGACGTTTACTCTCCTGTAATAACGACACCTCAGGTCACCGGCCGCTGCTGGATTAAAGCCTGTTTATTTTGTCGTAGGAATGTCTTATTTATTGCGCGCCGCAGCTGGTGCGTCTTTGTTCACTTATGCTGGAAGCGAATTTTAAGAAATAGTACGTCATTACACACACATCAAATAGTTGACACGCAATACTGCTAACAGGCGACGGCATTTGGAGAGATGATCCTGGTGGCACCCACATTCCATCGGGCGTGTAGGACCCGGGTCCGGCATTACTGTCGACGGGGGATGCGTACCGGTTGTTCGCATCGTAGCCGCCCCACTGCTGCTGCGCCATCATGCCTGTGTCCCAACTACCGCCACCGCCCTCCCAACTCTGTTTTGTATTTGCAAACTACTTTACTTCAAAATCAAGGAAAAAATGGTCGACTCCTGTGAAGTCACAAGCACGCAGGCTGTCCTTCTCCGGCTGCTGTGTTCTTTGATCAAGGGTTGACAAAAACCATGGAAAATTCTATACCGTGTTGCTGGAATGCGAAACATTGCTCCCCCGCATGTTTTGCTGCGGATCGTGGTTCCAGTTTTGATAACTACTATACTGATTCTGTGCGTGATAGTATTGGTTCTGCTGTTGCTGCTGGTGGTGCTGCTGCTGTTGCTGGTGTTGTGGCTCCGCATCGCTCGGGGACCAGTTGTGTTCTCCCGACCAGCTGCCTTGTGATTGCTGTATGTGTGATAGGACAAGTGACATCAGACTAAGTAGTCTTCGACGACGAGAATGTTTTTCTTATGTGAAAAGCACTTTTAGTTCTTTTTCACCAAAGTTGAATACGATCAACCTTCATACTTACCTGCTGCCCTCGGTCTTCCCAGTTTTTGCCCTTGTTGTTCTTTCCCCTGTTCTTGTCCTTGCCCTTACCTTTGCCATCCTTCCCGTCCTTTGATCGCCCTGTTAGTTTGTGAAGTACTACTTCTTCAGTTCTCTACTTTCCACTACTGTCAATGTCATTTCTCATAAAAAGCGCTGTTGATGAGAAAACAGATGCACGATGGTGTAACGCTTTATTCCCCGTCCTCGTTGCCAAGATTTCTCTAGGAAAAATAAATGCTGACCAACACGACAAAAGTGCTCACTATACCTCCTTTGTTGGCGGAGCCGCCTGGTGTGTTGGGTTGGCTGTAATAGCCGCTATTTCCACCGCCGGTTCCGCTACCACCCCCTCCACCGCCACCGCCGGTTCCCCCACCGCCTGCTCCTCCCTGTCCTCCGCGCGAAGGTTGCTCTGCATTCGCTCCTCCTGCGAACATACCATAATCCGTGTTTCGGTTCTGCATTGGCGGAACAACGGGGGCAGCTACAACTACTCCGTTAGTACTGGCCGTCTGCTCAACTACACCGTTGCTCCCTGGCGCGGGAAGGGTCGGCGCTCCTGGTACTAGTTGCTGTTGCCCAACGAGGTGGACCCCGTTCGGAACGGCTTGTTGCGGAGGTGGTCCCGCCCCGCTAGAAGAGCCAATAGGTGCTGGCACTACTGCGTTTTGTTGCTGTCCCAGGAGTTGTGGTGGCAAAACCCCCGCCGCGGTGACTGCTGCTGCACCCGGCGGGCCGGCGCTGGGCGGGCCGCCCGGCTGTTGTAGCGGACTGGGGGCCCCGTTGAGAAAGTTAACGAGTGGCGCCGGTGCAAGTTGAGGTGGAAGTTGGGGCTGCTGTTGTTGCGCGATGAAACCCAGCAGCGGAGGCTGCTGCTGTTGTTGCCCGGGCTGGTTGAAAAGGTTTGCTGGATTGATGCTGCTGAGGTTAGTACTATTTGGGGCTGCGACTTGCTGCTGGGTACCGGCAGGCAGTCCAACTGGTGCGGGAAGCTGCTGTCCGATTAATCCAGGTGTAGTTCCGGTCGGCGGGCCAAGGGGCGGTTGCTGGCCCGGAGGCGGGTTCAGGAGGTGCAGGAGTGATGGCTGTTGCTGGCCGGCAGTGGGCGCGCCCAGCTGCAGGAGAGGTTGTTGTGGTTGAGTCGGCTGCTGAGCTACCGCCGGAGGCGGCCCCGGGTGTGGTTCGGCGAGTTTGGCGGGAGTAGGGACTGATTCCGCAGCGGAACCGGCAGACGCGTTTGATGCTCCTGTTCCTCCCGGGCCTGAATGCTCAACACCAGGAAAGTTCCCGCTAAGCCCGCGCACATGTCCTTCGGTCTCTGCGGAGCAGCTACCAAGGGAGGGCGGGGTCGTACCTTCGTCAGTTTCGGCCGCAGATAACAGTTGCACCTCTTTGCTACTATTTTGCGAAAAATGATCATTGGGGGCGGCGGCCGCCATCGGGAGCGTGGGCGGATCAGCCCGCGCGGCCGAAATTTCTTCTTTCCCACTCTCCGCTGCGAGAACGCCGCACTGCATTTCAATGGGAATCATCGCCGCGACTTAACTTTTAGTACCCCGCAGGCTTTGCAGTGTTTGCTTTGCGAAGATTACGGTGCGGGAAGAATAGCTCTGTCGCGCAAGAAAATCCTTATGCGACTGGGGAACGACCGCAGGCAGGTTTTGTCAGGATCGGGCCAGCAGCAATGATGAGCCCAAGAAGATGGCGGGGGGCGCCTACGGCAGCGCGGGTATGGGCCGAGGGAGCTTGCAGTCGCAGTACCCCCCCTCGTACTACTTCCGGAAAAACCAGTCCACAACTGAGCACCGCACGACAGAACTAATTATTGCGGGAGGTCTACTTACGAGCGGATAGCGAGGCGAGAAGCTGGAAGGGTGCGGATATTGCGGCGCCGAAACGGGTCTGTCTTAATCAGACCTCTCCTGCACACGTTCATAAGAGCCGCTGCGGCCGAGTTTTATTGTTTTGGTGTGAAGATGAAAGTCTAATAGATACGAACGGCCCGCCAGTCAGCGTCTTTACAAAATGACCTTTTTTCGGGTACAGGCCTTTCTATCGGGGTGTGCTGAATACTGACATCGAGTCGGTGTAGTGCCGCAGTATACCCGTTCTGGTGGTCTTACGGAGAGTAGAATGCTCTACAACTGTCGTACCCGATGCTACTATTACTGCTTGCCGGAGCCAAAAGATTAACCAGACACAACAACCTAAACCTCCAACCTAGTTTACCGTGAACCAATTCAGCTAGCTGGAATTGAAAGTTGTGAACCAAGTCACTCAATAGAAGCTCGTGGAGCTGCCACGCGTAAACGCCAGCGCCGCCTCTTCGAGAAGATCACTGGGCGCGCAAAGAAATCCTTTGCGGTCAGATATGTGCGCGCGTTCTTTTTTGATCCAGCAATCGTTGCTTCGCTGCACGGAAATCGACAAAAGCCAAGCAGTAAAATCGCAACGCCCGAGAACTAGCTCGTCGATCCGTACATTTATTTTAGATCGATTCGCACCACGCATCGAAATCACAAAACCATGAAGAGAAAATACGACGATGATCTCATCGCGGCGGCCCCGGGGACATGCTTTTTCACAATGATTCTACATGTGCAATGCAGCAATTAACTCACCAAACAACGCCTACGAAATGTTGAAAACAAATTTGGATCAAACCGCGCTCTCGCCTCAACGGCAATACAGGGAGTGTAGAAGGCTCGTGACATTTCAGACGCTCACTCGCTGCATCGCTTCGCGGTTGTGGTGAATCAGGGGCAGGATATCCGCCATGCTCCAACTCGTCATGTTCGAAATCACAGAAAAGAACACCAGTCGCACAAGAGACAGAGGGCGGACCCGAAAAGCGAGCGCGTCCTCCGAGAGCGGTACCTAAGCCCGTAGCTCCGCGTCGCGGGATGACCGCGGCGGCACACGATGATTGCAGGCGGCGGGCGCGGATCCGTGCGCCCCCGCGGGCGTGCGCGCTTCAATTGCACGGGCCGAAACAAAGAGCGCGCGACGTAGTTTCGGTGGCCCGGCGGATCCGGCGCCGCCCCGGGAAGGGAGAACCGCGGCGCCACACCGCCGCCCGGAATCGGGTTCGCATACGCGCGCTAAAAGCAGTGAAAAAGGCGCCCGATTCGGGATCACGGGGGAGGCGGGTCCCCGGACCAGGCCACGGAGGCGGCACGGGCGGGCCAGGCAGCGAACGCGCGCAGACTGACGGCTTCCGCCGGTGCAAAGGCGATTGCTGGACGCTAGGAGGGGCTCCGCGTGCGGTCGATCATCGTTGGAACCCACAATCTGGACACCTTGTTCTCCCTACCCTAGTTTTACGATTTTTTTAGATTTTCTGAAAATGAGAGAGCACTAAATATGTCCGATTTTGCCACGTTTAATAAGCAGCATCATGAGGAATGTACGCTATATGCTACCTAAATTCGATGTAGTGCGATACTTTCAAGGAAAGTTCGCAACATCAAAATTTTTTAATTTTTTAAAAATTTTGGAATTAGATCAAATTGAGGAAAAAGTGACCTAATAGCGGTAATCCAGATTACAAAATATACCAAATACCTCACTGAATACAATGAACACACTCGAGCTTTTTTGTGAAACAGAAATCCGATCAGATTTTCACAAATTGCAAAATTTTTCATTTTTTCATTTTTTTTTTCTTAACAAAACTGCAGAGATGAACCCTATTTCTATGTCGAAGAGGAAGAACATACATAATTGCATCAGCTACACTCTTGCTTGTTTTTTTTTGTGCAATTTTTATGGATTTAGTAAAATGATATTTTTTGTGAAATTTTTCAATTTTTGAAAATTGCCAAAATTTGATGATTTTTTACCTTATAAAGACTGTAGCAAAATATAAATCATAGCCGTGGTCTCACTTGGGTATATTCTAGACCCAGCAGGGGACGTGGCTCAATATTTTTCACAGCTTCAAATTTTTTTTTAAAGTTTTGGGTGAGCAAAATTCACAAAGTTTATCTATATAAATGGATGAAATATACTCAAATCAGTGGCTGCGTGCTTATCTGTCTCTTTTTTTCATTGTAAAGTGGACCTACAGAAGCTTGGGCAATATTATAATTCTTTCTGTTTTTTTTTCGGTTTTTGGAAAGTCTAGGAAAAAGCTGGCAGATTGCATTTTTGCAGCTTTTAATCTCCAGAAAATGCAGAAAACTACAAGGCTATTAATGATTGGGATCGTTTTGTCTGCAAGTTAACAGCTTCACTGGAAAGTGTGGAACTTTTCCAATTTTAGTTAATGGGGAAAACAACAGAAAACCATACACGATCGACGTGATTTACTTCCTACCATAGAAGAGGAGCCTGCATGGCACTCAATAGAGTTACGGCATCACCTACCGCAGCACCCTGCCCCTGCAAAGTGCAGGCCTTTGCGACGGAAACGCCCTCCGTCGGCCCCTTCCCCCCTTCCTATCCCCCCCCCCCGGGCGGGCGGAGGGGCGCCGACAAGCCGATTTCCGTGGCGCTTCAGATGCTGCAACGGGCGCCGGACTGTGCTGCGCCGTCTGGGCATGGCCTCCGCGCTTTACACTTCCAGTCGGCCCTCCCGCGGTGTGCGCCCCGGGGCGAGGTTTGGAAAGCTTGCCCGGGCCCGCTCGCGCCTTGCCGAGCCGGCCCTGGTTCCAAGGCCCTCTTTCTCTTTCGGAGCCGGCCCGACCTAGAGGGCGCCAAGCCCCACGCCCCCCGTCCTCCACCAGAGACCCCCCCCCCCTCTGCAAAGACGAGGAAGGGCTGATCGTGTGTTTCCGGGGCCCGCAGCGCACGCGCCTTGATGCGCATTGCGCTCGGTTGCGCGCTTGCGCGGCAAAAAGTCCGCGGTTGGGGCGCAAATTCCTGCGTTGTCCTGCCGTCCCGCAACAAGTGTTCGACAAACGCGCGGGCGAGTACGAACTTGGCCTGGGTTTGAGGGAGAGAGTCGCACCTTCAGAGTCAATTACTTCAACTTTTGTCGATGCTGCGCACGCTTTTTGTTTCACTAGGCGACGCGAGGCAGCATCGCGCCCCCGGTGAAATCTTTAGTCGCCAAGTAGAGGAGTAGAGGAACGAGGCCAGCAAGGGAATAATGCCCAACAGTGTAAGCAGTGCGCACGGCGGCCGGGCGACCTCGTCAACCGCAGCCGTCGGCGAAGCGAGCGTAGAATTTTTGTGCAAGAAGTTTACGAATCTCTTTTCGCACCTGCAGCAGGCGGAAGCCGAAAAAGCGGACCTTCAGCAGGAACGAGACCAGCTTCGCATTGACCTCGACACGCTACAGTCGCACAAAGAAACAAGTGACAACCTCACCGCGGCGAGTCTGGCCAATCTCCGGGGAGATCTGGAATCCAGTAAGCGGGAGCGGCACGCTTTGCAGGCACAGAACCTAGCGCGCGAACGTGAGCAGTACAGTACTTTTCTATCTAGTTGCATTTGTTTTTGACAATGGTGGGTTTGTTCGATTTAGTGTTGTTAACTTTTTACGTTCTCGCGGCTGCGCTGCGAGCGTTAGAATTTGCGTCGCACAACAAAAAAAAGAAAAATAGGATTTTTTTTTCACGACGCATCTTCATGCGCAAAGAAAAGCTACTTACATCAAATCCCGTTCCTACAACCGAGGCGCCAATGATCCTCCAGACCTAGAAAATTCGGCGCGACAATGTGGTCTCTCTTACACAATCCGAATGCATTTGCGTGCACCGCCGAGAAAAAATTTTGTGGTTCCACTCACCCTTCCGTATTGAAATGGTTTTGTCAAGATCTGCTCCCGCTGCTGGTGCATTGGGTCACGCGCACTTCGAAATGACGTTCATGTATAATTTCGGCGCTCCGATTCAAATTTCTGACAGGCAAAAACACAAAGCGGGACGGCCGATTTTCTACTTTCGGCAGTAATCAATAACGCATGGATCTCCTTTTCTCTGTGACATATTTTTTCTTGTCTCTAGGAATACGCAATATGAAGAAAATGTCGTCATTCGTAATTTAAACATCAAATGGACCGCACCTGCTTCCGTCGCTTCCAAGGAGAGGGACTAGGTCGTAGGATTGGCTAATCGCAACAACGTAGTTGACTCCTGGCTATGTCGGGCTTTCCACCCCCCGGCGCCGGCGGGTGGCCGGGCATGCGGCCGCCGATGATGGGACCTCCGGGCATGATGAATATGAATCCCATGATGATGAACATGAATATGATGAACGGCATGCCGCCGCAGGGAAACGCGATGCTGAACCCGCAGCAACAGATGCAGCAAATGCAGATGATGATGCAACTACAAATGCAGCAGATGCAGCGCAACGCCGTTCCGGGCGGGGCCGCGTTTGGCGGGAAGATGCCTGGTCGCGTTGGCGACATGGCGCACGCGCTCGCGTCGTCCACTGCCAAAAGCAAGGCGCCCGCAATGCACACGATGCGAAACTTCGGCGCCTCCGGCCAGGCGGTTTACGAGAACAAGCCGCCCCACGTACTGCGGGACCAGCACCAGAGCAGCAACCCGGAAATAAACGGCAACCCCGCAGATCATCCGGAAGTAGAACTAAACAACGGGACGACCACCGTTCCCCCCGGCGCTACCCCCGTTCCCCCCGGCTTGTCCGGAGTGCCCCCTAATTTTCATCAAGCTGGCGTCGATGCGTCTAATCTTGGCTCCGCGATCGTCCCGAAATCAGGCTCGATATCCTCCTCGGCGGGCGACGCGACCAGCAAAACCGCCGCATACAGCTCTCCGCCGACTACGGCCGCGGCTGTTCCCACGACCGCCTCCACGGTGCCGCCCCTATCCGGCACGAAGGGACCCGGGCCGGAGGGGGATAACATAATTTCCTCGTCTCCCAAAGATAAGAAAGTGACGCCGGACCCGATCGTCATCGTCAGCCGGATTCCGCAGGACCTGCCCGACGAGTCCCTCCGGGCCATCTTCGGCTGCTGCGGCCGGATCGTGAAATGGGACCGGCAGACCGACCCGGTCACGAACGTGCCCGCAAAGTTCGCGTTTTGCCACTTCGGCAACATACGGGAGGTGAACGCGGTGATGACCTTTCTCAACGGGGACGTCGAAAAAGAAGGGCTGCCCGCCATGAAAATTTTGAACCAGTCTTTGATGCTCAAAGTCTCCGCCGAGATGCAGGCGGATTTGGAAGAGTTCCGAGCGGAGGAGCGCACAAAATTCCGGGAAGCCAACCCCAACCTCTGCCAAAAGACCCGGGTCAAGGTACAGAAGGTTTTTTTGAAAAATATCCGCTTTGGTTGTTCGGGGCTAGAGGTACAACTCAGCTTCATTCATAGAGTTTTGTTCGAAAACTCCCGTACTACGGCGTAAAGTATCCAGATATCAGGGAAACGAATGTTCACCGCTGATAATTGCCGTCCCTATCGTGTTTTACTACTAACTAGCCTCAACTTTACCCAAAAACATCAAACTCAGGAGGGAAGCGATGGGTCAGATATCGAGATGATTCCAATGGCTGACGACGAGGTGGACTCTTTGCTGGCGAGCGAAATGGACACGGTTCGCACGGCATTACTAGAGAATATTGCGGCCGCAGACCGTATCAAATGCAAAAATGTCTAGGTCTGGAAACTTGTAATGCTAAAAGTTAATGATAGACGCACTGCAATACGCAGCTACGCATGACAAATTCTTTGGCAGCCATGTCTTACGTATTCCGCATGGCAAACTGCGTTTTTGCATGACAGGCAAGAGGGCCTTTTTGTGCCTATGCAACACAGATTCTCGAGTCATGCCAGACTAGCATGACAAATCTCGCAATCTCCCAGACCCAGACATATTTGCAGTTGATAGACCGGGAGTACGAGCAATTTTTGCAGACGGTCACTCCCGAGCAGCGGAAGGAGCGGGAGCGCAAGATTCAGGAGCAGGAGCGCGCCCTCGAGGAGCGTAAGCGCAAGTTGGAGGACGAGAAGAGGAGAGCGGACGACCTGGCCCGCATCAGAAAGGAACTGGCCGAGTCAAAGGGGAAGCGGGACGAAGCGGCTAAGAAAGACAAGGAGAAAGAGCCGGAGGAACGAGACCCCGTGAAAAAACCCGAAAACCGAAGGCCACACCGGAAGGTACTACACTACCGATACTTCTTCGCAAGAAAAGACCTTGCATGCGTATACAGGACATCAACATGATCGTGGTTTTATTTTTTTGTCGTGAGCTGCTTGTGCTTTTCCAATCCCAGCAGACTACATGCCGGGTGTTCTCTAGAATAAGAAATGGGGTCTAGTACTCCTGCTCACCCTTCTGATCGACAACTGTTTCCAGGAGCGAGACCGCGAGGAACGCATCGCGGAAGAGGAGCGACGGCAACGTCGGGAAGACGACACCGCTGTTCGAAATTTCGAGAGACGCGAGCAAGAAAAGCTCCAGGAATTCCGCGACGAGCTGAAGCGGCTCCAGGTCACGGAGTCGTCCTCGGGAACGGTCACCAGAATAGCTGACGGTATAAATCACTGCTTGATTCTTTACAAGTACTGCGGACACACGTCTTTGTACAATTGTTATTGAGTGCCTAGATTCAGCAAGATGAACTTGAACAAAGCAACAAGCCCCGGAAATGAGAAAAAACCACACCCAAAATCAACTACAGCGGACATGCGGATGTCGGATCGTCGAGCGGAGCTGCTCGCAAAGGACCAGGTTCGTACGGACCTGTACCTGGCTCGCGCCCCCCGGCCCCGGCGGTCGCGGCGACGGGCCTTCCCCGGGCTGGAAGCCCGAATGAAGCAGCACATGAAACGCGAACTCGACGAGGACGAGGAGGACCTGGAAAAGGAACGACAGGAGAACGCCGAGCGGGAGAAGGAAGCGATTCGGAAGGAACAGCTGGAGTTGGAACAGCGACTGAAAGCAGACGAGGAGCGCAAAACGCGAGAAGCCGTCGAACGGTTGACGGGCACAAGCGACCTGCGGCGCCGGCGGCGGTCGCCGAGTGGCGATCGGAGGGGACGGCGACGGCACAGCCGGGAGCGCAGCAATAGACGGGGCGATCGGGATGAACCGTCGAGGGCGCGCCCGCAGAAAGATCTGCAGGCTTTGATCCAAACCATTCCCGAGGGCGACGCAGTCTTTGACTACCCGATCAATTGGGGAATCATCGACAAAAACGAATTACTGGAGTTAAAGGTATAGGTCTATTTACGCATAAATTGCTTTCGACGCTTGCGGCCAAAGTGCTTCGCTCTGGCTAGCCAGAGTGCTTCGCAGCTAGGTTGCCTCGCATGCTGGTAGCACGGCTTTAGTACTGCTTTAGCGCACTGCTTTAGCGCACTGCTTTAGCGCACTGCTTTAGCGCGCTGCTTTAGCGCACTACTTTAGCACGCTGCTTTAGCGCACTACTTTAGCGCACTACTTTGGCGCACTTTCGCGCACTGCTTTAGCGCACTGCTTTAGCGCACTACTTTAGCGCACTACTTTAGCGCACTACTTTAGCGCACTGCTTTAGCGACGAGGACTTGATTGGCTCGGCCGACCTGTTGTAGTCTTCATTTTTTTTTGGAAAGGAAGTAGATGAAATGAGTCCCACTCCTATACTAAAGTCGAAATGCAGTTGGTGTAATCTGTTCATTTTATTCTCACAGGTCAAGCCGTGGATCACGAAGAAGGTGAAAGAGCTGTACGACAAAGAGGAGGCGTCTGTGATTGACTACATTTACTCGGTGGTCCAGAAGGTGAAGACGCAAAAAATGACGACCGACGACATGCTGGCGGAGCTGGACAAATTTCTCGACGACGAGACGCAAAAGTTTTGCATCAAGCTCTGGCGCTGCATAATTCTCTACACGCTGCACTACATTGACGACTCCCAAGGGGATTAGAGTTGAACCCAATATCAAAGAACTCCGATTATATTAGCGACACAGAATCTACTTGTTCCCAATGACTGATCCAACGCGTGGTGGTGGGCATCTTCTCGGTGGGAGATCCATCACCGGATGCTGTTCATCTTCCCGGGAGCGCTGTCAAAGATTGACTCCTTCCTCCCTGAGACGACTAGAAAAGATGATTTTAAAACGACACAACCCAGCACGTTGCCTTACAACAAAAGGGGGTCTCTCTGATTACATGGAGTTTTTTTTTTCGAGCCCGAGTCCAGTAGAGTTGTACTGTTCTTTTTTTTCTTACAGCTTTCGTGGCACCGAAAGAGACTACTTAATCAAAAGAGCGAGGAGTTCGGGCAAAAGAGAGAGGGCGTGTCCGAATTTTCAATTTGGTCGGAGAGGGAGATGATAGAACTCTGCCTGGTTACGCGAGCCCAGCAGGCTTAGGCCGATGTGGCCTGCTGAAGTTTGAAGTGATGCCTCAAGCATTTTTATCGTTTTTCTTCCTCCTGTCGTGTCCGCGTTCGTGGTCCACTGCATTGAAAAATCCCGTCTTGCTCAAGATCAAATTTGAATACGTTGAATGAAACTGTTTTTATCCGTGTTTGTTGCACTACTCGCTCAGGTGCACACTGGAATTGGAGCTTCGCGCTGCGCGGGAACGAATACAGGAATTGCAACGGCGGACCGAAGAGAGGAGGCCCGACACAAGGGGCGGTGGTCGTGCACTAGAAGGGCCAGAAGATCATGCCGGCGCCTATGCCTGCCCGGAAGAAGTGGCAGAAAATGATCGGGAGCATGTGCAAGGCAGCCAGGGAGCAGGCTCTGCTTCGTCCGCACTGCATCTCCTCCCGAAGGCCGCACCGGGCGAGGCAGTGTTCCATCCACCCGTCGACCCTGGTCTGCAGGGAAGTTGTGGTGCAGCAGCAGCAGCTCCATCCGAGGAGCAGAACGCCGTGGATGCGCTGTTTCAAAAACTGGACCGCAACGACGACCTGGTGCAGACGTTGTACCAAGAAATGCAAACGTTGCGGCTGCAGAACGCCAGCTACAAAAAACAATCGGAGCGCAAGGACGTGGAGCTCCAGCTGCAGGACGAGCGGTGGCGGGAGGAGTTCCAGTGTTTTAAGCTGCAGAAGGAAGAACTGCAGAAGACTTGCCGTGCGCTGAGTACCAAGAACTCGCGCGTCAACGCACTGCTCGCGGAAACGAAGGAGTTGCAACAGCAACAGCTCGCGTACAAAGAGCGGCTGGACGCGGTGCGCGCGCGGAATACAAAAATCGAGGCAGACGCGAAGCACGCGGAGGGGACAATCAGTGCGTTGCGCGAGCAAGAAGGGAGAATAAAGGAAAAATTGCGGGAAGAGATACGCAAGTGCGACGTACTTGCATCCGAGAAGAAAGAACTCGAGGCCGGTCGGGTGAAACTCCTGCAAGATCTGAGTAAGTACCTATCTATCGTAGGGTTGACTCTCTTGAGTGCGAGAAGTTGCGTTTTTGCGTCGCCGCAGCACGATCAGGTTGAAGATCTCAGCACAGTCATGTCATTAAGTAATGATTTTCGCGTTCTAGTACTTCAACGACCCAGAGGACGGTGCATCAGTGGGTGCGTTGTATCATGCCCTTCAACTACAAAAGACAACTCCGTCTGCCGACAGGTGCAAAGGCAAACGAGGTCGAGTCAAGCGGCGAGGAGTTGGAGGGGTTGTCGCGTCGCGCCGACGAGCTCGCGGAAAAAAACGAAGAACTGCTGGCGCGGAACGATGACTTGGAAAAAGCGGAGTCCGGGTACCTAGAAACCATCGACGCCCTTCGGCGGGAAAACGAGAGTCTGCAGGTATTTTTAGAATCAGTTCGCCACCAATGTCCTGCGCGGCTTTTGTACGACTTCATCAGGTCTTACAGAACTTCACGAAAGAAGCATGCTTGTCGTCCCGTCACATCACACAAAGAACCATGATTCCCACTACCCAGTTGATGGCGGACAATTTGCGAGGCGAGTTGCGCCTGGCGTTTCAGGAAAAGGAGGCGGTGAAGGCGGAGTACCAGGAGAACGTACAGAAAATGGACCTCTGGCGCAACCGCTGCTTGGTTCTGGAACCCGAACTCGCGGACACCACGCGACACAACATTCGCCTGGAAGAAAAACTAAAATACCTCGAGCAAGAGCTGTTGCACGTACTGAAGAAGACAGTTCAATTACAATTTCATCTCTGAGTTCTACTTATTTGTGCTAAACAAGTTGTTGTCAAACGGTCAGCATGGGAGCACTCCTAATGTCAGTGTGCTGGATCGTGGTCAACTTCTTGCATTTCATGTTTATTCTGCGACCTCCGCGTAGCCCACCACGAAAATGATCTTTCTGCACAGGAATCCGAGCAGCGCGCAAAGTTTCAACGCGAGGCACTTTTGAATGTGGATAAGGCCCGTGGATTGTCCAGAAAGTGTGAGCATCTGAGCGACAAAATCTCACTCGCGGAGCACCGGAATACCTCCCACTTTCAGAAAGTTTTGGAGCAGCAGCAGCAGCTCACGCCCGCAGGAGCTGTTGGAGGAGCCACGGGGCCCTCGCCGGTTGCGGGGTCAGGGAACAAGGGAGGAAGCAAAAACCCCAAGACAGCGGCGTCGATAGACTTTCTGCGACGGCATGTACAGAAGGAGGAAGAGCGCATTCTGCGGAGCGCAGATAGTGGCTCAAAAACGTGTTGAATCGCCACGAAGCTCCTGTACGAACAAGTCATAAAAACAAGAAGTCGTAGTGACATTCATCGCGGCTTCATCGACTTTTCTTGCGCATCTTCTTGGTTTTACCCTGTCTGATATAAGCTACGTCGCCGCAGAGCTGGAATGCTCCGGCGGACTTGCGACCTGTTTGGTGCGGTAGTGCCACTTGGCACGTAAGCGCTGAGCCCCGATGGTTGTTCAGCTTTCTCCGAACTTCCAGCAGGCCGAACGAAGATCCACTGTTCTAAAAAGTGATGTGTCCGCCTAATATAAAGCAATTTACTGGTATTTCTTTCGGTCGACGCAACGACACTGTGAAAAAAATGGGCGGTCGTGTTGCTGCACGTTAGAAGCGCTGCTGAAAGTTTGTTCGGTGCGCTGGTCACGCGGCGTGCGACAAGAATCGAAAGAGGCCGCGAGTGACTCTGCCCTTCTGCACCGCCAACACAACTACCTACCGGGGCTGCAATGTCGGACGCTGCGGGCTCGAGCAGCCAGCCGAGCGCCACGACTGGCAGCGGAGATGGTGCTGCGTCGAGTAGCTCCTCGAGCCAAGTTCCACGCGAGACCCTGATTGCGCTGATCAAGAAAAAAGACAAGGAACTGAAGACGGTGGAGGCCAAGCTAGACAAAATCGAGGACCGGTACGTAAAACTACTGCGCTTCAACATAGGGAAGTGTCAGAATCGAAATTGACAAAGTCGAAAAACTTGTGATGCATAAAATCGATACCAGTTAGATCCTCAGTTTGTTAGTGGCGCATGACAAATTTCGGCAGCACCCAAATCCAGCCTGTCATGCTGTTTGGGCAAAGAAGACTGCTCCTGTCATGCTACTCTTGCAGCACATTGCATACCCCTAAACAGGCTCACAATCGGTCTCATTTGCCTGCTCCCCAATACAGGCCTCAAGTGCCCTGCATTTTATGCGTCACAAATTTTCCGACTTTGTCGATTTCGATCCTGACACATCCATACAACAAGATATTGCATGAAGATCGCGCAAGCTTTTTGCGGTTTTGCAAACTGCTGCTGCCGGATCCCGAAACTGCGTTCGAAGAGGCGGCAGCGCAGGAGACGCCGGTACTAAGAGGCCCAAGATCATCATGGATCTACTCTGTGGTTTTGCTCTCTGGGTCGTTGCATAAATGCTTTATTTTGCGACTGGTGCACAGGACAAATTTCGTGTTCGTTCTGCTTCTGTCCGAAGATCATTTTGTTCTTGAAGTTGTGCTTGTTCCCTACAACTATTGTTGTTCTATCCCAGATAAATTTCGAGCTGCTTACGCCGGGGATTGAGTCCTTGGAGGGGAAGGACCGCGAGCTGAACGTGTTACGCGACTTTGTGCGATTGGTCTTTCCCAATGAGGCCGAGCAGATGCTTTCGGACCAGACGGCCACTCTGGAGGCGCAGCTCCGCGCGAAGTGGATCATGTTGGAGGAACTCCAGAACCGGTCGTTGCAGGAGGCCAACATTGTAGCACAGCAGAACATGCAGAACACGAACCAAAACGTGAAAGCGATGGAGAGCCAGAACCGGTCCCTGAAGGCGGAAAACAAGGATTTGCAGTTGCAAATCCAAAACCTTCGGGCGCAGAACAACAACCGAGCGCAGCAGCTGACGAGCAAAATGCAATCCGGCGGCGCGGGATCGTCCTCCAGTGGTGGTGCGACGGATCAGGGAGCAGCGCCCGGTGTAGTTGCTTCTGGAGTCGACCAGGGGCGCGTGCGCGACCTCGAGCAGAGGATTCAACAGCTGCAGCAGGAAAACTTGGCGCTCACGTCGAAGTGCGACCAGATCGACGTACTTATAGTATGTTTACTCACCTTCCACGGGGCCAAAATCTACTTTCACGCGTAATATCTTCTTATGTGCTGGTGCCGGGAACGAAGATGTTTTTAAACTGCCAGTATTGATGCTTTTTGTGCATGCTATGAATTCTAAACCTTTCGCGATGGATACCTTAAAAACAGGGATCGTACCGCGCGGAGCTAGAGCTCGGACAGCGCATGCTACAGTCCGTGAAAAGCCAGCACGCCGAGGAAAAGCGCCAGTATACCGAGCAGCTGAGCACAAAAGAGAAACAAATGTCAAAGATGGAGCATGACATCGCGAAAATGGAAGAGGAGCTCGACACAAGCCGCATGATCACCAAGGCCGCAGAATTGCAGGTTTGTGGTCGCAATTAGTGTATTGGCACGGGTTCATCTTGTGAGAAGTGGAAATTCTTTATAGTACACAGTGAGCGTGGATCCTTGTCTTTTTACAGCAAAAGAGCAACCGGTCGTGGAGTTCAAATCATAAATAAAAACAAGCAAAAATTATCCCTACCCACCCACTTGTCAACAACAGGCCAACCGCGACCTGATTCTCCGGGAGCAGGGCGAAGAGACGCGGAAGCTGCGGTTCCAGGTGCGGGAGATGGAGCAGAAGATGCGCAAGAACAACGACGAGCAGGTGGGCATGAAGAAGAGGATACGGGAGCTGGAGATCATGTCCGATGCGAACGTGGACAAGGCCTACCTGCGCGAGGTGGTGTACAAGTACTGCGAGTACGCGCAGAAGGGCGACATGAAGGCGCAGTCCCTGATTCCCGCCGTGTGCACGGTGATCGGGTGCTCGAACGTGGAGCGGGAGTCGTTGATGAAGGCCGCCCTGCCCACCCCCTGGCTCGTGCTGAACCAGGCCATTGGTACGTGGGCCGCGGCGGGCACGGGTGACGAAGGCGCGCCAGCCTCGAGTTCCTCGTCCACCGGGCCTAGGAAACGCGCGGCGGGGCCGAAACGCATGTCCCAGCCGCCGACGCCAGCGGGAAAGCAAGGTATAGATTTCTAGAATAGCTTGTTTCTCCAGTCTTCACACACGATACATCATTGGGATCTGGGTTCGAAATGTTTTTGATGGAAAAAGTAGGGACAAGCGCGGCTCCGCGGATAAGCAATGGCAAATAGATACTACACAAAAATCCAGCTGCGGCGAAAGCGTCACGCAGTTCGGCGGGGAGCGGAAATTTTGTGCCTCCGGATCGAGGTGGAAGCGATCGGGGGAAGCTGCCACCTGCTATGGCTACCAGCAGGAACGATGGCGCGTCGACAACAGCTTCCCAGGCTTCGGACATAACGGTGGAAAGCCGAAGCACGTCGAAGGGACAGTCTGCGGTGAACAACAGTCCGAGCAAAACCCTGATCAAGACGTCGGAAAGACGGCCGGAAATTCGAAAGCCCCCTACCCCGGTCGAGAGAACCAATGGCCCGCTGCTGCAAACAACATGATTTCGCAAAACAGCCAGAAGTTCTCGAAAGCACGATTGCACGCTGAACATCAGAATCGATTCGGTCACGCTGTTGTCTCGCATTCGCGCTCCACCAACGCATTGCAATTGCAACGCTTGTTGCAACCAGAAATTACTGTAACAATCAGTAGCCGAGCAATCGGTTTCTGATCTATTGAATTTTCATCAGTGTTGGAGCCAGGAAATTTCAGTCGCAGATCGTTGTCGTGTAGTTTGTGATACTTATCGTTGTTATCGTTGCACTACAGAGAGGGATGTATTAACAGAGAGTAAGTAAGTACGTATCACGATTCGTTTGAGAGTCGAAGGAAATAATTGCACCCTCAGCTTCTGCGTGCAGCTGCACTTCCACTTTGCGAAGCTGGGAGCAATAGAATTGTCAAGAAATAAACCAATTCAATGCGAAAAAGCAACTCCCCGCCTCATCAGCGGGAACCAGTCACCACCGGACAGGGAGTTTTGCGCCGTTCGTAGCCGGCCCTGTTAGAGAATACAGCGCAGTAATAACGTCGCACTACGTTGTAAAACTTTTCACGTGCTTGGTGCATTCGTCCAGTATTTCGTATTTGCAAAAAAACGAAGTATGGAGAAACTGAAATCGGAAGACCAGCTGCTGGACTACATTCAGACACGGCAGTCGGAGTATCGTACGAAAAAATCCCCTCTCCCCATTTTGAAAACGTATCCGTCTGAAAATTTGTGATGCGCATTTGGGGCCTCAAATCCTGTCTGGCTTGCAAGAAGGCAAGACCACGGAGCGCCCCACATTTTGCAGGCGGTTTGTGATGCTGTTGGGCTTAGAGCATACACGTTCGCCATGCTAGGCGCCTACGTCAAAACCTCTCGGCTGCGGCTTGGCGTATGCCTACAGTCCTCCACTGCAAGACAAATCTGCCCTGTGTGCGGAAATCCAGCATCAGAGACTTCGTTTCGATATGGGGAGGGGGGATTTTTCCTTTTGATACGGAGGTCGACGCCACCAAGCAAACGGAGACCACGAGACATTCCGAATGGACTGGCTCGTATTTTTCTTTTGAAAATTTTTTTACACGACAGTAGTACTGAAAAATTTTATTTTTCGACGACGACGTCCAAGCGCGTCGGCCTTAAATCGTCCGCATAGGTAGTGGTATCTACTTCGCTTTTGTTTATCTGTCGAGGTACGGTGTCGGCACGCGAACGAGCGCCACTTCGACGGGGCGGAACGGCACAGTGACGACCCTGTCCAGCGGCAAGCGTCCCCACCTTGGACTCCCCTTGAGCCAGGTCGAGCGCCACGATGCAATCAGCTGCCACGCCACGGGAAAGCGAAATTGCTGCGCGCCGGACGACCTCATTCGCATCTACGTCAAGTTCCCGCTCAGTGGGGACCGTATTTTCATCATTTTGCCCAACCGTTTTGCCTGTGTTTCTTGCGGTGTTTGCGTATAGTTGAGATTTCTTTCGCAACCGTTCTTTATTCGGTTGAAATTGCGTCGCCTCCAATGAATTGTCGGACATAAAACGCCACAACAGGTCTGGCATTTTGGGTCCACCGCGAGCTCATGATTGGAGGTGCGCTTCCCGCCAATGCCCAGCGCAACCGGTTCACTGAGATTTTTGGAGAGCGGGAAGAAGAGAATGCGGAGAACAAAACAGGTAGGCTAGTAGAATGAATGTCGAATAAATCACCTCTGCTTGTTGACAATTTTTTCTTGATCACGACGACACAAAGTTGTGTGAGCAAATCAGCCAGAAAGAAAAACCATTTATTTCCAAACAGACACGGCCGCCGAACAAGACTATCTGATGCAGCTGATGCAGCAGGATAGTTTAAAGCTGCGCATACAAGAGCTGACGGGAATACCTGTCAAAGACCAGAAGTTGTGGTACAACAAAATTCCGATCACAAATCCCATCGCGTCGCTGCGGAGGGCTGGTATACTCATAGGAGTGGTTTCACTTTCACTCCAACAAAAGAATGTTGCTACTTAAGAAATTTTGTCTTGCCACACTTCGTTGCGAAGAACCCAGGGTAAGGTTTATCTTTATTTGCAGGCGACATTTTTTAATTATCGCAGCACACTTTTTTGTTCACAAACCAGGCATCGGGCACGGCTCGGAGCTGATGATCCGTTGCAAAACGCGGGTTGCCCGAAGGTCGATGAATTCCGTCGACGGTACGCGGCAGCAGCTGGTGGAAGATGTCGGTGAGAGCATCGCGAGCTCCCACGCCCACCGGGACAAAATTGGGAAGGGGCCAGAGGTTGGCTACCGCTGGTACAACCAGTCCGGCGAGCACGAAACGCGACGAAAGTCGCTTCAAGTCGAGGCGGAGAAACCCTATGTGGACCGCATCAGCAACACGTCAGACAAAAGTACTGCTTGCGCTTTTTCATTTTGGCACGTTCAAAGCGTTTGCTAGCTTCGGCATTTCTTGCCGCAGAGTGATCCATCTTATCTTTGCCAAGATGATATTAAGATATCGAAAGACCAAGAACGCAGGAGTTCTGCGTCGTGCGCGCGCGGAGAATATTACAGGCAATTCGCGCAGATATTTCATCCACAAGAGTTTTAATATAATCCCGCTTTTCTACCTACCGACCTGAACCTGCAGGTCAAGCCCGGAAGAGCGCGGAGAGCCACAAACGGGATTCCTACGGTTCCGCAGCCGCCTCGGATACGGCCAGCAGTGTAGGCGGTGGTGCCGGCGGCGGGAGTAGTGCTGGCGGACCGGCCGTGGAAACGAACCGCGTTATCACAAAAGACTACGATATCGACATGAATTTACTGCACAAGCGCGTCTCCCAACTGCCGAAGTCGGACGCGGTCTTCACGAATCGCAGCTCCGTCTCGAATGCCTCCTCCTCCATATCCTGAGTAAAAATGTCCCCACACCATAGTTAAGTTGGGATCTCTGCAACACAGATCCTGGAGGTTTGGACGCCACGCATGACAAGTTGCAGCCCGTAGTGTAGTGCAGGTTAGCAGGGACAGCCGCATCACAAATCGAGATGCGTATCCTGTTTACAGCATTACAAACTCCAAAACACGACTGGAAATGCCCATCATAGGGATGCGCATCACAAATGTTCTTGTCATCGCAAATCTGCACGACTGGAAATGCCCATCATAGGGATGCGCATCACAAATTTCGTGCGGGGGGAGACCAATGTGGTCTCCCCCCCCCCGCTGTGACTATTAAAAAACACACCAGGGAACTTTTTTTCCAGCAGAGGCTGGTCGTGGGTTGTGGGGATGAGAAATAGAAACAATATGCTAGCACGATTTGAAGTCAAGCGTAAGCTCTTTAAGATTTCCGCTTCGCTTTATTTCAGTTTTTCAGCACAGACTAGCAACTAGATACAGACTAACAGACACTAAGTTTAGAAGAAAACACTATGAAAAGCGAAGATCTGCCTGCTAGCGCGGACATACGACACGCACGCGGGGGAGGAGGGGGAAAACGCAAGCGAAGCGAGAACAAGACGCGCAGTGCAATGTGCTGGAGCAGAGGACAAGAGCAGATAGTAAGAATATCAAAACAAGATGAAAAGTGCACGCATACACGCGCACTGCTTAACTGTGTGAAAGGTGTCGGCCCTGTTTGACCTGCTGCGGCAGGCAGGTGAATTCGTAGAGCTGCTTCACATGTTAAGTAACGCACACCGGCCTCCTAGTTTTAGTGATGAATTTATATGCGTCAACAGAGCGGGGCCCAATCAAAAAAATAAAATCTGCATGACAACTCTGGGGTGGGGATGTTTTTACATAGGATACTCCAGACCGTCTGACCGCGCGTCCCGTCTGGGCCAGTCCCAGTACCTCGGGCGGAACATATCAAATGTAAAAGTGTCTGGGTCTGGAAGAATGCAACTTGTCATGCTAAATCTGAAGCATGCAAAAATCTGTGTTGCATGATTACCAAAAGTCGTCCAGTTTTGACCAAGTCGGGAGCGAGTTTGTCATGCAGGATAGGCATGAGAGAGATCGCACAGAATCTGTCATGCTAGGTCCCGCATTCCTGGGCTCATGGGTCATGGAAAAGCTGCATGACAAATCGCGCACTTTTCCAGACCCAGACATTTTTACATTTGATAGAACAGCTCCCAATACAACCGTAGGTCGTCCGCAACATCGTCGCAACGAGAGACGACGCAGGGAGGTATTGGTTCTATTTGTGTCTACTGCAGGCATTCTTGAGGAAGTAAGGTTGTACCGCGGTTCTTGCCATTGCGATTCATTTGTTGCGAAGTTCTTTCATATTTGATACTGTGCAATAAACCATATCATCTATCAGCTGACGACGCGGGCGGAGGCGACACCCAGTCGACGTTTGAGCACGTGGTCGCGCGCATGTCGGAGCAGGACAAGAATATCCTGCGACAGCAATTTCAGCACGACCTGCTCCGGATCGAGCACAGCAGCCCGACGGAGCAGCAAAGCAACAACCCGTGCTTCGGGCGGGGGTCCTTGCAGGAGCAAACCATCTACGAAGAGGAGGACGAGCCGGACTTCGGGCTGGAAGCGCTGGCCCGGATATCCGCACCGGACAACATTCCGGCGATGCCCGGCGAGCAGTTTTATAATCATAAAAGCATTCCCGAGGAAGACGAGGAGGAGCCCGCGGCGCCGCCCGCCGGGATTTTCGAGCGAATATCCAGCTACTTCTCCCGGGGCGGTAGTAATAGCAACAGTAACACCCCCTCCGCGCCGTCCAATGCCGGGCCGCAGCAACCGCCCAGACGGCGGAATTCCACGGGAAGCAACCATTCCGGCGCGCCCTCGTCCCCCACTGGGTTGCTAGTACAACAGCTTCCGGAAAACGAGGAATTCGCATCGGTAACGCCGAGCAGCCCATCCATGCTGGCGTATCAAGAGGACGACGCGCTGTCCCGTTACGTGCGAAACAGCGAGACAAACCTGCACAACCGGAACAGCGATATGAATGTGCAGATGAACCGCGTCTCGGGGAACGCGAATGGTGAGAACAAGGAGGGGAACAACAAACCAAAGCTGTCCGCGCGAAGAAGCAGCGCCGCGCAGAAGCTGGTACTGGGCAATCCAAACCTGCCGACCAGCAGCACGAGGAACTCGACCGGGTTCGGCGGGATGAGCATGAGCAGCAATGGGGCCGCGCGACGCTCCTCTCAACTGTCTGGGACCAAGCCCTTCTTGATCATGCCCAAAATGCACTTCAATCCTCAGCCCAAGCTGTTTGAAGCACCTAAGATCGTGTACGAAAGCCCGCTGTACTTCGACGACTTTTCGCTCGGGGACAAGCGCTTTCACGACGGGGGACACGGAGACGCCTTTGCGCGGGTGCGTGAAAAGGTCTTAGGCATTCCGATGCTTGATCGGGCGGTGTAAATTAGTGAGTACCCGGCTGCTCGTCTCTTCGGGTGTTGCGGTCTTGCGCCAAAAGCGCGGATTGTTCCAGTCGTGATCTTGCAAGGGCTGGACTTCTGACGCATCATCGGGAAGCAGCGGCTGGCAGCAAGAAACGTGATTCTATGGGCAATTATATCGACGTAGGAATACAGGTCAATCGTATTTTTCGCAAACTGAACTTGAACTTTGTAGCGAACTGTGAACTATTCCGTTGAATGATGATACTGTGAGCTTTCGAGTCTCTGTGAGAGTTTATGTACAACGCGTAAACGTATTAAAAGGTAAATTCATTCTGTGGCTTTGTCACGGAAGAGACAGTTGTTGAGGTACTTACTATTGGATGCCGTTGAGAATACCCGGAAAACTTTGCTTTTACAGTAGCCTTGCTGCTACTGAGCAGAAGCTTTTATTGTACGAGAATACCGATTTGCAATCATGCGGCTTCGAACGTCGAAAAAAAAACCTGTATTTTCCGAATGAGCAAGCCCTTGTGTCGTATTCCTCTTGTTCATTGGTATTGGAATCAACCTGATTCAGGGTCACAGGAGTGAAAGAGAGGAGGGGTTTTTTCTAGAACGTGAACACTCAGGATACAACATGGCGGTCATCTTGCTGAAATCATTCAGAAAAGCAACTGGAAGACGTGTAATGAATGAGAGTGAGGGAAAAAACTATCTGCTCCGCACGAGATTGATTGCAGTGCGAGTCCGCACTTTGCGTCTCCGGTTCTTTCCTACAGAGGATACGCATTCCTTTTCTATTGCTGAATTATTTTTTCCTCACTTGCTGTCTCTGTGTAAAAACTGACAGTAGGAGAGACTGAGTGGTACAGTGGTACTTCTTGGCGCAGGTGTAGTTTTGTTCCAGGGGCGGGCAAGATGTCGGAGGACGATATAACCCGCTCAGCTGTTACAATCTCAACTGTTACAATAGAATATGAAAATCTGTGATGCAAAAGGTGCATGGCCTAGCCTACTCCCACGGCATTGCGCATGACAAGTTCAGGAGTCCCAAACCGCAGTAGAATCTGGCGAAATTTGTAATGCAGAAAGTGGAACGCAGTGCGGGTCTGTCATGCTCATCATGCAACACAAAATCCAGATTCTATTGTAACATTTGAGATTGTAACGTTTGAGCGGGTCATAGACGAAAAGCCGACTGCGGACGCCAACCCGGCCGAAGACAAGCCCTTAGAAAAGGTATCAAATGAAAAAATGTCTGGGTCTGGAAGAATGCGCGATTTGTCATGCTGCTTTTCCATGACCCATGAGGTCTGGAATGCAGGACCTAGCATGACAGATTGAGACTCTGCGAGACCTTTCTAATGCCTATCCTGCATGAGAAACTACCTCCCGACTTGGTCAAAATTGGACGACTTTTGGTAATCATGCAGCACAGATTTTTGCATGCTGCAGATTTAGCATAACAAGTTGCAATCTTCCAGACCCAGACACTTTTACATTTGATAAAAGGGCGGGGAAAACGACTGCTCCAACGGGCCGGTGAAAAACCGAGGATGCACGGATATCTTCTGTCTCATCGCCTTCGCGGCGCACTGGGTACTAAGGGAGGTGGTCACGCATTGATTTTCTAGGTGAACAATTATCAACACGCATTTGCAAGAAGACGCTTCCAATATTTCCTTATCGGGCGCCGGAAAGGCGATGCGCATGTGGCATGCATTTCAAAAATTTACACCTCCAGGTGGTTTTCATCATCATCATGGGGATTGCCATCGGCGGTGACGGGGATCCGGTCCGGTTGACTGCTCCGCGCGATTGGAAGGGCGGTTTTTGCGGCTCGAACGGGAATTTCAATCCTTGGAACGCCCAAGCAGACGGGCCAGGCTGGGCGCTTGAAGGATATGAGAAGCAGTTTTTTGCGATGAACGCTCAGGCCATGATGGACTTCGTCGGGGCGGGAAACTATATTTGTAACCAGGGCACAAAAATTGCGTACGCGACCACGTACGGTATCGCTCTGCTGCGTTAAAGATGTCGACGACAAAGAGCGGCTTCCTCCTATGATTTTCTGGTGATCAACATCGGGAATGATGTGTTTATAGAAAATTTCTGCTGGCACACGACCAGGCAATCTGATAGACTTTTGCACTTAAGGTATCCCCAGTAGCGCCGCCTACACCAGCGCTATGGCGGATGCAACCGCTATGTGCGCGGGCGCGAGCGGGGACGATCCGGCAGCCAAAATGACCGCACTCGCAAGCGGAGATCCGAGCATGCTGACCAGCGGGAGCCCCAGTATGTTGCAGCAGCTGGGAACCTTTTTTACGGCTTCTTGCGCGACTTCTTGTGAGGCCGTGACCGCGTTTGCGCTCGGGGCGAAAGCGACCGCCGGGGCAGTCGGCTCGAATTCGACGAGCGGAGCCGCGCGAACGTACCAGTACCACCCGGCACCGACCACTTCCTGGTAAGAAAGTAGCATGTTCTTAGAGATAAAATTTTTGGCGAGAGATTTCGGACAAGCACTGCACCACGACATGATTCCCTTGGTCGTCCGTGGCTGCCAAGGGACCGCGAGAGGAATGACCCCGTCCTATAATCGTACTTACTTCACTGCATGCAAAGAACAAGGCGCTGCCGGTGCATAAAAATCCAAATCCAACCACTCGTGGTAATCATGAGGTATCCGATTGTTGCGCGATTGTGGGCCCAAAACGCGATGCCCTCGGTGTTGGCGGACATGCTGAGCTACCAGGCTTTGCCGCTTTCCGTCTGCAACGATGCGCCGCAGTACTGCGTGCCCTACCCCGGGCTGGAATTTTCGGCGATCGGCAACATGTGCGTGATGAAGATGGGCGCTGCGGCCGCCGCGGCACTGGGCAACGCGGCTGCGAGTGCGGCCTCCTCCATGTCGGAATCGTCGGCCATGGGCGACGTCACCGCCGATTTCGGAACCATGATCGGAGACATTTCCACCGCGGCCTGGGCCTTCGTCATAGTCGGAATCCTTGCCCTCGTCATCGGTACTACTTAAGCAGATTCTGCTCCTACTCTTGTCGGTTAGATATGAAGAAAACGCAATAAACAAGGTCACCGGACTGCTTCGTAGGTCAGTTTCATGAGCCCCGTTCAGTCTAATACGCGACCGGTACACTTGTATTTGTTTGTGGTGCTTGTTTTTACCTTGTAGAAGTCGTGTAACAAAATGAATTACAACTCATATGGCTCCTAGGTTTCGTCTTCATGATCCTGCTCCGGTTCTTCGTTGCGTACATCGTTTGGGGCGCCATCGGATCCGTGTTCGGCTTGCTGCTGGGGGCGGGCATCTACGGTTTTGCGATGCAGTCTTGCGAGGACAAAACGATGAATGTAGCGGCGGTTGTTACCAACGGAACCGAGACCACTCCCGCCACCACGACCACCGTCGAGGATTGCGTGACCAAGGACGAAGCAGACCGGGATTCGTATTTAACCTTCTTGATCCGAAAACGGAAAGTAAAATAGACAAGTACAAGAACACTGGTGCTCAACAGGGTCAGTCTTGTCTTCCAGCGAAACCGACAATCACAGAGCAGCATGCTCTTCGTTCTGCTCGAGAATTTTCACAAACCTGCAGGTACAAAGTGATGTCCTACATCTTCCTCGCGCTGGCTGCCCTGTACTTTCTATTCGTGCTGTGCATGTGCACGCGAATCAAGTTGGGGATCGCCGTCAACAAGGTCGCCGCAAAGTTCGTGTACCAGACCAAGGCCATCATTCTGCTGCCGCCCATCCAGGCGGTGGTCGCGCTGCTGTGGTTTCTGGTGTGGATGATTGTGGCCCTGTACGTCCTCTCCAGCATCGACAACACCGACACCTCCAAGTCCGGACCCTACACCCTCGTTGGCGCAGCGGGCACCAACGACTGCAAATTTTGGGACTTCGGCTGCACCGACACCCCCGGCGCTTGCAACGATGAGTGGCCCACGGGGGACTACTTCTACGACGAAGGCGTCGCGAACACCTTCAACTACGCAACCGGAGCGCGAACCCCCGTCGCGAACAGCGTTTGCTCGACCACTGTGAGCGGGGGTACCGTCACCACCACGGACAAGTGCTACCGGTGCACAACCCCGCGGTACGGCTTCGACACGATGTTCGCCTACGTTTTCTTTTCACTCCTGTGGAACAACGCTCTGATCGTGGCGCTCGGGCAGTGCACCATCGCGGGAGCCGTGGCGGTCTGGTATTTCACCCCCAACGACTCCAAAGGTTACAACGCCGCGGTCCTGCCGTCCCTCAAAAACTGCTTCCGATACCACTTCGGTATAAGAATGATGTGTCAAGATGAAAAGGACATGAACGCTCGGCCGGTTTTTTTCTACGCGTCAGTCTCACTGCTTGTTTCCCTAATGTTTCCCTTCTATTGTTAAAAATTTCAATTATGATTCGCACGTCGAGCATGATGCAGTGAAACTATCCTTCGCCTGAAAACTACAAATGCAGGCTCTTTGTGCTTCGGGGCGTTCATTCTCGCTGTGGTGCAGTTCATCAAGTATGCGCTGGAGTACGTGAAGCGGAATGCGCAGGCGCAGAAGAACTACATCATGATGAAGATTGCCGCGCTTCTGCAGTGCCTGGTGCGGTGCTTCGAGCGGTTCGTGAAGTTTCTGAACAAAAACGCCTACATCCAGATCGCGATTTTGGGGAAGAACTTCTGCCGCAGCGCCTGGGCCGCGTTCTGCCTGATCCTGCGGAACGCCGCGCGGCTGGGGATCCTGGCCATGATCGGCTCCCTGGTGCGGGCCATCGGGATGATTTTTATCACGGTCTTCACAACGATTATCGGGTACTTCGTGCTGAATGCCATGTACGAGGACGACATTTCCAGTCCGGTTATGTGCGTGCTGCTCTTCTTCATGATCGGGTACGTGGTCTCCCAGCTGTTTATGGACGTGTTTGGGCTCGCGGTCGACACCACGTTGCAGTGCTTCGTCGCCGACGAGGAGCTCAACGCCAAGGGCGGCAGCGGCGGTGCGCAGTACACCCCGGAGGAACTCAAGGGCTTCCTCATATGAGAGTGCACAACTCCCCCTCCCTTTCATTTGTATGGCACGAACAGCAACACAAACACCCGCTGATATGTGGCCTCCGCATGACAAATCTGTGCCCAGATTGTAGTACTGTTTGAGGTGCGAAAATTTGGCATGCAGATAGTGCCTAAAGGCAGGATGTGTCATTGGTGTTTTGCCAATACAAACGAGGGGGAGGGGGAGTTGTGCACTTGCATACCTGAAGGACCCCAACCAGAAGGGAAAAATGTGCTGCTGCAAGTGAAGATGACAATATGGCAAGTAGTAGAGCAAGCGTCGGTGCAGCTGTGTAACGAAAGAACAAGCAAAGACTTCTCCTTTCGCACCAGAAGCGGCGATCGACCACACACTGTCGAAGGAACGAACGCGCACCACTCATTTTTAATTGCAGAGGAGTAAAAACATCATACGCACACTTCTAAAAAGGAAAGCGTGTTTTTAGTGTTCCTGTCTGGATAGGGCGCAGTAAAATTTATGACTTTCTGGAAGTTGAGTATTTGGTTTCCATTTCGATTTCCTGAAGACCGTAGAATTTTTCCACCTGTTGCTTGAGGATAAGCATATATCCTGTGATGATCCTACCCGGATGTACCTGTGATATTGTAATCGAATTAGGGCTGAAAAAGGTGCCCAAGAACATAGGACTCATTGTAGAGGAGCTTGCGATGAACGGATTCCTGACGAACTTGTTTTTTCAACCAGAATCAATTCAAGCAAATCGCTTGCGGGCAATGTGGCCCCAGGGGCCAGGCCCAGAAACAACAAAGAGACGTCAAAATTTCTTGCTCGTTTATACTTTTTGTCTTTTCACCATTCCGCTACCGCTTTCGTTTTAACACTCGGGAGGGTCGCGAGAAGAAAGAGAGCAGAGTTGCTGGGCATGTCGAAGAACGCCGTTTCATATGGAAAGGGCTAGTGTTACGTAGTGGGGGGAAGCGAAGTTGTCGGCTGTTTTAACGAAGAGAGGGCATAATTCTATGATACTGCCTTACCTCACCGAGATAAAGACGATTGATCTACTAAAAAGTGCGTAACTGGGCGTCAAGCTCTTCAAGCGAAACTCCCATGGCCGAGAAGCTTCTCCTTGCTTGTTTGTAAACAGCAGAGAACAATAGCACAATGTTGGATCTCATGGACCGGGCGAGCTTTCTCGTTGAGGGCGCGTTTTTTGTTTACGAATTCGGGCAGCAGGTCGGGACCCTGGGGCTGAAACTGGTGACGACGCTGTGGCTGTGGTACTACGGAAATTGGAAGCTCGCGTGCTGTTTCTACCTGCTGAGCAACATCATCGGGTCGGCCACCCTGTTTTACTACTTCTTCCGCGTCTCCTGGTTCCTGTTGCGGTATTCCATGGTGGATTCGTGGCTGGCGAGCGGGGTCGTGCTGGTGCTCTTCGTGCTGCACGAATTGCGGCTGATCTCCGTGCCGAAAATTTTTTGGTTTGTGTCCCGAAAACTGTCCAGCTTCCTCCACCGCCTGCTCGACGTCACGGGCGACGGGCAGTTCGACTACGAGGACGTGGCCGTAATCGCCACGAAGCTGGTGAACTGCATCAGCCCTACGCCGCGCAAGGTGAACACGGGCAGCCCGGCGGGAGCGGAAGGCAAGGAACTACTGGTGGTGGGGGGCAGCGCAGTAGAGCGGGGGCTGCGGGCAACGAAAGGTGGAGGTTCAGCATCTTCTTTCAAGGCCCACAGTTCGACGGCCTCAGGTTCCGGGTCCACAACCGAGGGCGGAGCAACAAGCAGCAGTGCGTCGTCCTCCTGTGACGATGATGAAAACGACAACAACGCGAGTTGTGAGGGAGCTTTTGATAGGGAACGAAAAAAAGATGTACAAGCGACAAGTCCCTCGCGAAGGAAAAACACGAACCTGCTTAGTTGCGTCATGAGATGACAATATTATTCGAAGAAGCAGCTGCAAGATGAAGAACTAGTGGAACAGAATAGATACAGAGCAGAGTGCGACAGCAGGCGTTTTGTCGCGTTAATAGTTCCGTTGTGGACCACGGCGCTTTCGTCGAGGTTTGTGGGTGTTCAGACGAGATTTTATTCTATTTGTTTTTGCATTTTACATCAGCACCAGTTGCTACAGCATGATCGATGAAGATGATGTGCTACGGAAATGCGATGAAGAATGCTTACCCTGCTGGAATTTCAAAGCGTCTCGAGTTGAGAAACCGCCGACCAGTGTGTAACAGCATCCGAGGTAGAAGCGGAGCAACAAATGAGGACGACACGAGACACAAAGAGATCAGCACCGACGTGTTTCCAAGTGACTCGACTTTTCTCTTGATGATTCTTTTGACAAAATGCAAAAAAACAAAATCATAGGAACGCTTTGGATTAAGATTCAGTAACGACTAAACTGATAAAAAAATGCTACGTATCTGTGTCTGTGACGCCAAAGACGCGTCCGTATTTTTTTTGAGCGACAAATATTCACGTATTATTAACTACTTTGTTTTTTTTACCTAGTTGACTGTCTACGCCAAAGACGCGTCTGTATTTTTTTGAGCGACAAAGAAATACTCACTTTCACAACAACTGTTACATTATTTCGGGCTCCTACACGCGACTATCTCTATCTATCAAAAGTATACTCGTGTTTTAATATTCTGTGGTCTAAATTACTTACGTGTGATACTGAACTTTGAATATTTTGTGTGTTTCATCTCATTCTCTATCTCTGCCACTGCACTTGAGTACTCATTTTCCCCCTGCACGACCTTCACCTTCACCGTTGCAACCGGCACGCGGCGTGAGCGAACGATGCCGCCGAAGGACAACAAAAAGCGCGTCGGCGTTGGCGATTCCGGCGGTGGAGAGGCGAAGCGGAAGAAGGAAAATAATCTGGAAGGTTCTAATGCCTCGGCTAAGGCGCCAGTGTCGTCGAACAAAGGGACGAGCGCCGCTGCTTCGTCAAGCAGTACAGCGAAAAATGCCAAGCCGAATAGTAAGAAACCGGAGTCCTCGAGCTCGACCTCGTCCTCCTCCTCATCCAGCAAGGAAAACAGCGGGTCCTCCTCAAATTCGTCGTCATCTTCTTCCTCAGTCATCAAATCTGAGAGCGCGGGACTAGCTGTGGCGGGCAAAGATAAAAAGGTACGTGTCCTTTGATCTCATTGGTTCAGTAAGACTTACTAGAGACTGTCGTATCAAAGGAGCGCGGCGTACGTTATGGCAGCTTTACTAGTGCATGCTGCAATACCATATTTTTACTTCTATTCTCATATACTCACAGGTCGTGATGAAGGCGAAAGCCAAGAAAGAGACGCTGCTGCCCACCAGCGACGACGAAAAGGAGGCTGATGATAAGAAGAAGCAAGCTGCTGGCGACAACAAGAAGAAGATGACAAAAGCAACTACGCAAAAGATGGAAGACTGGGAAAAAGTGCGAATGATTCGAAAGAATCATTACGAGAGTGCACAACTCCCCCTCCCCCTCATTTGTTATGCAAAATCTTAAATCCAGTTCCAGGCTGTGCCTCTTGGCACTGGTTGCATGCCAAGTTCTGGTAGCCCAGATAGCACTACACTCGAGTGGAAATTTGTCATGCAGAACGGGCAATCTCGCTGATGCTTGTAATGCAGTTCATGCTATAAATCCCAAATCCAGGCTGTGCCTCTTGGCACTGTTTGAATGGCAAGTTCTGCTAGCCCTAATAGAACAGTGGAAATTTGTCATGCAAAACCGGCATTCTTGCGGATGCTCGTTTTGCCGTTCATGCTATACAACTGAGGGGGAGGGGGAGTTGTGCACTGTCATAGTCATGAAGTCGCTTTTAGGGAAAAAACACCGGACGACGCAGCCAAGCCAATTTTAGTGGCGGACTGGGTTGTTGACCCCGAAGGACGCAAGCGGGTCAAATCGGCGGTCGGGTGGACCCCTATCCCCATCTCGGACCCAAATGGCTCCACAGACGAACTGCTGGACGAATTGCCCGAGGTGCTGTTCAAGAAATTCGACCGCGACGGGATATCCGACCACCAGGCGGAATGCATGCTGCAGGAGCTGAAGAAGCTGCCGACTCCGCTGCACTTCTGCGCGGCGAACAAGGACTCCGTGGACCACCAGAAGAAGCGGGCGAAGAATTTCTGGCAGGAGTTTCGGCTGGAGAAGGGCGACATCGTGATCGTGCAGGGGAGCTCCAAGGACGGGAAGAACTTCGGGGGGAACGACGACGGGATCGCAATCTGCATGGTGCACTCCTTCGGAAATAAAGTGTACGAAGGGCGAGCGCGGGTGGGACAGGGAGGATCGGCGCAGTGTGGGAAGCAGGGCGACAGCGACTCTACGGACTTTAAGGAGAACAAGTACTACCTGCACATGGAAGTCTTCAAAACCTACACCAAAGGCAGCTGTGCTTTTCAGGACGGGACAAAGGCGGTTGTCGTGGTATCGAGTGCAAAAGTGTCCGGATCTGGAAGCATGCAGCTTGTTGTGCTAAATCTGGACCGTGGAAATATCTGTGTTGCATGACTGCCACAAGCTGCCCACTTTCGACCAAGCGGAGAGACTTTCTCATGCGGGATAACCTGTCACGCTAGGTCCTGCATTCTAGACTTCATGGGTCATGAGGAACCTGCACAACAAGGCTCGTAATCTTCCAGACCCAGACATATTTGCAGTGGATAGGCCGGAACAAATAATAATGTGTCCTGTTCGGACTTCAAGAAGAAGGTCTGGGACGAACTGACGGAGGAGCAGAAGAGCAAGGTCCTGCAGCACTACGACGCCAGAACCCGCGACGTCGCCGCCAGCGGCGCAGCCAGCCGCTTCCCGCGCAGAAGGGCGGCAGCCCCCCGAGAGGCACCGCTGTACAGTATGCAGGTGAAAAGTGTGGCCCTCTCCTGGGAAACTTTTTGGATATCCTTGCGATTCCGCTCTTTCAGTTGGGGAATTACATCAGCAGTCAGGAGCGTTTATCAGAGATGCCTTCTAAGTCAGTCTGTTATTTGTCTGTCATGCGGTGTTTCTGTTCACAAATACATGAAGGCGGGATTTCTTTTGCACAGAGCTAACTACTTTTTTTGTTCTCGGGGGTAGGGGCAGCACTTGTTTTCACCTTGATACCCGACGCAGAGGCGGTTTACGAAGTGGTAGATTTCGAACAGCCGGAGACGCCAACCTTCGCCACACTTCTGGCGCATTTGAAGAAGCGAAGCCTGCCGCGGAGCAGCCGGGCGAACGTTTCCTCCCAGTATGCGGATTGGAAGCGGTTTGGGTACGTGAAGGGAGGGCTGGCTGAGCTGGCGCGCAGCAAGCAGGAGGTGACGCCCGCGGAGGATTTTGAGGAGCAGCTGAAGTGCCCGTGGGTCCGCGAGTTGTGGCGACAGTGCTGCATGTTGGCGCAGGACGCGACCGCTAGGGGAGTGCTCGGCGAAGCAATCTACTTCAGTGCGGGCGGCTTTGGCTATGAACTAGAATAATCCTCCCTCCCCATACTCTGTCTAGTAGGCTTAATCGGGGGGCCCGATAGCTTTGATGCGTCTTGTATAGCGATTCCTCTTGCCTTTTCTCTGCCGGCTACGGCAGCGACATCTGCACTGCGGAGAGTAGCTTTCGACATAAATGCACAAAATGACTTGGATAGATACATGAATGCACGCTGCGACACAGGTCGCAGCAGCAGATTGGGGAGGTGGGGCCTTTCCTCATGATACCGGGTTGGATAATGTCACTTCTTGGCATGCCGACGAGGGCAACGATCCCCAGACTTTGAACTTCCAGTTCCTACGGAAGTGAAAAAACGCCCCGCCCCAGAACCGGAGGCGCTTGCGTATGTGTTGCCTGTGCGCGCAGATATAGTGGCGCTGGCAGTGCTAGTGCTTTTTTTTGTTTCTACAAAAAAATCAGAGATGTGGCGTGCTGTTTGCATTTATTGCGCAGATTAGCGCGCCATCAAGAAGTTGGCTGCTGCAGTGAGGGAAAGCTGAGCGCTTGCGTCGCCCCGCTGCAGGGAAAACTAGCTCGCGTGCGCAGAAATCAAGCATGGCAAGTTCTCTCCGAATTTGGGGGTGGTGCGTTTGTCTTCAGGATAGGTTTGCCTCGGCGACTACGGCTGCGATCTGGAGTACGCGAAGCATCCGACCTGCAACGCGGGCAGGGTCATCCTGTACGGAACCGAGGGGCAGATGGTGGGGGACGCTGTGGAAACCATACGGGGACCGGACGGGACACCCGCGAAGTGCATCCTGAGACCGTGCCGCGAGAAGTGGATTTGCTTCAAGCCGCACCGGAAGCACCGGACGGAGCCACACACGAAGGGGAAGCGGTATTGCTATGCTTTGTGCTGCTTTATGCAATTCCTTTCCTTTATCGTTTAGCGCCGCGTATTAAGTGCTTATCGCGACGACCTTAATATCAGAAAGAATTGCGCGAATGATTATAAACAGGTACACTATCACCCTCTTTTCCCACGCGCCTCCGAATGATGTCTCCCAGAAAAAGGAGCTGATCAAGCTAATGCGGAAGTATAATACACCGGTCCCACCGAACTGGGAAAAGTGATCCATCCGATTCCATCGCCTCTGTACACCTTTTTCACTGCTAGCAGCTCGAAACACACCATCGCCAAATAACCGACTGTGCTGCAAACGCAGTTGCCGATCCCGCAGATGACACGAAGACGCAAGACAAGAAAGGGAGTAAAAATGACACTTGAAGACTATTTGCGTTTTTCGGACAGCAAGGTGATGCTGTCTCGCGTACACCGAACTGCTTACGAGTCCCTACTTTTCTGTTCTTCGCATCACTCACCATTCTGAACCTGTCATCTTCCTCTTCCTCTGTCTGATAAGGCTATTTACAAATTCCAGTACCACAAATATATTTTTTTTCATCGCAGTATGGTCCGGTGCAGATGAGAACCTCGCGTACAGATAATTCCAATAAAGTGAACTAAAAATGTGGACATCGTGCTTTTTTCAAACTCATCCTAGCAGCCAAAGACGCTCGAAAAAATGGACAAAAAAAGAAGGCCACACCTACACTGAGTGTTGAGAAGTAGTTGTATCCTTCGATTACCTGGTGCTGGGAATCTGCCTATGAATGTTCTGGTAAGGAAATTATTTCGGTTGTGCGGCGCTTTGTGTTGCTTATTTCAAGTGTCGGTTCGTGTCGGCAAGAAGGCACGCCATTCAATTTGCCTTCCGTCATCGGTTTTGTACGGGGTGACTCATTAGATTTTTGCTGCATGCAAGCAGATCGAGGTCCCCAGAACGACAATTATTGATCGAAAGCATATTCATAGTGTGACATAGCGCTAGCACGGACGAAAACGAAGAAAACGGTGAAATTTTGCTGTGATAAGTATGTTCAGTTTTCTTGATTTTCTTGCAACATCATGATCATATTCCACGTCGGGCTCGGTGGCTGCAAGGCCGTTTTTTTGCCCATAGTGCAGCGCTCGTACGTAGATGTGCCTCTTTTTTTTTGACTTATCGCATAGCAGAACAGAACCGAGTCGACAGCAGTCGTTACGAAGCTGTAGCGCAAAAGAAGTAAAGCGACATCGTGGAACTAGTGCTAAATAAACGTCGTTACCTCGTACAACTTCCGGATGGATTTCTGTCAGAGAAAGCGTTTATTGCCAGCGAAAAATCGGTCGTTCACTGAGAAAATTATGCAGGATACTGCAGTCGTTTTTGTTTTTGAATCGGGACGATAGGAAATACACTCAGTCTCAGAGTAGCAGACATCAGCACGTAAAATAAAGTCGTTTCGTTTGCTGCACTAAGTGCAATCGTTGAGACAAGAAATTGCACGGTCCTCGTGCGCTAGATTTGTAGAGACAACTCGTCGTTCAACATCGGTCACTCTGTACGTAGATGCGGTTATTTCACTGGTACGAAGTAGCGCATAGCTGCAATCCCGGCATGCAAGTGGCATAGTAAGTACCAAAGCGCACTGGCTTTGCAGAATGCATTACAAGAAACAAAATCATGCGGCAAGATATATTTGCAGTGCGCGTCTGTAAGAGACATTGCAGTCCTATCGAGCAGCGCGTCAGTGGGAAACCGTGCACATATTTGCCAACACGAGATAAGTATTCAAACAATCGCGTTTCAATTCTCACAACCCTTCGCAGTGAACCTTATCAAGCATGTCACAATCTCGAGCCTCATACTGATCCTTGACAATGGAGGAGTGACCCAAATCTAGATACTTGGTTGTATTAGATGGTGTAAATATTAAATGTTTCACTTCTACTTCGAAACTCTGCCTCTGTCGCACCGCGATGTTGCATGAGCACTGACCAGAGGAAGATAAGAATGCCTTTATTGTCGCCAGTACCGCTGAAGGCCTCGGCCTCGGTCTGTAGAACGCAGCCTTGCAATGAAATAGAAATATCGAAGTTCCGCATTCGAAGCAACGGTTTGCAGAGAAAGTCAAGAGATTACTTATGTTTGCATCAGATCTCTGGCGCTTGCTCGTCGAGACTCGTCTGAGTCCGCGCTAGAAGCTCTAATTCCAAAGCCACTGGTTCATCTTCGGGGTCCTCTAGCTTATTATATCGACACAAAATAACTGAAACACCAAAGGAGTATACAAAAAGTCTGCTACAGTAGAAGATACCGGTCGCGTGAAGAGGTTGTACTAGTTTTAGTATGGACGGGAACCAGAAAAAGGTTCAACTTTGTAGCGTGAAGACTTACGGATGAACAGAGCATCGTATCCGTTGTGTACGACCACTTGTTTTAAAACCACAAAATCGAAACTCGCCCCAATCGATTGAAAAGCGCGACTTCAAGCAGTGTAGGAGTTTTTTGTTTTTGTGATCGACGCATCGAAAAAACCGCCGCATTTTAGCTCATTTTCCTCTCGAAGTTTGACCGCTTGTTGAGACCACGAACTCTTCTATTGCGGCACTTCTGCAGAACAGTTTCATCTGGTTACTTATTTGCAGGGTACCTGTTTGTCCTCCTGAAAAAACTGTTTGTCTGTAGGCCCAGTGGTTCTTGTGTGCTGCTGGCCGTGTCGTGATATATTATACACATCATTTATTTAAATCGAAGAAACAGAGCCGTTGTCCCTGGGAATCGTTGGCTGCTGCTACCGAATCAAAAACGAAGAAGCGCGACAACAACTCGTACTAGCACAACCTTGCGCAACAGGTGTTGCTTTTTCTCCCACGTCACTAACGCGACTGACTTGGACCGCAAGAACTCAACTATCACCATTGGCACCACTGGTTGTAACACCAGCAAGACGAGCAGCGAGACAAAGTTCCTGGAGAACGTGAACGAGGTTTTTTGGGCAGCTGGAAAGTGAATCTGCAAACTACGACGGGAATTTCTGTTTCGCAATGTCTGCGAAAACCAGCTCCACCGCCCTCAAATTGAGTAAGTCGCTAGATGAACAATATTCCACCTGCTCCCAACATCCATGCGCAACAGATTGTGTCAAGAGCTCATGTAGTTGTAGCCTTTTATTTTAAGAACTCATGTTGTGGTCTACAAATACATTTTTCTAGTACTGTTTCTTTTCTGACATGATAAATCCGAATCATTATACCACATTACTAAGCTAAAAATCTCCTCATCAGGGCTTCTGGCGCCGCGGCTGAACCTGAAGCGGCCGGCCAGTGGCAGCGGCGGCGAGGAAGGAGCAAAGAATCCCAAGTTGGAGCCAGCCAATGGGAGTTCGCGCTCGTCCACGTCCACAGGAAGCACGACCGGATCTGCTTCCTGGCCAATCGCCCCCACAGCGGGGCCAAAAAGCATCGCCGGTGGTGGTCTTCCGCAAGAACACGAGGAAGTAGTGCCTTCGCAGCGGTTGGAGGATGCTGGTGTCAGCAGTAGTTCCATATCGAAGATGAAAACAACAGCGTCGGCCGCGAGCAGTAGCAGCATCGCAGCAGCCGCAAGTCGAGACATGACGCCAACAACGAGTAGTGGTAGTTCCTTGTATGATCTTTTGCCGCCACCAGACCCGGAGAAGGACGAAAAATGCAACACGTACATGCGCGAAAAGAACTGGTACGCATCGGGTGAAATGAAGAGGATAGACCAACCGTCCAAGGTACAACTAGCTCGATCATGCATAATGCAGACCAGAAGAACCTCACCCTTTAGTTTTTTGCTGCTATGGTGCTCGTGCTTCAAGATTTCGTACGCAATTCGTATTCGACTAGTGAGTGGCCGCGAATGAGTTCAATATATCATACAGGTGATTTTTCTAGATGTTGATGGAGTTTTGAGGCCTGTCCGCAGAACGTTCGGCGTAAATTGTGTAACGGTGGACGGCATCCAGATTCCGCTTTCCGGAGGAGACTTCGAGTTCAAGAGCGGATCATTGTCAGCACTCCGATACATACGAGAAAAAACAGGCGCGGTGCTTGTGTTAAGCAGTGAATGGTACTTATGTCGTCTATTCCAAGAACATCTTCGCGTCATTCATTCTTCGCAATTACTGAAACAGCTTGCTTTAATTTTCAACAGCAAAAAATACAAATCTAAATTTCATTTTCGGTGCCGCAGTCTCAGCTTGTTTTTAAGGCAATCATTTTTTTTTCCGTTGGTCATTTGCAACACGTTCATCTTCATCCCAAAAAGGCGTCGGCATCCGTCATTGCGCGAGGATCTGGACCGCGTGCTGAAACTGCAGAGGGTTTCCCCCGACGGCATTAAGGAACAGACCACGACCGTGCTGGAACGGGCTCTTGGCACAGGTGACCCGGTGCGGAGTTTTGCGGACCGGAGAGCGCGCGAAATCGGTGAGTATTTGCGGGATCACCCCCACGTGGAGCACTGGGTAGCCCTGGACGACATCGACTTGAGCGTCGCGGACGATTCTCCGCCCCCGCCGGCCGACCAGGTACGGGCCAAGATGCGCGGCAACTTTATTCGAACGGACGACCAGCGGTGTCTCTCGTTCGCCGATGCGCAACGGGCGGTGTCGATTCTGGACCGCCTAGGGGACGAAGGCGACGAACTTAGCCCGTAGGTCGGGGAGAGAGCTGTGCACTTGCCTGCGTCTAGGTAGTGACGGCGTCATACAGCGTTCCGGGCGAACGCGGTCAACGAAAGGAAAAGCATCCGCTTATACAGTTTGGCGCACAACATCAGACACGAACTAGAACAGCAATAGCCGCTCCTAAATATATCAATCACATTTCGAATTTTCTTCATGGACGTGGAAATCACCGTTGCCACTGCATAGTCCTCTTGGTGTTCCCCTATGCGGCGAAGTAGATCCTTGCGCCTTTGCCGACTTTGGTTGCAAGAAAAGTTGTTTCGTCGAAGTAGACTGCTTCATGAAAGAGAAGGATCTCTCCTGCGATGAAAAGCTCCAGTTCACGTGCGAGCGTGTATTTTCTCTGTAGTGGATCTGGGGGCTCATTGTCTTCGGTTCGAACACAGGATCTGTCGTGAAGCTGCAGCGTAAATGCGAGGATCAAGCATGTAGTCACAAGCAAGATTGGGATCAAGCATGTAGTCACAAGCAAGATTGATAAGTAGTCACATGCACCTCTTCTTCGCAAGCTTATACTCTTGAACGTGATCTAGATCTTCTTGGTCCTGCTGCTTGTGCTGGCAACGGCGGAGAGATCCACTTCAAGAGCGTGGTTCCCCCTGCCTTGTTTCACGCGAAGACGACGAGCAGTAGGAATTTATTCTGACGATACGTGAAGTTTTCTTTCGTCCACACTGTTTCTTTGCGCTGCTACGTATAGGGCTGACTCAGGTGCGTCGCTTTTCTCGCTTGATTTCACTACATCACACGACCACCATGCGTTTCATATTTTGAGAGATAAGATTATGTTTTTGCTCGGATGCGAAAGGTTTCGATCGAATTGCAACGGATGCCTTTAGTCTCGCAGCCGACGCCGCCTATGGACCATTTCTCGCCGGATCTGGGAGGGGGAGCGGCCTCTGACTTCGAGGATTTCCCCTCTGAGGTGACCTTCACGTGTTGCTGGCCAAATCAGCAAACCAGCACGGGGCACCGGTTGTTGGCGTTTCCAAGGCTGCGGAGCGAACTCGCGACCCGAAGGAGCTATGCCGACCGGCGAGTGCTAGGTGAGTTTCATCGCAAACGAAGCGCAAACGCGATCACAGGCGCCGCTTCTTCACGGCAACACTCGGTGAGGGGACACCATCAGCGGGAAATAAATGATAGTACCAATGGGCATCAGCAGCCTGGTTCGGCAGCAGCGGAAACGCAGAGGATGCTGGAGCAGCCACCCATGGCCGGGCACAATAATTTTCGTCCCGCCGCACGAGCTGCCCTTGTGGGCGCACCGCAACGGGCGGCAGTCGAGGTGGATCGAGGTGGGTCGCCGCATGGTAGTTTTTTCCACTACCACGCCTTCATTCCTGAGTGCAGCAACGAGCAGCGGTCGCGGAAGTACTCATGGTGGAACTTTTTGTGCATTGTGCTGTACCAACAATTTCGGCAGTTCCTGAACGCCTTTTACCTGGTGCTCGCGCTGTCGCAGCTTTACCCTCCCATTGCCGTGGGGCCGGTGTATACCTACATTCTGCCGCTTGCAATCACGCTCTCCATCACCCTGCTGAAAGAATTTGTAGACGACTGGAAGAGAAGAGCGAAAGACTTCGAAATTAACCTCTCCAAGTACTCCGAGATTTGTCAAAATGGAACGGCAACCGCGGCTCAGGATGTCGTCGGTAGTGCTGCTTCATCTTCGGTTTCGGTCACGTCGAGTTGTCGTCCGCGACGTGTGCTGGGGGACAAGGATGTGCAGCCGGAAGACGAAACAAAGGATGGGTCTTTGAACTATTCCGCTGGTACACGAACACGACCTGAGCTTCGCGAGCTGCATTGTAGTAGAAGTACACAGCAGCACCACGATCTGGCGCACAATGCACCGAGTCGTGCAGACACGACAACTGGGGCGGCCGTGCTAGCTTGCTCCCCTAGTCGTGCCGGAGCATCTCTGCGGTCCTCCGCTTCCTCATCCAGCAGCTTGCGTCTGAAGGACGTGTATGCGCAGGACCTGAAGGTCGGGGACCTGATAGTGCTGAAGAGCAATCAGCGGGTTCCTGCAGATTGCATCTTCCTCCACACAAGTTCGGAGTCGAAGCAAACCTACGTGCGAACGGACCAGCTGGACGGGGAAACGGACTGGAAACTGCGCAAGCCAGTCCAGCTTGTGCAGCGTTTGGTGGATGAGCATCTGGAGGGGAGAAGCAATTTAGATGCTGGGACGATTCATTCCTGCAGCAGGAGGCAGGAGCGAATATGGAACAATTGTCCGAGGACATCAACTACTATTCCCGAGGAGGTGGATGAAGTAGAGGACCTAGCGGAGCTTCTGTATCGCCTGCGGGCGGTCCTCCGTGTCGAAAATCCGCACAAAGACATCTACAACTTTCAAGGACGATTCAGCCTGGACTCTGCCACTAAAAATCTAAATCGAGGACAAGAAAGAAATCGGGTCGACCACGGCGCAGCTGCCAGTGCCTCTGATTATGTGGCTGCTCAAAGCAGGACAAGGACCACTGCAGCGAGAGGTCCTGAAATTACTACGTTTGGTGTCGTGGCGTCGATCGAAGATCTTCAGTCTTCTACCGCGGTGCAGCAGGAAGGGCTCAGTCTGGAGAACACGTTGTGGCGTGACACCGTTGTAACCGAGGGGGATGTGATTGCTTTTGTCATTTACGTGGGTAGGGAAACCCGGGTTTCCCTCAACCTCACAAAGGGCAAGCACCGGACCGGGTACGTGGATGACGTGGCCGACCAGTGGACCTTCTACTGCGGCGTGTTAATGTGCCTGCTGGCTATTGTCCTCGCCACACTGTCACTCCACCCAAACGCTTTACGCTCCTGGGCCTTCGAAACTGGATCGCTGTTCGCTCCATCTGGCGCGTCCTCCGGCGAACAAGTTCTGGTGCCCAGCACTGCGCATGGCGAAGTGAGCAGCGCTAGTACAGTGACGGTGCAGCCTCAACGGAATTTTTTCACAACACCTTCGGCCAGCAGTAGAGGCACTGGTAGTGCAGGGAATGCGCCTACTACGACGTCTGCAGATGTTGCTGGACATCATGGCCCCACGACTACAGGGGTCGGTGATTATATCCCAGGAAGTAGAGCCACCACCTTCGCGGCAGCGCTGCACCTCGGGGAGGGCGGATCGCCGATCGAACATGACCCAGCCCTGGGCGAACTCTGGGATCGCTTGCGCAGAAAGAAGCAAGCGGCGATCGACGCTGTTGCCAACTGGCCGCTGCAGCCACCGCCGGTGGGCGCTGCTTCGGCGGTACTACGCCCAGACCAAACAGAGACTGATGAGAATAAAGTTTTCCGTGGCGCAGCGGGGGAGACGACAACAGTTCCTTCTACCGCTGAAGAAATGAATCCTCAACTCAGCGAAGGTGTAAGTCCCGCGCCGCTGGCTTCCTCCTCGTATAGCAGCTACTTGGCGAAACTGTGGGTTTTTTTCTATCAGTTTTTTCGGTTTGTGATTTTACTATCTTTCATGATACCGATGACGCTTCGGGTCAACCTGGAGGTGGCCAAGGTGTTTCACTCTTGGCAGATCCAGCTGGACAAGCAAATAAACGGCACCGTGGTGCGGAACTCGCAACGCCCGGAGGAGCTAGGGGTAATCGATTATGTCCTAAGCGACAAGACCGGGACGCTGACGCGCAACGAGATGATTTTCCAGAAACTTCGGACTTCGGTCGGTGAGTTCACCACGCGGCAGCGTCCCGAGGACCTGGCACGCATTCGCGAAGCCGTGCGAAATTGCGTCTTGCTGGAGCAGCAGCAAGAAAACAATTCGAAAGAAAATGTGGGGTACCAGGAAGCGACAGGTACTATCTCCCGCGGGTTCTTCGAAGGAGACGAGGACAAAGACCCTATATCAAGAGTCGGGGGTCCAGCTAAAAACGTCATGCTAGAAGAATCTCACGTGAATCATAATTGCGAACGGAATTATCCGCAAATAGAAGCACCTCTTCTCGGTGAACGAGATGACGGACAAAACACCGCTCGGCGGAGAACAGCCCGACATGATCCAGCGTCAGCGGGAGACCACGATCAGCACGAAAATTTCCATCAATTGTGGACCACGGGAAAGGAGATAGTACAACAAGCTCAACAGCTACCGAGAGGCTCTGGTGCCTTGGAAGAATTAGTGTCTCTTCAGGAACTACATCAAGACGCGCAAGAAGCGGGTGGTCGTGGCCTTTTTGACTCGTCGTCCACTATAGCTCCTGTAGCGCCCCCGCCGCACCAAAACGTGGACGCGCGCACCGACGAGAGCATCTTCGACGCCATCCGCTGTCTCGCTTTGTGCCACAACGTCACTCCGCACGGGTCGGGCAGCAGCTGGGACCTGCAGGGTGCCTCCCCGGACGAGATAGCGCTGGTCAAATTCGCCAACAGCAGCGGCCTGAAGCTCACGCAACGCACAGACTACCAGATCGAGGTCACTCTCACCGGCAGCGGCGACGTGCTGCGCTACAAAATTTTGGAGTGCTTCCCCTTCACCAGCGAAACCAAGCGCATGGGCATTTTGGTTCAGCGGGAAAGTTGTAGTGTTGGAAATAATTCTTTTGCAGGACCTTCACAGAACAAACCAGAGCAGGAGCATGGTAGTCAAACAAACGACAATAAACGTAATTCTAGCTGCTCGATGGAACCGGGGTCGTCTGCTGATGTAAAAATGGCAACAGCTGCTGACTCGCCGAGCAGCACAGAGCAGGGTCCCGTGATGTTCTATTTGAAGGGGGCGGACAACGTGATGAGCGACTTTCTGAAACGGAAACACCAGTCTTCGTGGCTGCAAGAAGAGGTGGAGAACTACGCGCGCACGGGTTTGCGCACCCTGGTACTGGCCAAAAAGCTGCTCTCGTTCAACGAGTATTCTGAGTGGAAAAAGAAGTACGACACCGCCAAAAACGCCATGCGGTCCCGCGAGGAGAAGATTCGGCGTGCGGTCGACGTGCTGGAGCAGAATCTGGACCTGGTGGCCCTGACCGGCGTGGAGGACATGCTGACGGAGGACGTGCAGGAGACCCTGGAGGCCGTGCGGCACGCGGGGATCAAGATCTGGATGCTGACCGGGGACAAGGTGGAAACCGCAATTTGCATCGCCATCTCGACCAGCTTGAAGGCGCGGCACCAGAACCTGTTCGTGCTGGAGAACAAGTTTGTGGAAACCAAAGAGGTGATGATGAAGCTCGCGGAGTACGCCGAGCTGAAGGTGAGCAACACCGTGCTGGTGATCGACGGGAAGGTGCTCACGGTTCTGTTGAAGCCCGAGAACGTAAAGACCTTCATCACCACCGCGAAGCAGGCGCCCGCGATCGTGTGCTGCCGCTGCTCGCCCACCCAAAAAGCGGACATCGTGTTGGCGCTGGAGAAGTACGGTTCGGGCGGGGGTGGCGGTTCTGGAGCGACCGGAGGCGGTGGAGCGGGTGGCGGACGTTCTTCCCGCAACAAAAGCAGTGGGCGCGGGTCCGGTTCCGGCAGTCGGGGCGGGGGGGTTCATCATGGTTCATCATCGTCTTCTTCCGGGCCGCGGGGGCCACCAGAAGGAACTCGCGGTAACCACGCATCTCGGACGTACGGAGGAGGCGGACGAGCGAGCAGTATCTCCTCGTGTTGCCAGTGTCGTAACAGCAAAAACCGCGCAACCAGCTCCTCCTCTTCCGGAATCCCGTGCCGCACGCTGGCGATCGGCGATGGCGGCAACGACGTCAGTATGATTCAGGCGGCGCACGTGGGGGTCGGCATCCGGGGGAAGGAGGGCCAGCAGGCGTCCCTCGCGGCGGACTACTCGGTGGAAAACTTCAAGGTGCTGCGCCGGTTGCTCCTCGTCCACGGACGGCTGAACTTCCAGCGGTCCGTCCGGCTGTCCATCCTGATCATCCACCGGGGGCTGGTGTTTTCCTTCCTGCAGGCACTTTTTTCCGCGCTGTTCTACTTTGTGTCCGTCCCCCTGTTCCAGGGGGTCCTGTACGTCGGCTACGCCAGTGTGTACACCATGTTTTTGCTTTTCAGCGTCGTGTTCGACACGGAACTGCCGGAAACCACGGTGTTGCTGTACCCGGAATTGTACTCCGGGCTGCGCGAGGAGCAACGGATGAGCGTGAAGATCTTCCTCCTGTGGGTGGCGGCCGCCGTCTTCAACGCGGCGGTTATTATCTTGTTGGCGCTGAGGTTTTTCGAGGAGGAGATGATCAACATCGTGTCCATCGTTTTCACGGCCTGCTTTCTGCTGGAGTGCCTCTTCGTGATCTGCGAGGTGAGTGTGTGGCATCCGCTGATTTTGATCGGGGAGCTGGTCAGTCTGTTGCTCGTCCTGTACACGATGATTTCCACCCCGCAATTCTTTCGCTTGGACTTCATCCTGCGCCCGGAATTCTTTTTGCTGGTGGCGGGGATTATCTTCGTGGCGTGGTTTCCCATCTACCTCATTCGTCGCTTGGTTCGCTACTGGCAGCCCTCGCAACACAGGAAGCTGGTGTCGGCCTACAACGGGTACGAGGACCATCACGTGTAGGAGAAAGGAAGTGAATACTTATGTGGTAAACTGCTGAGTAGATGAATCTGTTGTTGTCTGTTGATGTATGTAAACTGCTGGGAGCAGTCTTCGGGTTATTTTCAAAACCGCGGAGTCGCGTGTAGAATTTTGGAGCTTGCCGCTAAAATAAAAGTCGTCAATACAGTATCCTCGAAATACCGTTGCCGCTGCGTTGTGCTTTGATTTGATACTCGGGCCAGCAGTCGTGTATCGATCTCGTATGTTTACATAAAAGACCCACTCACACACGAGTGATCATGTTTTTCTGCTGTCTTCACTGTGCGGGACAGAGAGACGGATTTTCTGTCCGCTAGGGAGACTGCTCGTGCCAGGTAGCGCCGCCTGGGGAAAATGGCTGCTATTTGGTTTAGCGGCCATTTTTCCTGAGGACTTCCCCTTGAAGAGCCGGAAAAAAATGGCTGCTATTTGGTTCAGCAGCCATTTTTCACCGGAAGATGAGGCCGGTCCTGTCGACCGGCCAGTTTTCCCGAACCACGCGCCCACCAGCTGACAAACTGGTGTAGTGTTGTCGTTTACCTGGAATAAAAATGAATTTTCAAAGTTTCGCGGTTTTTTGAACGCGATAAAAATAGAATTTTTGAAATTCGCGGATTGAAAAAAATTCATTCTTCCAGGTACCACCTGGGCAAAATGGCTGCTATTTGGTTTAGCAACCATTTTTGCCCTGCACTTCCCCTTGACGAGCCGGGGAAAAATGGCTGCTATTTTGTTTAGCAGTCATTTTTCAACGGGGCCTCTTTCCTGCTTGCCACTTTGGGAGCTCCTTTTGGTGCCGGGAAATGATTGGCATCCCGTGGCGATTCGCAAGCTTTTGCGCTTCATGATTGGCATCCCGTGGCGATTCGCAAGCTTTTGCGCTTCAAAAACGGCGCTCCTTTCTGGCTGCCACTTTAGACGTCGACTTTGGTGCCGGGAAAGGATTGGCATCTCGTGGTGATTCGCAAACTTTTGCGCTTCAAAACGGGGCCTCTCTTCTGCTTGCCACTTTAGACGTCCACTTTGGTGCCGGGAAATGATTGGCATAGCGTGGTGATTCGCAAGCTTTTGCTCTTCAAAAAAGGGGCTCCTTTCTGCTTGCCACTTTAGATAGGAGCTCACTTTGGTGCAGGGAAATGATTGGCATCCCGTGGGGGTTCGGAACCTTTTGCCCTTCAAAAAAGGGTCTCCTTTCTGCTTGCCACTTTAGAAGCGCACTTTGGTGCCGGGAAATGATTGGCATCCCGTGGCGATTCGCAAGTTTTTGCGCTTCAACAAGGGGCCTCTCTCCTGCCTGCTACTTTAGACGTCCACTTTGGTGCCGGGAAATGATTGGCATCCCGTGGCGATTCGCAAACTTTTGCGCTTCAAAAAGGGGCCTCTCTTCTGCTTGCCACCTTAGAGGCGCAATTTAGTGCCGGGAAATGATTGGCTTCCCGTGGCGATTCGCAAGCTTTTGCGCTCCAAAAACGGGCCTCCTTTCTGCCTGCCACTTTAGACGTCCACTGTGGTGCCGGGAAATGATTGGCATGCCGTGGCGATTCGCAAACTTTCTGCGCCGCATAAGAGCTGCCCGCGAAGAGCCGGAAAAAAGTGCTGCTATTTGGCTCAGCAGCCATTTTTCGCCTGAAGGTGAGGCCGGTCCAGTCGACCGGCCAGTCCTCCCTTCCCACCCGCCCGCCCGCTGACAAAATAAATGCAGTGCTGTTGTTTGCCTGAAATAAAAATAAAACTTGAAAGTTTCGCGGTTTTTTCAACGCAATAAAAACAAAATTTTGAAAATTCGCGGGTTGAAAAAAATTGCTCCTGCCAGGTAGGACCGCTTGGGCAAAATGGCTGCTGTTTGGTTTAGCAGCCATTCTCACTGTGGACTTCCCCGTGACATGCCGGGGAAAAATGGCTGCTATTTGGTTTAGCACTCATTTTTCCGGAGTACTTCTCCTTGAAGAGCCGGGAAAAAATCGCTGCTATTTTGTTTAGCAGCCATTTTTCAACGGGGCCTCTTTCCTGCTTGCCACTTTGGGAGCCCCTTTTGGTGCCGGGAAATGATTGGCATCCCGTGGCGATTCGCAAGCTTTTGCGCTTCAAAAACGGCGCTCCTTTGTTTCTGGCTGCCACTTTAGACGTCCACTTTGGTGCCGGGAAAGGATTGGTATCCCGTGGTGATTCGCAAACTTTTGCGCTTCAAAACGGGGCCTCTCTTCTGCTTGCCACTTTAGACGTCCACTTTGGTGCCGGGAAATGATTGGCATAGCGTGGCGATTCGCAAACTTTTGCGCTTCAAAGAGGGGCCTCTCTTCTGCTTGTGACTTTAGAAGCGCACTTTAGTGCCGGGAAATGATTGGCATAGCGCGACGATTCGCAAGCTTTTGCGCTTCAAAAAGGGGCCTCCCTTCTGCTTGCCACTTTAGAGGCGCACTTTAGAGCCGGGAAATGATTGGCATCCCGCGGGGGTTCGCAAGCTTTTGCGCTTCAAAAAAAGGCCTGCTTTCTGCTTGCCACTTTAGAAGCTCACTTTGGTGCCGGGAAATGATTGGCATTCCGTGCGGATTTGCAACCTTTTGCTCTTCAAAAAAGGGCCTCTTTTTTGCTTGCCACTTTAGAAGCTCTCTTTGGTGCCGGGAAATCATTGGCATCCCGTGGGGGCTCGCAACCTTTTGTGCTTCAAAAGCGGGCCCGTTTCCTGCTTTCCACTTTACAAGCCCGCCTTGATGCCGGGAAATGATTGGCATCCCGTGGGGGTTCGCAACCTTTTGCGCTTCAAAGAAGGTTCCCTTTTGTGCTTGCCACATTAGGAGCTCACTTGGGTGCCGGGAAATGATTGGCATCCATCCCGTCGGGATTCGCAAGCCTTAGCGCTTCAAAAAAGGGCCTCCTTTCTGCTTGCCGCTTTAGAAGTTCACTTTGGTGCCGGGAAGTGATTGGCATCCCGTGGGGATTCGCAGCCTTTGGCGCTTCAAAAAAGGGCCTCCTTTCTGCTTGCCATTTTACAAGCTCACTTTGGTGCCGGAAAATGGTTGGCATCCCGTGGGGATTCGCAACCTTTTTCGCTTCAAAAAAAGGCCTCCGTTCTGCTTGCCACTTTAGAAGCTCACCTTGGTGCCGGGAAACGATTGGCATTCCGTGGCGACTCGCAACTTTTTGCGCCGCGAAATAGCCGCCCTCGAAGAGCCGGAAAAAAATGGCTGCTACTATTTGGTTCAGCAGCCATTTTTCACCGGAAGGTGAGCCCGGTCCTGTCGACCGGCCAGTTTTCCCTACCCACGCGCCCACCAGCCGACACAATAAGTGTACTGTTCTCGTTTACGTGGAAAAAAAATAAATTTTTGAAGTTTCGCGGTTTTTTGAAAGGGATAAAAATAAAATTTTGGAAATTCGCGGATTGAAAAAAATTCATCCTTTCAGGTAGGACCACCTGGGCATAATGGCTGCTATTTGGTTTAGCAGCCATTTTCGCCCTGCATTTCCCTTGACGAGCCTGGGAAAAATGGCTGCTATTAGGTTTGGCAGGGATTTTTCCCCGTGTGCGTTTATCATGCAGGTGCTCTTTGGCTTGATCGTCATGCGAGAGAGTTGTAGATGCGGAAATCTCGCTCCACTAGAAGAGCACATTATTGTTTTCAAAATGCAGCATGAGCTGGGGAATAAAAGTGTGTGCGTCGTGCTCTTGCTATTGTCGGTCAGGAGTAGTCCGTCCACTATTCGTGTCGAAGTCTACTTGATGGGGCATCATTTGAAATCGTCTATCTCGTCGTTTTGGGGGGCATTCGTGTCATCGGAGCGAAAGGGATCATTTGCATGCGTATAGTGAAAAATTGCACGTATGATCTTCGAAAAGAAGGGCTGCAAGAATGTCAGAAATGAAAATCAACAATTCTATGATGTAGGTGAGCGGTTTTTTTTGTTGCTTGTCGATGAAGGACCGAGGCACCACGACAACTGTATCTGTAGATCGAACTTCGCGTAGCAAATGCGGATGATGAGGTCCACCTGTAGCTTTACAATAAATCAGTAAAGTGCAAGATCAAATAAATTTGCGAAGCGTAGTTAATCTTGGAGACCATGATATGCAGGCAAGATTATCAACGGCTCCTGGCACTTTGGGTGGCCAGTGCGACCACCTCGCCTTTCGTCTTCGCCAGTAGCTATGTTAGCCAAGAACTTGGGGCGGACGCAGATTTCCTCGGGGCGGTTGCTGATGGTGAGGATGAAGATCGTCCCGGGCAGCTGCACTATGATGATGAGCAAGATGACTGGAGTCCGGCGCCCCCAAATCAAGTAGTGCAAATTAGAGAAGCGACTGCACGTGGTTCTTCTCTAAGTGGCGTTAATTCAGTGAACGACGCAGTGCTGGATTGGGATTCCAGTTCCACCAGCTTCGTGCAGCGCGAACTGCTCGGGACAAGTGGTGTTGCAGATTCCTCGACCAACCAGTCGGATGCGAAAATGGGCATAGTGAAAGGCTCTACCGGTGGCGGCGGAGTAGCATCGCTCACCCGGCGTTCATTTCTCGCGAGTCTTCTTGTCGAGAACGGCGTCTGGGGTGATGCAGATCGCCTGTGGGAATCGGGCGCTATTTCCGTGGGGGACTGCGAGATCGAAACCACCGCGGCGAAGCGTTTCGAGGCCGCTGAGAACTACCTGCGCCAAACCCTTCACGCCTGGAGCCGTCTACTCAAGAACTCGCAGGCGGACAAACGACGGGCACTGTTGAACCCGCTGGCCTTCGCCAGGGTCTTCAACCTGTATCCGTCGGTGGTGGCGCGGATCATGAAGGAGTTGCGCAACGGACTTAATCCAGAAGAAGCACACCGTGGAGCACCGCTGAAGGTTGACGTGCCCGTCCTCCTGCTGATACGGCGGAGGTATGCGCTGTGGCAGATTACGCGAGCCTTGATGTACGTGGACGATTTCGGCTCGCTGGAGCGCGGGTTCCAGCAGGACGCGGCACTTGATCTCGGGAGCGCCCAGAGTTTCCCGCCAAACAACGCGGCGGCAGCACGGCAGTTCGCGTTTGTGAACTGCGCGGCCGGGCCGGCCGCGTATCGGCTGCTTACTTGGAAGCTGCCAGGGATGCTTCGTTTCATCTCCAAGCCGGAGCAGGATCATCTTCGTGCCGTCGCCAGCTCGGTTACAGATCTGACCAACGTGGGGCGAACTCGCGGAGACGTGGCGCTCGATATTTGCCCTCTAGTGCTGCGCACGCTGTGGAATCCTCCGCTCGACGAGGTGGCAGATACAAGCTCCCCTCGTGTCGCCAATGGTCTGCTCTGTCACTTGCATTTTGTTGGCATGATCGTCACCGGTGTGCGCGTCGTTCTTCCCGCCAGTCAGGACGAGGAGCAAGCTTCCCGCGTCGCCCTGCCGTACCTCTTCTCGCCAGTGCTACAGTCGTTGTCGTGGCGGCAAAGTGTTCCGGTCAGCGTTGGGCTGAGCAGCGCCGAAGGCGACCGCCACCACGCCCTCGGGCCGGCGAGTCCCGGGCGCGCTTCGTCGCTGGCCCGGTACTGGGCGTCTAGGAGCGCTGCGTCGTTCCCCGTGTGCACCGTTCCCGACGATGTCGTCTCGCCGTCCAAAGCAGTAGCCAAAGCAGCATTGGGCTCCTGCGGCTTGGTGAAAAATGCACAAACCGAGGTGTTCTGCCAGTACCGGGCCGACCTCTCGTGCACGCCGAAACACTGGACGTGCTTCGACTTGGGTAGAAACGGGTTGAAGGATGCCTACAGCTGCCGCAACGTTCGCCTGCTCTCTGCGCACGCCCTCGTGGATGTGCCGGGCACATTCTTTCTCCACCGGGATTTTCGAGCCCAGCTGCGAGCGCTCCGGCGCACGAAAGCTCTTCTCGAGACGTTGCATGAGACCGCGGACTGGCGATCATTGCAAGCGATTGCAGCTTCCTGCGACGTGAACGTGCACGGGGACAGGTGCCCCGCCCGGGACGCGCTGGCAAAGACCATCCGGTCCGCCCTAACCGTCTTGCAAGCTATGTATCAAGATTTACACAGGCAGGCCGTTGTGAATTTCGCGGACGTGTTCTCCGCGCAAATCTCCAACACGTGGTGGAACGCGACCTCTGTGGGCGAAGTCTGGGATGCCGGTTTGTTTCTGGTCGCCGAGCTGACCGCCGCGGGAAGGATATGCGACTCGGACAATGACCATTCCGTGGTGTTGCGTGCGGTGGGCCGTGCCGTCCGTCTCCGTCGCGTCAAGGACAAAGCAGTGACATCCTACCTCACCTCCCTGCGAGACTCGGCTGGGATCACCGCAGAGAGCTCCGAACGTTTGCAAAAGCTCCGCGCTGCTCACACCCTCGGAGCAGGAACCCTGGATTTGAATCGCTTGGACAAAGGGCTGGAGGATGCTAAAGCGAAGATGGGCAAAGTGGATCCCGACTTTTGGCCGGCCGCGAGGCGGCTGAGCCAGACATCATCGTCTTCGCGAATTCCAGACGGCGCGGGCGTGCTGGCGGTCCACAAGGCGCATTCCGCGGAACAGATTGAATTAATGAAAGAGTCCAGTGCGGAAGATATCGCGCGTCAGTTGTACAAGGAGTACCTCGTTGCGGTATATCGTGGCGCGATCGACGTGAAAAAGCAGCAGAACACCAGAATTCGGCAGGGTCCTCTACTGGGAGCAAATACCAACCTCGCGCAAGTGACCCCGGACTGGGCGCACTTTCTGAATGTCCCGGCAAAGCTTTTTCCGCTTGTGATGTTGTTGATTGGGCCGGACGAAAAGCTTGCGAAGTGCGCAACAAGAGAGTTTTCGCAATTCGTGTTCACCGCCCTGCACCAGCCGCGCATGTTCCAACTTGCGCGCCTGTTCGAGCCGTCAGTCGACCGAACGAAAAGGAATCCCGCCTCCGTTTCCGCGGGGTTCGAACTGGTTCCCAGTGTCGAGAACAGCGTGATTCGCAGTGTTCCGCCAGTGCTGAAGATTCCTGTGCGAGTTGGGCTGAAGCACTTCAAGTTGAACCTCCTGCCGGACTGGGCAGCGAATGCCGCTGGCAGGGTGCAAGGCCTTCGCCGACCCGGAGGATCAAGCTCCGGAATAAATGAGGGTGAGGACGAAAACTCCGTGGAGGACGGGCGTCCATTTAGCCCCGCGATCGGTAAAAATGAAGATGACGAGCAGAAGCAGGAGCAACCTGGTGTGCTCGAAAAGCAACTTCGGAATCTGGCGAACACGGTCGACCTATCAAATGCAAAAATGTCTGGGTCTGGAAGGATGCAAGGTTTGTCATGCACATTTTGCATGACTCCTGATGTCTGCGATGCATGCCCTACCATCACAGATCTTGTGAGGGCTTTCTGATGCCTATGCCGCATGAGAAATCCCCTCTCGCCGTGGCCAAAATCAGACCTCTTTTGCTGTTCATGCAATACAGATTTTTGGATAATGCAGACGCAGCATCACAAGTTGCATTCTTCCAGACCCAGACATTTTTACATTTGATACGACCTGGCCTCGTTGCGCGTCATTGCCTTGCGTCCGTTTGCCAGAGATGATGTCCGCGGTCCCGTGGGAAGCTATGTGCTCCAAGTACACGACCTCTCCCCCGGACGCTTCCTGTACGAGCAGAAATCGCCTTCCTTCGGTCTCGCCACCGGGATAACGCTTGCCTGCATTCAGCCCTACTCTCGTCCCACCGAGAAGTTCTACCCGGTGGGTGCCTGGCAGAACTACGAAAAGGGGCGCACGAGGAAATACTGCGATTTTGTACGGATTCGCTGGAAACTCGACGTGGTGGACCTCGTCGCGGGTTCCTCAGAAAACTTTGAAGCTTTGAACGCACCCCTGCAGTTATCAAATGCAAAAATGTCTGGGTCTGGAAACTTGTGATGCTGGGTGGCGTATCATGAGGAGGCCACAAGTGCTGGCTCAGCATGACAAGTTTCTGAGCTTCTAGGTGTTGCCTATTCTGCATGACAAACTGCGTTTCTGAATGACAGAAAA